ATGCCTATCATTTTAAGATGAAAACAAGATTTTAAATACCTTATTCCCATGAAACTTTGTGCAATGTTTTACGTAAAAGATTTTAGGACAAAATTCAATTACAGTTTGATAGACATTTTTTTAATCAAAACTATATTTTTATTTTAATATTTTATAAAATATTAAATATTTAGAAAATTACACCAAAATTTGGCCCATTTAAAATTTAACTTTTCCTTTTTTGAATTACAACATCAAAAGAAATTGTAATGAATGAATGTTTAATATTTCCAAGCTAAACTGCACATCCAAGTAAGTCCAAAAGCGTTAGTCCCTTACAATAATTTATATCTCCGAGGATCTTTGCTCTTGGACTGAAGAAGTCACATCTCTTATATATAGGTAGGTTCATGGATTTTAGCGTACAAGTTCAATTAAATAGCTAGAAATACGGATGCACCAATCTAATGAACGTAAGATTTTGGAAAAAATAATGCAAATAGAGGTAGCTGGCATATGCATGTAAAGAAATTATCCTAAAAAACGTCAAACCCATGATAATAACCCTGGTGCCAATAATGTTTTGAAGATACTGATTATTGTATTTGAAGAAAAAGGATATGTTATAATTGAGGGACCTTTTCTCTGTGCAATAATTTTGAGGATCCTATAGAATTTGTGACTCAAATTTGACAACTCAGTTTCTTTCCTCTTCTGATATCTTGTCAGGTAGTTAGCATAGTTATCAAACCAGGCTACTGTAAAATCGTGCGTATTATCTTTAGTATTTATATTATCAAGAAAAATGATTTCTTCTGTTATCTTTTAACATTTTTTTTTATATTAATAGCTAGTGTTTTGGGTTTGTTATTTTTTAGAAATTAGTCTAATCACACATTTTACTTCACATAAAACTAGTTTCTCCACTCCTCGTGTGTTCTTTGTCCAGAGACAAAAAGCGAGAGCCATAAAAAAGGGAAACAAAGGCTAGTTTCCTTCACCCCTTTCAAATAATGGGTCTCACTCTGGCCATTTTATTTGTTTTTTAAGGGAAGGCTTAGTTTAGTTATTAAAGATTCTATGATTGTTGCTTTGAAGTTAAACTGTGTCAATGTTAGATAAGACAAGAGGCTTAGAATATTGAGAAAAAATTTATTAATAAGTTATAACAAGTTATATAAACAAATTTACATATTACATTTGATTAATTATTACTTATATATTATTTTATTATTTTTTTAATGTGACACTACTTTATTTACCTTCATTATCTCAATATGTATAAGAATAATTTTATATAAAAATTTTAATTTCAATAAAACTAACTGTAATAATTATTTTACGTGTAAAAGAATATGAAACACTCTCAATCATTAGAGGTACAATAGATTTTATTATGCTTTAAATCTCACTATTTTGTAGTAAGACAAATGATTTGATTATACGTTTTAGATGTAAATAAAAAACTTTTATCTAATTTTATTTTAAAATAAATGTTTTCTTTCTATGAAATCATTCATACATTTATTATAGAAATGTAATTTTTTTTTTGTCAAATGCAATGAAATCTTAAAACAAGGGTATATATAAATCATTCGTTAATATATTAAAATAAACAGTCAGAAGACAATTAAAAGCCAAAAAAGTCTTTACAAAATAATATTTTGGACAAATTAGTGGCGTTTACTAAGAAAGTAAAGGGGGGATCGTTAATATATTAATATTTGGATGGGATCATTTGTATGCATAGTTTTTTTACACACTTTCTAAAATCTATCCCTACTTCGGGGACAAGGAAAGTAAAGGGATACGTACAAAGCATGCTTTTCTTATTATTTTATTACTTAAAATTCAAATGGTGTTATTGAAATGATGTAAAGATATTATGAGCCTGGTTGAATAGGAGCATAGTTCTAATTTACAATAAGATTAGATTAGCGGCGTCAGCTGAATATTATTAATGTTCACTGTTAATTTACAAGCCATAACAATGTACAGCAGAAAGTTGAGGAGGCAACCCTAACAAAATATTAGCGTGGAGCCCATTTCTTAATCATGACGGAGTGTAACATGAATATGACTAATTAATGACAAAGAAAAGTCGAAAGGGTCACTAATCACAATTATTACTAAAGATCAAAAGGGTTTATCCTTAAGTGTCTTTTTTCAAAATATAACCAAACCAGTCCCATAGAATTAGAGCACAGCATTGCTAGAGAGAGACGAACACAGAATGAAACATGTTGACCAAATGTTTGTGTTTCACGCCATCTTTGTTTGCCATTTTTCAAAGGTATATTGGCAGCGAGGGGGCACAACAAGAAAGCATGCCAGCAACCCTATAGATTTTTTCTTGGCCATGTTTTGGGTGACATAGGGGATTCCAACAGATCATAACAAAAAATCCCATTAAGACTTGTGTTTCAATTTATAATACATGTTTGCTAATCACTAGACTTTCTAATCATTTCTATAATATATTGATTAGTGAAAATGGACCTACAACCCCTAGACTAAACATCTTGTCTTTCATGCATGTCAAATCTCTAATCCATATCATTTACATTAATAATTATATTTTGTTAAGCTCTAATAATCTCTGTATTTCTCTTTTTGTCTCTTTTAGATGAATATACACGTGGCAGCATTGCATTGGTCTACAGTTAGTATCCATGTGACCATGGAGCAAAGTCACCCATGGTGCATGAGATGTCAAACGTGTTCCCTCAAGACAGTCTCAGATGTGGTGCGGAAATTTTTGAGGTGCCTAAACTGAGATGTTTCTGCTTTGGGTTGCATATAAAATATTCTGTGTTACATGAAAAAGGAAAATATATTCCTCAGATGGGATGGTCAACATTTTTCCTCTTTGATTGTTGTTTTAAGAGGATATTGGTATTCTCGGACAGACCAAGAAATTAATCAACAGTACAGAAATTATGTTAAAAGATATTAATAACATATTTCAATAAAACATTTTACTTTTATATAATTGCTTAATGTCTAAAATAGATGATCAATAATATCACAAGTGATGTATAATATCCTAATATAATTTATAAATTTAATATTACTTCGTAAAATAAGAATAAAATTTGTTTGAAAAGTTCCTCTTTTTAAAATTGTATTTGAAAAGTCTTACAAGCACCCTATATTGGGGTTTTTTCTTCCACTGAGTACCGATTATTTGAATTTAATAATGCTATAAACCATGGTATTTTAATGTAAAAAGCACTTTAAGATCTAGCTGAGGAATCAACTAGATAGTGTAGGCCATACAGAATAAATTAAGGTCTGTGCACAGAGACGACCAACCTGGGCTGTAATCAGATTTCACTGGAATATATTAATATAATACTTTTAATTAAACCAATAAAAAATGTGACTTCTTTGTTCATTAGTTTAATTGTTAGTTAGCCTTCATAGATTAATATAATTTTAAAACCATAATACTAATAAATTAATATAATAATATATTAAGCATGATAATAATTATACATCAATAAAATCTTAACATCAAAAAATACTCTTAAAATAAATTTTGAAACAATGGATAATAATTAATCAAAATCATATTTTCTTCTATTTAGTTTTAAAACTTAAAAACTACATACCAATTCATTATAAAAAGTTTCTTTAAATTTCAGACTAATATAGTTTTTTTAGCTAATTCAGGCAGATATAATTCACTTTTGAAATATTCCATATCCATGGTTGTACACAACTGGAAAGAGACAAAGAGAAAAGAGTAAGAGCTGGGAAAATGTAATATAATACAATGTGGTGAGAGAAGAAAAGAAAACAGATATAAAGTGTGTGTACAAATTAAAATGTGAAAAACCTAAGAATTAATACTAGGAAGTGCTTTTATATCTTGTTTTCTAATTACAACTGTAGCTACTTTAACCATGTTTGTCATTTTCATGTGTCTACTATGATTTTTGTATCAAGTCCTTCTGGTGTCTTACGAGAAGATGCAATGAAGCTAGGCACAGTAAGGCTCAGTGTAGCTGCTATCTTTGGATGCTGGAATATCAACAAAGTGCTCATTTGGCCTACTACTTCCTTCATTGGCGTCCAGAGAAAGAGGAATTTCAATGTTGAGCAAAAGTGATTGGTATCTGCGCATGGTTTTGCTAGTCAAACATGAAATTATCACAATTAATAGCAGTAGAAAGAGTAGCCTATCTATAGTACCCAAAATCTCTCACGTCATAAAAAATTTTCCATAAATAAAAAATGAGACACTAAAAAAATATGTCATTTACAGCAACCAAAAATATTGAGTGTTAAATTAACAAGAAATTATCAAAACATGTTTAATTAAAGTAGTTGTGATTTTCCGTGCAAGTCAAATTTTTAGTCGCCCAAGTTCCATTACGACCCGTAATCACCATTTTTAATAGAGGAAAATGCTATTAATATATTACTTGACATTATTTTTTAATATTTTTATAACGAGTGAGGGTTAACGTGTAAGTTCATTTGATTTAATAACAAGGGAGAAAAGGGTGTGTTTTAAAGAGGAGATTGTTATGATATTTGTCTTTCATTTTAGTTATTTCTGTAGTTACTAAAGATTAAAATGTTTTAATTTTAGTGTTGTCAGAATAATAATTTTTATATTTTTAATCAATTGAAGTCACGGTAATAATTCAAGAAAGAATTTTAAAAAAATCCTAGTTAAATATTTACTTCTAAATTTTTTATTGAATGAAAAATTGATTCATAAAAATGACTGTGAAATTTACAAAAATAAGTTAAAAAAGAACTTATGATAATAAACCCCTTCATAACTTTTTTTTAGTTTTTGGTTAACACATTCATACCTTCAAATAAAGTATTCCATTCTATTACATTTGCGTGTTACTTTAAAGAATTTAAATATCCTGAGGCCCAAGAACCCATCATTCCCATTTTTATGTTGACCGTGTCCAGCCCATTTAATTTGTTTTGGGCCTAAAAATTGGACATGGCTGAATGGTAATGCGGTAGGGTTCACAGAGAGGCATGGATACTGTTATTTCTGGTTCTTCCTTATTTATTATTGATTTCATTTTTCTGGTGAATCACTCAAGAGAGCTTCATAATTCCGCTAAGCGTAAGTGTGAATCCTGTTTTATGCATTTCTAGTATTCAGTTTACACACTTCCATTTTTGTCACTCTTAAACTATATACGATGCGAATTGTTCTGTTTTTCGCACAATCCATAGCGATATTCTTCGTCTTGATTTGTTAAAACCTATTAGGTTCTATTTGCTTTGTATGGGAGCATGATTATTATTATTTTTTTATAATTAAATTCAGTTTTCTCTTTATTTGGATGGTACCTTTTTATAACGATACTGTGGCTAAATGTGAAAAAAAAAAATGAAGCATGTAACAGTGCTTCATTTGAAAAAAAAAAGAATGCCCGAGAGGTGTTTGTGAATTTGCCTGATTGATGAGTAATTGTTCTCATGTGTAGAGAGAAAGAGGTTGTTGTGTTATGGCGGGAAAAGGTGTTAGTTCTGTGGCAAAGGCAGTGGCAGAATATCAATATCCTTGGCGTGAGAAATTGGTGAAATATAAGGATGAACTTGCCAAGGGTGTGTGGGGATACTGGGAGCTTGGCGCATGGAAGCCACTCAGCATCAGTGCTCGGCGTCGAGCTAGGCTTCGCAAGGAAGTGCTTCTTGCTGGGGAAGATTGGGCATATGATCCTGAAAGGAAGGAGATGAAGACCAGGAGGAAGGGACACAAATGTGATAGGATTGCCGCTGAGAAACGGGAGAACACGGCAAGGTTGATGGAGAAGATGCCTGAGATGTTGCTGGATTACAAAAAGAGAAGGTGGCAGAAGAAGATGAAGGAAGAGGACAAGGCAAAGTTTTAATTTTGGAATGGTTTGTCTGCCTTTACAATTGGATTATTTACTTGTGCAATGTTAGTGAATGATTAAGTTTTATTATGCGTTTTAATCCATGATATTAATAACCCCTTTCAATAGCCTTGTGATTATCAGTGGGAAAGGGCTTACTCCTAAGGAAATTACTCTTATGGAGTTATTGTTCATGGATCTGTTTGGTTGAGTGCTAGGTACTTGTGATTGTTTATTGGCAATTGTTGCATGAATTAATCTTAAGCACTACCATTTCAATTAAATCACAATTATTTTCTTATAAGGTTCAAGTGGACATGTAATTTTTCATGTTTCAAGCTAAAGATTTTGTTGTGACGGGGCATGTTGAAGAGCTACTCATTGGCTTGAGAAGATGCAATTACCATTTTTTGTTGCTTCTCTATCTCGATTCCTTCTTCAGTTGTTGTTTCCATCTTAGATGATTCTCAATAGTTTGGAACTTTGTTGGGGTAAGAAACTAGGCAGTGTTTAACTCTATTAGCTTCTCATGTGACGTTAGACAGCATCGTCCTTTTCACAAATCAGAGTCAAGAACTCAAGGTTATTCGAATTAAAATCAATGGCAATTGTATTGAAGTCATTGATCGTTTAATGCGGAACATGATGGACGCACGCTGTGTTGTGTCCTGTACGTGAGTCCATACAAATGCTATTTTAAAACATTCACTGTGACTTCGTCAAATATTTGGGTTAGAGAAGTTTTCTCTGGGAATATCGTGTGCTAGTAGAAATGAGACTCAGTTAGATTTGGTAGTGTTATAATATCTATCTTATTATTCGAGCATATACTCACGGGAGTGGTAACCTCAAGATTCGAACTCAAATCCATTTCCTATATTTCAATTAACTTAGGTAGTCTCTCATTTATGTATTTATTTGACAAGTTAATAAAACATGGATATGATTACAGTATTAATATAATGATATAAATTCAATAAAAAATGATTAAAAGTGAAATGTGTAAATTAATTAAAGAAAATATTGAAAACATAATTTAATTCTTAACTATAAAATACTTCAAACTAACTTGTTTAACTTAAAAATAGATTGGAATAGAATTTGACCAAATTGTATTAATTGGACCGAAACTAATTTTTTTCCGAACCATTAAAATTAAAACCATGCAAAATATCTGACTCTAAATTAAAAATCAAGTTTAAGTTATCAACTGACTTCAAACTATTTTAGGTAAATTATAACCTTATGAATATGCTAACAAGAAAACGAGGGAGAAAATCCAGCTACTCGATATTTTTCATTACTTGCTTTGTTTGATGAAAAACTCATATATATCAAGAAAGGTAGCAAATGATGAGAACGTGGTTGCCTTAACTTATTAATTTGTTCTGTTGTTCTATAAACATATTGGAATGAAATGCTTTATAAAGAGTGCTTCATACACTGCCCTCCATTTACTATCCCCTTTTACCCGTGCAGGTTGACTTTGACAAAGGATGTGAAAGTTCATACTCACACACTCGTCTCTATTGTGGAAGACTTTGGGCATACTTTAGAGTTTCGTAGAAGGTGGAGAAATGAGATGTTTTCTGTGATCCTTCCAAAAAAATTTCTTTATTCATTTTACCTTGTGTTTGTATTAGTAATTCTACTTGGAATATCAAAAAATATTTTTAAAATTCAATTAAATAATTTTTATATCAAATAAAAAATTTAAATAACATATCAAGAAAGATATATATATTTTTATATTTATCATTTATAAATTTTTTAGTTAAAAAAGTTAAAACACTTATAATAACATATCAGCATATATATATATATAATGCTACTTATTTGAATTTTTAATCTATGCTTAAACTTTATTCTACAACTATATATTAAATTTTTGTATTATTATACTACTTACGCGAAATTATATAAAATTAATATAAAAATATATTCAGTAATTATCTAATATAATTTAATTATTATATAGTTGATATGAGATTAATATTTTTAAAAAAATTATTTATATATGACATACATACAAAATATTTCACATACAAATATTTTTTTATAAAATCATATTGATATTTAAATCATAAACTGAATGATAAATAATAAATGTATTCTAAATATTTTATAAATTTTACAATCATATACTATTATCGTGAGTTTATTATTTATTGATAATATTTAAATTTTATTTTTTATATTTTAATTTAAAATAATATTTTTTTATACAACATGTGTGTTGTAAACACAATTATAATCTATTAAAATCTAAATAATATTATTTTACCATTTATTTATATTTAAATAAGTTTTTGAAAAAATATAAAATATAAAAAATATTATATATTTTTATTATAATTTATCTGTTAAATAATTTTTTCGATATGCATGTATATTTTTTTATTAAAAAATTTTATTATGACTGTTTATCTTTTATTTAAATTCTTTTTTCAAAAATTTATATACATTATAAATATTTAATTTATTAAAATAATTTTAAAAATTTTGTATTTTTAACAAAATATTTTCATGTAGTACATAAGTTAAAAATACTAGTATTAATGTATATATAATTATATTATATTATATTATTTTAATTAAATCTATTATTTTTCTTACAATTTCATATTTAAAAGTTAAAAAAAATGTGTTATGTATCTACTTAGTACTTGAGTTTGTCTGTCCTAACATTATTCTTATTCTCAATGTCTGCTTTACTTAAACCTATTACAACAATTATAAATTATTAAGTGATTCATATGAGAGGCCACCTATTGTATAAATCTATCTTGTCATCGCCTAATTCAGTATTATTGTCATTTAATCGAATTTCACATAATATAGAGTTATTGTTGACAAATAACTTATATGTTTAACTTTACTTATAGTTTCTAAAAATTTTAGTTTAGAAAATTATTATATTAAAATATATTTAACACTTATAATTTTTAAATATTTATTTTTTATTTATATTTGTACTTTATTCAGTAATTACGTAATAAATTTTTATATTATTATATTACTATAAAATTATATAAGTATATTTTTTTTCATAAATATTTTACATAGATAATAAGCATGGGTATAGATATACAAATATTCAAAAGATAAGGATTAATATTACTATCCGAGAGTATAAAACTAATACATATATTTTTTTAAAATACAGATACTAGGATGTCTTCAATACCTTATCCATTAACATTCCTAATAACGAGTGGTTCTTACATTCTGCCCTCCATTTACTATCTCCTTTTACCCGTGCGTGGCATCGCTTTAGATAACTTTGACTATCTTTGACCAAAACACAAAAAAGATAAAACAAAAAAAAGAAGATAACTTTGACATTGACAAAGGATGTGAAAGTTCATACTCACAGACTAGTCTCTATTATGGAAGACTTTGGACATACTTTAGAGTTTCCTAGAAGGTGGAGAAATGAGAGGCTTTCTATGATCCTTTAAAAATTTAATTAAATAAATTTTATATTAAATAAAAAAATTCAAATAACATATCGAGAGATATATTTATTTTTTATAACTTTTTAATAATTTACTCTCATTTAAATTATTTTACACTTATTAATTTTATATTTTTAAAAAATGTTAGTAAGTTAATAAAGCTAAAACATTTATAAAAAGTATTCAATTTTAACACACTATCTCACATCAAAGCTAAATATCTGTGGGCAACTCAAAAAAATTAGATAAATTCTGATAGTATGTTGATAAAATCAGACTTAAATTAATCTTAAAAGTTAGTTCATAAAAAACAATTATACAAAAGCTTTGTAAAGGGTATTCTAAATCTAATTATAATTTTAATCGAGATAGATATTTTAACAAAAACAAAATTAATTTTTTTAATTCAAATACAACCTTTACCTAACATGCAAACATCATTATTTTGATGCTAAATCAAATGTGAACATAGCTTGAGTACGAAGACTGATCAAAGCTGGGTATTGGATCTCGACTTGGACACCTTAGTTCTTCAATGACTTGACTTTTACGCATGCCAGGTGGCTGCAAATTAATTTGACCTTAAAGTCGCATTTTTGTTGCAGTCGAGAAGTACTAGTGTTTGTATACCGTACTAATGAACCTCATACATTTTTTTATATTTTGAAATTTGAATTTTTATATTTTAAAAAAGGATATATTTAAAAGATAAATACACCCCAACCAAATTAATGGTCTAATGTGAATTTACCCAAATTAAATAATCATTAAAGATATTATTTTATTAAGTTTAACACATAATATTATTTTATGGTTTCATGATAATAGATTAACTTATGAGCCTTCCTAAGTGAAGGACTAAAGTAATGCTATATTTTTTTAACCTTGAGACAATTGGAAATTATAATGCCGATTTTGTCAAGTCTAAATGTGTTTGTTGTAGTGTGAAAGAGGTTTAAAATAGTGAACAAGTTGAACTAAAAACTTTTGAACAAGTTCAGTCAGAAGGTACAATATAGTAGAATGACGTAGAGGATTGCTGATGTTACTATATATATATATATAATGGGTGTAAAAATGTATAAGAACTTTTTGTATATAAAATAAAGAATTATACATTTAACTACTTACTGATTATTTGAATTTCAAAGTAGGTTTTTTTTATCAGTTAAGTTTTTATCTTGCTTTCAATTTCACATTAGTCGCTTTTGCGAGCTTCGTTATACAGATAATGACATTAACACAATTGATTTTCGTCAAAATATCGTTATTTTGATTAACATTTGTATTCTTTTTTCATCCCTTTTGCTTTTTAGTTTATCACAAATGGAGGCAAGCGATGTGACCTGACCCCCACTATTTTAGTGGTGGAAAAGAGAACAATTTGTGATTATGTTCTCAGTGTTTCTAATGAAAAGTGTATACAATATTTAGATAAGTTATGGTTCACGTTACAGTAAAGGACAAATAGATCTTACTTTTAATATTAAATTAATTATATAAGCATTGGTATTCCAATTTTATTATTTAAATATTAAATAATTGACACTATGTTATATAATTTATATTTTTATTATTTATTCTCATTTTTTTATACATAAGTATTTTGAATAAATTAAAAGAGAAAATAAAAATTGTCCCTGTGTCTTTAGCAGTTAGCACCACTCACTCACTTTCAACCCTATATACGCTAGTTTTATTTTATTAATGCTAAATTATTTGACTCTGGAAGAGCATGTGATCGAATTCGATTCAGAATTGTTTATTTAACGTGTTGAAAGTCAGATCAGATCATATACTTAGCAATACAATATGAAAAAAATGCTGATTGCTCAACATATCGAAAGTTCCTTGTAATGAAAAGTGTTGCTCTCACATCCTTTAATATTTATAATATTCTTACGTTCATCCCTTTGTGTGTGTGTATATATATATATATATATATATATATAAAGAAAATGAAAGTCAATGAAAAATCTTTTGTTTAAACAAAAAGTTGAATTTAGATATAGAAATTTTAAATTATTAGATTGCATGTATTTGAGTAATAAGAAAAATCATTTTTAAAATACTTTAGAATTTTAGTTAAAGATTTTTTTAATGTTAAATACAATGAATTTTAAATGATTTATCATTAGAGAGAATTTAAAGTATCTTTTATTATATTTAGCTTTTAATAATTATTATTTGTAATTTTTTCATAGTTAATTCATATTTTAATTATCCCTCATTTTTAATGTCAGATTTTTAGAAATTCTAAAATTTTCCATTCAACACATGATTGTAAAGGTAATATAAAAATTTGAAAAAGCGTAAAATATCATATTGGAAAAGTAAATAAATTACTATCATCATGCATTGTCACCTTTTTTTAAGAAAAAAATATTTATTAGTTACTCATTTAGATAAAAACGGTAAAATAAATATTTCTACAGGATGCGTTTTTATAAACTGCTTACTTAAGTTTTTATTTAATAAAATTCTTATTTATAATGCCTTATACAATAAATTTAGCAATATAAGTTAATGTAATAAGTCGAAAATAATTTATTTTGATGTTATATTAAATAGTTTATTAAAAACTCAAATTAGTATTTTTATTTTTCAAAAATTTATTATTTTAATTTTGTTTATGCTTATTTTAATTTTTGAATTTATAAAAATATTTTAAAAATATATATTTATTAAAAACATCAATTCTGTTACATAATATAATATTTTTAGTTTTTTGTGTTTTAACGTCGAGCAAAAGTGTGTTTAGCTAAATGCAGAAAAATAAAAACTTTTATATTGAAAGAGAATTTTACATGGAGTTTTATTATATATAAACGTACTCCTAACATAAAAATTTCTAAACATAAAATCATTTAACTTCAAATTAAATTTTTATTAAAAAATTATAAATCATGATTATGAAAAATTATTTTTGTAATTTGAATAATTTACCAAAAATAAAATAGAATAAAATTATAAAAAAATTTGTAACAATCAATGCGATTGTTTAATCAGAGTACGACTAAGCAACTAACTTAGAAAAAGAAACAAATAAAAAAGTAAAACCCAAAGATATATACTCCATTAATTTAACAAGTCAGCCTTATAATTTGGTTTTGTCCACAAGCCCGCGTTAAATGTTCTTTCACTACCTAACCTCTTCTATATATAAATAAGCATTGTATAGTGCTCCCAATCTTCACTTCTAAACCACCAAAACTCTTCTTTCTCCATTGTCTCCAAATATCCAAGCTCTTATTCTTGTTCATCTACTTGGGAATTTGAATTTGGAGCACCTTCATCATCACATCTACCTCATGACACTTTCCTTAGTGACCCACAACCACCTTCTGGCCCATAACAAATCAGGCATGAACCGGTTCGACATGGTTCAAACCCAACAGCATGTGGTTCTTGATCACCCAAAAACCAACACCCCCAATAGAGTCACACGTTTGGCTGAATCCCTCTCACACGTGCTTCATCTTCACATTGACCCCCCTTCACGTACCAATAAAGAAAACTTCACCTTGAACTTGCTAAGTGATCACGAAAAGAACCACTCAACTCCACCCATGTCTCCAAGAGAAAACATCTCAAAAAATTGGCGTGAAATTCAAGGGTGTTTCGATTGGGAAGACATGCTAGACCCTCTTCACCCGTGGTTGCGTAGAGAAATTGTCAAGTACGGAGAATTTGCACAAGCAACCTACGATGCATTTGACTATGATTCTTTCTCTGAATATTGTGGGAGTTGTCGTTACAACCGTAACAAAATATTTGAAAAATTAGGCCTTAGTAGAAATGGTTACACCGTGACTAGGTACATATATGCCATGTCACACATAGAACTACCACGTTGGCTCGAGAGGTCACATGTTGCTGACACGTGGAGCAAAGATTCGAATTGGATGGCCTTTGTAGCCGTTAGTGACAATGAAGAGACACGTAGGATTGGAAGGAGGGACATCGTGGTGGCGTGGCGTGGCACCGTGGCACCATGTGAGTGGTACGAGGATTTTCAAAGGAAGTTGGATCCAATTGGCCACGGTGATGCCAAAGTTGAACATGGGTTTCTTAGCATTTATAGTTCTAAGAGTGAGAACACAAGGTACAACAAATCAAGTGCTTCGGATCAAGTCATGAAGGAAGTGACAAAACTGGTGAAGTTTTATGAGGAAAAAGGTGAGGAAGTTAGTCTTACAATCACGGGACATAGCCTAGGAGGTGCTTTAGCATTGCTCAATGCTTATGAAGCAGCACATACAATTCCAAACCTTCCAATAAGTGTCATTTCTTTTGGGGCACCAAGAGTTGGAAACATTGCCTTCAAAGATGAGTTACATCAAATGGGGGTGAAAACTTTGCGTGTTGTGGCAAAACAAGATTGGGTGCCAAAAATGCCAGGGCTTTTGTTCAATGAGAGCTTTAAAGTGTTTGATGAACTCACGGGGTTGGAATGGGTTTACACTCACGTTGGTGCTGAGTTAAAGCTTGATGTTCATTCATCTCCTTATCTTAAAGGTGGAATGAACTTGCCCGGGTTTCATAGCTTGGAGACGTACCTTCATCTTATAGATGGGCACTTGAGCTCTAAGACACCCTTTAGGCCAGAAGCTAGGAGGGATGTTGCACTAGTTAACAAGTCATGTGATATGCTAGTTGATGAGCTTAGAATCCCACGTTGTTGGTACCAATTGGCCAACAAAGGATTGGTTTGTAATGATCACGGAAGATGGGTTAAGCCCAAAAGAGACCCTGATGATGTACCTTCACATACTACCGACTTATGTAATGATGGTCTTGCACTTGGAATGCAAACATATAAGATGAGTTTGGTCTCCCCATAAAGACAAGATGTAAATCAAAGTTTCTATTAGGAATATTTTCAAACCCAAATTTTAAGGGTTATAGAACAGACTAATAGTATGATGTAATTAGACCTCTACATATGTAGTGCTAAAATTTTGGAGTAATGGTAATCAAGAGATTAAGATTTAAGGGTAGAATAGAACAACAAAATTTTCAATGTGACAAAACAGAGTTTACTGAGAAAGTCTAAATTGATCACATATTTTGAGGTTAAAAAAATGAACATTTAATTCCTCCTCTCATTGTCTAGTATTTATTCGCTTGCTAACAGATGGATCATTGCTTGTCCCTGCTCTCCTTTTCTGGAAAAAAAATAAAAAATAAAAAATGAGTGTTAGTGCAATTTAAGTTGCATGTGAATAGCATTTATTATTTCAAGACATGAGAGTGCAGAACAGAATCGTACAAATAACTCATGGATCTTCTAATGTTAAATTATCATCATTTAAATAGCATTTTTTTGGCTGCCAAGACATCTGCTGAAATTTAAGAAACCTTACCTTGCTAGGTGATATCTCATTCATACACTTTCTCCAAGGGCATTTCACAATTTAAAATGGGAAACTCAATAATATATTAATATTTTAGTTAAATCAAAATCATGTTTTAATTTAATATGGTTAATGTTACTAACTATTTTCAATTCCTCATTCAAATGGAAACCACGCAATATACTGGTTATGGCATGAAAACAAACAAGGTCCATAAAATTATAAAATTCCCTAACTACTCTAGTATATGGTGTTTTACAGGGGCAACAAAATGTAAATAATGAAGTTATTTAATTTATTGTTCGACACAAATTGCATAACACTAGAAAGAAGAACTAAGAGCAAACCTTGTTTCGTTGGTTCTTCAACTGCAATGGATGAGAATCAGGGGGTCTAATTCTGTTATTTTCTACACAACTTCCATCATTTACTCGATTTAGTCTGTGCTTACTATACTTTTTACCCTTTCTATCAATATCTTTGACCTTTCTATTCTTCCTCTCATGATCTCTAGATTGTTTCTCAGACTTGGGCACTGCAGTTAGTAGCACCTTCTGGGCCTGTGTATAATAAATCAGCATGACACATCTTTTTAATATAGCTTAATTACTCAGTTTTCTTTAATTCGAAGGAACAAGTATATTGGGTCAACAAGTTAACTGCATCAGAAAGGAGTTAAAGTATATTCTATTTCTAGGAGACAAAAGGGGGATACACGGCAAAGGATTTGAAAGAAAGTTAGTTATGGGCAAGATGCTAGAGGCCCATGATGGGGTTTGGAAAAGGGAAATTGGGTTATAAGGAGACAGAAGGGGGAGAGTGAGGCAGGGGAGAAAGCTTATGAGTAATTCAGCCTCTGGCTTGGACCACGAAACTGTGGTTCCTTGAGTTTTTTTTTTTACTTTAGCATAAATGATACTTGTATATCTAATTCTACCCTATAGTGAAATTAACCCTGAGCCTATATATCATTTTTTTTAAGTGATTGTTTACCAGTCTTCATTTCTTTTCATTGTTGTCCTTAACATATGCAGCCAAACAAAAAATAAATAAAAATCTTACAGAGGAAAGGTGGATTGGATCCATTTCCCTCATATGGAAAGCTTCACTTAGTACATCCAAGTCAAAAGGACATAAGCAAGCTTTTTTCTCACTCATATAGGTGTTCTTACAGAGCTGATCCAGTTCCATTCCTTCTCCCTTCCTGATTTTTGTGTCACCCACAACATTGTGAAGATAATGAGTCTCAGAAATTGACAACGGAAGTGACTTCTTGCAGAAGAATTCATAGTATGGCCAAAGCCTGTATTGATTTATGAGATCACGAGTACCCCCAAGTTCTCTATTGCCTGATTCCAAGAAATAACCTTACTAAACAAAATATTCAGCAAGAAATATGAATTCCAAGCATGACTACAAGTTGTCACAAGAGAAAGAAAGAAAAAGCTGAAGGCAATCTAAATCAAATTTCTGACAAATTAATCAACAGCACCTAATAACAGGGAATATAACATGTGACAATTTAGAAAGTATATCTGATCAAAGAAATCAAACTGAGCATCCCCAGAGGTCCAATACTCTCAAAGGCATTGAGAGAGGAAAAGCTTTTCACATTCATAAAAGGAGATACAGGCACTAGTTTATCAAATAAGCCACTCAGTATAAATATTAAATTAACATACATGATAGAGCCCAAACACTAATTTATCAAGTCATCAGTGACCTACCGAATGTGAAACGACAGGTAGGGAATTCACACTTTTAAATGTTAGAGCAAACCCTCAACAGAATTTTATAAATGATCATCTCATGATCATAAGGTCCATTAAGCTCTATTTGCTTTATCACTGACTTTAAACCTCACGAAATTCTCTGAACGTGAGGCTCTAATAAACAGTGAACCAAGAAATCTCGAAGTTCCGCAATAAACATTTCTGGGTACAGAAAGCTCTGCTACCTACTAATAACTTGTTTACAATCCATTGAATTAATGGGAATTGTAAAATATGTCTAGCTTGCATTCTATATTGTGTATTCTCCACGTTAAACCATATGTTTTCGGTGTTCCTGTTCAACTATTCTAACAAAGTAATCACAAGAACAAGAGGAAAAGTCCATTTCTGAGAACAAAGAATTATCTGGCACATTTGCAATAACAATAAAAATAGCAAAGCAATCGATCAATAGGTATATGTCAAGTTCATACCCCTCCCAAATTTTTTGCCTTCAAGATCCATCTTTCAGATGACATCACAAAATACACCTCAAATCCATCTACCAATCATAGTTCACAAATACATTCACCACCCGCTGGAAGTAACTGCCTGAAAATTTGGACAACTGAGGAAGTTATCATTTCCAACACATGCGTGATATATATCTTGGAATATGTACAAACATGCATCAAATTAACTCAGACAACGAATTGAACCCATCTGAGAAAATTGTCTTCCCTTCAAAAAATAAAACCCACCCCAATACCTAATACCGAAATGCATGGTTATCTAATAAAGTTTAAAACTTTACAAGTTTAAAATCAAGATCAACAGAAGCAAATCCCATCAAACACCCTTGGCCAAACAGAGCCCTGAAAATGAATAAGAGAAATACCTAAGAACAAGCAGAGCTAGGGATTAAAATGGCGAAGGTTACTGTTGCAAATTTTGAACCAAAACAAGATTTTTATCTGGGAACACGATTCCCACTTTTTGGTTTTGTAGCTTGGTAATTATAAAAGGGTAAAAAGACAACCTTGGAATGGGAAACGAGAACCCGTACCCGCTTTTGGAAATGGGCTTAGCTGATTTTAAATTTTTTGTATTTTCGGAAATGATGAAGGTTGTCCGGAGTAGCCCAATTGAATTATGTTTTATAAAATTTGAATCAAGTTTGACATTTGAATTTAAAATTTTGAATTTATGTATTTATTTAATATAGGTAATTTTTAATATTTAATTTCTTTTTTAAAAAAATTAGTTTGATTTAAATTTTATTTTATAATAAAGTAATTTAAATAGGTTAAAAAATTAACTTTTAAAGAACTTAAATTTATATAAACTAATATGCTTAAGCTTTTTAATGATGAAAATATATGATATTAAAATATAATTAATAATAATAATTCTAAAACAAAATAAAATTATTTTTAAATAAAAGTTTTTTTAGAAATATTTTTAAGTCAGAGATTTTTAAAGATTAATTTTTTTATCATTTAAGTTATTTTATCTACATTATTTATTTTCAATTTAATATTTTAATTTTTATGATTTCCTTTTAACTTTATTTGATATAATAAACATTTTATTATGAATAGTTATAATATTTATTTTAAAAAAAAGTATACATTATATTTTTATTTATTAATTTAATGATGTCCACGTAGTGTCCAAGAAAATTACTAATAATAATTATAAAAGAAAGAGGAGATTTGTTGATTTTATAATTATTGCGCTTGATGAATAAAAATCGGTGTACAGCTTATTAAGAGGGTACTGAAAAATACGAAAAGTTGAAATTTAAGAGATTAGGTAAGTTTGAGAAAGTGAAAATATAAAGAGGATAAAAAACACACAATGAGTAATTCTATTGGGCAGAAAAATTTTTAACCAAAAAGTAATGCTATATGTTGATGTGAGCCAATTTTATTGTTTTCTTGCAAGAGCATTGGTTTTTGAAAACAACAATGGTTTTTTTAGAGTTAAATGAATATTTTTAAAATTATTTAACTTTGCACAAAAAATTAAAAATTTGACTGTTTTCTTAAGAAATATTATAGAATACTATTAATTTTTATGCATAAATAATTTGTAAATCTAAATACAATTGGAGGTAGCTTACTATATTATTTCGTGCATTTTTTTAAAAACAAAATATGTGTTTTTGTGCTTTTGCTAATTTATGAACATTTATTATATTATTTATTGGACAAGATGAAAAAAATGGATAATAACATCTAAACAAGAAGAATGTACAATGTTATGGCACATCATCATTCATCAAGTGGCACAAGCTAACACACTTTAGTTAATAAGTTCACGGAATTATAACAATAATTAGAGTTTAAAGACCAATCCGACAGAAATACAAGTTGGAAGTTCCTTTTGTAAAATGTATAAATATCAAAACAAGTGTATATAATTTTTCTATATTTAATATTATAATTTTTTTATATATAGATAATATTAAATTGTCCCTAAATGATAGTTGATATTCATTAGTATTGTGTTTGTAAACGATTTGCTAATATAATTTTTTAATAAATCAAAATAGGTATTCATTCAATAAAAATTTGACTATTCAGATTGAATTGGCTAAAAAGAAATATTTTATATATTCGTATTTAGTCAATTTGATTAAATTGGTGTTTTTTTTTTAAAAGTTGTTACAAAAGTTATATCATTTTTAAAATATAATAAAAAGATTCATTGAATTTGATTTTAAATAAAATATCATTCTTGAATGATGAAATTATATTGACCCATTAATTAAAAAAAGATTCAAAAAACTTAAAATTAAATAAATTTAATTAGATAGAAAAAAAATCTCACCAAAATCTGAAATAGTGTACTAAGTTGGAAAGAGACAATAAATATATTCTTTCCTATAGACGAAATCATGCTCCTTAGATTTAAGGGGATGTTAAGAATTTGTATCCATTAAAAAAAAACAGAGAAAAGAGAATCTAAAATTAGGATGTGGCTTGCTTCATTCTCAAGAAGTTTAATAATAATTAAATCTCTTAAAAATTGTAAAGCCTTGATTAATATGTGTTTTAATTCAATAATGTATAGGTGAATTCTTCTTCTGTTTTGCTTAGATCAATTTAGGATGGGGTTGAGAGATTTCTACTTAACTAGGCAAATGTTAAAAGGGGCTTATAAAGAAGAACCAAGTCCAAAAATTGTGATAGTTTAGAATGGCCACCGATGCCATTAGAAGAGATTTAGAGCACTTGACACTTGTTTTTCATTCTACAAATGATGAAGTATCCTAATTGACACAATTGTAAGTTTGAGAAATGTTGTATCTTAAAAGTTTATAAATCACTTTTGAAACAATGATTTGCATTTTGAAATATTAAACTGATCAAGTAGTAAAGTATGTTTTAGATTGTTTGAAAACATAAATTGGAGATAATACAAAATTTTCAAGTGATGATTAGCCATGACTAATTTTCAAAGTATAGAGCTAAAAAAAGGGTTTTCACAAAATTACCATAACTCTCACGAGTATGCTAAAAGACAGTTTTGGATGGACATTCTAAAGTTTCATTAGTTTCCTTTAGCCATTAATTCCCAAACTTCTCCTCACCTCATCTGATTTCGTTCTAATAACAAAATCCAATGATTTTATTTTACTTCTATTTCTATTTTATTAATGTTTCTAATTTCATTAACATATTATTGTTTTTTTTATATGGAGAAAAAATTTAAAGAGAAGATAAATGATAAATTATTTTTTTTACAATTTATTGTTAAAAAGAATGTATTAAATAACTTCTATACAACTATAACATAATAGTTAGTAGGTAGATAGAATGGATGCATTTATTATAATGATTTTTTTCTTTTTCTTCTAAGGAGGAAAAAAGTTTTATGCAAGTCTTATCATAATTTTTTTATATTTTTTTCTTTTCGTTTTCTCTCAAACTAAAATGAAGTTTGAAAGAGCTAATAGAAATTGTATTAACAATAGTTTATATTTTTATACATACTTTTAAAATTTATTTTAATATAACTTATTAAAGTAATTTTTTGACTTAATTCAATTAATTTTGATACAAATTTATTAAATAAATATTTAATTAATTATTTTCTTAAATGTCTTTAAAGTTTTGTTTGAATAAGATAATTTTAAAATATTTGAGAGGAACAATTTTGCAGTAAAAATATTATTTTCTCTTATTTGATGTTTTTGTCTTTTAATAGAAGGAAATAAATTAGTGGACGATACTCAAAATAAATTTTATCCCACCAATGCCATAGGTAGCAAGGAGCTGTAGTTTTTTATTGATAAAATAAATTTAAAATGTTATAAAAATATTAAGAAAATATAATATTAAAAATTTAATTTTTATAAAATTAATTTTTTATTATGATTGTAAAAAAAATATTTTATACAGAATTTTTTTTTCATTCATAAAAAGAAGTGGAGGAAACTTTTTATTTTATCCATTCAAACAATACATTTTTTTTATTTTCATTCTTTTTTTTTTACCTTTCAATATATTTTTCTTTATTTCTTTCTATCTTGTTTTATCTTTCATATATCTAAATAAAGCACACAAAAAATATTAGATTTTAAAGATACACAATAAAAAAGTATATATAACAATTTTGTATTGAAAATATAGAATATTACATAATTTAATATATTAATAATATAAAATATTATTATTTTTAATAATTTTTTACTATTTAATAATTTTTATTTAGTCTCATATACATATTAACAAAGTTAAATCTTTAAAAAAAATCAACAAAACCTAATGTTATCCAACTACATTTTGTTTTAAAAAATTAAATTAAAAGTTGAAGGCACCATTTTACAAAATGTAATAAGTTTGAGGCAGATGTATGCACTATTTTTAACGTTCAATATTATATTTATTTTTTTTACTATATAATCTTAAAATAGTTCTTAAATGATAACTAATAGTCATTAATTTTATTTTTTTTAAACTAGTATTTGATAGTATCTTCATTTTTAGTAAATTAAAATAGGTATTATTCAATGAAAATAATAATAAAAAAATCAATCTATTTGGATTGAGTTAGCTTACAATAAAATAGAATAAAATATTTAATTAATTAAAACTAGTCTAACACGATTAAATGTGGTATTATTTTGAAAAATTTTATCAAAAGTGATATAATTTTATATAAATTTCTAAACAATGGTTGAAAAAACTCATGTGAATTTTGTTAATTCAAATTAACCCAGTATAATCAAATTGGTATTCTTTTAAAAAAATTTACTAAAGTGATATCATTATATATATAATTTTTTTCCTAAAAATACTATTAAGAAACTCATAAATTTCGTTGATTCAAATTAACTGAATTTGACCAAATTGGTATGTTCTTTAAAAGAATTTATTAAAATAATATTATTTTATATTGATTTTTAAAATATAATTAAAATATTACTTTTATTTAAAATAAATTTTGAGTGTGTTTCATCAATTTAAAAAAACTTAAAATAAAGAATTTGTATTAGATTGAACAAAAACCATTTCTCACATAAAGTTTATGAATTCATTTTCATGAACTTGGTTTGACGGTATTTGTCTAATCTATTATAACTCTGAAATGAATTGTTAAAACATCTAAAGTTATAACTAAGTAGATGCATATTGTTTTCATAATTAAAATAAACATTTATTCAAAACAAAAAAAAATTATTTTAACTATTTTTAAGAGATTTATTATTATGTTGAATAAAATTAAATTAAGGACCTAGAATTTCTAAAATTAAAATATAAATTATAATTAACTAAAAATAGAAATATTTTTCATTTGAAATGATCTCTAAAATTATTATTATTTAAGATTTAAAAGTCATAAATTGTATATAAAGACAAATACAATATAATTTGCACAAGCTAATTGTTTTAGCCACCAAACTTATTTTCTTATTAATATTAAAATAATTTTTTAATACATTAAATAGTGCACAGTAAAAATCAAGGTATAATAAATTCTGCTGATAATAATAAAATATCACAAAAAATTTAATATATTATTAATATTAAATACTATATTTTTCATAAAATCTTACTATTTAATAATATTTTTAACACAGAGACACTAAAAAAAACTGTTAAAATATTAATTCAAAAACACACTTCCAATGACATTAAAAATTTACACACGAGTTTGTGTTATCTACTCATGCAAGAAAATACTACGTTTGCAACGATTATATCTAATAAAGATCCACTTTATATTTCTGGTTTTTCAATAAATATAATATTCGTCACATATTTAGTATTAATAATAATAAATTAGAAAAAGAAAAATAGGGGGCCAAAAATATTAATTCATTAAATTGGAAGAACAATTAAACACTTTCCATGTCATAAACAGTAAATTCAATATTAGAAACAATGAACCTTCATCTAAGAGTGTATATATAATCAAGATAGGTGTGGGAGTAGCCAAAAGAACATCATCGTTCTGAATTGCCCTAATTTTTTTTTATCTCTTATTTTGCTTTTTTTTTAGCAATTAGCAACAAGCGCGTGCAGGGGAAGCAATCATGGGGCGTCGAAAAATCGAGATTGCGATGGTGCAGGATGCGAACACAAGACAAGTCACGTTCTCGAAGCGTCGAACGGGTTTGTTCAAGAAAGCGAACGAGCTATCAATCCTGTGCGGCGCAGAAGTTGCTATTGTTGTGTTCTCTCCCGGGAACAAACCTTACTCGTTTGGGCACCCGGGAGTTGATGCTGTTGCGGCCCAGTATCTTCAAATTGAGCCCAAATCTAATGAGGCCCAAACCAAGGCCTCTTCTAAAAGGGCTAAAAATAAAAATAATATGGAGAAGTTGAATCGAGAACTTGCCCATTGGAAAGAGCAATTGCATGAGGAAGAAAAGATGGGGGATTTGCATGATGTGGCTATCAATCAAGCCATGGGAACCCAACGCTTTGAACTTCAACAGCGCTTTGCTTCACTTCAACGGCTACGATCGAGTGTGAGGGGTCGTATCGATGAGATTGAAGCAGCCGAATCTTTGATACAATTATCGGAGAAACCGGCGAAGAAAGCAAAAAATCGTGTCCTTAGAAAGAGAGAAAAAAATTGATATGGTTTACCATACCTCATCCCTAAAAATAATGAATAAAGTTTTTTTTTTAATTTTAGGTTTATTTAAATGTCATGTTAGATTCTGATCAATCTCAATTAAATTTGGTGATTTTTTTTTTACCTTTCTCCGACAGTAATAAGAAATATTATATATGATAAAAAATACTCTTATTTCAAGTATTTTGGTTATTTTCACTTTTGGCGTTTTAATTATTGTATGGATTATTTATTTTATAAAAATAATTTATTGATTAATTTAGTCATTAGTGCATGTATTGATCCAAGTAATTTTTTTCCAGTCTATTGTGTTTTATTTCTTTTAACTGAAAATGAAGGAGGAGAATAAGAGTGGATGATAAATAGGTCAATAAAAAGTATTTTTTTTAACTTGAGTCTAAGAGCATATATTAAAAACTATATATAGTAATTTTTTATTGGAAATAAAAAATATAATAAAATTTGATGCATTAATAGTATCAAATAATATATTTTTTTAAATTACTATTTATTATTATTTTTATTATGTATTTTTTTTTTAGGAGAAGCAATTTTGAATTTCTTTGATGTGATTAGGTGAAGAAGATGTAAGCAAAGGCCTTGAATCTTGATGTGCAATTTCAGTGCAATATATGTGCAACATAGGAAAATGGCTAGAAGGAAGGTTTCTTAAATACATTTTAACTTGTGCATGGAAATATATAGAAGTAGCATATGAGACCTAGCAATACGTTTTCCATTGTTAGGAGACACAATTTTGTATTTCTTTTGATGTGATTAGGTGAGGAAGATATAATGAAAGGCTTTGATATCCGATTTTATTATGAGTGCAATATATGTGCAACAAGGGAAAAAGGGGTAAAAAGAAGGCTATACCCAAGACATCTTACCATATGCATGAAAAAATCATTAAATAGTCATGTTACATGCTAAAAATTAAAAATTAAAATAATAATCTAATGACAGGATGTTAAAAAAATGTCTTATGTTGATATATAATGTCTACTACTTTGTTTGGATCTAGTGTTTTGGTAAAGGTTGAAAAAAATTAAAAGAAGTGATTAATCAAATACAGCATGTTTTTTAGGCAATTGGATAGTTTCCTAAATGAAATTAGGAAAAAAATGGGTAGGTTTTACAAAAGAAATTTCTCACAATCTATAAGGCTTTGTTTTCTTTTTTTGAATAAACAGAGATCGAATGAAGTTCATTCAAGTTGAAAAAAAAAAAAAAAACCCACAGTCACTTAACCTTTAGCATATTAGGATTGATGAAACTTATTTTTAATTAGTGAATAAACAGAGATTTTTTAGCTGGATAAAAGTTAAAAGTTGACTTTTATTTTTCTTAAAAAAAAATAAAAAATTTGAAAAAAAATTACAAAATGAATAAATAGAAAGAAAAAACTTAATATTCTTTCTTCCGTAGTAGAGTTTCTAGAGCTTCATGATTTTCCCCCTATTGGAGCATGTGATAGATGAGACACAGAGATAACAAATTTGACTAACTATTGTCATGTTTTTTTTTTTTAAATATTACTAATGCTTTTAACTTCTATTTAATATCATATAATAAAAATTTAAAAAATAATAAATAATAATTTTATTAAAGTTAAATTATTTCACATTCTTTATACATTAAATTTTATATTTTAATTATATATAAACTTTTTATTATTCTTTATATGCGTTCAAAATATATTAATTATATATTTTTAATTTTAATATTAAGAAAATAACAATAATTTTAAAATATTAAAAATTTAATATTAAATGCATCTAAATTATGACCGTCTTAATTATGGCTGGTTTTCTGGAGAAGGCAAAGGAGCTACAACTGAAAATCTTTGTAATTCCATGGATGAGTGTTTCTATTCAGCACCTATTAAGTAAGCACCAACCACAACTTGTTGAACCTCTTTATGATCTTATTCACCTTATTTTTGTCAAGAAACCTCTTAAACATATGGGGAGTTATTTAATAATTTATAGACAACATGGGAAAATAAATAAGCCTTGGTCTAGCACTTTGGCCAATTTTATAAATTGTTTTAAAAAATTACAATTAAAAATATTACCCTTAATAAATTATGGATAACCATGGAGTCATATTATTATTTAAAGACCATCTTAACTCTGTGCTTTAAATTTATATATTATTATGAATTTAATTATTTATTATATTATCATCAAACATTTTTTTTAAATAAAATATTAAAGCATGTTTGATTACATTTTAAAAAATAATTTTTTATTTTTTAAAAAATAAATATAATATAAAATTGTATTATATTTTAAAAAAATATTTGTTTTTCAAGTTTTTTAAAGTTATTTTTGGTAAATTCAAAATAAAAAACGGTTAGAAAGGCGTAACTAGCTAAATAAATATGCTTAAATAAGTATGTTTAGTTTAGTAAAATATTGATGCTGGAAGTTGCTAGTATATAATAAAAACAGGGTACATTGAAACCACTTGCATATCACTAAAATTTCATATATATAAACCAATTTCCAGATGTATTTGTTGAGTGATTTGTGTATCTATACCAAATTCATATGCTTAGATTTGAAATCTTTGCTTCAACATTGTATATGCAGGTAGATATTTTTTAAAGTAACCTTTTATTTCACAACTATATCTATTCATAATACTTTCAAAATTAAGATGAATTTTCGATGAATTATGATTTTTTTTGTTAATTTTTTAGTTATAAAGCTAATTCCATTATTTCAAACAAAAATAGACACTTTAATGTAACTAGCAAGAATAATATTTTTATCTAAACAAATAAAGAAATAAATAACTTACTGCCAACTAATATTTGTAATATATGTAAAACCTCGTATTAATTACATTTAAAATTAATGACACTGAAAATTTTATATATTATTAAATTATTTCACTAGAAATATTATTAGGCATTTTTTATTTTTTAAATTATTTCACTGAAAATTTAATTTATTTTTTTATTTAATTGGCTTAGTTATACTTTTAGTTCTTTTATATATATATATATATATATATATATATATATATATATATATATATGATTTTGATACTTTCAATTTTAATTGTCTATACTTAGTTTATTTAATTTTTTGAATATTTAATTAAATTTTTTATTCCAAAATTATAATTTTTATTATATTATATATATTTTATTTATTATTATTTAATGTTACATATTATTTAATATCACATCTTCATTATATTTTTATTAATTATTAAATAAAATTTTAAAGTAAAAGATATAATTTGAGTATTTAAAAAATTAAATAAACTAAATATGAATAATTAAAAGTAAAAAAAATCAAAATTGCACATAAAGTATAAGAATAAAAATGTAATTAAGGTTATTTAATTTTATTAACGTCTTTGTTTCATCTTTATATATATATATATATATATATATATATATATATATCTAACCTTTTAAATTATTTCATCATTTAATATTCTATATTTCTTTTAATAATTAAATTAATGCAAAACAAAAGTTTATTTCTTTATGTAAATTTAATATTTTTATAAAATGTATAATTAAACATAAATAAAAAGTGTTTAATATTATAATAATTAATAATAAAATATAAACATATTAAATATATTATAAATATGTACATTAGATACTAAATCTAATTAACATTTTATATTTAATTATTTTAAATCTGTATTATATACCGATCGTTATACGTATTTTAATGTTAACCTGATTCAAATATTTAATTATTTTTTTTATGATTAAATCAATAAAAGTATTATGTGTACATCTTATTTTTATATACTGATCGTTGTACGTATAAGTTAAGCCATGAGAAATTATTCTTATACTGAATTCACCTTTGTTCTTATTCTCCTTCTTCCCTTTTTAAGGTTAGATGCTGGCAGTGCTTGGCATCTTAAGGTAGGTTTGTTTTGTTTTGTTGGATCTTTAACTCTGTTTATTAGCAAGTAAGTAAATAAATAAATAAATAAATAAAAATATTAATAAGTATGTGTATAAATTATTTTAAGAAAAATACAAAATTATTTTATCTTTATTTTAATGTAAGTTTTTGTTTTTAAACTTTTTTTATTTTATAAGTTTTATTTTTGTTTAAGAAATTTTGTTGGTTATAATGACGTTAAATTTTCCTAGAATCACACCACAAATTTAAATTTTCTTTTAAAAACTATTAAAATTGACTGAAATGTTTCTCAAAAAACTAGGCTATAATCTAACATATAAAAATTTGCCTGATTTCAACTATTAAAATGATAGATTGCAGTATGAACATTAAGAATCATTTTTATAAAATTTTTTAATTTTAAATACTTTCTTTTACTCTAATCATTTAATTATTCTACTTGTTTTGTTTGCCTTTAAATATGAAATTTTTATATTTTGATAACAAACTTTTAAACTTTCTTTTCTTCATTGTTAACTCGTAACATGCCAAAAAATTGTTATATATAAGTAATTAGATGGGTTAAGATAGCCCAATTCATAAGTTTATAAAAAGTTGTAGTTTTTAGTGATATTTTAAGGAGATATATTCACTACCATTGTAACAAAGGATTAACTTGATATATAAGTGAAAAAATAGACAGAAAACAAAATTGGAAATAATTAATATTTAAAATGAAAATATAAAATGCTGAATTTAAACGCTCGAGATAAAAGAAGAAGAAGATGAGTGTGTGTACCAAACAAATACGAAAACTGAGTGTAGGGGATAAATAAAATGGATACAGTGTTGATGATGAATGCTCTTAACCCTAATGCAGAGTTGATGATGAGAAGTCACAACTACAAGATGTTCATCCTGTTTGGGAGTCATGCACCCTTATGTTGCATGGACACTATCGAGTAGGATACGATAAATATAAAAACATGATTTTTTTTTTAAAGTATAGTAAAATATATTAAATAAACTAAATTTTTTTATAGTGATTTTTTTAACATCGCTGTATTATTATTAATTTTAATTTTTTGAAAAATATATTATTAAAAATAAATTTCAATAAAATAATATATTCAAACTATAATATCATTTTTATTATTTAATGAAAAAAATTGTATATTAAGAGATTTAAAGGTGACTTGGAAAGGCAATTTACGGCAAATGGAGCTCTCAACTTTGCAAATATTACGGAATATTGTATTTTTCTGGACTTGTGGAGATGAATTTACTTGGTATGAAGCTAGGGAGAGGTGGTGGTTGCAAGGGGAAGAAGCTGAATTAAGGCCTTAGATTTGTAGCATATGGATAACGAGATTCCTTGAAGTTGTCGTTGAAGTCCTCACTAGACATCATTAATTTCATCACCATCACCATCCCTTGTTGATGTCTGTGGAAAAGACCATGGTCCCACCCCTTCCACTTCTCTAACTGCATGGATTCATCAGTCAGATATGAGTCAGTGATGCAAAATGGTTGGAGGCTATGAGTGATGGGTGTTGGAATTAATTAATGATGCCTCATGTCTCATATGCAGTGTAGATGTAAAATTTAGGAGCAAGTCCCCATTGATGTCAAAATCACTTGTTGAAATACATGTACTCTTCTTCCAGTATGTTCCAAATGATGTTTTAGAGAATAACACCTATTTTTAAATTTATTATTTATTATTAATATATATTTAAAATATAAAATTTGTTTTCTCCTTTTCATAAGTGATTTTGTATCATAGGTGAAAGAAATTGTGTGAACAAAATATAAGATGTTATCAAACATTTTACAATATCCAAAAATGTTACCTGCACACCAATGGCCCCTCTTTGGAACTGTTTCTGCACCAACAGCATTTTCATTACAAGTGAGTACCCATAGATCCTCAGAATTAACCCTCCTCAAGCTACCTAGGCAAAAAGGACAGGACTCTGACCGTGTGTTCCTGAAGAATAACATAAGGGTGTTACATACGATAAACCAATTTTATTTTGAACATATATTAATAGTAAGGGTTACTAAATGTGCACTGCATCAATAATATGATATTTTAAATACCACTTGCGATAGCATTTGATACACATGACACTACATCAATTAGGCAAAGCCATTTTGTTGCATGTCTCTAAGCATACCCCACACTCATCTTCTTTTTCCAAATCAACCTTGATTAGCTTCCCATCTCCTTCATCATCATCTTGACATAACTTGAACCATCTATGCTAAAGTGACCTTTCTTACAAATATCCTACTTCTCTAAATTTAAAAAAAAGGAAAAATTCAAAGCATTTAATATTAATTCATTAAATTGGAAGAATAATTACATACTTTCCATATCACAAATCATAAATTCAATATTAAAAACAATTAACCTTCGTTCGAGAGTGCATATGAAAAACACGGCATGGGTGTGGGGTAGAAAAAAAAAAAACCCAAATTTCCAATAACTCCACTTTTTTCAATCTCTTGTTTTCTTATTTAAAATTTTCTTTTCGTTATTTAGCAATTGGCAGCAAGAAGCAGGTGCAAGAGATGGGTCGTAGAAAGATTGAGATTGCGAAGATAAAAGACACAAACACAAGACAAGTCACCTTCTCAAAGCGTCGAACCGGTTTGTTCAAGAAAGGTAATGAGATATCGATCTTGTGTGGCGTAGACATTGCTATTGTTGTGTTCTCCCCTGGGAATAAGCCTTACTCCTTTGGGCACCCTGGGGTTGATGCTGTTGCGGCCCAGTATCTTCAAATAGAGCCCAGATCCAATGAGGCCCAAAGTGGGGCCCACAATAACATGGAGAAGCTGAATCAAGAACTTGCTTATTGGAAGGAGCAATTGCATATGGTTGAAAAGAAGGGGGCATCGCATTTTGAGGCCATAAATCAAGTTTTGGGGACCCAACACTTTGAGCTTCAACAAAGAATTGATTCACTTCAATGGCTTAGATCAAGTGTGAGGGATAGTATTGGTGACATCGAGGCAGCGGAATCTTTGATTCTCTTAGCACAAAAGCCAGTGAGAGGAGTGAAAAACCGTGTCCCTAAAAAGAAAGGAAAAAATTGATGCCCTGTTGAATGTAATTATTTGCAAACTTTGCATTAATTGCCTGTTGCCTATTTTTTTTTCTAAAGTTTCAGACTTGTATAGAAACCTTATTAGATTCTGATTAAACTCAATTGAATTGGGTGGAGAACTTTTATTTTAGCTTGTTTTGATAAAAATGAGAAATACAGTATATGATAAATAATAGTCTTGTTTGAAATAATTTTGTTGTTTGCATTTTAAAATTTGTGGACAATTGTTTTGATTAATGATGTTTTATTGTAAGAATTGGCAATATATCAGTCATTAACGGATTTTTTAGAAAATTATTTATTTTATAAAAACAATTTATTGATCAATTAGTCATTAATACATGTATCAATCCAAGTAAAAATGTTTTCATGGGTTATGTTTGTTCGTTTTAGTTGAAAATGAGGGAAATGTATAAGGGTGGATGAAAAACAAGCTGTAGAAAAATAGGTCCATTGCCTATTTTGTCTTCATGTGAGGGAAAAGAGAAGTATAATACGATACGAGACCTATCAAGACATTTTCCTTTTTTCGGAGATGCAATTTTTGTATTTCTTTTATGTGTTTGGGTGAAGATGTAATAAGATGAGCCTTGGTTCTATATGTCCAATTTCATTATGAAAAAAAAAAAAAAAACATGAATTTTAGTCATTTGAATACTTTGTGAATGAAATTAGAAAAAAAAAAGAGAGGATATATCTGACGAAAGAAATTTGACTCTTCTTCCACTAAGGTTTTGTTTGTTTTTCTGATGCACACGTCCCAAACTGGAGTTTATAAGTACTTATTTAAAATTTTACTCAAATATCAGAATAATAAAATAAACTTGTAACGCACCATTCGGCTATAACGCCAATTTAGAGAAATAGTTTATGTTGAAGCCATAAAATTAGGGAGCAAGTTCCTATAGATGTCAATATCAATTGGTAAAATAGATGCAGCCCTTCGTCCTTACATGAAAGTAATTAAAAAGGGTTAAGTAAAAGGAATACAAATAATAGGTGATTGTGTATCCTTAAAAAAAAGGGGGTAGGTGAAAGAAATTGAAAATGATTGGGATGTGTTTGAACAAATGTAAGTCTAGATTCATTGTCAATTTTTACTCTCCAAAGAAGCCAAATTAGGTCACAACTGGTGATGATGTCAAACACTTGACTGTATTAAAAAAGGAAAAGTCGTGAATCAGTCCACACATTTTTTGGGGTACATTAACCACACAAATTAAAATTGTCCTTGAATCTGTGCATCTTAGATATACCCCGCATATCATACCATGTCATATAATTTACTTCAACAATTATGCATATTCGTTATCATTATTTACAATCTTGCATATTATATCATTTCCAAAAATGTTACTTGCACACCAAACGGTCCACATAATTTACATAAATGAATAATGATTCTTTAACCAAATATATAAATGGATTAAGTTATTTGTCTGCCAATCAATGTGTACCCCTTGATAACTAATAATTTGGTTATCTTTAACCGGTACATTTTGACATAAACCTTTTGGTCTAAAAATAACAACTGTTTCCCATTAACTCACATTGTCAGTATCATTCTTTTTCAACAAGTAACGTACATGTAGACTTAATAGAATAGCGGATCATTATATATATAATTAACTTCTTAGAAAACTTGGTTACTGCAACTCATACAACAAGTTATATATAAGTTAACATTAATATCGGAGATATATCAGAAGCCAAGAGTGTTATCCTCGGCTAGAATTCCATAAATTTATCTTAGCAGAGCTGTGTTTTACATGAACATGATCAGAGATATTTCTTACCAGACTCTATTGACATTTGCAGTCCGGATTTCCCTATCTGTACATTTTTTTCCTCCTTATTTAGTTTAAAAAATCAAATAAGGTATTCATAATACATTAAGAAAAGTGCATCTGGGAGATCTTTAGGTAGGCTATTGATATAAAGGTTGAAACGCAACAAGTCCTCCTTGGAAACTGTTTCTGCATCAACAACATCTTCATTACAAGTGAGCACCCATAGATCCTCAGAATTAACTCTCCTCAAGCTACCACGGCAAAAAGGACAAGACTCTGACCGTGTGTTCCTGCAGAACAACATAAGGGTGTTACATATGATGAAACCAATTTGATTTTGAACATATAATAGTAAGGTAGTAATGTGTAATGCATATGTAATGTAAATATACCACTTGCGGTAGCATTTGATACACATGGCATGACAGCAATTAGGCAAAACCATTTTGGTGCATGGCTCCAAGCATATCCCACATTCATCTTCCCTTTCCAAATCAACATTGACTAGTTTTCCATCTCCTTCAATCATCTTCTTGCCATAACTTGAACCATCTATGCTAGAGTGCCCCTTCTTACAAACGTCCAACTTCTCCACACTACCATGAAGCTTCTGGAGAGATGGCAGTATAACAGCTGAAGTCCAATTTTTATCCACAAAAAAAGTGAGCATTAATTAAAATTAAAGGCAGCCACAAAAATGTTCACTTTTTATGTGGGTTGTGAAATAACTAAAATAAAAGGTGCTTTTTCAGAGTCAAAGACTCACGCACCATAAAAGTCCCGGATGGTTGCTTTCCTTCCATGAGAAGTAATGTTCGATCTACCATCATTGGGTACCTTTAGTAACAACAACAATAACAACAAAGGAAAAACAAGGGTCAATTACAAGTACTGGGAAATCATACCAAAACAGAAAAAAGAATTGGACAAAACCATTTGTGTTGTGAATTCATCAACATATTATTACAAGAATTATAAATATCCATGCCAGGAACTGACTCACCTTGTATATAAGTATGTGAAAGAGGTCAAGATATCTATGTAGAAAGCATGCACAAGAACAATCCATCCACTGTAGCAACAACAGAAAGAGAGGAGCCAAGTGGTTGTAAACCAATTTCATTTGGAGAAGAGCCCCACCCTTGGCTCTGGGAATTGCAGCAGCCCTAGAGAGCACAGACCCAGTATTGAAATTCAGAGAGGCAAACCACAAAATCAAGTAATTAAAAAAAAAAAAGTAATTATAGTCCAAAACAAAGAATTTCACAATCAATTCAATCACCAAAATCCAGTTTGAGCCTTAATGAAAAAAGCATAAAATTTCCCACTTCATCTGCCACTAGAAAACATTTAAAGATGATAAATCAGAATCAGTAACAGACATGTACTTGTCAAGTGATGATTGATGACTACCCATTTCAAGTCAAACCTGATTCTCTACAAAGAACCCTTTTTTAATCTCATTTTCAAATTTCATAAACCAAAAAAGTAAACATAAAAAGAAGAAAAGATGATAAAAAAGAAGAAGAAGTAAGAAACTGACAAAGCATTAGCATGGTGAATATCAGCCTCGAGCAGTTTGAGAGAATCATGGTAAGGTAAACGGGAAAACTGGTATGGCATGACTTCCATGTTTGTGGGGTGTTGATGGATTTCAAGGTTGAGAAGGCTTAATCATAATCGAATAGTAACAGATGAGGATGAGAAAAATAAAGGAAATTAAAGGGTTCGGTTTGGTTTTGGATTGAGGGCAGGAAGAATGAAGTGGTAGGAAACAGAATTGTGTTGTGTTGTGTTGATTATGTGGAAATTGGAATGCTGAGTCATATCATATGAGATGATGCAACCCACACCTGACCCCTCATCAAATACATAAAATATTAATATTTACTGTGCTCACGCAATTATATGTGGGGAAGGAATCAAATGGCATCCTAATGTATTAAACTCCATAATTTCTCTGTATGATACTAAGTTATTTTATTAAGGTTATTATATGACCCTATTTTAAATTTAATTATCTTATATATATTTTTTCAAATTTCTAATTTTATATGTTTAAAGAATTTTAATAAATTGTTACATGATTTTTTTTTTACTTTTTTATTTTTGAAATATTTATTTTAATTGATTTTTGTTTATTTCATTGTTAATTTATTTCATGTATATATTTTTTGAATTTTTTATGCTTCTAATCCTTTGAAATTTTGTTACTTGTTTGGAAATTTTATTATTTTTTAATCTATTACATATAATTTTTTAATTCATAAACTTTTTATGTTATAAAAAAATATAATTTAGTGGAAGCAATAAATTAAAGTATTTTTAAGATATATATATATATATATATATATATATGACAATTTTAATAAATGAAATTTTACACGCATAAATTATAATTAAGAATGTTAACATAAATGTTTATAATTTATGCTATGCTTCACATGTTCATCACCCTTATACAAATATTAATATGTGTAAATTTTATGTTTGTTTTTATTAATTTTTGTAACGTACATTAAAATAAATGCAATATCGCTATAGTTTTTAAACTAAATTAATACATTTTAAAAATTATTTTTAAAAAAATTCGTTTATACATACCTATATTGACTTTGCATTGTAATTTTCTTTAAAATGTTTGGAGGAAGTGAATTTTGCGGTTGTCAACTTCCTACCATCTTGAACTTTTTTTAATCACATTAAGAATTCGATTCTCCCAAAATCGAATTTTCAATGAACTTTTTTTTCAATAAAAATCTATTTATGTTTTTTTAAATTAGAAATATAAAATATAAAATTATTTTAATTTTAAAAAATATTACGAGTGTTGTTAATTATAAATATAAGAAATAGTTTAGTTCGTTTAAGTACATGAAAATTGACTCCTATGTTAAACAAACCTTTATTCACGATTTAGGATAACCAAAAAACTTATCATACAAAATTTAATATGAGCTAATTCATTCCCCTCTTAATTGTGATCCAAAGGTAAGAGATAAATGTTATCGGTACTATTAGCTAAAAAATTAAAAATTATAAAAATTAATTATTTATGTAATAATAGGAAAAATATTTAACACGTTTATTTTAATAATTAAAAATATTTAATAAAATATATTAAATATTTTTAATTGATATTTTTAAATAATTAAAGTCAGTTTAGAGATAGTTTATGTGCATTTATTGGTCTAGTTAACTTCTAAAGTCTCATTCAAAGATTAACTTAACTCATTAAATATTATTTAAGAATTTCAACTATAATTTCTATCATTCCAAGATTAATTTGATCATTATTATATATTTATATTCATATCATATAACTATACATGTATTTAGTAAAAATATATTTTTTTTCTATGAGAATTAAATAATAAATTAAAATTATATAATTGTATATAAATTACCAAAATTAAGATATTTTTAAAGTTACTTGATCACTTAACAATTCATATAATATGCTGAAATTATCTCAGAATTTTCATATTTTAATTATGACTGTTTATAATAAGATTTAATTATTAAAATATTTTATTGATTTATCACGTTAAAAAATATTATTAGTTGATATGTTTGCTCTGCACACACAAGAAAACATAATAACTCTTTTAAGTAAACATACGAATATTAATTTTAATTTTTTTTTATCATTTATATATAATTGTATAATTTAGATTTATAGTTCTTATAATATTAAAATGAGAAATGTTCTCATTAGATATATTTCCCGTACACATGTTTTTTTTTAAATATTATTATAATTTTACTCACACAGATATACATTATATATATATATATATATATATATATATCTATATATATATATATATAATGTATTAATCGAGAGAATATTTTAACATGAGAGTAAAAAAATGTTTATTAAATCTAATCATTAATTTAAATTAAAATATTAAGTCAGATAAATTTTTAATTTTATTATTTAATATTTGAATTTCTCAACTAATATTAAATATAATAAAATATTACAAATTATCATTATTTATTATTATATATCCCAAGACACGCATTAATAAAAGGGTAAGTTTATTTCTATTTTTTATTTTAAAAAATTCAATTTTATATAAAATTCAATATTAATATGCTGTATTAAATTGAAAATATATTTCTCGTTAATATAAACTAAAATTTGAAATTATTATAATTTTAAAATTTTGACTATGTATAAAGATGATTATCATGATTTTCATATATTTTTTTTAAATTTTTAAAATATTATATATTTGATTTATATTATTTAACATAATAAATATTCATTATCAACATTAAAACTATTCTTTTAATTCAATATATAATTTTTATTTAAATTTAAGAATATTTGTATTATGCAAAAAAAAAAAAAACCTTACCCATTCGTATATTATAAACTTTACTTTTTTATTCGTGAATGATACTTTTTACTATGTTATGTATATATTTTTATTGGGATACATAATTTTATCATTATGTAACACTTTTTATATATTTTAGTCCAGTTGCTTTACTCCGATTAATTACTACCTAAGGACTTAGAAATAACGGGGCATCCCATATTACATAATCATTCGAATATTTTAATCTTTATCATAATTGGATAAGTGAATTATTATTTGGACTTGAAACGTTAGGTTGACTTTAATCTGAATTTTGAAAGAGCAATAACATTAATAGTCTTTAAAACACAAAGATTGACACATTTTAATCATACCAAAAAATGTTATTAATTTAATCTGCATAATAAAATAAAAATATCAGTCTAATTCTTTAATCATAAAAGTTCATATTAATTTAGTCACTCAAACTCATGGTTTTGGAACTATATCCATTTCATGTACTGTATAGCAAGCCTATCAAATTTATGTTTGAAGGATTAAAATTGATGGTACATATCCTTTAAGAATTAAAATGATCTCAACTTACTTTTTAAGGATTAAAATAGATGTTTACTTTCATTGAATTCAATCACTTATTTTGTTTTAGTTTTTGCTTAATCAAACTCTTACTACTATGTTAAAATATTTAGCATATGAAGAGTGTAAATTTATTTTCTTAAAAATTCTTAGAAAGCTTTATAACTTAAGAGCATGCATCCATTACAATCATTATAGATAGGATATTCATCAAATAAAATTGTAGAAGCGATTCTTACTAAATAAAGCTTGTATTTTCAACTCATTCCTAAGTTAACTCATAGGAAATCTATTCATATGTCAATTGATTTTTTTTTTGGTTAGATTAATGTGTCAATTTCTAAACTATACAAGAATTTACAGGTATTAAGAATATTCTGTATAACTTCGATGAAAACCTAATTTAGGAATTCATCTAAAATAATTTACAAGCTCAAGAACCCTCATAAGCTTTAAAGTATGAGAACACATTTAATAATTTTTCAAATAATTTAAAAACTAACAAATTAATTAAACCCTTTTTTTAAGGTCTTTGAGTTATGGTATTTTGTCAACATAAGAGGAAATTAATGGTAGTCAAACCTATCATTAAGATATTGCACACGTAACAAATTAGGTGAAGATTTAAACTCTAAAGTATTATAAAAGTTAATTAAATATTTTTCAAAGTTCAACGAGTTTTTTTTTTTTACAAATCACGTATCTTATCCTGATTCCCTTCTGTGTTTCACACATGGGTGGCTCTCAATAGAAAACGATATGTCATCACCTGTTTGAAGCAAATTAATGAATATTTTGGAAAAGCTAACATTAATTATTATTACATTATTATTAGATTTATACTTTTATCAGGATTAGGTGTGCGGAGAATGCACAATCCATCAAAATATGATCTAATCCACCTACGAAGACTTTGGATAATAAAGGTGATTACTCTATAGCATTCATGGCTTTTTCAAACCAAAATCTAAGTTTTAAGCCAAACACAAACTGTGATCCACCCCAAGCCAAGAGATACAAACATGGGTCAGATTAGGCCATCAAGTTGTTTCAGGTCAGGCTTTCCAAATCTGGTAAATCTACAAATCTTCTATTAGGCTCTATGTCAGAATTAATTTGTTTCAATTTCAAATTTTAATGGGTATGAGCATTTGACTAAGCATGACTGTTGCTTCTTTTGGATCATAAACCCTACCAAAGACAAATAATATATGCTTATCTGTACAATAATGAAAAACAAGAAAGCAAAACTATCTTTTATTTTTGCAAGTAATCAAATATGGAGAGGAAGAAGATTACAATTTCATTGGTTCCAATGTTTGGTATGTTGTCACAAGTCAGTGTCTCACTGTCACTGGTTTAAACATATTAGTAGAATGATAATGGTTAAAAAAAGTAAGTATACAAACAAAATAAACCTTGGAATGTAAGGTATGTCCAATTTATCTTGCTGATGGGAGACAACCATTTGACAAGTCAGGACTCTCAATTTCAAGAAAGCTTGTGAGTAATGTTTTCCGGGAAGAATGTGGCTTTGAACTACTAGGACCTGAAGATGATGATTTTAGCTTATTTTCTGTACCTTTTTCAATCTTGATAGCATCTTGTATAGTCAAAATTATTTCTTGCATCCTTGGCCTGGAGGCACCATGTTGTTCTACACATTGGATGGCAATTTCAACCACCCTCCAAATGGACTCAGTTTTGGCATTCCCAGCTAGAGAAGGGTCAACGATGCTCATCACATCCCCTTTTCGAGTTAAGGATCTTGCCTGCAAAACAGTGCTTGAGTCAAAGATCTCTAGTTTTGGAGACAAGATTGCTCGTGATGCAGCTTATGAGTCATTTGATTATTTTTATTTTGCCGTTCTTTAGTTGCCATCGTGTTTTGTAATGTTTTTTATGTTAAGAGCATTGTGGAATCGCTCTATTATGATCTAGTTTTCTTTTGAAAGTGTCGTTTGGCTGCCCTTTTGGGCTTTAGTCATATCATGATTGACCAAAAATAAATGAAACTAGTAAAATTTTAATGCTGATTTAGCACTAAGTCTGCAACATAATTTAAAAGGAAATTGGATTTATTTGTATAGTCCATAGTGTTAAAAAATACTAGAAGACACAAATAATCAATATGGATTTACATTAACAAGTAGGTTTTAGCTGAAGCATGATTTACATTTACTTTCTATTTCATTTCAAAAAGTAAGTTTTTTTTCCTTTATTTTTTATTTAATATGCTTTTGGAATATACTCTGCTAGAATTAATTGCATTCCACAATATTGTACCATGTTCTTGTTAAATTTCTAGTTTGGCAAAGGCTAATGCCAATGTTTCATCTTCAGGTAAATGAAAGGGAAACATACCCAAAGAACAATGTTCATTTCGGCACTGTACTCTTCTGATGACACGGGCTTTTTTCCAGATATCAGTTCCAGCAGAACAACTCCAAAACTGTACACATCACTCTTTTCTGTCAATTGCTGACTTGCATAGTACCTGTACAGCAAAAACAAAAACTAAATTTAACACATTAACGAGAAATTATGTTGATCACAGCCACAAAAGACCCTCGGCTTACTCAGGATCCAAGTAACCAACAGTTCCTCGTGCAATGCTTGATATATGAGTCAAATCTTCTTCAGCTAATCTAGAGAGTCCAAAGTCTGACACTTTTGCTCTCATGTTGATGTCTAGGAGAATGTTGCTTGTCTTTACATCACGGTGAATGATACTAGGATTGCATCCTGTGTGTAAGTATTCAAGACCTGTACGAAGGAAAAAATTGTTCTTCAACTGCTACGTTGGAAGTAAAATAATAAGATTACTCATGGAACATGAAGGTAGTCAGTGATCAACCTTTAGCTGCATCTTCTGCAATACGAAGACGAGATAACCAGTCTAAGTTCTTCTTCTTGGAACATTCTGTCATAACATTCGAACATATATGTCATGACACAATTTTTATTACAGAGTGAATAAAATCTTAGAGGGTGAGATTAGGCATTAGACCGTGAATGTGATCCCTTAAAGTGCCATTGTGCATGTACTCATAAACCAGAATATGTTGAGATTCCTCTTCACAGTATCCAATCAAAGGTACCAAGTTTCTGTGATGAATTCTGGATAGGAGGGATACCTGCAGTTGTGATTCTATAATAAAATATCTGAAAATTAAGATTTTCGAGTATTGTTTTTCCTTTTAGATATATACAAAATTCATTTTATAAAGCAGGTATTACGCAGTTAGGCATGAGCTGGAATCAAGATAGTGAGGTGTTTACATTTATTTTTTGGAGAATTCCATACTCATGGAATTCATGTAATACAGTTTTTTTTGTTTGATATGCACTACTGAAGGTAAAAACTATTCATAACTGAACTTGTCTGTCAATTAAAGTTTGAAATAGCCAAAGGGATGAATTTGAACTATACCTCATTCACAAATTGTTGGTTCCCATGGGTGCATGAATCAGTCATACTCTTGACTGCCACTTCTTTTCCATCTCTCATTTTCCCATAATAGACAGATCCAAAGCTTCCTTTGCCAATTTTCTTTGAAAAATTGTTAGTAGCTTCTTTCAACTCTAAGAGTGTAACAGAGCAAGTAGTACCTTCATCCATTAAATTTCCACCCCGAACAAGTGAGTATGCAGTTAAAGGTTTACTGTTAGTGCCTGCTGTGGACAAGAATGCTTGGTTGAAGAAGTATGATTACAGTCAAGTTAAAACAAAAGCATCAGAGTTAAATTGGCTGGCAAACCTTTTTCCTTACGTTTCTGATACTTTCTCCTTCTCTGCGAATTAAGCAATAGCACCAAACTTCCCAAGAATAATATTAATAGAATCACTAATACTCCAATTGAAATTCCCAGTATCAACTTAAAATGCTTCGTGTTTCCTCTATATAGTCCAGGATTACCATCATAGCTGGAACAGAAAGTAAATGTGGCTGTTACTTCAATCTGGATACAAGACTTTGTGAATTGATCCTTGTTCTTATCAATGGTTACCTGAAAATAATTTTTTGAGATACTAATCTGGCTGGTATTTCCCCACTAAATGAGTTATTCTGTATGAACCTGTCGCAAATTCAAAGATGTGTGATTAATGAACATGTGAGGATAGCAAATAGGAATTATGCTCAATTAGGAAAAGTTCTTCACGCTGTACTAAAATTTGTCATGAGAAACATTTGTGAATAAGTGCTACATACAGTGCTTGTAGGCTTGGCAAACTACCCAGGTAAGATGGTAGTCGACCAGTCAGCTTATTGTTCTCTAAATGCCTGCTTGACATCAATTTTAAGAAATGAAAATAATAAAAAAGAGAAAATGGAAAAAGAATGTTTTTGGGTTGAAAACTTCTAAAAATTTGGAATAAAAACTTACACAATCTTCAAATTTATAAGATTGCTCATGTCAGGTAAAGGTCCAGTAAGCAAGTTGCCATCTAACCACCTAAGATTAAACCAGAATTTATAAAAGCAATCACTTTAAAAAAAAAATTAACGCACTTAAAATTCTGAAGAATGATGAATGTACATACAGTTCTGTCAATGCTTCCATGTTGTTGAGTTCAGCAGGGATTTCACCCTTCACATTCCTTCTTGAAAGCATTCTAAATACAAGTAATTGCAAATAGTAAAAATTTATTCAACTTCCAGTAAATGTTTAACATAGCAAAATGTTCTGTGAACTTTTGAAATGTTTGATCATGATTTTCATCATGCTGCTCCCTATGTTATCCCAAATATAAACAATATATAGCATTTCCCATTCTATTATTCCAACTCTTTTTTATGCATTTTGGAATTCAACATTCTTATGTATTCAAATTTCAAAAACTGCTCAGAGATAAAAATCAGTCAAAGAAAGGCAATTCACTTGACTAGATGTTGCTAAGAAGCAAAATTGTCAACAAAAGTGATTGGAGATGTTACATTTTTGTAATTCTTGGCGGTGAGGTAGTACTACAATTTACCCATTCCCACGGAGTTGGGACACATGGATCACCTTCGTTTGTCTGGAAACTCTCAGCTGACAGTAATCGAAATGCATTCACAACAATTGCTGCAAAATGAAAATAAGGTTAGAATAAGTTCATATGGTTCAGCATCAGACATGTAATGCTTATGCATGCACCAAAAGATCTATTTTCACAAAACTAACATTAAGAACTTACAATCTTGCCTGTTTGTCTTTGACTTAATCTGCACATACTTGCTTATTTCCAATGCATTTAGAAGAGGTCCTAGAGTAGAATCTGGGGTCTTGACAAAGGAGAATGACAGAACAAATTCCAGAGTCACGTTCATGTAACTTGGTTCATATAGAGTGTAGCTCCCATTTGCATTCTCAGCAATGTTAACCACTGCATTGCTATAGTCAGGTATATAAGGTTGCTGTAATTTGAATTTTCGAGTCTCATTCTTGCCTAGATCTTCAATCTCAGCAAAATATGCATAAGCTCGAGCATTGGCAGGGAAATCTTCCAGGTTTAATCTGTAGCTGAGTATTCCTTTAGTGCCCACAACTGCACTTTGCATAACTTTAACTGGCGGGTATTCTCTTGTATCTATATCTATGTTCTTTGTTGTGCTAATTCTTTCTGTGCCTGGGGCCACTCCAACAAGATAATTTTGCCTCCTAATAAGATCAGAATCCCAAATTCTATCATATGGATCATCGGGGTACCTGAGAAATATATTTGTTTAAAGAGATTAAATCAAACTCATGTCATCACATATGTGGATTTTTCTTCCCAATAAAACTAACCATGCTGCAAAATTTGTTAACTTAGGTAGTAAGTTTTTATACTTCCACTTATGCTTATTCTCTACGGTAAGATTTTGGAAACTCGTCATTCATATGTGCGCCAAAAACAACAGCAGATGAAAAAGTAATTATGAGGTGAGCTTCCAGACCTGACAGCATCTTCAGTTGGAGCACCAAAGTTAATTCTTGCAGCTACTTCTAAGAAGAAATTGTCTTCATAATCTGTGGCATACATTGAAAGATTCAAGGGCCTCATCTCAAGAGTAGATATGAAAGGAGAACCGGTTGTAGCACAGCACATGCAGACTTCAACAGAATTTGAGGGTGCCCTGACGATCATTTCCTTAGTATATATTCTAGAGGCATCATATATTGACACTGTGGCCCATTTGGTTGCATCCAAGTAAAGCTGAAATTGAGGGTATGTGTCTCCATTGTCCAAGCTTCCATACTGAAAAGTTGCTCTTACGAGATATCTTCTTCTCTCCTCAGTGCTTAGTGTGTAACAGTACTTTTTGTTGTCAATGGGAAAGTCTCTACGTCTTTGATACTGCACCATGCCTCCATTTGGACTCTCTACTTCCACTGAAATGCCATGTTGCATGATTCCAAAGTCCGAATTCCATGCCAACCCCGTTTTGCTATCGGTGTAATTACTTTTCCCTCCACAATCTATGCTAACAAATTCTGCATGTGAAGTCAGTTTTCTCACAGTTAAAACCCCATCATAGCCTTGTTTTCTGCTTTGTATCATGACATAGCATGATGAAATTGAATTGAAAACTGTATGATTATGAAACTCACCTTCGAGTTGGCAAACAGCAAGTGATGTCAACAGAGAAAGTATAAGAAGAAAGAGAGAAAAAAAACCCATAGATGTAAGGAAGACAAAATAATAATATTGCTTCAAGAATTCTAAGTGAGTGATTAAATTAACTGTTTTGAGTCATTTGAGCATCTCAACTAGAACCAGCTTTCTCCGACTAACCACCTTTAACTTTTTCGATTGATGACTTTGTCACTTGTTCATTCACGTTTGTGTCTTTATCTGATATGATGTTGGAATCTTTTTTTTCCAACGAAAGAAAATTTTAGGCTGACCTTTTCTTTTTCTTTCTTTTTATTTTCCTCCTAAAAAGAAGTGACTAGAAAAGCATGACCCATTCACTTGTTTTTATTGTAAGAAGCTCCCAAAAACAATTAACAATTTGTCTTGGGGCTACGGGACAACATGAAGACATATGATGCCGTGTTGAAAATAGGTTGTATCTTTTATCCTACCATGCGCCACATTCATGGTATGATCCACATATTTGGCAATATTTTACACTGAATTTGAATTTTGAAACCACCCTATTCGTTGATGATATAAAAAAATGTTAATGAAATTAGGAGGTAATATATTATGAATTGACAAGGGCTTAAATTGTGCTAAAAGGATGGCCAAAGCCAAATGATTGAAAAAGGAGGTACGTGATTAACTGATTATAATGGAGGGCCTTAAATTATGTACTTCAATTTGTGCTTTTTCAGACCGGAAAATCTTGTCAACTGTTTAACTTTAGACCATGTTGTCATGTACCTTTTTATATTTTGACAATAGGATGGATAGAATAAGGGCTTTCTAATAGTATGTTATAAAAACCTCAACCATATATTATTTGGATATTAATGAAGTAAAATGGTTAAGGAGAAGCCAAATCACTCCATAATACCCAAAATTATTAATCTTCTTACCTTCTAATTTGGGAATTAGTAATGGTGGATTCATTTTTCATTTTGGGTAGTCTTTGCCAGTTTTTACCTTGAACACTCAATCCTTTTTCTCTCTATTTCTCTCAACCCTTCCGAACAAAAGCTTCGTGATCTCTTCTGAATTTTTCCTCCTCTTCTCATTAAAGAAAGTATGGCACAAACTTGGATAGATCAAGATATGAATTCTTTGGTTGAAATTATAATGCAATTGATCAACCCGAAAAGAGAGTACCAAATTCAGTTGGTGTTATTGTTACTATAATATACGTGTCCAGAATTAGGTAGCATAAAGATAAACACAACCATGGCTATGAATGTTAGCTATCATGGAGTTATTTGATAGTTATAATAAAGGATAGTAATAGAAACTTAAAAAAAACTATTAACCTACACTGAGTCCCAAAGAATGGAAAAGGGGCTTTCAACCAAAATTTTCAAATAATAGATAAAAAATATTTTGCTTTCAAACCACTCTACTCTATCCTCTTCAAAATTACTAAACATAGGCTTCAACATTTGAAAAAGTATGCAGATGATGTGTGGCTAGGGCAACAAGACTATGTCCAAAAGAGTGATTCATCTTGATTCTTAATGTATCAATTCAATGGTCCATATCACAGAGATCTGAATCTATCTTCAATTTGCGCATGACCAAGAGGTTCAATTTTATTTTTACTTAAATGAATCTAATTTCACAATTTTCACTTAAGTAAGTAGATATTGACTTAAGCTGAGTGAAAAGTCGTGTTCTAATTTTGCTGATGGAGAATACATGCATATTTGATACAAAGCACATCTCTACTTCCAAATTCACCTACTCCTCTTCTGTCACTTATGGCCCCTTCGGCTTCCCTTTTATCCAATATTCTATGACAACTTTGAACACTCCAAGTCCCTCTTTTTATGACAAAATAGTTCCTTGCTGATAAAGATGTTTTAGTACAGACTAAATCCAAAAACTGGCTAATAATGATAGCAAATCCAAGGCTCATTGCAATAAGGGAAGAGGCCCAGGTGAGTTTCTCAGTTATCCTAGGTACGATCCTTTAGTTCCAGGCTACATGAACCAATAAACAAGGTAGAGCTTCCACGCAATTACAGTTCCAATTAAAAGCATGATGAGAAATGCAGCACCAGCCAAACGAGAAGGCAAAGCAAGGGCAGGCAACACCATCATCAATGCATCTGGTTGCAGTCCATGAACTATCCCTGTGCCGAAAGTAGCAAACAATCTTCTTTCCCACTTTTGGATTCTCAAGTGATTCATATGTTTTGATGTCACATTCACCTCTTTCTAAGGCAGCGCATGGAGCAGGGACTTCGAAAGCTTCTCTAATTCTCATAGCACCAATTATTAGCAGGGTAAGACCCACCACAGCATTAAACATTACGACAACTTTTCACGCGATTCTTGCTTAAGCTAATATCCCGAAAATAATTTTTCCCTTTACTGCGAGTATTCTGATCTCGAATCACATATTTCACATTGACGTGTTCAAGTTTTGCGATCAGAAATGACTTTATACCTTTCTATTGTTCTTTTTCTATTTCCCAGGAAGGCAGTGTCCCTCGGATTGCAAGTTTTGGCATGTAATTCGAGACACAAAGATGAGATATTTGACATATTTTTTTTTAATGAATTGAAGGATTTTGAAGCAAATGATGTAGGGGTTATCCTGAAAAATACATCTTTAAGAGATAAATAAGAGAATGATTGTTTTTATATCCACCATATCAAGGAAATAAAGATGAGGAGATCCTAAACTTGCTACACATGACAATATTGACAATTAACTTCTAAAATTATTAAACTCTTATTTGACATATCTATTTCTAAAGAATACTCTTACTTAATAAATATAAATAAAAATAAAAATATTATTTATCATTAAATTACACAATTTTTTATTACAAGCACAAAATATAAAAAGTTGTTATGATAATACTCTTACATTAGTACTATGATAGTACATAATCTAATGATTTCAAGTAATGACCAGTTATAAAGAGAAATAAATATAAATAATTCAAAAGTTAGATAGGAAAAAGAAAACTACCAAAATTCATTAAGTGAGTTGAAAGTATTCATCACTTGCTAAAACTAAAATTACTCTTTGTTAAGAAATTGTTTCAAAATTCACTTAAAAAAAAGTAGACATCTAATTTACTTATAGACTACAGAGAATTTGTATAGCATCTCTTTGCTATATTTTTATTAATTATTATATAAAATTTTTATTTTAAAAATAACACTTGCAATTGTATTTGTAATGTGATTAATATATACTTCTTATGTTTAGTTTCTTAACCTCAATTTTAATATTTTTCTAAAAATAAATATAAAAAACTGAAATTTTTTTAACACATTAAAAAGCACATAATAGCAAATTAATAAATAATAGCATATAATACTTATAAAAATTAATTATACATAGGTTTTAATTACATGTTGCTAATACAGAGTAAAAAAGACAATAATTACGGAAAACTATTAGCATGTGGAACTGGGGGATTGAGAGAAGCATATTTAAGAAGCTGAGAATCACATTCAAACATGGCCATATCTTCCTTTTCCATATTCACAATCGCTTCAATGCCAACCCCATCACTCGTATCCATCAAAACTATCGTATTCTTCTTTGGACACCCACTCGTCCCCACCCACGTCGGTTTCCCCCACCCAAAATCAGCTTCATACATCGGAAACCTACACCAACTCGAATAATGAACCATACTTTGATTTTTACTTTCCCTTTCACTCTCCCCAGTAGTAGTAGTAGTAGTAACTCGCTTCAAGCACTCGTTGATGAACTTCAAATCCTTCTCCTTCCCTCCAAACTTCTTTCCATACGTGTCACAAAACTCACGCAACCTTTCTTTCATTTTTCTCACCAACTCATCAAGTTCCGTTTCGCCCTTCTCCATGAACATGGCCCAAACCATGTTCCCCACGCACTTCTCAGGCAGTGGAGGAACCATTCTATTCCGAAGATTCACAGCAGCGCGCAACGACGTCGATTTACGACTCAACCCCAACGCCGAAACCGCACGCTGGTAAATAAATGCAGTCACAACTTCCACGCGCGTGGGATTCTTGACGTTGCGAGAGGACACCGTGGCCTTGAGTGACTCAACCTTGGAAGCATCGAACACGAACCTTTTACAAACTGTGTCGTCTTTCGCGAACATAACTTCTGGGAAAATAGGCAGGTCCCCATGTGGGAGTAAGGAATCCCCTGCATCGAGAACAGGGAAGGGTAACTCTGTTCCTTCTTCGCGGTTCAACGTGGCCCAATCATTGACGAAGTTGAAAAGAGTGGCAGCATCCGCAACTTTGTGACACATGCACACGCCGATTGCCATTCCTCCGCAAGCAAAGTGGTTTATTTGAATGGCTACGATGGTTGAAGTTGTGTCCATAGCCTTCCAGTGCAATTCATCGGGGAACAAAGGGTTCAACGATGCTTCATTGGGGTTGTGGAGAATCTCTGATAGGTTTTGTGGGAACCTCGTGACGAGTAATAACACGCCTTGGTCGTTGCAATCAATGGAAAGTTGGTCTCTGAATGTACCTGCGAAAGGGTAGTATCTGGATAGAACTCGAGATAATGACTTTTTGAGCAATGATGTTTGGTCACATTGATGGGCATTGTTTGGGGGGTAAAAGAAAAGGACAGGGATGTAGTTGCGGAAAATGATGTGGTCTAAGAATGAGAGTTTGTAGATTTTAAGGTGAGAAGGAGTGGGTGAAGAGGGTTTGATGGTTTCTCTTGATATCAATTCCATTTCCATGGCTTGCGATGTTGAATGCATTGCTTGCAACAAAGTAGCAGCTACTCGTATATTGTCCTTGGAGTTTCACTAGAAATTAGAAAAAAGGGTAGATAGAGTAGTAGTATTAGAATATTTTACACCAAAATTGACTTTTTATTTTTAATTTTATTTTGACAAGGAAATAGACAATAGTTGATACAAGGGTTCACATTGCTGAAGTGTCTATTTTAATATTTTATTAGGTACTATCATTTGGAGTTTGATTGATCAAATAACACTTTTTTAAAATTAATTAGCCGGCGGCGAATGTATTTTTAATGGCTGGAAAATGGTTTTTTAATTAAATATTAAGGGTATTGGTTAAAAAAATGTAAAATATAACAGTGTATTCACTTTCATGATTTTTAACAACTGTCAATATGATTTTTATTTTTTCTTTTACGCTTTAACAATTTTATTTCGTTAATTTTTCGTTGTCATTTCATTAAATTATAAATAATTAACATATTTTATAATTTTTTCTTTGATAATTAATGTTTGTTGAGTAGAGAAAAATGAATAAGTAAAATGATTGATATAATATATGAAAGAATTTATAGTTATTTTAATGTGTGCTTTTAAGAAGTAAAATTGATAATTTTTTTTAAAAATAAAATAACTATTATCTCAAAATCATAAATTATTCAATCCATATATTTACAGAAAAAAAATACTCATGATCATTCCAACTTGTCTGGTCAGTTTTCTAATCTAGGTACTGTACAAGAATCTAAAATTATTGTCAATAATTATCCACTTGCATATTTACTAATTATCAGTAAATAATCATTAATGAGTTAATGTCAATATTAATTGTGTCAACTTGTTTACCTATTGCCTGGGAAACGGACGATAGGAGCATGACAGTGGTGCTATCTGCTTTTGATTGATAGAAACCTAAGAACTACAAGTTTTTTGTTTTAACCCATCATTCAGAAACAAGCTGGTCAATTTTTTTAAGACTAAACACGAAGATATTATTTTTATATAAATTTGATAATTTTAAATTTTACAAAACTATTATATTTAAATTATAAAGTACAATAAATATTTTTTTAAATGTTTAAATTCAATTTTAAAAGTTAAAAGTTAACGTAACAAAATTAAAATTTTGAAAAAAAATACTAACTATTATTATTATTATTAGAAGTGATAAGTTTTTATTAAATACATGGACAAATTCTGCTGTGCCTTAATAAATCAAAGATGCTTTGATGGTTAATAAACCAATTAAATATTAACATGTGTATATCGTTATCCACTCCACTCTTCAGATATTGTTTTATTTTTTATTTACAAATATCCTTATAAAACTTATATAATTATAAAATAATCTCAGTGAATTATTTTGCAGAAGTTTAAAGTATTGAACCTTCGGAGATAAACTTGGTAAAATTCTTTTTCGTGGTCTGTCCTTTTTTAAGTCATGCTACAGTGCATCTTCTCAATGTATTTATAAGTTTATTTTTATTGATGTTTAAATTTGATTCAAAAGTTGAGATTTAATAAAATTAATTTTAATCTTTATAGAAGACTTTAAATTATTGAAAGTAATTCAATTTTTATTACAAGAATTATTTATAAAAGTGTAAGGGTAAATTGTAATTTTAAAATGTTTAGAGGTTATAATATAATTGAGCTATTTGTATGGTATCATAAAATAATTTTTTGAACACTTTAAATATGTTGTTGAAGATAAATTATTATAATGAACTAGTTTATGGATATGAGTCTTGTTATAAATTAATAATATTGAGATATGAGATATTTTTTATATTAATATAAATAGATAAAATTTACATATATATTATATTTAACTTATTTTAACTTTGATTTATTTTTAGTCTGTTGTATATAAAAAAATTAAATATTCTCTTTTACTTGAATATATAATTACTACAATCAACTAAGAAAGATTATAGAAAGTAACTTTTGATTATGTCTTTCAAACTCTATGTCATTAGGTTGTAAAAAATTTAAAACATTTAACATACTTTATTTCAATGCTTTAAAGGATTTTGAAGCAAGTGATGTTAAGATTATTCTAAAAAATACATCATTAAGAAATAGATAAGAAAAAATCATTTTAGTATTATACACAATATTAGGAAACTAAAAATTGAGAAGGATACTAAATTTGCTACAACATGATAATATTTAGTTATATTCGCATTTGAAGTATCTATTTCTAAAGAATATTCTCACTTAGTAATGAAAATATAAATATTATTTATCGTTATATTGCACATCTTCAATTATAAGAATAAAATATTTAGAGTTGCTATGATGATGTCATTATATTGGTGATCAATAATAGTTATCAATCTAAGAATTTCAACAATGATAAAACATAAAGAGAAATAAGTATAAACAATTTAGAAGTTGAGTAAAACTATAAAAAAAAAACCATCAAAATTTATTAAGCAAGTTTAAGATATACATTACTTACTAAAGCTAAAATCACTCTTTATTAAGCAATTATTTTAAAATTTATTTTCTTAAAAAATTAAACTTCTAATTACATTCAAACTAAAGAGAATTTGTATCTCATCTCCTTGCTATATTTTTATTAATTATTATATGAAATTTTTATTTCAAAAATAATACTTGCAATTATATCTTTATGTGATTAATATATACCTTTTGTTTGTTTTTTTTTTGTTGCCTAACCTCAATTTTAATATTTTTCTAAAAATAAATATGAAAATTTGATTTTTTAACACATATTAAAAAGCACATAATAGCAAATTAATAAATAATAGTTTTTATTAAAAATAAAAATATAATTACGGAAAACTATTAGCATGTGGAACTGGGGGATTGAGAGAAGCATATTGAAGAAGCTGAGCATCACACTCAAACTTGGCCATATCTTCCTTTTCCATATTCACAATCGCTTCAATGCCAACCCCATCACTCGTATCCATCAAAACTATCCCATTCTTCGTCGGACACCCACTCGTCCCCACCCACACCGGTTTCCCCCACCCAAAATCAGCTTCGTACATCGGAAACCTACACCAACTCGCATAGTAAACCATACTTTGACTTTCACTCTCCGCAGTAGTAGTAGTAGCTAGCTTCAAGCACTCGTTGATGAACTTCAAATCCTTCTCCTTCCCTCCAAACTTCTTTCCACACGTGTCACAAAACTCACGCAACCCTTCTTTCATTTTTCTCACCAACCCATCAAGTTCCGTTTCGCCCTTCTCCACGAACATCACCCAAACCATGTTCCCCACGCACTTATCGGGCAGTGGAGGAACCATTCTGTTCCGAAGATTCACAGCAGTGCGCAACAACGTCGTTTTGAAACTCATCCCCAACGCCGAAACCGCACGCTGGTAAATAAATGCAGTCACAACTTCCACTCGCGTGGGATTCTTGACATTCCGAGAGGACACCATGGCCTTGAGTGACTCAACCTTGGAAGCATCGAACACGAACCTTCTACAAACGGTATCGTCTGTCCCGAACATAACTTCTGGGAAAAGAGGCAGGTCCCCATGCGGGAGTAAGGAATCCCCTCCATCGAGAACAGGGAAGGGTAACTCTGTTCCTTCTTCGCGGTTCAACGTGGCCCAATCATTGACGAAGTTGAAAAGAGTGGCAGCGTCTGCAACTTTGTGACACATGCACACGCCGATTGCCATTCCTCCGCAAGCAAAGTGGTTTATTTGAATGGCTACGATGGTTGAAGTTGTGTCCATAGCCTTCCAGTGCAATTCATCGGGGAACAAAGGGTTCAACGATGCTTCATTGGGGTTGTGGAGAATCTCTGATAGGTTTTGTGTGAACCTCGTGACGAGTAATAGCACGCCTTGGTCGTTGCAATCAATGGAAAGTTGGTCTCTGAATGTACCTGCGAAAGGGTAGTATCTGGATAGAACTCGAGATAATGACTTTTTGAGCAATGATGTTTGGTCAGATTGATGGGCATTGTTTGGGGGGTAAAAGAAAAGGACAGGGATGTAGTTGCGGAAAACGATGTGGTCTATGAATGAGAGTTTGTAGATTTTAAGGTGAGAAGGAGTGGATGAAGAGGGTTTGATGGTTTCTCTTGATATCAAATCCATTTCCATGGCTTGTGATGTTGAATGCATTGCTTGCAACAAGGTAGCAGCTACTCATATATTGTCCTTGGAGTTTCACTAGAAATTTTAAAACAAAAAAGAAAAAAAGGTGGATAGAGTAGTATTAGAATATTTTGCACCAAAATTGACGTGTTTTTTATTTTGACAAGAAAAATAGACAATGGTTGAGACAAATAGGAAGATTGAGAAATACAGGATGATAAATACGTGTCCACATTGCTGAAGTGTCTATTTTAATATTTTATTATATTTGGAGTTTGATTGATCAAATAAATTTTTTTTAAAATTAATTAGCCGGCGGCGAATGTATTTATAATGGTTGGAAAATTATTTTTTAATTAAATATTAAGGGTATTGGTTAAATAAATGTAAAACATTACACTATATTCACTTTCATGATTTTTAACAACTGCGAATATGATTTTTAATTTCAACAAGCGAGTAGTGAAAATAGACTTGTTTAAATAAAAATAAAAATAATAATTTTTTTATGTAAAATTAGTTTAAATGGATTTTTTTAACTTAAACAAAAAATTTTAAACTTAGTAGTAATAAAATTATTATTATTATTATTACAATTAATATATTATATAAAATTATTATGATAAAAAAGTATAGAATATTATTACTTAATTATTAATGACTATGTTATTTATAATTACAAATTAGGAATTTATTAGATAGTTGATAATTAATTTAATACATATAAATAATTTTTTTTGTATTTATAGAATAGTTAGTTATAAGGATTTATATATTATTAATATTGTTATTATTATATTTATAATTATTAAATTGTGCAATACAATGTAAAACAATAATTAAGAATAATTTGGTCTATTGAGTTAGAGAAATAATATGATTTATGCTATTGTTATTGATTGCTGAGTTGTACTACTAAGTTTGACCAAGAGAGATGAGGTGACTCATTACTATAATTATTCTATAAAATTACATGAGAAACAAATATAAATGAAAGTTGGTGAGTTGACTCACTGTGTCTTTGTTATATTTTTCAAAGCAACTCAAACAGATTCTCCATTGCCTTAGCCGGCAGATTAGCAGATCAATCTCTCAAAGATTAAAAAAATTATACTTTTGTTTAATCGATCATGTCATCGAACCGAACAATATAAAAACATTTGAGAAAAATTAAGAAGTTATGTAAAAATTAGGTGAAAAATCGATTTGGATATGTAAATTTGGAAAAAAATTATTTTAATTTAATTTTTAACTCTAAAATATATTTCAAAATATATGAAAGCTCGTATATAATATCTATTTATAAATTACCATCATTTAACTATTTATTATAATTTTCTTATTTCATTAGATAAGTAACATAATACTTTCATCTTAATTTTAAATTTTATATATACAATATTAATAATATATACAATCCGTATAACTAAATATTCTATAAATACAAAAAAAGTTATTTATTTGTATTAAAATAATTATCAACTATCTAATAAATTCCTAATTTGTAATTATAAATAACATAGTCATTAATAATTAAGTAATAATATTCTATACTTTTTATCATAATAATTTTATATAATATAGTAATTGTAATAATAATCATGATTTTATTATTACTAATAATAATATTACTACTTACAATTATATATTCCTGTAATTTTATTCAAGAAAACAATAACAACAACAATAATAATAATAATTAATCTAATTATAATTACAATAATTATTAATATCATAATAATCATTGTCAATTACTTAATAAAGTATAAAATTAATTACAATATTTAAACAAAAATAAGGCAAAAGTAATAATAATTATATATTTTAAAAAAAGTATCCTTTTCTAAGTCAAAACAAATAATTTTAAATTATTTAATTTTTATTATATGACCTTTTTAACTTTATTCTTCAATTTTTACCAACAAATCATAAACATATTATTTTCACAAATTTTATATATTTATATCATAAACTATAACACAAAAAATTTATATAATTTTTCTAAAATTCATTTTTCTAACTTTTATCCAAGATCTTCGAGGCATTCACTTCAGATTTCAATCACCTGAAAAATATTATAAACCAAATTACAATTAATTTCCTTATTTAAAATTATTAAAAAAATAAAATACAAAATATAAATGTAAAACACTTATTGACCTCAAAAAACTAGGAACAAAGGAAAAATAAAGAAATTTTAATAGAGAATGAGGAAGAGAAAGAACAAAGAACCAAGAATAAAAATGAACAACTGAAGAAAAACAGGAGGGAAGAAGGGATAACCGTTACCTATATTACCTGTCAACTTTTCAATCGTCCACATTTAAATTATTATATTTTAAAAAAATATTGTCATTAAAAATGACGAGACATGTAAATGATATGGTAAAATAAATATAGACAAAAAATTGTTTTGAAAATTTTATACTTTAATAAATAGTTTTTTAAAATATATAAAAAAAACCCGATTTGCACCATCACGTGATTGTTCGAAAATTTGGGATTTCGTGCTAATGTTATCTAAGCTTACCCTCAAACTAAAAATGAGGTTAGACAACTACATTTTATAGTATTACATAAGCATTTGTTATTTTAATACTTGATTTTATCAAATTTTTACTTTAATTTTTTATTTCACAAATATATTTTAAATTAGTTCTAAACATGAATAAAAATATTATAAAAAAGATTAGAGTAAATAAGATTTTGTGAAAACAAAAAATATGCATATTTTCAAATACAGTTTTTTTTATCTAAATTAATAATCAACTCACTGTAGTTAGATGTATCTAGAAATTTGTGGATATGGACGAATCTAGAAATATTAATGAAGATTAGAAAATCTTACAAAAACATTTTCACCCACATTTGGATGATGGACTCGCCTATAAATAGCCCTCCAACGCAACAAGTGAGGCAAGTGAAAAATGAGAAGCTCTATTCCAATTCCATTACATTGAACCATTAACTATTCACTTCAGCAAAAGAGAAAACCCATTACTTAAGCCAAGTTTAAATAATTTTTTATAGGAAAAAATAATAGAATTTCTTCTATAAGTTGCAAGTAGTTTATATTCTTCAAAATTTAGAGAAGTTGAATGAAATAATTTTTAAAAAAAATAAAAACTAATTTTAACTTATATGGGAAATTTGATTAATACTTAATCTTTTACTTGTGTAAGTAATTATTGAAAAGTTATTTCAAACTGAGTCTTAGTTGATAAAGAGCACAAGACTGAATTACAAAATTAGCAACATTTTTGTTTCTTTCAAAATGGAACGAAGAACAGTCGATTTTGTATGGCCTAAATATTTTAAGTAGTTGTTTTAAAAAAAGGCTATAATGAGCTTCATGCAATGCCAAGTTTATTGGCACATTTAGCAATGCATGTTTCCTCAAAGTAAAATGCAAATTATAGTCTTATTTTCTAAGAAAAATATACATCTAGACTTCAATAAGTTGTCTTTGGAAAGGAGTATTTCAAAATTTGAGCAAAATTTGCAACCAAATTGGGTTCATCAATCTATATGAGGGTGATAGGAACATATACAAATAATTTTTATCAGCATTATTTTGCATTTGCATGGATAAAATTATATTCACAACTCTTTGCTGCGAACCAATATAGGCTTACAAACACAAGAAAATGCTTCTCCAAATGTTTAGTTATTAATATTAAATAAGGAAACAAGCTTAATGTTTATCATCATACATCAACCACTTTTATCTATGCTTCAATATCAAAATCCTTGTAGATTGGCAAAAAAAAAACCTATCCCCCCCTAAAGTTGATATTCTTGGAAAGGAAAATATGAGGTTTAGTTGGATCTTTAGTTGAAGAGGTAGAAAGGGGCAGTGCAGGACTGATCAGGCTATGAATAGACTTTGATCTATCACTGAATATTCTGTTGAATCATAAAAAAGGGGTAGGAACTTCAGCGATAAGCCTTGGATCATAATACTCTGACATCTCTATGTTCTGACGGCCACCAAAGTTCATATTATAGCATTCACCTTGTAGCAAAAAGAAATTCAAGTCCTCCTCCAAAGGTGCAGAAGCTGCCTCACCACCTAATAGTAGGTTTCTTTGATAAAACTCTAGATCAGTATTGCAATCTAGATTAAATCCCTGTGTCTTCAGGCCCAAATTTGAAGCTAAAATAGATTCTGAAGATTGATCATTCAGCCTAAGGCCTTTGGAATGATTAGAAAAGGCATCAACTGCAGATCCTATTGAACTCACAGGACTGACATAATCACTTGTGTAACCACTATATAAAGGTTTGGTCTCTAAGTTGGTAGCAACCTTTTCTTCTGTTATAGTTAAAGAAGGATTGGAATTAATTGAAGCAAATGATTGTGATTGATCAACCTGAATGTGATGCTGTGCATCGTGTAATGGTAATTGACTGAAGCTATCCTCCAATTGAACTAGTGTCTTTTGTTCTTCTTTGGGTGGCGCTTTTGCAACTTCTTTGCCAGAGTACTGTGTTGGTATGATGCAATCAAATATTGCATGGTTTGCTTCTGATGACTCCAAAGATGCAAAAGGTTGGTTAAGAACCATCTGTGAACCTTTTTGTATCTTTGGGTCAGGAATGTCACTACTTAAAACTCTCCTTTTTTCTGTTGTTGTCTCAGAGACAATTTCCTTGAAATCACTTTCATGACTTGTAGCATCCATTTGAAGTAGTAAAGTTCCTTCTGAATATTTGAAGCTCTCAATTGCAACATCACTTTGTTGCTTGTTTGCTGTGTTCAGAAAACTAAAACTTCCTGGATCTTTCGAAGGTGAATCTGAATTTTTTATTTCATTTGAGGAACATTTCTGCTCATTTTCCTTCAGCAACCTACTCAAGTAAAGCCTGTATTTCTGCAGGAAAAAAATTTTCATATTAAGAACCCGATTTTCACACTTAAAATCGAGAGACCATAAACAACTTTTTACACTCGTGCTTTCCCTTCTTCGCATTTAATTTTTTTGAGAGGTTTCTGCATCAATGTTGTAATATTTCTGACAAATATAAAGATCAATAGATCGATTTAGAATTTTTTAAGTGAACATCTGATATGATTCAAAGTTGAATAGAGTTACAGAAATAACATATCAAACATAATTATTCATACAATATGGAGTATTAATATTGTTGGTAATCTGTTTTATTTTAGGATTGCATCTACTGCCATTATTAATGTAATAATTCTGTTTTATGACAGATTATTTCTTTCCTAGAATAGAATCATGTATATAATAGCAGGTAGGAAATCTAGGATTCTGTTTATTAGTTTCCTATTTTTATTACTCCTAATGTGTGTATTTATAGCCTCTGTTGTACCTATTTTTTTAAAGAAAATACAATACCCTTCTACATGGTATCAGAGCATGATCTGATCCAGACATAGGTTCCTTCGAGATCATCCATGGCTGATGAAGTCATTCACTCAAAACTTAAGGCAGGGGAGGAACACACTCATGTTCCAAACCTGACCGAACCAACCATCCTACCTATTATTGGCTATAAGTTAAATGGCCAGAACTACATCCAATGGGCTAGTTCTGTTCGAATTTACCTTCAAAGAAAGGGAAAGGAAGAATATATTACTGATGAGTCAGAAGAACCAGCAAAGGCAGATGCTAGCTACCAGAAGTGGAAACTCGAGAACAGCCTTGTCATGTCATGGCTGCTTAACTCGATGACCAATGAAACTGGAGAAAACTTCATGTATTACAATACAGCCCATGAAATCTAGGATGCTGCCGAAGAGACTTACTCTAATGCTGATAACACATCAGCAATATTTGAGATCAAGAGCCTCCTCCATGATTTGCGTTAAGGAGACTCTACAGTCACAAGGTACTATCATACCCTCACCAGATTCTGGCAGCAACTAGATGCCTATGAGAATATTGAATGGAGTTGTCAGGTTGACCAGAAGCAATATCGACAACTAGTGGAAAAGGATCGCATCTACTAGTTCCTTCCAGGTTTAAACACGAACTTGGATGAAGTACGAGGCAGAATTTTGGAAACTAAGCCTCTTCCAAGTATTCATGAGGCATTCTCAGAAGTGAGAAGGGAAGAAAGCAGAAAGAAAATTATGTTGGATGACCCAAACCAGAATCAGAATATTGAAGGCTCAACCCTTGCAACCAAAGGATACCAGCTGAATCACCATAAGAAGACCCGTAACTGGTGCGATCACTGCAAGAAATCTGAACATACTCGAGACACCTGCTGGTTCATTCATGGCAAACCAGCAGACATGAAGGTGTCTCGTGGCAAAGATAACCAGGCCAATGTGGCTTCCACCACTACCAGTGGGTTAGATGAAGACAAATTGGGAGGTGTAGCTGAACCAGGACCTTTCAGCAAGGATCAGATGGAGGTTCTACAGAAACTTCTCCAGCAAATCCTTCGAAATGGGAACACACCTTCCTCCACAACAGGTCTATTGGCACATAAAGGTAATATACTAGATGCTTTATCAGTTAGACATCACAAACACAAGTCCTGGATTGTAGACTCTGGAGCCTCAAATCACATGATAGGTGACATTAATCTCTTTGATCATTTTGATCCATGTGAAGAAGGTTCTTCAATAAGAATTGCTGATGGTTCAACATTTAAAGTGACTGGTAAAGGATCACTTGTGATATCAAAAGATATCACATTGAATTCTGTTCTCTATGTTTCTAAATTAGACTATAACCTCTTATCCATTAGTAAACTTACTTGAGACCTTAATTGTGTTACTAAGTTCCTCCCAAACATGTGTGAATTTCAAGCAATGGATTCGGGGAGGAGGATTGGCAATGTTGAGGAATTTGCAGGTCTCTACTTTCTTCAAACTGATAACATAGAACAGTCAAAAAGAAATAGTTATGTTGCGAGTGTTGGAAAAAGAAAAAATAATGTAATGCTATGGCACTATCGCCTAGACCACCCTAATTTTCTGTACCTAAAGAAAATGTTACCTTCAATTTTCAATAAAAATTTCACAACCTTTACAGTGTGAAATTTGTCAACTAGCCAAGCATGCAAGAAATAATTACCCTACACAACCTTACAAACCTTCTAAACCTTTTTCCCTTGTTCATAGCGATGTTTGGGGACCCACTAGAACCAAAGCTATTACTGGGGCTAGATGGTTTGTTACCTTCATAGATGACCACACAAGGACCACTTGGGTCTTTCTCATGAAAGAAAAATGTGAGGTCACAAAAATATTTGAGTCTTTTCATCAAATGGTTCAGAATCAATTCCAAACACAGATTTAGATTTTGCAAACTGACAATGGACGAGAATATTATAATACAAACCTAGGATTCTATCTTCAAAAGCATAGGATCATCCACCAAGCATCTTGTCCAAATACACCTCAACAAAATGGTCTTGCAGAGCAGAAAAACAGACACTTACTAGAAGTAACTAGATCCCTCATGCTGTCAACAAATGTACCAACTTAGTACTGGGGTGATGCTGTTTTATCCTCTGCATACCTCATTAATTGCATGCCTTCCAAAGTTCTCAGCCATAAAACACCTCTCCAAACCCTCCTACCACATTGTCCTCATCCTCATCTCTTTACCAACCTAACACCTAGAATTTTTGGTTGTACAGCCTTTGTCCACAATCACCAACCAAATCTCAGTAAACTGGAACCTAAATTAGTAAAATGCATCTTCCTTGGATACTCTCCAAACAAGAAAGGATACAGATGCTATTCCCTCACTACAAACTGCTTCTACACCAACATGGACGTTACTTCCTTTGAAAATCAGGCCTTTTACTCCACCGGTGGGATTCAGGAAAAAATACTGGATAAAGAATTTCAACTGCTGGAGCCTGAGCAACTCTTAGAGCATGCTGTTCCAACGCTGCCTGAACCCATAGGAACTCAAATGACCCAGCAAGCTGTTGAACCAGCAGCTGCAGGAATTCCTGTGGTAGAAGGAGCTCAGGATGCAGCATCATCAGATCTGCAATAGGGTAAAGAATTGCAGGTGTATTTGAGACAGAGAAAGACAAATAGGGAGTTAGAGACCTGCACCTCTCCAAAGCAAGGTCAGTCTTCCAACTAAAATCCAGAAGCCTCAGAGTCCCACACAGGTAACACTCATTCTGATCAGTCCCATGACTACTCAGTCTTGGAAGAGCAAAAAGCAATCTGTAGTTGTAAGAAGTAGTGTTGAAGTAGAGTTTAGAGCCATGGCTCATGGTATCTGTGAGGGAATATGGCTTCATCGGATGCTCAAGGAGCTGTGAGTGTTATCAGAATATGCCATGGAAATCATGTGTGATAATAAAGCAGCCATCAGTATTGCAAGAAATCTGGTTCATCATGACAGAACCAAACATGTAAAAATAGACTGCCACTTCATCAAGGAGAAGATAGATGATGGTAGTGTTATACTCGAATATACTCCTTCAAACCAGCAAACAACAGACATTCTGACTAAAGGAGTATCACGGATTAATTATGAGAACTTAAGATCCAAGTTGGGGATGATTGATATTCACCACCTAGCTTGAGGGGGAATGTTGGTAATCCGTTTTATTTTAGGATTGCATCTACTACCATTATTAATGTAATAATTCTGTTTTATGACAAATTATTTCTTTCCTAGAATAGAATCATGTATATAATAGTTGGTAGGAAATCTAGGATTCTATTTATTAGTTTCCTGTTTTTATTACTCCTAATATGTGTATTTATAGCCTCTGTTGTACCTATTTTTTTTAAGGAAATACAATAACCCTTCTACAAATATAACATGTTTATTGAAATAAAAAATATAATACAAGTTTGCTACTAGACAACCTTAATGACAATAGTTAAGGACTATTAATATAGTTTCACCTAAGCAAAACATACGAGCAAGTCATATACCTGCAAGTGACTAGCAACATTTTCTCTAGTTAGCCATGGAACATTCATCAAATCTAGAATTTTCTTGGGACCAACTTCTGCCATACAAAAATCATTGTGTTATATTCTTGTACATAAAAGATAGAATGGTTCCATATAATATTAACAAAAAGAGTATGCTCAACAATTACACTTTCATTTATTGATGTAATGCTAAATTATGCTTACGAAATATAATTTAGTAGAAGTCACAATTCAAAATTACACTTCACATGGAGGGATGAGAAGAAACTTACTATCAAATCCAATTTGATCCACTGCTTTAACAAACTTCTGATGAAGATCCACAGACCAAACTACTCTAGCTTTCTTTGTGGTAGAATGATCTGCCAATTCTCTGTCATCATGTTGGTTCTCTACATCTTTCCTTTTCTTCATTGAGGTCATTTCTTCAACAGAAAACAGGTTACCATCATCAGACTGATCTGATCCATTTCTCATTAATTGAATGCCCTCAAAACCCTCATGACTTTCAAATTCTCTTGCCTCATGTATCCTCTTTCTAAACACATGCTGCCATATATTTCGTAGTTCTTTCATCCTTATTGGCTTGAGCAGATAATCACATGCCCCATGTTGAACACCTTTCATCACCCTACTTGTTTCCCCATCAACAGACATCACTGTATGATACAACATCACCAAGTGTGGCTACGTGATCAAAAGATTACAACGATATCATTTGAAGAAAAAACTGAGTATATTGTTAAAAGAGAACTGACTAATGACAGGAAGATCCATCTCAAGTCCAACTTGCTCAAGAAGTTTGAAACCATCCATGTCCGGCATGTTTACATCGCTTATGACTATGTCATATGCATCTTTCCTTTCGCGAAGCTTTTTTAGAGCCTCTGTTGCTAAACAACATGTTGTCACTGAAACATATAGATAAAAGTTAGAAGAACCCAAATAATTGTTGTCATAATGAGCATACATAGAGAAAGAGGCACAGGATTTGGTTGATTCCAAAATTTGCTATATTCGGGGAAATTAGCTTATATGAACAGAACAACAAGAAATTGAAGTAAAAAACAGACAAAAGGGGAATTTTAATTTGGAAGTCACTAAGGATGTTGACTGAACAAGGGGCATGAAAGGCCTTCAACTTATTATATTACTTGTAGGCTTCGTTAGTCCAATCTAACTTCATGATTTAGCTTGGTTAACATAATGTAATTGTAAATACCACTGTCCGTGTTATAAAAGCTCTAAGTGATAGCAGTGCTATTCAGATTATTACTCAGATTCCTTCTAAATCGTTCATTCTCTGTGGAGTGATATCACTGGTTGGGTTATATTTCAGGTGGCATAGTGTTCTTATGTGTGTCGTCATATACACTATAAATTTTCATCTTAATTAGTTGCTATGGCTTAACTTTTTACTGCCAAATTAAACCATTTGCTTCCTATTGGTAACTTGGGTTCACTAATATATCATCTCAGAAATTACATAAATGCATCAATTGAAAAGAAACGTTATTCTTGACTTGATTCCCTCTCTCAATTTAAGGAGGCTAAAAGTTGAGGCTAAAAGTTGAGGCTTATCTCAGCTTATCAGTGCAAATAATTGAACCCGAAGTGTAAAGGTGCACTATAAACAAAGGCTTAATTTCTCTACCTACCATTTAAAGACAAGAAACAAAGGCTGAACTGACCAAAAAATAAAATCTGCTTTCAACATCTTACATGCTCTGATGCTCTCAATGATTTTTTTTTTCTTTTATATTTTTTTGAGAGAAAAAAATGTCACATTCATCAGAAACATGAAAGCATCGGAACATAAATCAACATGAGCACATCCCATCACACACTCAAAATTCAGAAAAATAAATAAATAAATAATCAGAAACCCATTAAAGTAAACATACAGTAGAGCAACAATCATAGTATAAATTTCAAAGTAATTAATTAACACCACTTAACAGAAGTAACAGATTGTAAAAATTGATGATGAGCAAAACTAACAACCAACCTTCATAAAAGCACTTCTTGAGCATCTTTTCAAGGATCCTCAACCACGTTGGATCATCATCAACAACAAGAACTCGCAGACCAGCTGGAAAAGCATCGTGGCGTTGAGAAGGGAAGCAACCATTATCCATCTTGTTAGGGAGAAAGAGCCTATGGATCACTGCTTGTGAGTTCAACAAAAAAAAATGGGGTTGGCTTGTTTGAGTTTTAAAATTTAAGGTGAAGAGAAAAAAATACATATGAGAGAGAGAGAGAGAGAGAGAGAGAAAGCACTAACGAATATTAACGGTCCCAGTGGCACACGTTAGTATTATATGTTTTACACTTGTACTTGCACCCTTTTAGGTTATGGTCCTCCAATTTCTGTGCTGAAGAGAATACTATACTAGGAACATGGAACCTGTTTGAGTAAAAGACAGATAAATGCACAATGAGAATGAGATTAAATTTGATGAAAATATGGTAACGTTAATGAACAAAGATATTAGGAGTTAGAAGAAAAATAGTGGGTTGGTTTTGCTTTAACATGTTCAGATTTGAAAAAAAAAAAAAAACTGAGTGGAAAGATTGTTCAAATGAAAAAGTCATTTATCTTCATACTCTTAAAAATGCAACCAAAAAGTTCATTTCTACAAATTGGTGTGAAAATAAAGTGTGTTTGTATTAGCTATTTTGGTTGTTCAGCAAGCTTGAAGCTGCATGTATATTAGGTCTATTCTAATTTTCAAGAGGTGAGTTTATACATCATAATAGCTAGGTGGTTGGTTTGAGTTTCTTTATATATTGTTGATGGGATTGAAGTGGGAGATCTACGGTTTATACAGCTTGAGCAAGAACAAACCAAGAATCAAACCGTATTCTTTACGGAAAAAGATGTATGAGATAGAAATTTATCAGCAAAGGGGACAAGAAATATACATAGAGAGGACATCACCTCTATGTTGTCTCCTAAGGTAGTATCTTTGTTCATGAAAAAGGAAAAATAAGAAAATAAACCGTTTGTGGAAAGGCACGTGGAATGCATTCCAGAGACAAGAGATTATGGTTAATTAGACAATCTAAGACAATTGGAACCCAAATTAACAAGATCAGTTTATTTATGTTTCTTTATTTTCTATGTACACTTACAAAAGTATTTTATAATTATTCAGGAAAGGGTATCAAAACAATGTTCAAAAGATGTATGGGCTATTTTAGTTTTGTTTTTTTCGTATATTACAAACTGAAATTGATGTAAGCCTATGTCATAAATGGAAAAAGAATTACTGAAGCTGTGCGCTTAAATTTTCCAATTTATTTCCACTGTAGCCAGCTAGGTTTCAAAATTTTGGAAGTCCAAGTCTTGTTGGGCTCCAACAAGAGTACGGTGGGAATTTCTATTTACACCCTCTCTGTTTTTTTCTGAAAATTTAATTTATAATTTTCTTTCAAAATTTAATTTTAAAAGTAATTTATAAATCGATGAAAGGTGAACAGCAGAAAGGCTTCCTCATCTCACCACTAAAGTTATAATTTGTAGTTAAAAAATTATACTTGTATAAGTAATTGATTGAATAAAATTATTTGTTAAAAATTTATAATTGTGTAAGTAATTGATTGTGTTAAATGATTAAAAATAACATATAAAATTACTAAGTTCTAAGCTATTATAAAAGTTTTTGAAACTTAATAGATCAACCTATTTAAATAAATACTGGTAGTATTAATAATTTTGTAACTTTCAAACAAATAAACCGGTGATTGGACAAATACTCTGCTTAGCCAATGTGCTTATGCCATGCCAATGTTCTTCTAATAAATTAATCTATTAAAAGTTACTCATTTTGTTTCAGTGTTTAGTATTGAAGAAACATAATTAAGGAGATAGAAAGAGAATAGAATAATTGAGTCCCCTGATTTCAGTAACTCAATGATTTTGGTCCAAAAACTTTAAAATAAAGAAGTAAGTGCATGAAAACCTTTTTTTATTGTCTGATGCCCAGAAGCCCTTATGATCTCAAAGCAACTTTACGTACTTGGAACTTTATTTTATGGTTAATGGTGCAATTTTATACGACATATATGTCTTGACATCCAACATTTTCTTGTTTAGAAACCCATGTTGTCAACACTTAAATGATGGACCCCAAAAAAAACAGAGCATTCTAATTCTAACCAAGACAAAGCACATCCAAACGCAGATGGACAAAACATCAGTGTCAGGTCAAGAGTCGAGACTCCCTAATACCCCAAGTGAGTTGTTGTCTATGGTCCATTGGTGCGTGTTTTTTCCGCTTTGTTAATAAACAATAATCCTTCTAATGTAATCATGTAAAATAATTTTTTTAATCTCCAAACAAAAATTTAAAGGTGTTTTTTATGAGTAGAATATATTAAATATGTGGACCAATTATAAAAAAGTTATTTCAGCTTAAAATGTGATCTTGAATTCAAATATCAATAAATACAATTGTGTTAAATACTCATAAAACAATATTGCTGCTTTTATTCTTCCTCCAATAGTGTAAAAAAAATAAATTAAACTAAAAATACTAATATATAATATGACACATGATATTGATTTTTAATGGTTAAAATAATAAAATTCATTTGTAAAAGTAAAAGTAAAAGTAAATATTGTAGTGGAAACTTAATCACCACAATGAAAAATAAATGTGACCACTGAGCAGGCTCAATGCAAATAATAAACAAAGGTAGGTGAAAAAAGGATTGAATTTGGAACACAGCATAGATAATTACTAAATATTAATGGAGGATGCACTGAAACAAACCAAAATCAAAATCATCAGCAGGAATCCAATTATCCCATGGGATGATAATCAATAGAGCTATTACGTGCCCCATAATGACATATGATTACCCAATCAAAGCAAATTATAACCCACATTATATATTTTATGCTTACTAAAAGAATTGAAAAGAAAAGAAAACGAAAGAAACAATGTTACAACTTACAACTGTTGTGTACCAATGTAGGGATTGACAGGTAGCTAATCACGTTCATTGATAGAGGCCACGATCTCCCTACCAATATAACATTTGAAGGCCGTGATAGCTCCATTTGCAGCGCACAAGAGTCTTAAAAGGTGGCATCTTCTTTAAACCTTTTTTAAACAATGGTTTATTTGAACCAATGACCACTTAATTAAGTTCAGTGACCAACAGCAACAAGAGCAATGCGCACTTGTATTTTATTTTATTTTTCTATTTATTCTCTTTCAGTTTTCTAGTACAGCATTAAAAGTATAAAGAGATGAATGCTTGTGAGTCATCTCATTTCAAGGCCAATGTATGCTATATATGCATTAAAGTCTACAGAGAAAATTTACCTATTGAAAATCTTCAATCTTATAAGATAAGCTAACTCTTATTCACTCATACTTTTGATTTTTGTCGGGGAAAAAGTTTGTTTTGGAGGTTTCACTTTCAGGTTTGGGGCTAAAGGTTTACTTTTGTTGAGTGGGATGGGGGTACGGAAGAGGTTTTAGGAAAAGAAGTGTAGTAAGCAAAAATTGAAAGACCCCAAAAAGGAAATTCCCACTAAGAAATTCTTTATGATAAGGAGAGAATTAATTTATATAAAGAGAGGATGGTGAGGCGGCGAATGATTGGCAACTCACAAAATAGAAAGTGGATCAACTCCATGCAACTTCTACTAAGTGGAGCATAGCTTTTCATTTGTTTAATGCAAAGTTAAGAAAATGGTTTTGCCTTATTCTCCCTTGTTATGCTTTTTCAGTTGCTCTTTACCTGTATATTCTTTCTCTTTCTTTTTCTTTTGGATTTTATTTACTTTTCATTGTGAAATTTATCACTCTTCTTCCTGTTACTAAGAATATGCTGAATAATGCAATGAGCGACTTCCATTGGGGGAATAAACTCTCTCCTAAATCCTAATCATTTGAGCCACTTGCTTTTTCATATTTTTAACCCTACCATTGTGCCAAAACTTGTCATGTGTTTAGTGTGTAGTTGGGTTGGTTCTTTTGTTCTTATTGGAACTCTTTGATCCAATCACTTATCACTTGAGACATTTTCTATTTGCAGGGAAAAGTTGATAGCAATGGATCCAATAGCCCAATATGCACAAGACAGTTATTGGGTCTTTGATAAGGAGTGTGGGTATGTTTAAACAGCTCAATTGGCTATTTTGGTCTGCAACAAAGTGAATATATTGACCAAAAATAAAATAAAATAAAAATAGGCCAGAAATAATGTAAATTTTGTTTGCCCAATTTAGCTAGACAACTTGATACACACCCACAATTCACTGAGTCAACAATACATTTTAAAAAGTTATAATTGCAAAAAATCAATTACAATATTTTAACATTAGAGGATAAATTTAACAATTTAATAGAAGTATATACACTAACATAATATAATTATACCTTCCATTCTCAATAGCATCCCTAGCTTTAACTGCAGTTGGAAAAATGGGTGTTTTGAATGATTTCATGATCTATGTTCGTAAACATATGAAGTGTAGTTCAATGGAATCCAAGTCGTCAGTTGCTTGAAGGGTGAATGATCAGTAAACAAAATGAAAATACATCCTCGAAAGAAATGATTGTGATAATCCTCTTTATCTCTTTGGTGTGCTCATGTTCCCAATGCCTTTCTCTTGACCAATTTTTTTTTAATATTGACTGAATAAGACAAAATATTAGTGATAGTTCCATAATAAGGAGAAAATTTCGATGAAGTTTATGAATTATTAATGAATTGAAATTTGAGGGGAAAAATAGAACTTTCTGATTGGAAATTGATAGTAGTTGTCACTTAGCTCCATATTAGCAATAAAACAAAAAGTAAAAATAAAAAGTTCAAATTGAGGAGTTCTAAAAAATGTTTCCACGTCCATAAGATTTGTGGTTTTGGTAAATTCTATGGTTGGAACGGAAGACTTTGGCTTTTGTTTTCGAATCAACTTCTTGCTTTAAACTTTTAACTTAAATCCATTTGGGAAAAAAAATGGTTCAGTGATAGCTCCATAAATTATAAAAGGAAAATGTTGGTGATGTTTATGAATTATTACACTAACACGCTACTCAATAATTATTTTTAAATCTATGGACCACATCATGAATTGATATTGAACAAAAGTTAGAACTTGCTTGCTGATGGTTAGAAATTTGGAGTAGTTTCCACTTAGCTATCTTATTAACAATAAAATACAAAGGTTCAATTTGAGGCCTTCTGAAAAAAAATCCAATGGCCAGAAGATTTGCTTTGAAGACTTTCTTTTCTGTTTTCGAATCAACTTCTTGCTTTATAAAAATAAAATAAAATAAATTTTAAAGATAACTTTGCTTTTAGATCAATTTTTAAAATACTATTCCTGATTTTGAAGCATTCTCAAGTAAATCTCTCCTTTTTCTTTTTGTTTTTTTAAAACAAAAATGTATGACTCAATTATTTGTAAAATTGTAACCTATTTTTATATATAATTAGTAAATCTTAATTGTTAAATAAGAATATTTTTAAGTCATTTTCAATAATATTTAAATTTATTTAAAATTTTAATATTAATGCAATGATATCCATACAATATAATAAAAAAAATCTTAATAATTTTTTATTTTATCTTCCCTCGTTTAAAGGAAAGCTAACTTGACACAATAATTGGACAGGATATTAATTGTTAGGTGAGGAATATTAGTAAATTAGTTAAAAATTATAAAAATAATGCGAGTCTTACTATTTTTTACTCCTAATTTAACATTTTATTCATTTACTTTTGTAATTTCCAAAAAAATTTAATTAATAATTAAAAAATGTTAAAAAATATAATACTAACATTCTGCATCAAATCAAACTATTAGTACCATGTCCAACTATATAGTTATTTCAAGATATTTAATTATTTACAGATTTATTTTATTCGACTAAACTTCTCAATTAGCCTTTTGGTGCCACAATTTTTTCTTAAAGAGAATTGCTAATTGAGATTGTAGCATTGAGTTTGGGGGATCAATTATATGCTGAAATAATATTTTATTAAAAAATTATAAATATTTAATATGATCGTGATTTTTAATGTATTTTAAATCTTACAATTTTCAGAAAAAATTATTATATATATTTTTTATTGTGTGTCCTTAAACATACATTAAAACAGTTCTTTTATTTAATGTCTGTGAGTTTATCTCCCTTCAAGTGAAAATCTGATGGATCAATGTCCTTACCGACTTACATCTTCAACCCTTGTAGTGGATAGCTTAAATCTAATGGATCAAGTAGCCAGTAAAGATTGTTTTGATGAGATTTTGTTTATGTTTTTCACAATGGTCTTCATTAGTAGTTCATGTGCCTAAAACCTTAGGCATATCTTCTACAAAACTTCTTGTCAAACCAAAAATACCATTCCCACTCGTGTCCATCAAAACTATGCTATTCCTCACAGGCGAATCAATAAGATTCCAGTCAAGGAAAGCGTCAAATGATCGCTGAAATGAGCAATAAACATTAAATATTCCTTTCTCCTAAAGCCTTTGGCATACTCTAGTCAATTAATGAAAACTAATCTTTTGCAGTTTTGACGCCAACTGGGTGTATTTTTGCTTAAAAGAGCAATCTGTGTCAAAACTGTAGAGAATATAATCCTCAATTAACAGGGAGAAATATTGCTTATTTGAATGCCAACTTGCTCTCAATGCAATTCGAGGGTCAGAATAGAAAATCACAATGTTGTTAAAATATCTAGTTAGGCATAGAAAATATTCTGATTTAACCACAATATAACTTGACATTTCTTTTCAACAAATGTCCTATCATCTAGGGAAACTCACACTTTCAACTATCATAATAACAAGTAATAATTGAATTAATACAGAGAGAATATTTTGACCTTGCTGACATCCCTTCTTTTCACAACATATCCATATGTTCAGCAAATTACATAAAAACACATTCTACAGTGATGAATGAATAATGTGTTGTAATACATACACATAATCAGATTGAATAATGCAGATATTGAGAGAAAAGGATGTCTGAGCATGTACAAATACCTCAGAACAACAGCTCAACGTCAAGAATGAGATGGTCAAAACAGCTAGGAACCCTCCATTGCATACTTCACCTTACATTGGCCATCAGCTCAGCAGTTTACCCAGTCACGGCATCTTTTTTAAATTTTAGAAACAACCTGCATCACTTGAAAGAAGTTAAAGGATCATTTTGCCAAAAGAGAGAATCCCAATACAAGCATGAACAGCAAGAAAATTGACATCGACGGAAAAGAATTTAACCTCCTGAATCACATGAACCATCGGCAATAAAAAATGAAGTCCAAGAACAAGAAACTGTGAAATTAACAAGAGGCTGTTTGGGCAGCCGCAGTGGTGGAGACAACGATTGCCTCATTTCTTGCAGCATTTGACGCAGCAATCTCTTCTATGGTCTTCCATGTGGCTTCATGTTTTGGTTTTCCCTCTTCTAATTTCACTTCATCCTCCTGGAACTTATGCAAGCACTCCTCAAATAACTCGGGGTCAACATCAGAGAAGATTTTATGAACATTACGTGCCAAATTCTGGACTACCTGATTCCAGTGGGCACGGCCACTTTTCTCCAATGCAGGGAAGATAATAGGAAGTATTACTTTGCGGTTTTGTCTGATTAAACTCTCGATATGATCGTTGTTCCACAAGTAAAGAGCCCTCTCTGCCACCTGTAAAAGAAAGTATATTTCAATAGGGACAAGATCATCATAAATCCAACAGTCTTCATCATACGGAGAATACTGTTTTAGAACAAGATCATTATTAGGTCCAAGATTACAAAACTGTCACTTGTTACTGAATTCTGACCAAGAATCAATAAGGAAAAAACTTGATCAATACTGTTAAGCGGCAAATTACACTTTGACCACCAATGATAATTTGGCCACACCATCACAACCCTCACACAAAGACCTTACCCATACATACTCCAACATTATCAACCACCCAAGACATTTCACAACATCTAATGCATCTTTTGAGCATCATCTCTACTTCCACCACATATTAGAAGAGACGTATATCCAAGATAGCAGCACAATTCAAAGGTTAACAGAATAGATATATCTTTTAAGATGCTGCATAAGTATAAATATAAGTCAAGAATAGAAACTTGTTTTGTAACATCAGTATAATCAAAGATGTTTGCAAAGTATAGGATCATCATAAAGCCCACTCTTTATAAATTAATTGAATATAAATTCCTTGTCCTGCAAGCCACAATACTAGCAATGTAGCAATTGGAAAATTGAAAATTCAGGAATCCCAACTGTAAGTTACAGATAGCTTGAGGAACCCCTGCAGGCCCTATCATTGAAACCCTAATTCTTACCCACCAACTGCATTATATTAAACATCATGGAAATATATCAAAACACCATATGATCAAAGGACTTGATACAAGTACACTGAAAATAAGTGCAAGACAAAGGTATTACATGACATTGCCAAATGCATATGTCTAGGTAATTAAGAATATTACCAACGACTGTGACAATACTAACTGATCAAAATTATCTTCAAAGCAAGAACACTTTTTATGCCATAATGAATTCATACTAACATTGTCATCATTTTTTTGTTTGTTTGTTTTGAATGCCTACTCAGACCTAACCTAGGTCAATATCTTAATCTACAATTCTTCCCAAATCAAAATCTCTTAACGCATTGCTAAAATAGAAAACTGTTCCAAGTCTAAAATCAATATTATATTGCAAGGTTGATTTATAGTGTCACAAATCAGAACATAAAATAGAACTTGGTCATTGTTGAGTTAAAAATGATTTATGATCCTAAAAATCAATTTTCAAGGATTTTGATAATCTTTCAAAAGGTAGTTTATGCCCAATCACTTACAGATGAAGGAGAACTCAAAAGCATTATTAAAAACAAAGATAACTGAAAAACTTGAATTTTGCAAACAACAGTCTGCTAGTGATTGGCCATCTTTGACCCAAAAATATGTGTCCCCTGAGAAATATTAGTAAAAATGAAATTACATTTAATGTAAGAAACATTTTGCAACAAAATAGTTGCAAGGCAGGCAATGACAAGAACAAAAGCACTAGCGGATTGTTCTAAATTGGTCAGTACCTGAAAGTGTGAGCTGTTCAAGCAATGAGCAATTCGATAGAATAGAGGCACCATACATCTTTGGAATTCTACTGGCTGAGTAGCTTCTAGAATTTCCTCTAGCTCAGTGAGGAACATGACTTCCTTTGAACTATTAGTGATGGGCCAGTATTTCAGCAAACCCCTTATTACAGTATCTGCAAGCTTGCAGTCTTTTTCCACAAACTGTGTAATGCAGTATGACAACTGCTGATGGTACATAGCTAAGCATTTTGGTTTATGAAGAGGGATTAAAGCATGAGCAAGAAACAGTTTATGCTCTTCTTTCAATGGCAAAGCAAACCCATTAATTATACTTCCCAGTACCTCAAGAAGCTCAGCAATCCCATTAAATTTTTCTGTTTCAAAAATAAAGCAGAAGAATATATTATTAATATATTTCCTAATAAATGGGCGATGTACCATAAACTTCCCATAAATCCGATGTAGGATAGTTTTCAGATATTCCCTCTCCCTTGGATCATCAGAATCAAAAAGATCTAACAATCTGAGAATAAAAGAGTGGTCAATATATCTCTTTGCTAACTTTGTATCAGTTTCAGGAGATGCAACAAACCTAAGAAGAAATTCATACACAATTTGCAAGTGAGACCATGCAGGGTCCACTAGTGGTTCCTCATCCTCCAGATCAAAGGCTTCCAGAACCTTATTATCACGAGGCTGTGGATTAAGTGACCTGAATAAGTTTGCAGATACCATCTGGATAGCTTCTTGCATAACAGTTTCAGTAAATTTCCCATTTACAGCAGTAACATATTCCACCAGCTCAAGCAATGTCTGTCTTTTGATTTCTTTTTCCTTCATATTCTTGGTTGAGTCAGTGAAGTCAAACACTCCACAACACAAATTCAGTTTTCTGATAAATAAGTTTTGCTTCTCCGAGTTGGGAACATCCCTAAAACTTGGCAATGCTTCATACAGAGTAGCCATTGCATTAACATTACCATTCTCTTTTGAGTTCACCACTGCGGGAACACTACTCCCTTGGCCGTAAGCTGAGATGGAAGCAACATCAGGGCCATGATTAGATGTGCTGTTTGAGATCACCGGATCACCTGTGACTACATCAGCTGCTCTTGTACCAGTTGTATTGAGGGATGGGGTTGATGAAGCCCCAAATTCACGATTATCAGCCGACTTAGAAGGCTTCCGAGGAAGCCTACCTAGTATTTGTTTGATCATATTTTCAAATCTAAGTTAATAGGAGAAGATCCTACAACCAAAGTCAGCTATTTTTGCAGCCTTCAGAGAAGTGCTCAATGCAACAATAACACAATATCAGAGCTTTCACAGTGAGGGAAGCTAAGCATAACTAAAATCCATTTGCAGTCAACACATAAGTAGACATGAAGGAGCTGTGCAAATTGAAACACCAAGAACAGGTAGTAAGTACCCTTGGCCGTTCCCAGATAATGAACAATACCCAGAAGCATTAACCAAGCATCAAAGCAACCATTTGTTCTGAAATATCTTCCTCACACAGATTAGGGAAAGACCCTTTAGCCTAAAGAGCAATTTGGCACCTGAATTGACACCCTTTGACCCCAACTCAGGGAGAGAAAACTAAGCTGTACCTTCACAAGTGCAAAAAATATCTTTTTATTTTTTGTTCAGGATCGTTAGAACTTATAATTGAATATTGTTAGAGTATCAACTCAAGAGAGAGTTTTGAAAACCATACTAACCTCTTTGCAAAGTTGCAGCTGAACCCTCAAGTTAATGGCAGTTAAGTGGTCTGCCTGTGATCCAGAACACCAACGTTGTACTTGATCGTTAACGTGGTACACTACTAGTATGGGACACAAAACAACCGTGTGAGAAAAAAATTTGTTTTTATAGTACCTTCAGAACTTAGACAGTAGTGTGATAGGAGAATGAATCACAGGCGAAAAAATGAGAAAGAGGAATCTTTTGATTATTTCGTAATGAAACAAGGACTTGGAGACAAGGTGAAGAAGCGGAACACTATCCCAGAAAATATCATCCAAAAATAAATATTAAATATAAACTGGGATTGATTGAAACAGCCTCTGGGATTTTATTTTCTTTTTCTTTACCCTGTTAAATCATTAGATGGTTAAATGAAAATAGAAAATAGTTAATAGAAAATAAAATGTTAAAAATATTTAAAAGTAATAATTAAATATTTTTAATTAATACATATTTAATTATAAAAATTTTACATTAAATAATATTTTATATTTAACTTTTTAAGAATTAATTATTTGTTAATTTTAAAATATAGTTACATACGCTGATTGTATTACTATAATTATTTAATTCTTAGCATTCATCTGCATCAACCATTCAACTATACAACTATAATAATTTATGACCTTGATTGAATGTATTCTAAAAATTAATAATAATAAAAGTATAATTTGATAATTTTTATTTATTTTGAAACTATATACTTTTAATGAAATATTAAGTAATTTTATATTGGTGTAGATTTTTATACGTAAATTTGTGTAATAAAAAATTTCAATAAAAGTTAAGAGGAAATTGTGTTACGTGTGATCTATGTTTATTTACAGTTTTATTTTAATCTTTCACACTTTGAAAATGTATAATATTTTTTAATGACATTTTTATGACGTGTTTGATCCATGACTCGTTTTATTTAATAAAATGATTATCTCACATATTTAAAACATCAAATTTAAAATACACAACATTTGAAAATTGAGACCTAAACTTCACATTACGTAAATTCAAGGTTGTTAATTATATTTTAAAATTTTTATTTAAAATAAAATAAGCTAGTTTTTAATTTAAATCATGTGATGAATTTTTTTTAACATTCAATTGAACAATTAATTAAATAGTTATCTTATGAAAATATTATTAAAAACTATAAAATAATTTTGACACTTTCACTAATATATTTTATTTTGTTTATATAGGTATTGATGACCGATAAAGTTCGACACAATTAATAAATAGTTGGGATATTTAAATAGGATGACGTGTTTTTTTCTCACAAACTAAAGATTAACCGATAATTTTGTGTATATCTGAAAAAGATATTTTATGAGGGGGTTTATCCATTGAGTGTACTTTTAAGGTAGATAAATAAATAAAAAAAATCGCATATAAAATTAATTATAATAATTTAAATAATAAAACTAAAAAATAATAACGTAGCTTCGTGGATTATCCGTGCACAGACATGCGAGGTTGCCGAATTGGGAGGGAATGAGCCTTAGACAGGAAAAATATCAAATAAGCAATAAATTGTACGTTGTTTTCAAATATGGATTGCGTTACTTTATTGATAGGTTTCTTTGATTTTTATGTTGCCTACTTATTTTATCTTTTTTATAGTTCTACTCAATCCATCCGTGAAACACGTGGGTATTAATATTATCTCCAAAAGTTTCAAATATAACTTTAATTACCCTCTTTTAAATTTATAATCGTACAATATACATGTATACATTTTTTTATTATTTTAATATAAATTTAGTTTATATTAATTTAATCTTTTTAAATATATGTGATATCAAATAAAGAATGAAACAAAACATTCTCTTACATCTCTGAATAAAATTTATATGGATTTTCGTATTGCAAAGATAATAAATATTTTTTATAAAAAATTATTTTTTAAAATAATATAAAAAGTATAATATATATATTATAATAAAAATATTAATATTGATGTTTTATTTATTTATTTGAAAGTATGATAAAGAAATTATTTTACTATTTAAAAATAACCATATTAATGTTTTCATTATTATAACCATATTTTCTAAAGCTAAGTAATATAATTCATTTTAATAATTTAAATGAATATTTATGTACTCAAGTCATTCAATAATGTAAATGCCATATTACTGACATTTCAAAACAGAATTTCTTCAAATGTATCAATACATGTGAAACATAATCATTTTTTATTTTATTTTTTAAAAAAATTTAAAATTGAGAAACAATTTCTATCTAAATAATGATATTTAACATCGTTTATACTTATTACTTAATTATCTGGTTTTTAAAAGCCATTGACGATTATATTTAATCTTTATTTATATTTATTTTCAATTATTTTAATTTTTTATATTCTTTTCATATAAATTTTATATATAAAGTAAATTTTAATTAAAATATTTAAAAAGAAAAAATATTTCATTTATATTTTATAATTAAATAAAAACAATATTATAAAATTGAATCTTAAATGTTAATTTAATTTAAATAATTTTTAATTAGATAGAATTAAAATAAATTTTAAAGTTAGCATAAACGCATATAAATTGAACTATAATATGTTTTTGCAATTAAATTAAATATTTTTTTATCCAAAAGTTATCTATCTAATCTAATATGCGGAACGTTTTGATTACCGATTGAACCACACAACAGGAATGCAAGTCAATTGCTGTGGCTGGTGCTGAGTAATCCATCGCCTGAAACCTAATGGCTCCAAAGCCCAATCCGAAGCCCAAAACGGCGTCGTCGCAGGCTCCTCCTCCTCCTCCTCCAATCGAAGATCTGTTCACAACGCTCAACAGGCACATCCAAGCTTCCGCATTCGACAATGCCGTCAAACTCACAGATCAGAGTTCGTTAATTTCTCTTCTCTTCTTAAACGCCTTTCATTTCATTTTCATCCCGAACGTGCCTTTGTTTTTTCATCCCTAACTCGTTCGCATCGCAGTTCTCGCTATTGCCCCTGATGACGTGGACGCGCTCCGATGCAAGGTCGTCGCGCTGATCAAAGGCGACCGCGTCGATGATGCGCTCTCCGCCATTCAATCTTCTCGGATTTCGTTCGATGATTCGCATTTCTTTAAGGTACGTCGGTTTCCACTCTTACTGCTTTGATTTTTGCTGATTTTAATTGTGTGTGCGCGCGCGTGTAGTTGGGCTAGGGATTGAATGAAAGCTGGTTGCGATGCAAGAAACATGGAATTTTTGGGGGGGATTATCCTTTAGTCTGAGAGAATGTATAAACACTGTGACTGTCAAACATCATTATCGAACATGCATATTGTTATGAAGTTATTATCGAATCTCAGAAATTTGATCTTGCAATTTCTTTTTTGGTTGTGAACTTGATGTTTTCGACTGCTGTGTGGGGGGAATAACCACTTTTTCCAACTTGTGTTTGTTATTTACTTCTTAGATGATTGAAATTACTAATAAGTGAACTTGATACTCAACAAAAGGTCGATTGATTTTTCCGTGATTTGTTATTTTTTGCATGTTCTTGTTTATGGTGTATGGTTTCCATTGGTTGTATACTTGTATTATATGATTCAATATTGACTGTGCCAGTGTAGTTTGTTTATAAATCGTAGTCCATATAGAGGCTCCACTGCTTTTAAAAGAAAACCATATGGATTCCATTGTTTTGAAAGGTTCATACTATCAAGAATGTACTTATTTCAGAGAAAACTTTGTTTAAGTTCATCATAGAATTACTCTGCACATGATCTATTGGAATGCGTAATTGCTTATCATTGATTGGAGTTTTTTACTTTGTTCCGTCTAAATAGGGATACTGCTTATACAGACAAAACAAGTTGAATGAAGCTTTGGAGTCTTTGAAAAGACAAGAGAGAAATGATGAAACGATGCTTCTGGAATCTCAGATATTGTATCGTCTCGGGAAAATGGATGCTTGCTTGGATATCTACCAGAAGCTCCAAAAATCCAAGATTGATAGCTTGGAAATAAATTCTGTTGCTGCCCTAGTTATGGGTGGCAGGTCATCTGAAGTTCAAGGAGTGCTGGATTCACTTCGGGTTAAAGCAACAAGCAGCTTTGAGTTGGCATACAATACTGCTTGTTCCTTAATTGAAAGGAAGAAGTACACAGATGCTGAACAGCTTTTGTTGTCAGGCCGAAGGTGATATGCTATTTTGATTACGGAAACCATGATATCGAACAAATTTACCTGCATTTTCATGGGTAAATATAATATTATAGTGGTACAATCTTCTTGTTTTATCGCTGTGATGTGTGTGCAGTACGACTCAGTTGCCAGATACTATATCTACAGCACTTCATGATCACATACTGGTGAATTCTAGATCTTTGTTTTTAGAAGTTTTTATGTACTTGCATGTTAAGATACAAATTTGTATCATTTGATCTTTGACCAATAGTAATAGGATCTTTATTTTGGGCAACTGAGTATGATTAGAATGCCAGGTGTAAGTAAAGAACTCCCACATTGGAAAGTGTGCACAAACTGAGGTCCATATAAAAAGATTCATGAATCTATTGCTTCATGGTTTTGGGTTAAGATATGGTGTTGGGCCTGCTGGTGTGGTCTTGGTAAGCCTGTTGGATTCAGATCTCCCTGGTGTTTTGGGAATCTGGATGTCTTTGACCATAACGAGTGGTATTAGAGCTGAAGGTGACAAGACTGTCACCAATATTGAGATTTTTTGATAAATCAGCTCATGTATTTTGATTAGGGTTAATTTTGTTGATGGTTATCTTTATTAATCGTTGGTGATCTAGGAAATCTAAAGGATTTGAGAGAATCTGAAGTATCTTTGAATCCTTGGTGTGTTTTTCATTCCCTGGTCAACTTAAATTGGTTATGTTAATTGTGATAGACCCTTGGTAATGAGATGTGTGTGAGGAAGGCTAGAAACACAGGCAATGATTTGGGCCAAGGGTACAAGAATGAGAGGATAGGAAATATTCAAGCTAATGACCTGCAACTAATAGTCTGCCTGCCGTGGTTGTGGGAAATGGGTGAGAAGGAAAATTTAATTTGGGTAGGTGGGGATAAATGTGAGGAGGGCAGAGAGTAAGGGGATGGAGTTATTTAGTGAGGAATTATGGTCTTTTAGGATAGGGAGGAACCAGGTCCTCAAAGTGATGTAGTGTTTCTATCTTAAATTTTTGGTTTGATGAGTGTGAGGAACCTGTGGTCCTTATCTCTGTAATTTGGGGATATATCCCTCCCAGTGTTGTCAAGATCGTGAGATTGCACAATCTTTTTCCGTCTTTTTGATCTTAATTGCATAAAGGATCGCATTAGGATCGTGATCTTTCTTCCAGGGATCGTACGATCAGTGATTTGATCAAAGATTTGATTGTGTGTGCGGGTTAGTGTGTTGGGTTTTACAACCCCGAATGGAAAAAGCTTGTTTCCCATATATTTTTGTGCTGGACCATTTCATCTTGTGTGACTAACGTCTTCTAGTCCTAGGTTGGAATGTTTTTGCTCGTTCTTTCTTAGTTTAAAAACCACCTCGTACTGCATAGTTTTTCGTTTCTCGCTGACACTACTTTTGTATGTGGCACTGTTCGTGGGTCCTTTGGTTTCTGGTTTTCTGCTCTTTGCTAATGCTTTTGTTTATGGCTGCTATTCATGGGTACTCTGTTTTCTGGACTTATGTTTGCATTTCTTATGAAAAACTTATAACTTTTTTGGGTAATTGAGTTGTATTGGATCTTAAGCTCATTAGTTTTTAGTTTATATTTAGTTGAAGTATGTGGTTCGGAGGTTAATTTCAATATCTATGCTATTTTCTATACATATGTATATGATTATGTATAATTTTGTATGTTTGGTAGAATCTCATGATCCTATGATATACAATCACGTACCCCACCCCTCCAGATTCTATGTAGGATCCTAATTTTGACCACTTTGGGAAAGGACTATTTTATCCTTGAAAAACTTTAAACTGGGTGGGCAAAAGGGGAAAACCAGAGACAGAGACATGCCACTACGAATGCCATGTTTTTCTTCTCCCTTTCTCTGTTCGATGCTCCCTTCCCCCATCTCCATCTCTGTTTTGAGGGTAGAAGGGAAATTTGGCATTCGTAGGGGGCATGTCGCTGTCTCTGTTTTGCTTCACAACTTCAAATACACCTAACCCCACTTTGTCTCCATGTTTTTCTTCCCCCTTATCTGTTCCACGCTCCCTCCCCTCATTCTCATCTCTGTCTCTATTCTGCTTCGCAACTATCTCCAGTCCAGCGGAGCCACCCATCTCTGATGGCTTCTTTGTTAAATCCACTTCCTTTCTTCTCTCTATTCTTCGGTTCTGCACTGCTGCATCTGGTATGTTCTCTGCTGTGTCTTCTAATTATGCATATGTATATATTGTATATTCATATAAAAAAATTAAAATAGCAGTATCCTACTATACACTATCTTGCTATAGCATTTTGAGGGTAGTTTGCTATGCACCATTAGCTGAGATTGATAACTGTGGTGCTAATGCTATATGATAGGGAAGATAAAATAGTAAACGTGGTAGATTGTTTTAATTAAATTTTGCATTGATGTTATTGTCTGTTTTACTTGTATCTTAGTGTTCTTTACTTCAATATTTATAACCTTCTAAGTTAAGCCATGTACTTATGTTTACTCATATTTTGGATCAGAATTGGTCAAGAGATCCTGATGGAAGATAACTTCCCCGACGATGAAATAGAAATTGAGTTGTCCCCTATAGCTGTACAATTAGCTTATGTCCAGCAGGTAAATGCTCTGGTTTCTCACAATTTTATTTCTCCTTCAAACAAGTATTATTTTTCATGAGTCAGAAATATTAATCTATGATAGATGAACAGCTTCTTGGGCGTAAGCAAGATGCTATTGGAGCTTATACCGACATAATTAAACGAGATATGGCTGATGAATCATCAATTGCGGTGGCAGTGAACAATCTTGTTTCACTGAAGGGTCCGAAAGATGTTTCTGATAGCCTAAGGAAACTTGACCGACTAAAAGATAAAGAAGCTCAAAGCTTTCGCCTTGCTCGTGGACTGGACTTGAAACTTTCAGCAAAAGAAAGGGAAGCAATATATGCAAATAGGGTCCTTTTACTTCTTCATGCCAATAAGATTGACCAGGTCTTTAATCTTTCCTTGTCTTCCAGTCGTTCTCTTCATTGAATTATCAATTATGTGTCATTCATTAATGTTTTAAAACTTGGCAAGGAAGCATGCTGTTGATGATTGCTGTACTATTAAAATTTGTAGGCTCGAGACCTTGTTTCTGGATTGCCAGACATGTTCCCAGAAAGTGTGATACCAGCATTGCTGCAAGCTGCCCTCTTGGTTAGAGAGAACAAAGCTGGAAGGGCTGAGGAAATACTAGCACAGTTTGCCGGGAAGTTCCCGGAGAAGTCCAAGGTTCTTTACTTAGCCAGGGCTCAGGTGGCTGCTGCTGCTGGCCACCCCCATATTGCAGCTGATTCTCTGGCTAAGATATCAGATATCCAACACATGCCTGCTACTGTTGCCACCCTTGTGTCTTTAAAAGAGCGAGCTGGTGACATTGATGGTGCAGCTGCTGTGTTCGACTCTGCTACTAAATGGTGGTCTAATGCTATGACTGAGGACAATAAGCTTAATATTATAATGCAAGAGGCTGCCTCCTTCAAGCTCAGGCATGGCAGGGAAGAGGATGCTGCTCAACTCTATGAGCAGCTCGTTAAAAGCCAGGGAAGCATAGAAGCACTAGTTGGGCTAATCACAACAGTTGCCCGCATGGATGTTGTAAAGGCAGAGCTTTATGAAAAGCAACTGAAGACCTTACCTGGTTTAAAGGGAATTGATGTGGAGAACTTGGAGCGGACTTCTGGAGTGAAGCAAGTTGAGGGTCCTTCACATGGTGGTGTCACTGAAACATATGAGGAAGGAAAGAATAAAACAAAAGCTAAGAAAAAGAGAAAAAGAAAGCCAAGGTATCCTAAAGGGTTTGACCCCGCAAATCCAGGTCCTCCCCCAGATCCAGAAAGGTGGCTTCCCAAGCGGGAGAGATCAACTTATAGGCCCAAGAGGAAGGACAAAAGAGCTGCTCAAGTAAGAGGGTCTCAGGGTGCTGTAGCCCGAGAAAAGCATGATACAGGTGCCTCGTCCAACAATTCAAATCCAAAATCAAACCAGGGAACTGCTTCCAAAGGAGCCACGCAGAATGCCGTTTCTGAGCAAACCAAGCCTTCATCCAAATCAAGAAAGAAGTCTAGAAATTAAATATACATGGTTTTTTTATAAACTTTCTTTATCTCTGACAATTTGTTAATGCTGCTTTCAATGACTTAGCTGAGGGTCCATACATAGATTATGTGGGTTCAATTTGAAAACCGTCAGTTTTGGTTGGAGAAATGAGTACATTTATTAGATGCTGCCATCGAAAGATTGTCGTGCGTAGTTTGTTTGAGATTTTGGGGATTCATGGAAATATTACCTCTCTTTTTAGCTAAATGCCTATGATCATTTCCTCTGAATTAGATATGCGCTTTTGCAATTGCTCTATACCTCTAGTATATTATCGGTGTAAATTTACATTATCATATAATTTATATAATATACTAAATTTAATTCACTTCTGCCCACGTGGGACAAGGAGAATTTTTTAAAAGCTTTTCAAAATAATAAATTTTACATTATTCTTTAGTTTTAATTTTTTTAATAATAAATGAACAAATTAATTTAATTGTATTAATTTCTCTAATTACTAATTGACAAAGAATTGAAAATTTCTTTTCACCTTAAATAAAATGTAGTTAAGGTTTTAATGAATATTTTAAAAATAATTATCTATAAAATTATGGAGTAAGAGTTAATATTTCTTTTTGAAAATATTTAATAATCAAAAAATCTTTGAATTAAAAATACAATATAATAATTCAAATAAAAAATAAAAAATGATTTAAATTAAATATTAAATTATATTTTATATTATATACTTCTTAATTATGCCAATTATAAGAGAGTTTTAAATATAAATAAAATTATTTTAATAAAAAAAAATCATAAAATTTAAAATTTAATAAAATAGTACAAACAAAAACAACAAATAATTTAATCTAATATTCAATCAAACTATTTGTATTTTTTATTTATCTTAATTGTCTAATAGAGTAAAATAATACAAATAAATTTTCTTTCTATCAATAATTATTATCTTTTTATTAAATTTTTGTGAATTGCATAGGTAAAATATTAGTTATATATTAATAAGGGATGCTCAAAAGTATTTTAGGGATATTGATTAAAGGATTAATATATACAAGGATTTTATTAAAAATTATAATGAAGATTTATTAAGAACATTAAATATAAATTTTCTTGTTCCTTTTACAATGTACTTTTTAGAATTTTATAGTGGTATTTATTATAAGATATTTGTGATTTTTATGAAGCATTTATTTTTATTTTGTTTGTCTGTAACAAATAAAATTAGAGGAAATTAAAATTAAAATTTACAATGGTACTTTTTGTTGATAGTAAGACTGTGTTTAATGATATTAAATAAATAAAACTATTAAGTTATGATATATTTTTTAAAGCATCTACAAAAAAATAACTAATTTAAACTATTTTATGAGTTTGCATAATTTAGTTAAGTCTAAGATTAAAAAAGGTAAAATTAAAAATTTAATATATTTTCAAAATTTTATTATATTTTTTAAATATATTTGTTAGTGAATTGGAGAAGGATGAGAATGAAAAATTGAGAAGGAAAGTGAATTAAATTGTCTTGTTGAATATAATTGTTTTATACGAGATCACCGTCATTTATTTGTATCAAAATCTCAATACATATCACTTACGGTATAAAATTTATCAATAAGTTGATATCAGAAAAATGGTGTATAAATTTCCAACAGTCACGCAAAAGACAAACATAAAATAAAACAAAACTTTCTTAACAACAAAATGTCATTTTATACCAATAAAAATTATCAAAATAAATTATGATCTATCATGTTTGCAGTTCATTATCCACTTCCAACGCTTTTGAGAAGATGTTTAATTTGTCTTAATCAACCAACCATAGCTAATATTTAATAATACTGATATTCTAACTGCAAAGTAAAAATAATGTGAAACCTACGTTGATCCTTAGTGTTCGCGTACGCATTTGAGTATTGTCTTAGTCTCTATAAATAACTTTAATTATTAACTCTAATATTTCTTATGATGTCTTTTGTAAAAATTGACATTGCACGTGCCGCTCTACATATTTATTTAGGATATGGTAGAATTTTTCTTAATTAACTAAAAAATAAAAAACAGGAACCATTATTAAAGAAATACAAATAAAAATATTTTGAAATAAATTTAATTTTAAATTTTTTAACACATCTCAGCGTATTCTCAACAAAAAATTATTTATTAATTTTTTAATTAATATTTAAAAATATATTAATGGAATTGAAACTAAGCTAGGAGAGGGTAGATGACAAACTTAATAAACTCCAATGTGTTTGCCCTACCATTCATTGCATTGGGCACTCTTTGTCTCTTAACCATCAACCCATCCTAACACCTTTTGCCATTATGTTCCTAACTAAATGGATGGACCCAGAACCACACAGCCCTCAATCTAAATTCTAAAGCACCCTTTCTTTTAATATTTCTATATTTTAATTTTTTTTAAATATCCAAGCTACCTAAATATTGTTCTTTCATTTCACTCCAATAAAAATATAAAATAATACTGTATTAATCTTGACATGAAATTTAAAATTAATACAGTTTTCACACATTAAAGAACATTTAATATTAAAAATTAACATTAAATATTTTTTCATTAAAAATCCTCTTTCAAAATTACCAATTTAATATCAAAAGATATCTATTTATATGAGCATATTTTTTTTATTAAAAAACCAAACTAATGACAGGGTATAAAAAAATTAAAAATATTTGTTGACATAAAAAGATTCAACGAATGTTTAACACAAAGTTAAAGCATCTATCAACTATTAATTAAAACAAAGCATATGAAGAAAACATTGAATAAGAATTAACAAGTAAAGATTTGGTATGAGAATTCAAACAATAAAATGAATCTAAAAGATTTGATCTAAATAAATAAATAAAAAAAGGAAAAATGAGTGAATGGGGATAAATAGGAAATGAAAAAGAAGAAAGAGAATAGGAGAAGCGTGAAGGTAGGGCGAGAAGAAGGGAGATTCCGTCTCCCGCCACATAGGGATGCGAAGAAACTGTAAAAACACTTTGATTTAGGCGCCACGTGTCCCATCCCCCACACGCTTCTCAATCTCCTTTTGTTACGTTCGACAATTCACCGTTACTCTCTCTCTCTCTCTATTTTTATTTTTATTAATTTTTAATTTATTATTTTTATTATATATATTTATATTCCATTGTTGCGTTTCTCTTTCTTTCTCGTTTCAGCGAATTCGATCGGCATCAGCACGAACCTGAGGGGGAAACGCGATTCCCTTTTCCCTTCGCAACCAACTTCTTAAGGATTCCAATTCCATCCTCAGAAGCTTTCTTCTTATCCTTTCCCAATACCAATTTTAGGGTTTTTCTCATTCCTCTTTTGTTGTTTCATCTTCATCCACGCTCTTTTATTCTGTTTTTTTTTTCCTCCTTTTCTGTCTTCTCTCTGCTTTTCCCCCCTCTTTGAATCCTTAGGCATATCGGTTGAAGAGAAAAAGAAAAGAAAAAAGAGAAAAGGGTAGAAATTTCGTTTTATATATTTTTTATTCTGTGGATAAATTCGATTCTATTTTTCGTCCTCTGATTCCATTCTAGCTGTTTTTTTTTTTTTGTTAAATTATAATTGTTGGGTTCTTCGCAAGAAACTCTGTGAAGTTTTTGGTGCGTTGTTTTTGTTTGTCATCCAAAATCGAGGGTTTTCTTGTAGATCTTTACCACACCTTTTTTTTTAATTATTTTTGTTTTTGTAATTTCTTTTTCGCTCATCTTGTTCCCGTGTCATTCTCCTCCTAGGAACCAAAAAGAAAAAAAGAAAAAAAAATTCTGTATCGAAAAAGAACCCCGAAAAAAGGATTAGGGTTTGTCGATTGAGGTTAGGGTTGTGTACATAGATAGATAGGTGCGATGGCGTTGAATTTCTCGCATCGACCGATTTTTTCTGAGGATAATTTGGTTTCGCCGATGAGGATGGGGATTGCAGAGAAGAGTGGTGTTGATAATTGTTTTGAATATGGGATAGATAGGTGCGATAGAGGTGGTACTTCCCACGATGACATTGTTGATCTTTTGCCTTCGGATCCCTTCGGCATGGACATCAGCACTACCTTCACGGCGGCCATCACTGGGTGGCTCGAGGATTTGGAGGTTGATTATGGTGGGTACCGTAGGGATGAGCTTGGTGCGGGTGGTGAGAATTACCAGCTTTTTGCTGGGTTGAATTTCTTTTGGAACAATGCCATGAGGTTCCACGCGTGTGTTGAGGAGAAGAGAGGGTTTGCCGAGTGTTGTTATGTGAGTGAAGGTGGGGCTGCTGCATCTTGCAATTTTGGGTATGGATCTGCTTGTGATGATGATATGGTGCGTTTGGCGGTTCCAAGCGTGTCGGATGGCATGACTGTAGGTGATTTTGTAAATTGCTGTGGAGGAGAAGGAGGAGGAGGGGGAGGGGGAGGGGGAGGGGATGAGCTTGCTCCTCACCCTGCTTTGAGTTTTTCTCTTGGTTATCTGGGTCTGTCTGATCTTCTAGTTGTTGAAAGAGTGTGTAAGTCTCTGCATTCGACAGTTTGGGGTGATCCGCTTTTGTGGAGGAGTATCCGTGTTGATCAGCCTTTGAATGAGAGGATTACTGATGACGTTCTTTTGCAATTGACCAGTAGGGCTCAAGGTCATCTTCAGTGCTTGAGCCTCGTTGAGTGTACGAGGATAACTGACGATGGTCTGAAGCGCGTTCTTGAAGTCAATCCCAAGTTAATCAAGGTGAGCATGCATTGGTAATTATATTTGTAGACTTCAAATTAGAATTTATATTCATCTGAAGCATGTATTTGTGGTTTTATGTGTAATTAATTCAGATAATTCTGGTGCTGTTGTGTTATTTGATTAAATGCTGAATTGGGGATGCAGTATATTTTAAACATCTGGAGTTCGGACTTTTTTTTATAGGAGAATGCTAACAGGTGCCCTTACTGGATGTGTTAAGGAACCAAAGTTGAAAAGTTTTTAATGGAAAATATTACAATGCATCCCACCATGGTTTCCTATATGCTCCCACTGTGATTTGCAATGAAAACTTTCTAAATATTGATTCCTTAACTAGTTTTCTTTTTTATAATTTAGTCTGTCGAGTCTATGTAAAACACTTGGCCATTTGCTTCATCTGATCTTAGGTGTTTATTTCTGGGATTTGTTAGATATCTTCCATCACAGAAGTCCATTAGCAAGGTAGTTAAAATCCCGATTTGAATCTTAAAATCTTACAATTTTCCGATTTTGGAAGTCTCATCGATTTAAATTGTGGATAAAATCCTAATTGAGTAAAATCCTTGTAAAATCCCGATTTGAATCATAAAATCCCTCAAATTGTGGGATTTTACGATTTCACTTCGATTTTGAAAATTTCTAGCAAAGTCTATTTTGTTGAACCCTATCGTACGCCTCTTTCATATATCTCTTTTTTATGGAATCTAATTTGCTTCTAGCAGCTTTAAACCCTAACATTGTTGTCAACATTCAACAGTTCTCCTAGTGCGTGCAACCTAGTCTGCAACTAAATCTATTGTTGTTGTTCTTGCATCTTTTCTATTCTGGTCTATTTTTTATTCATGTAAATGCATTACATTCTTATGGAATAAATTATGATTTGTGAGTGCTACGTTGTTTAAATACTTTTACTGATTTGAAGCTTTTTTCCCTTAATTTATGATATTTTATATGAATAATATGAATTTATATCATATATATGAATTTTATAAAATCTTACGATTCAATTTACGATTTTACGATTTACGATTTTCACTCTCCTTTACGATTTAAAGTAAAATCCCGATTTTAACTACCTTGTCCATTAGGGTTATTCTAGAACTGGTGCTGGGACACTGTCAGTTATTGGTGGAGGTGTATATGGATGTAGGTGTAGGAAATGATTGATTTTTGTCAACTCTGATGTGTGCAAGCTTCTTTTACTGTTTGGATGTGTTTCAGGCTAAGTAATTTTTTGTGAATTTTACAGATCTTGGCACCTTAAAGTAAGTTTTATTGATGTTTGTGGTAGTTTCATATTTCATGTGATTTAGTGTTGGTCCTCCTGATAGTCCCTGACTTTGTCGACTGATTGATTATATTAACTGCTCTAAGCAATGAAGACTTTAGAGCTTGGCGAAGGTTCAGAGTTTTTTTCCCCATCCACAAGTAACCAAGTAAATTTTTGTGTGTAAAATTATGCAGTTAAGTGTTCCTGGATGTACAAGACTCAGTATTGAGGGCATTGTGGGTATTTTAAAAGCTTACAACTCTATGGGTATCCAAGGGGTGAAGCATTTACACATAGGTGGTCTTTATGGTGTTACGCAAAAGCATTTTGAGGAGCTGAAGCTTTTGTTGGGTGCTGATAGCCAGCTGCTGAAGCACTCTCACAAGCCACACTATTATCGCAGGGGAAACCTATATCTGTCCTGCGATGATGATCGGGCCATAGATGTTGAAGTCTGTCCACGATGCCAGAATTTAAGGCTTGTATATGATTGTCCAGCTGAGGGTTGTCAAGGGGTGGGGCACGCTGCTCAGGCCTGCAGGGCATGCACTCTATGCATACCCCGGTGTAGTCAGTGTGGTCGCTGCATAAATGACAGTGAGTATGAGGAAACATTTTGTCTGGAGTTGCTTTGCTCTTCTTGTTCTAAGCAGCTAGTCAAATGTTCAGAAAGGACAGACAATAGAAAGGTTGGGCCAGCCAAGTCAGTTGTTCTTCATGAACAAAGTTAGGGCTTGTGTCATCATAGAGTATCCTGCAGAAATCTTTATGAGGATAAAGTCCCGTATGAAGTCATATGAAATGTTGGGTGCTGTTGCGGTTGCGTGTTGGTCTTCGTATTTGGTCTTGGAAGTGGGATGCATTCAGTTGGGATTTTTTCCCGTTGTAGAGCGAGTGGAACACGACTTCATTTTTGTGTTTCTGCAACTGCTGGAGTGACATGCAGAAACCAAATTGATTACCATGGTTATTGATCACCTACTGCATAGCTACGATGGATTTTCAGTTATGTGGCATTATCAGGGCTGCAGTTGGAGCGTTATGCTTTGCGACATTCAGACAATATTTGCGATAGGTCTGATTCATAACCAGATTGAACTTTCCGATCTTAGATTTCTAGTTACTTCATCATTAGCTGTTTTGTATTCACTCTTGCCAGGTTGTGGTATATGTACCCTGTCTATATTTTTTGCCATACTTGGAGGAGAAAAATAAAAAAAAAAGTGGGGTATTACGGTTTACGATGTCTTTAAATCCATGCTTGTGTCACTTTTAACTTTTGTGTCAAGTGAAATTTATGGTGGACTTGGAGCTTAGAATGAAATACTATTTATGATGTGCTTGAGTATTTTGGCGGAAATCTGCGTTTATTTGTTTTTCCCTTGCCCATTGAAAGAGGTGCCTTGTTACGTTGGGCCTCTTGTCTCACAAAGAAAAATCATTGAATGATTTTATATTTTGATTACATTCTTTTCTGTACAAGTGTGGAACTCGCTTGATCAACACACAGAATTCTTCGCTGTCGTCCAAAACGTTCCATGGGCCGATAACGATCTCGTCGGTCGATTTTTTAAATCAAACGAATTAGAAGTTTAGCATCTTGGGTGTGGCAGTGTTTGACATATTCAAAAATCGAGTAACTCTAGTACAGACTCCGTCCACGACAAATTAAAATAGAATTTTGATCCGTTCATGTTAGTTTTGATCCTTTATAGAAGAGAAAGACAGAACACTTTTACATTATTATTACTTATGTAGGATACCTTAATTTCATTATCTTTATCTTAGCATGATTACCTCGTAATATCAGAGGCTCCTCATCCAATTATGGGTCATTTCTAATTATAGAAGACTCCGCTTGTCTCTACTCTGCCAACAAGCCGAGTGCATTCAACAATTGTTAAAAAAATGAGCATTGTGGAGTTTGGTGTACTGTCGCAACGAAGGGTTTCAGCTATTCCATAGACATTTCTGCTACCACAGTCTATGTTACACCAAAACATGGATGTCTTGGTGGCCACCCATGTTGGCCATTTAGCGTACACTTGCCTCCTAAGAAAGTTATTCTTCGCCGCTCGGTTAAATATAGGAAAATTTTACTATGCTTCAAGCATATGTAAACTTGTAGAACACGAGATTACGCTCTAGAGAGCCAATTGCTTTCTGTTGCTCGGGGAAATGAAAAGGTGTGATCAAAGTCATTCAAATACTATAGGTTACGTTTTCCTTGCCTTCAATGGTTTTAAGCTTTTTGGAGGATTACCAGAGGATGCTTGGTTTCGCAATGAAATAATCTAAATTATCCTTTGCATTAAGAAATGACCACGAACTTAATGCAATCATATTTGGTACACCTTTTGGCAAGATCAATTTTAGTCTCAAATCTAGTTTTGACTTTTATTTTATTATTTTATAAAATAAATAATAAATAATAAAATTTGCAAAAAGATATATAACACTATTTTTTATTTATATAATTGAAAGACTGTTTATTTTGCTAAAATCACTTTGAGATAAAAATATTCAACCAAAATCAAGTTCGTTCAAACTCAATTTTGTAAAATCCATTGCCTTAGCTTGTTAAAAGAAACAATGACTGAAATTCACAAAACTTATTATGAAATTTTGATTAATGGTATGAGTCTTTGTTTAATACTTGAATGAGTAAAAAATCTATAAATCAAGGAATACATAGGGTTGTAGTAAATCTTGGGAACAAACTAATGAAAGTGAGGGTGAGATTGAGGTCATTCAACGAGCTATAATGACATTGCATTCTTATTCTCTAAGACCCAGACAATTTTTTAATAGTTAGATCCTTGTTAACCAAGCATTCTAAGAATATTGGCTAAAAAATTAATAAATAAATTTTTTAATAGAAATCACACTAAAGGTACATTGGAAATTATGGTAAGAATATGTTACTCTTTTTAATAAAAAATTTATTTATTTTTAATTCTTGAACCAGTATTCTTAGAATTTTGGTCAGCATGTGTCAAATGGTTAATACACAGATTATGCTCATCAGTTATGGGTTTTCTAGTGGATGTCTTGTATTCATTTGAAGCTAAGAACAACCTTTCCTAACTAGCTCTTGGAAGATTCATTCTTCCCTTGTCTTTGATACTCAAGATCAAGGTTGCTATCCCATTGACCAGCCTAGGTTATCCCTCCGGATATCGTAGTTTCTTTCAGAGAAAATTTGGACCTGTATAACTATTTCTTACCTATCAATTACCTTTATTTTTGGTTCTTTTAATTTTGTAGGGTGCGGATCTTTTTCTTTCACCTGAGTCAACGAGCGTTTTGGTTAAAATGGTAAGTCAAGTAAGACAGTATCATTTGGTGCTAAAAATTAAACCAAATGATGCTTCGAATAGATTTGCCCTTATTTTTTTTAGTCATTTCCTCGTAGATGGATTATTTGTTTCTTATGTTTCCGTTTTCTAGTAGAAGACATGCAAGGCAAATTAATCTTTTCCCTCGTTTGTCTGACTTTTTTTCTGGTCAAACCCGTTTGTCTTGTGTGGCTAATAATACCTACTTGACCAAGTCTTTTTGCAAGATATTGGTTGAACGAATGATGGGGATTCGTTCCTTCCTTGCGTCTCAAGAGATCTCCCTTTGTGCCTTTTCGTTTCCAAAAAAAAAAAAAAAAACAAATTTTATTAAAAAAAAAAATCTAAAAACCAACTGTTTGTTTTTCCGAAAAGATAAAAACAATAAATAAACAAACAAATATCTGAAAAACAACAACATCATGAAAATTTCATGCTAGCACATTTAAAGAGCACTGCAGTGTTACACAAATGCTGTTTGCTTTGAAGAAATAAATAGGGCATCAAAGGCAGTACTTAGAATTTCTCTCCAGCTTAAGCAGCAAACTCATCTTAAAAAGCAACTAACACATACAATTGGACAAGAAAATGTTATAAAAAATGAATCAGTTGCCTAACCTACTACTTGTGAACTTCAATCAGCTATAAAATTCAACATGACCTGCAAGTTCTCTACATAGTAGCTTTGTTTCACTAGCCAACTTAATGCTTTTAGCAATTGCTAATCCTGTCTTTTTGTGGGTAGATGCAGGCTTATATGACTTCACCTGTTCTTCACAACCCAACAGCAGAGCTTCCCTAGCTGGAACCACATTTTCCCACCAAAACTCTCGCAGAATCTCATGTATCAAATTCCAATACCCACGTTCCCGGAGCACACGAAATATGGTGCTTCCATTTGGAGTCCAGCAATACAAATCAACCCACTCACAATTCATTATCTCCATTTGACCCTGCACCTGAGGCATGTAATAGAAAGGCATGGTCGACCATGGCAAGCCCGCCTCAGGCTTGCCCCTATTATAAGGACACTTGACTTCCAATACCCCAACTTCTGGGAAGCACCCAAGAACACCATCAGGAGAAGCACCAAGCCAATCATAAGACTGCTTTGAATGAACTGCAAACCCCATTGTGTTCACCTCATGTCCTGTGATCTTTTTGTACTGTTCTATTGCTGCAGATTCATTGAGTACTCCCCACGCCATGGCATTCTTTTTAGAAGCTTCCACTATTTGTGCCTCTGATGCAAACACTTTCTCATGCCACAATTCAAGCCGACGGCTCCCTTTCCAAAAGCCCAATGCAGTGCTGAATGTGCTTGTAGTTAGCTTGTCCTTGCGAAGGGCAAACCACTCATCTGACCGTTGTGGGACATCAGCCAGCGAAAGGTTGGAAGCAAGTACTTGAAATGAGGGGGACCGAACAATGATAGGATCAGTCAAAGAAATCAATGGTGAGGCACATATGGTAAGATCTCTTAGAATTCCTTTTGCATACTTTCTCCTCCTGGGCGATGGTGATACAAATGCTGTGTGGAGAACACCGCTGAATCTAATCATGCCGGAATTGGTTGTTGCAGAGATCCTCATCTCCATTCATTCCAAATTTCTCAGGATGAAGTGCCTACCAGAAGTACATGATATTAAGCTATGAGTTAGTAAAGTATTGCAATAGAAATTTCTTTACAATTACGCACAATCAAAAGAGGAGCTTGGAGGAACAACACCACCACACCACTGTATCTATTACATGGAAACACTAGCAACATACTCGTACAACAAAATAAAAATGCCAAAGTTTGCCACACAAAATATGCATTTACTTCTGCTTATCTAAATACAGAGTGTTTGGTTAACCATTAACACAGCACAATCATAAAGATGAAGTATACCATAGTACAAGAACATGTTTGCAAAGTTTCCCCTATTAATAAACAGTAAAAAAGTACTGTTCTTATCTATAATTTAACAATTCAGGCATAATTACATTTGCTAACAGACCCACCTAAACTGAACCACCCAAACTCCTAATTCACTTTAAATAATAAATATATTTCACCATTAAAACCAGAATCATGATAATAGAGATAATTCAACTTCCCAACTGACTCTAAACAGCCAAAGTAGACAATTGAAAACACAAATGAATCAGAAGACAGAACGATAAATAATAATATTGATAGTAATACATTTTTATTTTGCCAAAAAAAAAAATGGAACCAGATTTTCGTGGATGCTAACGAAAAACGAATGCAAAGGAATAATAGCTGCGACTAATCGATGTTTAGAAATCGAGAGTGGCAGAATGAGTTCATTTCAGCTGCGAGCGAAACGTAAAACCCGTGATAATACGCACTGCGAAAAATGAATAAGCTCAAGTCCTAATAAGTCTTCTCTTCTTTTGTTTGGGCCACGGGTAAAGCCTTTTCCCATTTGGGCTGGTCCATTTACGGGATATTCCACTAGGCCTTTATCTTAATTGGGCCTCATCTATTTGTTTGTATATAAGTTATATTTTTAAATTGAAATGGCCTGGACAATTAGTTAAGGGTTTAAATATTATTTTAATCTTTCTATGAAACCTGCTTTAATTTATTTGTTTTTTTACACACAAATAAATTCTTGAAAACAAATATTTTTAAAATAGTCTCTGTTATTATAATATTGTTATCTTATATTTATTTTGTGCATTAAGTTTGTAAAAATTAATGCCTTTATGAGAATATGGAGTATTTAAATTTACATGATATCGCCTGTCATTTTTCTTCCTATGTCATTCAGTGTAAATACTTTGTGAGAATATGAAAAAAGTTTTCCTTTATTTTTTTTTTGACGAATTTATACTTTCCATGTGCATGAGTTTGATTATTGTGCATTTGAGTAATAAATCTCATCTTGCGATCATTTATACTTAGTAATAGTGCCAAATTAGGTTGAGTTGGATGAATTAACTTAAATAAATCAATGTATAATGTGGATTTCCTTTTAAAAGCTCAAACCTGATCATAGTTGGCCCAATCCAAAATTTGATTGGCTCATGTGGGTTAGGTTTTCAATGGCTAAGCCAACCTACTAGCTTCTTGTTAATTTTTATTTTTTGTTTCTTTGTACGTTTTTATACCTTTGTTTTTTAACAAAGGATGAAGATGTACACAAGAAAAAAGTATATATATAATGCATTAGTAACTGGATTATAAAGGTAAAAATATGCATACAGGTTTACCAACAATCAAACTATATAGGTATTTACACTATATATAAAATAAAACTTTATGTAAAATCATTTTGGTATAAAAAGTGTCAAAGTAAATAATATTTAAAAATAAAATATGTACATATCTAAATCATAATGAGCAAACATATCAATATTTAAATCACACGAGTTAATATTTTGATGACACAAATTTTTTTTACATAAAATCATATTACTTAATATAAAAATTATGAATAACTAGGTCACAATTAAGGATAGAGTGAGTGAAAGCAAAAAGGTAGAGTTTTTGTTGTTTTCCTGGAGTCTTGAATGCCCTCATTGTGTCGACATTATGATCTCAATCCACAGCTTTGGGTCATTTTTCTTGCGACTAGAAAAACAGAGTACGACAAAGTAATTTAACGACGCGTGCCTCTTCTTCTTCTTCTTCCGTCCCTATTTTGATAGGTATAACGTTGGATTTTACTCACTCATTTCCAACCTCCTGACAACACCTATTTTATAATATTCTCCATTAAGAGATTCCTTATTCTTCATTTAGTATTTCGTGTTGCATTTGTTTCATTTTTTGTTCGCTCTTGCATGATAATCTCAATTACCCTTTAAATATTTTGTTTTTCAGAAACTTATTTAAACAATATAATCATTCTAAGTGATATCAGTCATATATTCTATAAATAACGTATTTGGTTTTAATTTATTAAAACGGTATAACATTTTTCATGAATCTACAATTGTTATATATTTTCAACTGATTCGGATTCAATCCCGCCAGTCTTGTTAGTAAATTTTGTATTTTTATTTAAATAAAAATATAAAAATTTATTTGACTGAACCGTTTAGTTTTTATAAAAATAAAACTGAATTTCGATATATTTTGAATAATGAAAAATAATTTTAACTTTCGAATAAAGAAAACTAGTTCTTACAGTTATATTTCAAGCCAATAGTAAATAAATTTATAATAAAAACAAAAAGATATATTTTTTAGGATATTAAATCATAAAAAACCAAATTAAATTTTAACTTGAACGTAAAGAACAAATGAAAAAACAAAACTGGCCATCTTTTTCCCCCAGAATTTTTGAGAAGATACAAAAGTTGTATTTTACCGAAATTAATTAATTAAAATTAATAAAAGTCTTAAAAGTAAGAAGACAGGGTTATGAGACAATCATTTGAAATAATATTTTAATCTGCAGAAAAGTTGGTAACAAATAGATATATGATGAAAAAGCAAGTGACCACGTTGGTAATGGTAATAAATAAAGTGTAGCTCTGATTATTTACTCCACAACAAAACAAAGCCACCTTAAACAAACAAATATGATGTAATGTAATGGCCACATGCGTCATATGAATACAAAATATATGATGTTTAATATTATTAAAATATTCAATTTTATAAAATTTAACAAATATTTTTATCTGTAAATTCTTATTTTCCACTTACATGTTAAAATAATAAAAAAAATGTTTTTTTTATGCCCCGGAAAGAAAACAAAACAAGCTCCATGGGAATTTAAAAAAATTAAATATCATTTATGTATTTTATGTTCTTCAATACACCTAATTTTGAATGCAAAAAGTAAATATTAAGGGTATGTTTACAAACTCTTTTAAAAATGGGAAACGAACAAGCTCTAAGAGTTTGTCTTCTTTGTAAAAATCTGTTGACTTAAATAGTCCAAAACTCAAAAGTTAACATATTTTAGTCCATTTGAGACCTACTTCATTCCTTACACTTACGGCCTCTAACGTCCGATGCAGTATGCACACTTTGCAAGTTAAAAGTTTAAAGAAATAAATTATTTGAGTTCATTTTATTAAATATTTTGTCAAGATAATGAATATTTATATATATAATTTGTCAAAAATAAACAAGTTATGAACTAATTAATAAGTTGTTAAATTATTTTATATTATTTTTATAGTAATATATATATATATATATATATATATATATATATTAAATCTCACACCATTTAAATATTTGTTAACATGTTATCTAAAATTTAATATTTATTTATATTTTAAAAATATAATATCTGTCAAAATAAAATAATATAATAACATATTTATTAATTTTTTATATGAATATAAAATTAATTTATTTTATAAAAAGTTTTAAACTAATAGTGAAATTAATTAATTTTATATATATATACAAATTATTAAATAATGTAAATATTAATCAACGAATTCTTTTCTCTTTTATATACTTGCACTTAATTAGTGAGTATTACGCAGTCTTTTAAAAATGTCTTTCTAAGCAAAACTCCTACTGTCTATGCACTTTTACTTTCTTTATTATTGAGCCATCATTGAAGGGCTTTAGCCGGTGACATGGGTTGTTTTCCTCTCAATGATGAAGATGAAGCTTATTCTGATCCCCGTTATTTCAGCTTAACCCTATATATATAATCATTGACTAAGACCTAACTTATAAAGGAAGAGATAAACACAAACATAACTTTCTTAAGCTATATTTGCTTTTAAATGATAGAGTTAAAAACGAAGCTTAAATATTTTTATTTCAATGCTATTGAGATGTGAACTTTAGTTAATTTTTTTATTTGACTTATTGGTTGGAAAGAAATGATTGAAGTCAGAAGAGAAAAACTTAAGATGGTCATTTATAGGTATCCTCTTAGCTCTGAAAGAAAGGAGTGTGGTGGCTTTTGCTTGGATGGCATAATGATGAGGGCTTTTATGGAAATGGGATTCCGTGGGGATGGGAATAAAAAATATGATTACGAATTGAAAGATTCTGATGTGATTAGTCATAAAAAAATTGCTTTAAGCCGTAATTAGTCACGTGTTAGTGATTATTTGGCCCCACGAGTCTCCCACCCACGTCAACGTCCAACCAACACACGTTCATTCCCTGTCATAGATGATAACTTCACTACTTAACAACAACGTGAAATCCACACTGCCAAATCATCTTCATCCATACCTCGTCACCTCCAATATTTCCAACCGTTGGATTATTGGTTGTTGAAGAATGTTTTTTAATAAACAAGAGGAGGGATGGAGTAAAGCATGATTAGTGTCTCCCTGTCGCAAAGCCATTATTAATTGCAAACTCCAGAGTTTATCTTATCAAATGAAGTGCCCTAAAGATATTATTCAGATCCAGTTCTAGATCATGAGAGTGATGAATGATGCATAAGACATTCTTCAAGCGTGTTTAATTAATAATTTCATAAAAAAAATAGCATAACTTCTGGGACCCGAAGGCATCGACTCATGGTAAACCATGTGGCCTGTGTGAGTATCAGAATCGTTTACGTAAATTATTGCGAAATGAAAGCTTGTCTTTTTCGCCGTGTTCCCCTCCACCCACGTAGCACATACACACAAGTTCACAGGTTGGCATGCTTCAGTCCAAATTAAACACTGACGAAAAAATAAGCCTCTCCATGACTACTCGCTCGTGAGTTTCTCCATTAAAATTGGAATATAGAGGGAAATACTGAAATGTATTTTTTGGGTCAACTTTTGCTAAAAATAAAAATGCTTTACACATACTGAAACAGTCCAAGTGTCTTTTTTAAGTTGGAAAATTAAAAGAGGAAACAATGAAGTCCCCAGTGGAAAAATGGAGGGTGTGCTTCACTGAAATGGAAAAAGAACGGGTGACAAAGCTTTTTTAAGCATATAAAGGACATGTTTGGATAAGAGGCACATGTATAAAAAAATATAATATAATTTCTTTTATAAATAATTTTTAATATATGAAAAAAAATTCAATTTATATATATATATATATATATATAAGTTTATAAATTTATCTAAATTAGACCAAAATTTCAAACTCAGATGTAAGTTAAAATAATTATATAATGATTGATTCATTTGCTTAATGATAATAAAGTCCAACTTTGATTTTACCTCTGCATTCCCACTTTCCCACAACCTTCCTTCTAACGGGCGGGGAAATTGACCATAATTCGGAAGGAGGAAACCTATTTGAAGTCCCTCTTTGCTATAAATTCGTTCCTTCCATCACGCTTTACCCAGAATAAGACATACACGTCATTAAGAATATGAGAATATTTTGTTTTACTAAAAAACACTAAGAATATATTTGATTTATATGTAGTTAAAAATGATTTAAGTGTGAGAGTAATATTTTGAAAATTAACTTAAATGATTTTTATAAAATATGCTAAAATAGTTTTTTTTTAAATGTAGTAACAACAAAAATTCTTTAAATTTTGATAAAAATATGTGGACCATTTTACCAGCGTTTGTACCGTTGTAAAAAGAAAACTGGGAAATGTCCTGTCTGCCATTTAGAGAGAATTAAAGATGTTACCCGCAAACACGTGTTTATATATATATATATATATATATATATATATATATATTGAGATGTATAAAAATAAAAAATAAATAAAAAATAAAAATAATAGATCTTATTAAAAATTAATATTTATTACAGTACCTATAAACTTAAAAAAAAAATTAAGTAAATTTGTAATTCATCTCTTGTGTTAAAGATTATTAATATATTTTTTTAACTAAATCACTAATTTTAATATTTATTAATATAAAAATATAATTATTTCACGTGTAAGAAAAAATACCGAATCTTCTCAGTTATAAAGAATATTATAAATTTTGATAAAATTATATTTAAATACGTTATGAATTACAAAAAAGGTGTTTTTATAATATTTTTAATTTATTAACTAATGTTCTTAAAATTGTTAAAATAAAAATGTTAAGATAAATAAGTAGAAAAAAATATAATAAAAAATAATAGTATATATGAAAATATTATAATAGCATTTATAATAAAAAAATAACTAAAAATTATTTAAGGTAAGTTTTTAAACTAAATTTAATAGTATTATGTGATTATATAGTCGATGATGCATAAAATTTGGTTGTTTTCTTGATATTGCCAAAAATAATTTTACAAGAATCATATATAGTATCAAATTTTAATAATTTAAATAATAAATAAAAAAATTGCAGCTAATGAAATCAGTTTTAAGAGTGAGTTATTTTATTATTCTCATTTTGGTGGTTAGAAAACCGGTTTCTACAAATCAAAGGAACGTCTAAGCGATTCCAAATCTGAAGCAAGCAAGTGCTGAAGCTCTAATATATTAATCACAGAACAAACAAATCGGATGGAGGATGAAATATTAATATAAAAATAAACAATAATTAAAATATATAAATCCAAATGACTGAAAAAGATTTCGTTCCCCTTTTTCGATAATTTGCCTCAAAGCATTTTATTAGAATGAAAAAAATTCAAATATTATGATATGTCAATTTTATAATATACATTTTTGCAGCATTCATATAATACTGTTTGTTATTCATAAATCATACGATAAGAAGTATCCGTACAAGGCGAAAAAGATAATTTAATGTATTTTCAAATCTGTATATATTTTTTCAAATTAAAACAAAACTTCCGATCGATCATTATATTTTTATTTTTTAATTATGTATTTTAGTTGAAAATGTTAAATTAATTTTGTGTATACAAGATTATTATTTTAAGCTAATTAATAATTAACAATTACTAATTAATAGTAAACGATTATACAATTTTTTTCACAAATAAATTCATATACCAAAATAATATATATACTATACCATTAAATACCTAAATCAATTAATAAAAGTCATTTCAACTTATCTAAACTTTAAATTTAAGTCATATCGTGTGTTTTTTCTATTATATTAGTCACAAAAAACTTGTTAATGCATAGTCAATATATTCTTAAAAATATATATAAGTATCAGTTATGAAATTAAATATTTATTACATTTAAAATTTGATATATATAGTTATCAAGATGATGTGCTATAATATATATTTATTAATTTTGTATTATTTTTAAAAATTAATTGTTTAAAATTTGAATTTTATTTAAATACACTAACAACCTAAAATTATTTTATACTATTGTCCATTTATAAATTGCAACATTAGTAATAATATTTTATTTACGTAGTAATTACTATAAAAATTCTAACCAGTTAGCAACGTAAAATTTTGTATACTTAAAGTGTACTAAGACTAAGTTCTTAAAATTTATTCATAAAGTAAGTGATTTTCTTTTTAAAAAATTAAATTACAATTTTCTTGTTTAGTATATTTATGATAAAATGAAACAAAAAATCTGATCATCTATAATAACATAAATTGAAGGAGGAAAAAAAGCAAAGAATTTCTAAAAACTGAATGGACAAGATGGCAAGTAAATTGGACATGATTCTATTCCATTTTGTCGATGAGATGCTCCATATATAGTTTAATGCTTATACCATTTATGTTATTAGTATTCACTATCCAATGCCTCCTACTTATCATCACCAACACTCGCCGCTCCCACTTCAAAATTCTTTTCTCTTCTTCCTACCTCTTTCCACAGGTTTGGCGTCACTTTTCAACGTATTCTTATTCCATCTTTTAAGTGATTATTCGAAATATCGTTTAGTTGAATCTTCTGTCACACAGTAAACATGCTTTGCTCTGCTTTATGATTTAATTTCTTTCTTTATTTTTATATTCAATTAATTGATAGGGCATTTGCTACGTTCTGCAGATTCTGTCTTTGTTTCTTCTTCATCATTAGTGAGAAGTGAGAACCATGGCCATTTTGGACGCTTTGTTGGGAACGGCCAATGTAGCATTCTTCTATGTTATTTTGACATGGCTTTTGGTTCACAGTTTGAAACAAAGTAAGCGAAACCATGTTCATGTTGTTCATTGGAGACAAGGACCAACAATTTTCGCTACAATCACTGTTCTATCTAACGCTGTTATTTCCGTTTTCAATGTGGCTCTTGCTTTTTATCAATACAGTAGTAAGAGAGTCATGGGATATGACTCTGTTTCCTTCGCTCTAACTTGGGTTTTATCAACTATGGTTTCATTGTATTCAATGAAGACAACACTGAGGGAGAACAAAAGGTTTCCTCTTGTACTAATCCTATGGTGGGTCTTTGCTACTATCACAGATACACTCTCTGTATCTGTAAAGCTAGTGAAAAGTCTTGAACCAATGAACTTGTGGTTTTTCTTGTCTGAGGATAACATAGTTGATACTGTTTCCTTGCCTTTGTTGTTACTTGTCTGTTTCAATGCACTGCCCAATGTAAGTGCGAGGGGGCACAGTGATGTGGAACCACTGTTACTCCATGAAGAGTTGAAATCTTCCTTGGAAGAAGAAAATGAAGAGGACCTCACAAAAGCAAGCACATGGAGCAAGCTCACTTTCCGATGGCTGAACCCCATTTTAAAAACGGGTCGGGTTAAGAAACTTGAGCTTGCTCATATTCCTCCTGTTCCTCATTCTGAGACTGCAGAAAATGCATCTTCCACGTTGGAAGAGTCACTTCTCAAGCAGAAACTTGAAGGGGGGTACTTGACAAAAGCTATTGCTCATTCTATATGGAAATCCTTGGCCTTAAATGCAGTTCTAGCTGGTATATTTTATTTTTTTTATATTTTATTCAATCCCACCCCTACTATTCCTATTTGGATTTTGTGCGTTTCCTTTTCAGCACTTATTCATATACTGATTTACTAACTTTCTTTACACTTGTAGGTGTTAACACAGTTGCCTCCTATATAGGTCCATTGTTGATCACAAACTTTGTGAATTTTCTATTGGGGAATAGCGGTAATACAAGCGTCCAATATGGACTGGTTCTTGCATTTATTTTCTTCCTCTCAAAGACAGCGGAGTCACTGAGTCAAAGACAATGGTACTTTGGAGCTCAAAGAATTGGAATCCGAGTTCGTGCAGCTCTTATGGCTCTGATTTACAGTAAGTCCTTGTCGATGAAATCTGCTGGACCAAATCATGGCAAAATAATAAATTTGATCAATGTGGATGTTGAAAGAATTGGGGACTTCTGCTGGTACATTCATGGAGTTTGGTTGCTTCCAGTTCAGATTGTTTTGGCCTTGGTAATCTTATACATAAATCTGGGATATACCCCTTCCATTGCTGCATTTGGTGTCACCATTTTGGTCATGGTGTGTAACACACCTTTGGCCAATATGCAAGAAAATTTGCACTCCAAGATCATGGAAGCAAAGGATTCAAGAATTAAAGTGACATCAGAGACCATGAAGAACATCAGAATTTTAAAATTGCATTCGTGGGAAACCACATTCTTGCAGAAACTCCTCCAACTTAGGGAAACTGAGAGGAGGTGGCTGCAGAAATACCTCTATACATGCTCAGCAATAGCCACTCTATTCTGGACATCTCCAACTTTAGTTTCAGTTGTCACTTTTGGTGCTTGTATATTGGTGAAAACAGAACTAACAGCAGCTACCGTCCTCTCAGCTTTAGCGACTTTTCGTATTTTACAAGAGCCAATCTACAATTTACCTGAGCTTATTTCCATGATAGCTCAAACAAAAGTCTCTGTTGATCGAATCCAAGAGTTCATCAGGGAAGAGGGTCAGAACCAATTCTTCAATAGGCAGGCTGCAAAAACATCAACAATTGCTATTGATATCAGGCCAGGTGAATATTCATGGGAAGCAAATGATCAAACCCCCAAGAAACCAACAATTCAAATTACAGAAAAGTTAGTAATAAAGAAAGGCCAGAAGGTAGCAGTTTGTGGGTCTGTTGGGTCTGGCAAATCAAGCTTGCTCTGCTGTATGCTTGGTGAGATTCCATTAGTTTCTGGGGCAGTAACCAAAGTGTACGGGACTAGAAGTTATGTACCCCAAAGTCCTTGGATTCAGTCTGGATCTGTAAGAGAGAATATATTGTTTGGCAAGCAAATGAATAAGGACTTCTATGAACATGTTTTGGATGGCTGTGCTTTGCACCAGGACATCAACATGTGGGGTGATGGAGATTTGACTCTGGTGGAGGAGAGGGGCATAAACTTAAGTGGGGGGCAGAAACAGCGGATTCAATTGGCAAGGGCCGTTTACAATGATTCGGATATTTACTTCCTTGATGATCCTTTTAGTGCTGTTGATGCTCATACTGGAACTCATTTGTTTAAGGTTAGCAGTTGCTTGCACTTTTTACTGATGCATTTTCTGATGTCACTTTCATCTCTTTCAATGAATTTCACCAATATTTGGAAATGCTGTGCAGAAATGTCTCATGAAACTTTTATATGATAAAACGGTTGTTTATGCTACCCATCAACTGGAATTCTTGGAAGCTGCAGACCTCATCTTAGTAAGCCACTGAGTACTGAAAACTTATCTTTTCAGTGGTGATATTGCTACAAGTGTTGACATCTAACCATTAATATACTTGCAGGTAATGAAAAATGGAAAAATAGTCGAGTCAGGAAGGTATAAAGATCTCATAGCATGTCCCAACTGTGAACTAGTTCAACAAATGGCTGCTCACCAAGAAACAGTAAACCAAATAAATCCATGCCAAGAAGATGATTCTGTTAGCTACAGACCCATCCAAAAAATTCAAATTGAAGTTGCTGAAGAAAACATTCAAGAGACCATTGAGGATTGGAAGAGAATTAAGGAAGAGGAAGCCGAGACGGGTAGAGTGAAATGGAGTGTTTACTCAACCTTTGTCACATCTGCTTATAAAGGGGCACTTGTTCCGGTTATTCTTTTCTGCCAGATTCTCTTTCAAGTTATGCAGATGGGAAGCAATTATTGGATTTCTTGGGCCACAGAGCAGAGGGGCTGGATCAACAATGAGCAGCTTATGGGAATGTTTGTCCTTCTATCTTGTGGCAGCACCATCTTCATACTCGGAAGGACTGTTTTAATGGCAACAATTGCCGGGGAAACTGCTCAACGTCTTTTTCATGGAATGATCACTTCAGTTTTCAGGGCACCTGTTTCATTTTTTGACACCACACCTTCAAGCCGAATTCTGAGTAGGGTACGTTTCACTATTATTTCTCTATTTGATATATTATTGCTATATTTTAATTAACATTGGTTTTATTCAAAGTTCAACAATTCATTTTCTTTTGTGATAATTACAGTCATCTACGGATCAAAGTACAGTAGACACAGACATACCATACAGATTAGCTGGACTAGTATTTGCACTTATCCAGTTATTGAGTATCATCATGCTAATGTCCCAAGTTGCCTTGCAAGTCATTCTCCTATTTTTTGTGGTGCTTGCTATTTCCATTTGGTATCAGGTGAGAACTTGATCATTCTTAGACAATGTACGGAATTTATATCATTATAATTTTCTGTCAAAATCTTATAAGCATGAACTGAAAAACTGTAGGGTCAGTTCATGTCATAATGAAGCTTCATTTTGTCATAAATCTTTGCATATGCTAACTCTTGCATGACTCAATCTAGTATTCTAATGTTGGAGTTATGCGTTTTTGCAGGCTTATTACATCACAACAGCCAGGGAGTTAGCCAGGATGGTTGGGATTCGAAAGGCGCCAATCTTGCATCACTTCTCAGAATCGATTGCTGGGGCTGCCACCATCCGTTGTTTCAATCAAGAGCAATTATTCCTGACCAAAGTTAATGCTCTAATTGATGATTATTCTCGGGTAGCCTTTCACAATTTTGCCACCATGGAATGGTTGTCTGTCAGAATCAATTTTCTCTTCAATCTGGTCTTCTGTTTTGTTCTTGTCATCTTGGTTACTCTGCCAAGGTCTACCATTGATCCAAGTAAGGTCCTTCTTATCTTATCAGTAGTGATAATGGTTACATACATGCATGTGAGAACCAATTTTGGGCTGGATTAAATAAGAAACTCCAAGAAAGGACAGTTACAACTTACTAACCTTGGTTAACAAATTTTTCTTGGCTTTAGACTTCACAGTCTAAAAGAAAAATAATTTTGCATATACTTAGGATGGTTTGTATTTGATCCTTCTGGATGTGACCGTAATGCGGAAATACTCACATCTATAGTACTTGTTTACGTGCAAAAGAAATACATTCTTTAATTCTCTAATTCTATAATTCCCACTCAATTTATAGTACTTGTGTAAGCACAAAAGAAATAATTAAGATTGGATCCACTAAAGTAACAAATAGGAATACTAAGTCGCTTCTCTGATTTTCAGGCTTGGCAGGTCTTGTAGCTACTTATGGTTTGAACTTGAATGTCCTTCAAGCTTGGGTGATATGGAATCTTTGCAATGTTGAAAACAAAATGATATCAGTTGAGAGAATATTACAATTCTCTAACATACCAAGTGAAGCCCCATTGACTATTCAAGATTGCAGGCCTGAACCAGAGTGGCCTAGGGAGGGAAAAATTGAACTTCGTAACCTTCATATACGGTATGATCCTGCTGCTCCTACGGTTCTCAAAGGTGTCACTTGTGTCTTCCCAGGACAAAATAAAATTGGTATAGTAGGGAGGACAGGGAGTGGAAAATCTACTCTGGTACAGGCCCTCTTTCGAGTGGTGGAGCCTTTGGAAGGATGTATACTTATTGATGGTGTAGATATTTCAAAGATTGGTCTGCAAGATTTAAGATCTAAACTTGGTATAATTCCTCAGGATCCAACCTTGTTTCTAGGTACTGTAAGGACTAACTTGGATCCTCTGGAACAACATGAAGATCAAGAACTATGGGAGGTTAGCATTAGCTGGTAGAACACTTTCTTGAAAAAATGCCAATGTTTATCTTATTACTAAAGGAACTACGCCTTTCAGGTTCTCAGGAAGTGCCATCTAGCTGAAATAGTAAGGCAGGATCCAAGACTCCTTGATGCACCAGGTATAAATAAGTAAATAAATTATTTATTCATCATTCAGGAGTATAACTTTAATAACAGTCCCACACCACAGTTCTGGTGGCTTAAATTTTTTTTAAAATTGTGTTATTATTGAGTTGAAGTGAATTACATTTGCACATTTATGCAGTGGCCGAAAATGGAGAGAATTGGAGTGTTGGACAAAGACAGCTTGTTTGTCTTGCCAGGCTTCTACTGAAGAAAAGAAGAATTTTGGTCCTAGACGAGGCAACTGCATCCATTGATACTGCTACTGACAATTTAATTCAGAAGACTATTAGGGAAGAAACAAGTGGATGCACAGTCATTACAGTAGCACATAGAATTCCTACAGTTATTGATAATGATTTGGTTTTAGTCCTTGATGAAGGTATTTGCAGACTTAGTATGCACTTCTACATATGTGATCAAACCATTAGTGATAAATTGATAATGAAACCGCCGAAAACATATTATCTCATAATGCAGGTTATCATAAAAAAAATATTAATTGGGATGGTGGGGGGGGGGGGCTGAATATAGGAGTGATGCTAGGTTGAATTTGAAGTTTCAAAGTACGGTAGCATATTAATTTACCCCATCTGATATGTACAGGGACGATTGCGGAGTATGATCAACCAGCTCATTTGCTACAGAACAATTCTTCTTCATTCTCAAAGTTGGTGTCAGAATTTTTGAGATCATCTCAAAGCAACAGCCAAAAGAGATAAAGAATGAGAACAAGCAGATATCGTTTTTTTAAGGAGGATAGTATAGCAGTGGCAGACCACCTTACGCTATTTGTACATAGAAAAAGTTAGGCCCAATGCTGAGCAAGATTAGTCTGGCGTTGGATAGCAGCTCAAGAAACATTGGCTGATTATGTTAGGGTTAAAGATGTCCTACAATGACTTGGAATAGTTAGGCTCAATGCTCAGCTAGAATACTCCTTCCAAGACTTGAGTAAATATACTTCTATGAGCATCAGAGTTTATCTAGTTTAATGATGAGTAACCCGCAGATGAACTCCAAGCACCAGATGTTCATTGATAGGAATGAGTAGTATGTGTTAAGATATCTTACATTGATTAGGAAGTATAATAATCCTTATAAGACTTGAGATCTCCTTATATGATACAGCTATAATAACTTTTAGGTGTAACTTAAGACCCTGTTTTCTAATAGTTAGCAAACATTGCGATTTAGGTTAATATAGGCTTGGGGCTTCTGATCAACACATATTCTTAGTTGCTGTTCTTTTGTCACGAGATTGACTGATTTCCAATTTACCCTTTTTCAAACTATATATATATATGTCTTGCAACTAATAACTGTTTCCTCTGTTTAGGAAATGTTTCGTCCAAAATTGTTGATAATGTCAGTGAAAGCTCTAAGAGCCCTAGAGGAGGCATGAACAGATCTTTTGTTGTTTTATATCCACTTATTTTAAGGCATCAACCGGTTCCAACATTTACAAATCTTGCTATGTCGCTTGATACATGCTACCACACGTGTGAAAGCTTGAGAACTCATTTTGACCATTTAAAATGTCAATCAAAATCAGTTACTCTAAAGAATAATTAATGCGTCAAGACTAACATGATATGCATATAGTTTAATCATATGAAAATATTTTTTCATTATACTTTTGCTATTATTCAACTGTTAATAAATATTCTACAAATAATTGAAATAATGCATAATTATATTTTAACTGTTGGATTGTTTAAATCATATTCTAACCATTAGATTGTTTATAACTTATTCTATAAATACTCATAATAAATTGGTAGTAGCTTATTATAAAAAGTTAAAGTGATGAGTTATAATTATCGTAGATAAGTCCTCGTATAAAAGATTGAAATTGTGTTTTCTTACGGAATAATTTCATAGAAAAGAAATGTGTATTATTTTAGAAGCAACAAATATTCTTTAATTTAACTATTTTTAAATAAAAAATTAAAAGTATATTTCAGAACTATTTTAAATTTTTTTATAGATTTTATAAATACAAATAAAAAAATAGTAGATATTTTTATTTCTAGTTTTTTTATTATATTAAATAAAAGATAATTTTTTTAAAAAAAAGAAAATTCTTCAATCAAACACACACTAATTATTAAAAGTAAAATTGTAAAAGAGCATTAATTGATTTTATTAAATGATAATGAAATAAAATAAAATAGCTAAGGTACCAAAAAAGAACTAAAGTAAGGTGACGACCAAATTTTGTTGCATAATTTTATTTAAGATAAAATTAAGGTACAGTTTTTTTGGATATTTTTTGTATTATTATTTAATTAAAATTAGCCTTTTTCATGATTTAAAACAACATTAAATGCTCAATTTTTTAATAAAAAAGTTATAATTTTAATTAAAAATAATATAAAAATACTTAAAAAATTATACTTATATTTTTCTTCTATTTTTGGTATAGATAAAAATACGGGTTGTGAAAAAAAGTTTGGTTTTGTGTTCTTGGCTAGTAAATACTCTTGTTGCCTTTTTACACTTTGGATCCTCTCGAGCAACTTTACGGTATGCATAGAGGTAACGATGTAGCAGAGTATAAAACGTTAGATGTATCTATCAAATGATTCATATTTTTATGATTGCACCAACTGCATCTTTCTTCCACAGCAGCATATCCAGGTCCTTATTGTCACATGATAAAAGTGATATAAGCTATGCCTCTGAATCACCTACCTTTTCCTTTTTATATGAAATATCAATTCTATCATCTGTACCATGTAACATGACAAATGCTGTCTTAGATGTTGTCAGAATTGATATTGAATAGCATATACGGCAACTCTTCAATCTTACCCTTACGCCCAATAAAAAACATGCACCTGTTGTAAATTCAATGAAGTTTACGCATCCCCTTTCAGTTCTTTTTTTTAATATTCAGAGTCAAAATTGTAAAACTTAATTACATTGGAGAATGGTATTTAAATAATTGCAGTGCATGTTTGGTTTTGTGTTCTAACTTGTGAAGTGCATGTGTATTCTGCATGAACCAATTTAAAATAAATCAAACAGTAGTGCCTCTTGGTCAAATTCAAGAGTTCATGAAGGAAGAAGATCAAAACCAGCTCGTGAATGGTTAGTAAAAAGATCAGAAGGTAATATTTATATTAATTTATTAAAAGCACCACATTGTTACTCTATTTGTTTGTGTTTTGTTTCGATGCTTTATTCCAAAGAGGGAAACCTGAGAAGCCATGTACATCTTTTCCTTTTCCTCTGTAAAAATGAAAATAACTAAATAGTTGGTGTTCGAGATTAAGGGTTATTTCCTACTCAATTTCCTTGTAACATTCATATTATAAGTAGCCTTAACTTTTGGCTTATTATCATTTACTAAAATCTTGAACAGTATTAATATTTATATATCACCCTCTATCTCTTTCTTATAACATCTATTATAAGCCAGTGAAAAGAATCCTATGACACAGTTGATTTTCTTTGGCACCTCAATGTAGAGAGCAAATATAAGAGAGAAAAAGAGAACACTGCTTCATCATCTTTGAAAAACATAACAAGTTACGAAACACAGCACCACTACTGCATTCCCCGTTTCAGATCCACAACGTCGTCATCTTTCTGCAACTTCCACCATGAAGCTTGCGTTTGTTCTGCTTTATGCCAGGGGTATACAGCTATCTCTCTTTGCTCTTGTATTCTTCTGTTATTTTAGGGTTATTGCCTTGCATTTTGGGCTTCGATATTTGCTCATTTTCTTAATTAAATGTTTGGCTCCATTTTTGTTTGACTTTGAGGATTAATTGTTATTTCAGACATGCTTAATTTTTTTGGAAAGAATAAAAAGTCAGAAAAAAACAAATATATAAAAATTAAAATAACCTTTTATATTAGAGTTTGATGCTCCGTGCTACCTTCTTATTTGTGTTTAATATTACTTTAAAAAATGATAAAATTTTAATTAGCTTTTAAACAAAAAAAATAAAAAATTTAAGTGTCGTGCTTTGTCGATCTTATAATTTGATTTGAGATATTAAGTTGTGATAGAAGTCTAAGAGCATGTTTAGTTTTCATTTTGAAAAATATTTTTAGTTTTTAAAAATAAAATATAATACAAATTTGCATTACAAGTTACTTTAAAAAACTAAAAATTATTTTTAAGATAGAAATTAAATATACTCTAAATTTTTTTAACATATTAAAATGATTTTCTATTTAAACATTTAACAAATAATTGACTTTTAATAAATGAATACGTATAAGCACAAATTTTATTTTTCGTGAGCCAAACATATAAATAACATTTTTTTTTATCTTTGATATTTATTTTCTTTTTTCTATTTTTTTAGTTAATTATGTTCCATTATTTGATTGAAAATTCTTTTTTTTAGTTCATGATTCTTAATTTGTTTTTTATATTTTCTCTTATTTTCTATGCTTGTAAAAATTTAATAATTTTCATTTTATGTATTCTAATTTTATGACTTATTGTTTTTTTAGTATCGGTATATTAATTTTTTAAAAATGAAATAAACTTGGTAGGATTATCAAAAATATTTTCTTTTTCGTGGTCGTTTACCTCTACTTTAGTTCTTTTAATTTAAATTATGTATGATTTTAATTTTTTTGTGTTAATTAAGTTTTTTTAAAATTATATAATTCTAGTCTTACTTTCAAATTTTCTCATATAAAACTCTAAGTTATTTTTTTAAGGTAAATATTTAGGTCGCTTATGGATTTTAAAATTTATAGACATTTTGAGTGAAAATAAAAATATAAAATTTTTAGTAAAAAAAATTTGATGATAAAACTAAGTTTCCTTATTTTAAAAATAAAGAGAATCGATTGGTTTGAAAAGCTTTTAAGGGACTAAAGTAAGACACAAATCAAACAAAAAGAATTAAAAGTGTAATTAAGACAATATTATTTCATGCAAATTCTAATTATTTTATCTTATTCTTTATTATACTTAGATTTATAACTACAAAATTACTCGCACGTTTATAACCATTGAAGAGTCTCTTCATAATTTTTTCTTTATTTTTATTTTAACTTTGATTTTTTTTACATTCTGGTTTTTATATCTTCTTTACACCGCTTTTAATCTTCTTCATCTTCATTACATCTATTGTTCATTTTTATTTATTTTAATTTTTCGTTATATCTCTCATCCACTCAAAGATCTATAATCCCCAAGCCATCAAATGAATATTATTCTTTTGGATTAACTTTATTTTAGTCGTATTACTTAAAATTTTGATTCTCTTAATTCTTATTGTTTGCATTTGGTTACTATATTTTGTTATAATAAAGCCTCTCATCTAAAATTTCACTTAATAATTAACTAAAATATAATCAAAATATTATGTGATATTGATTTATATTGACAGAAAAGAAATATAAAAATATTTAAATAAGTGAATAAAAGCTCAATAAATGGCTTTCAAAGTGTTGATTTAGTTCATGAATTTTTATTTTTTATCCTCTGATTTTGACATTTTATAACAAACAGAAAAGGATCTAAGAAAAAGTAATCGTGAGACAAATATTTTTCGAAGATACGTGTTCACCAAAAAAATACTTTCCCTTGATATATAATGCTTTGATGAAGGCATTCCTACATTCTGCAGATTCTGTCTTTATATATTTTGTTTATTCTTGTAGATGTTAACACAATTGCCTCTTACATTGATCTCAAACTTTGAATTTTTTATTGGGGAACTGATATTTCACGCATTCTATATGGACTCATTCTTGCATTGATTTTCTTATTCTAAAGGAATATGGAATCACTGAGTCAAAGACAATGGTGCTATGCTGCTCATGAAATTGGAATTCGAGTGCATGCTGCTTTTATGGCTGTAATTTATAGCAACTAGCAGTCCCTATTGATTAAGTGGCTGAAACAACACACGGAAAATCATAAATTTGATTAATGTTGGATGCTGAAAGAATTGGTCACTTCTTGGCACATTCATGGAGTTTGGTTGTTTTTAATTCTAGTCTGAGTAATATCCCTTCCATTGCTGCAATTACTGTCACCATTTTGGTCATCGAGGGTAACACACATTTGGCCAATATGCAAAAATGTTCACTCCAAGATCATGGAAGCAAGGACTCAAGAATCAAAGCGGCTTTTGAGACCATGAAGAACATTATGATTTTAAAATTGCTTGAATGGGATCCACGTTTTTGCAGAAACTCCTCCAACATCATGCAATGGAGGTGAGAGCAGAAATATCTCTACACAAGCTCAGCATACCCCTTCTATTATGGCATCTCCTAATTTAGTTTTTGTTGTGGCTTTTGATGTTATGTATACTGATGAAAAAAACAGAACTAACAGTAGCTACAGCTCTCTCAACTTTAGCAACTTTTTAGTATTCTACATAATCCAATTTATAACATAAGTTTATTTCCATAATAAAATCAAACCAAAGTCTCTCTTGATCAAATCCAAGAGTTCATGAAGGAAGGAGATCATAACCATCTCATGTGCATGTTCCAAAAACTTCAGAACTTGCTATTGAAATCAAACCAGATGAATCTCTGCATTGGAAAGAAATGATTCAACCCACAAGAAACCCTCAAATTATGTTTGTAGGTCAAAATTAGTGCACAAGGTCAAAAGGTAGCAGTTTGTAGGTCAGTGGGGTCAGGCAAATCAAGTTTGCTCTGCTGTATGCTTGGTGAGATTTCACTGGTTTCTGAAGCAGTAACCAAAGTCAAACAACCTAAGTCCTTGAATTCAGCCTGGAACTATAAGAGAGATATAATGTTTGCCAAGTGAATGAATAAGAACTTCTATGAAAATGTTTTGGATAGTTGTCTTTTGCACCACAATATCAACAAGTGAGGTGAAGCAGATTTACTTGACAAACAATATATTCTCTTTTACAGTTGCAGACTAAATCTTGGAACTTCGAGGTACATAACTTCTAGTCCAGTACACTTCGGTTACTGCCCAAAACCAATGAAATCTCACAAAGCATACAGCTTAGCAAGCCCGATTTTCATATTCTATTACTAACTTATCTGTAATTTGAATTGTTGGTTTCTTGGGGTTCTGATAATTTGTTTCCATAGCATATTCACCTGGCTTGATTGCAATAGCAATTGTTGAAGTTTTTGCTGCATGACTATTTTAGAATTGATTTTGACCCTCTTCCCTGATAAACTCCTGGATTCGATCAACCGAGACTATTGTTTGAGTTATCATGCAAATAAGCCCAGGTAAATTGTAGATTGGTTCTTGTAAAATATGAAAAGTTGCTAAAGCTGAGAGGATACTAGCTGCTGTTAGAACTGTTTTCACCCGTATGCAGCCAACAAAAGTGACAACAGAAACTGAAGTTGGAGATGTCCAGAATAGAGTGGCTACTGCTGAGCATGTATAGAGGTATTTCTGCAGCCACATCCTCTCAGTTTCCCTAAGTTGGAGGAGTTTCTGCAAGAATGTGGTTTCCCACGAATGCAATTTTAAAATTCTGATGTTCTTCATGGTCTCTGATGTCACTTTAATTCTTGAATCCTTTGCTTCCATGATCTTGGAGTGCAAATTTTCTGGCCTTTCTTTATCACTAATTATTTTGTAAACTTTCTTGTAGACTTCATCATTTGTTTCACATACATATTTGATTGGCTTGACTGCTATATAGTAATTCCTTAAGTTTTTGGAGCATGCACATTCATGAGCTGATTTTGATCACCTTCCTTCATGAACTAGTGGATTCGATGAGAATCTTGATTGATTGAAAAGAGCTCACGAAAGTTATAGATTAATTCTTGAAAAATACAAGGTTGTAAAAATATAAAGTCATTCATTTAAGGTTGTAAAAATTTCACCAATATTACAAGCAACAACAGAAACTAAAGATAAAAAATAAGTCTTGTTATTTGAAAATTTATCTAATAATTCATAAAATTATAATAAAAGTATAACATAATATTAATTTATATAGATTGACAAAAGAATATATATATATATATATATATATATATATAATATTCAAATAAAAATAAAATATCCTCCATTACATTTTATTCATTTTGTTTTCTATTCATAATGATTAAAAAAATTATATATATATATATATATATATATATATTTCTTTTAAACACAAACACATCTGCTGTGAATAAAAGAAGATCAAATTTTTTTATTCATTTAGTCCCATTTGACACTGCTAGCAAGGTGAGATAAGCTTAAAGAGGTGGAATCTGTGACACGTCCGAACATTGTCTATGTTTGATCCATTTTGGTATTTTGACAAATGAGAAATTTGTTTGGAGCTTTGGTTGCTGAACTGCACATGATGTGTCCGTTTGATTAGAGAAGGACAAAAATGGTACAAAGTTGATGATCCCATTATTTGGATTTTTGAATGTACTGATTCGACACAAGAAATTCACATGCATGAATGTGGAGTCAGTCAATTAAGCCCCCCATATTGGTTGTATTGGTATACGATTCATCTCCACTTTTTCCCATTATAATTTCATAAATTGAATTACATTTCCAAAAGCATCTCTTTTTTTAGTCAAGTCTCAGGTTAAATGTTTCAAACCCATCCATCCATCTTCACTTGTTCCTCCTTTTTCCTATCTCTTTATTTTGAACTTTTTTAATAAATATTTTAAACAAAATAATTCTTTTTTTTTTATCAATGACCTGATAGGAACCAGAACATAGATTTAATAGATTAGTTTAATTCAAGTTAAATATAAAAATATGTGAAAAGTAACCCAAAAGTTTGGATAAAATATCTCCTGAAATCTAACTTAATTTTGCATGTGTTCACCCCTCAAGTGAAGCACAAAATTTCATTGGGTCTGAATTTAATTAGCCTTTCTATTTGTTTTCTTGATCAGGTAATAATTTAATTTAGTACTTATTTAATAATATTTTTTACACAAGTTGATGATACAAATTTGATTATAAAATTTATTAAAGTAAATTAAAAATAATTTATGAAAATGTAAAATTTTTTAAACGTACCATTGATGGGTACTTGTAACTTTTAGATGTTGTGTGTAAGACAAAAAATTATCGTGTGATTTTCTGAATAATAGTGTAGAATTATGTCATATATCATCTTTTGTTTATTTATTTACATATCCCATGATCATTTTGAAAATCATACATGAAACAAGTAACTGTCCCATGCAATTTGTTTTACCAAACGAAATACATTATGGGTGCATGCATGTGGAGATTGCATTCATATGGAGTTTACCATCTTCTATATTTTATTTCTAGACTAGAAATCTACATTTATGCATTAAAATAATTTTAAACGATGGATAATCACGTATTCTTGGACCTATAGGATGGCAGTTTAAATACTAAGTTACAGCATATTCTCTTTTTAGAAGTAAGAGTGGCAAAATGGGACCGCAAGAGACTAATGATTAATGATTATATTTCATGTGGTTATCTTATTACAATGAAAAAGTGTAAATCACTGCTTAGTCTTGAATGAAAAGAGGATTATTATAAAAAGTAAATCCTTCATAGTAGCAAGCGACGATCTTCTCAGGTTGAACATTCAAGGAAAAAAATTTCAGCGTAAAGAAATTAATATAAAAAAAGATTTTTTATAAAATAAAAATAATTTATTTCTTTAAAATTTAAAGAAATTTATATGAAATATTATTCAATTTTTTATATTATTTTTTTATAAAAATTTCTCAAATTTTTTTTGCTGATATTGATCTAATTTTTACTGAGAGAATGAGAGTCGCCATCATTCAAATTCTATCCCAAGGAGAATGCCTTTACTGCAGGCCGGCCAGCCTGCTATAATAATTGCTTTACATCGTAACAAAGTAATTTACTAATAACGCACCAAGAAAATTATGAAGTTAACTAATACAATGGTTCAAAAGGTTAACTAATCGTATATAAAAACCCACCTTCAATTGTAATAAACTTTAGCCATCAATTTTTTTTACTCTAATATTTATACATTTTTCTAAAAACAAAATTTAGGTGTAATTTTTAAATATTTCTACATTGTTTTTTGTATCAAAATTAACATTTTACTTTGAAAATTCACACAATGAACATCAGAATTTAAGATTGGTATACATTGAGGGATAGAAAAACTAAGGGTAGCCATATTCATTACAGAAACGGTAAGTTGTGCATAATTGTATCGGTTATAATTATTAAACATTATTATTGTCATTTCTTTTGAATGCAACATGCATTGAAGTTAGCATGTACACAGACAAGAAGGGGAAAGCCCCTTTCTTCGCTGTTCCCTACTCTCTTTTTCGAAATCATATGCCTCAAGACATGCTACGTCTGAAATGTAACATTGTATATAATTATTTTATCTTTTATATATTTCTATCTTTTTGTATGTTCACATTTTAAATTAACTACTAAAAAAACTTAGAAGAATCCGTTCAAGATGCACAAATATTATATAGGATTTTGTTCTAAATGGTGAACACCACAAAAGTTCATGGCTGCCAAATTTCAACAGGGCGATAATTTTTCATTAGCAAGTCATGCAAATTAATTATGTATGAAAGGAAATTTGCGCAAAAACAAATTGTACCCTCTAAAATCTCTCTTTTTAAAGTGCCCCCGGCTAATTATGTGCCCCATGTCCTTCTAGAAATGACAATATCCTTGAAATTTCCTCAAAGTGAGAATGAAAACAATCACCAACATAGTGGGGTCTACGGAATTATAATAATTTAATAAAAAAATATCCTTTGGCTGTGTGCTCACGGACCAGAGAATCTCAATCTTTCTAAGCCTTCTTTTTAACTTTTTCCTTCACCAAAGATAAGTATTGCCCACCTTTACAAATCCTATCTGTTGGTCATTTTCCTTTTGTCATCTAACATTCTGCCACAACTGTTTATAGTTGGTATCTTTTTCTTCCCTTCAGCATTATGCTTTTGCCACCAACTTCTGCTAGGATCAAACACTTTAGCTTCATGTTGGCCAATTACAGCATCCAACTTTTGTTTCCTTGTACTTCACTATTCACAAGGTTATCACCCTGATCAGTCCTAGAATTTTCATTTTTCAACAACTTTTCAGTCCAAGAGAATAAGAACAACTTCATTCTTCTCTTAGTGGTGTGCTTTCACTTTTTGCTTTATGGGGGGTGTCTCAAAGGTAAAAAGCCACTTAACTATGCTGCTTGGAACTAGAATTGAACATAGTGGTAGTCAGTGAGTGAGTAAGTGTTCTTTGTTGTAAAAGGTCACCTCTAATTTGTTGTTCTAGTGTTACCATGCCTCCTTCTTACTTCCCTCTTCGTTGGGAGAGCACAGGGGATCAGTGGTGGTATGCATCTCCTATTGATTGGGCTGCAGCAAATGGACTATATGATCTTGTCATTGAGCTTCTTCACCTTGACACAAACCTTCTCATTAAGCTCACTTCCCTTCGTAGGATTCATCGCCTTGAAACTGTTTGGGATGATGAGGCTCAGTTTGAGGATGTTGCCAAGTGTCGTTCCATGGTTGCAAGGAATCTTCTGCATGAGTGTGAGAGAGGAAGTGGGAACAACTCTCTCATTGGTGCAGGGTATGGTGGCTGGCTTCTCTACACTGCTGCTTCAGCTGGTGATGTGGACTTTGTTAATGAATTGTTGGGGAGAGACCCCTTGTTGGTGTTTGGTGAAGGAGAGTATGGTGTCACTGATATGCTCTATGCTGCTGCTAGGAGCAAGAAGTCTGAGGTGTTTAAGATTCTGTTTGATTCTGCCCTCTCAAGAAAGGAGTGCCTTGGTGGTAGCAATGAAGCAGAATTGGAGGAAGGGGAGTTAGATGGAGGTGCTTGGGTTTTCAAAAGGGACATGATGAATAGGGCCATTCATGCTGCTGCTAGAGGAGGGAATTGGGAAATATTGAAGCAGATTCTAGCAAGTGTTTCTCATATTGTGTCATACAGAGATGCTCAAGGATGTACAGTCCTGCATGCAGCAGCTGGAAAAGGGCAGGTTGAGGTGAGGCAGATTAATGTGCTTGTAGAAAAATCAAGAGCCTTACTTTGTTTAATGTTATTGTTATGCTTAGAAGTTATAAGGACATAGATATCAAGTCCATAATAATATATTATAGAAAAATTTATTGTAGTTTATGGATCACAAGAATACCCTTTTCTTTATTTGGCCAGGGTCAGGGAGGCTAAATAACTTTAACGATTTAATTGTAAACGGGAAAAAACATGAGGAAAAAAAAGTATTTTGCTTATAATTAAAAACTCTAAATTAACAATCGGAATATGTCAAATACATAAAAACCTGCTCAGCAAGCTTTAAGAAGTAGTTGCATGGTCTCTAGAAAATGTGGTCTTCAGTGCCATTCAAGCTGTATGGTATAAGTAAACTTTATCCTGGACCTTTTATGCAAAACTTATCGCCCGTTATGTCATCATATAAAGTGTCTTATACAATTCATGCTCGACCTTCGTTGAATTCTCTTCACAAAAAAACTTAAAGCACACCAACATGGTTCAAACCTGCTAAAAGATTTTTTTTATTTTGAAGTTAGTGTTACTGTCTTTTCAGAAGTTTCTTTTAGGCCTATCTTTAGATTTGCTTATTTAGGAGTGAGAAAAAGAAAACCCACGAATCCTCTCATGTTTATAGATACTAAAGAACATCTAGTTTGTTCATTATCAAACTTCCCAATAGATCAGATTCCTTAATAAATTGAGTGGGAAGTTTTTTAATACACTGTTCAAATAGTACGACACATTTGGGTGGATTCCTCTTTCGATGTTTCAATGCTTTATTCCAATTTTTGGCTTCTGACTCGGGGTAGAAACCATGAAATCTTGTGTACATACTACATAGACTTAAGCTAATGTTGAATATTTTGCTTTAAAAAGACTTGTTGTATGTTACCACTTGCCTTCACATTTGATACTTTTGGGAACAGTTAATGCTACAAATGTTCAATATGTCCAAACTTCTGGGTTTAATACATTACTAATATTCATTTAGTACTGCAGGTGGTGAGAAATCTAATTGTGTCATGTGATATCATAGATTCAACTGATGCTCAGGGCAATACAGCATTACACGTGGCTTCTTACAGAGGTTACTCACCTGTGGTAGAGGTTCTGATTGAAGCATCTTCCTCATTAACAATGTTAACCAATCACTATGGAGATACTTTTCTTCACATGGCAGTGGTTGGTTTTAGAAGCCCCGGTTTCTGTAGACTGGACAAGCACACTGAGCTCATGAAGCAATTGACATGTGAAAAGATTGTAAACATGCAAGACATCATCAATGTCAGGAACAATGATGGAAAAACAGCTCTTCATGTTGCTATTATTCATAACATTCAATGTGATGTAGTGGAACTATTGATGTCTGTTCCATCAATTGATTTGAACGTTCGTGATGCTGATGGAATGACCCCTTTGGATCATCTAAAGCAAAGACCAGTATCAGCATCTTCTGAAATTTTAATCAAGCAGTTGATTTCAGCTGGAGGGATCTCTAATTGTCAAGATTCCATCGCAAGAAATGCTCTTGTTACTCATCTGAAAACTCATGACATTGGAGCGAGTCCTGGAACATCATTTAGAATATCAGATTCTGAGATATTGTTGTACACAGGCATTGAAAATTCATCTGATGCCAATTATGATCAGGCAAGTGTAGAATCAAATTCATGGGCAAGTGAAATAAACAATCATGATTCAGCCAATTCCCAAAGTAACAGTAAGTCTAGTTCTTTCAATTATGCTGCAAGGCGATTAAAGCTTCTACTTCAGTGGCCTAGTAGAAGAGACACAAAAGAAACAGCCTCAGAATTGGAAGATGATGCTTCTGTGAATTCTTTCAGTTCAAGGAAAAACTTCGATGACTTTCCAATCCCGTTAAGGCAAAGATACTCTGAAATGTGTTGTCTTCCAAACAACAAAAGAACACTATCTATAAGGACTTATGCTCCAAGCCCATTAGCCAAAAAGTATTTTACCGCAGGCCTAATGCAAGGTGTGATTAAGGTAAAGCCACATGTGCCTCTTCCTACTCATTCAACTTCTAGTTCTTCTCAAGTGTTCTCTATCTCTTCTCATTCTTCAAATAATAAACCAAAACGTGTTGATACAATGGGACCCTCTTGCTCCAATCGACCAATTGATGATGGTGGCACCATACAGTTGAACTACAAGCAAAGCTCTTTCAATAAGAAATTGATGAACCGATATTTTTCTTTTGGAGCACAAGGCCAGGCTTTGGAAGATGCAAATAGCTGCACAATGTCAAATCCAAGCTCTAAGCGTTTTAGTTCTTTAGTTGCATAGATGTTATATATGAGCCATTTTGTATGAAAGAATCTATTCTTCTTTTTCAAGGATTAACATGTTCAGATTATACATTTGGGAATAAAATGGTACTGAACATTTTATATTCTTCTTTTTCGTCAATATTTTTATATTCGTTCTTCGTATCATACCTAGATCGTTATAAAGCCCACCACTTTTTTTTTATAAGTTGGGCCCAATAAAATGGCCTCACCAATTTTGCATTTGATTAGTCTACAAAATTAATCCTGTAACTATCAAATATTATTTTGAGAAAATTGATATAGAGTTTATTTTCTAAATCTTTTTGTTCTGTGAATTATTGGGTATCCATAAATTTAGATGGGTATGGATATCCATTTTAGATGCGCAATAATAAAGTAAATATGTGTGCATCACTTAATCAACTCATTTTATTATATTAAATAAAATAAAATTAAAGATATAATTTTTTAAATTAATAAAAATTTCAAAATTAAATTTAAATTTAATTGATTAACATTAAAATAATTTTAAAATTAGTTTATCTAAAAGAGAAAGATATATTTAATTTGATATGGTGTATCAAGATTTAAATTTTTTTTAAAAAAGTAAAGAAATAATATTTAAAATAAAAAAATTTCACTGAAAAAAAATATCACACGTCTCGTAACGAAGATGATAACACTTCTTAAAAATACTATCCTTGAAGAAGGATTTAGTTTTAAAGCAAGCTTCTCATCATCAAGGAAAGGTTGCTCAAGATTGCATAATCGCATGAAATGTAAAATGTAATATTGCGACCCCAATAATCACCAAAATGCAACAATATGCCGAATTGATCCCAAGAAATGTTAAAAGCTCAACTAAAGTTCTACCATAAGTCACCACCACGTATAACTAGCTTGAGCAGAAATCAGCATAGAACAAACTATCATCATATAACATAGAAATTTGAAATTATATGACCATTGGGATGAACTCTGATGTAAAGAAGTTCAAGTTGCTATACAGAAAATTGTTGACTTACATCGCCATACCCCCATCAATAGTGAACACCTGTTACATGGCAATTATGGTTTATTAAAACACACAACAGAAGAATTGAAAAATAAAATAAGATATTAGTTACAAAAGCCTAAGTTTAATGATACACTAAACTCATCATTTGGTTATATGTTTAGAAAACCAATTGGGAAATAAATAATGACCTGCCCAGTGATGTAATTAGCAGCAGGACTAAGAGCCAAGAATTCCACTAGTCCAGCTACTTCTTCAGGTTGACCAAATCTTCCTGAATCATGGTGGAAATTGTAATTAATTAAGCTACCAACATTTTTTAAATATTTTAAAACTTTAATTACATTTGCTTCAGAGTTAAGAATCTTTTGGTCACACTCACCTAAAGGAATTGCCTCCAATATTTTTTTCTCAATGTCTTGTCCTAGTTTTGCAGTCATATCAGATGCAATAAACCCTGGGGCAACCGCATTAACCTGTCATAAAAATATACCCCCTTTTAATTAATTCCATCAATTCATAACTTGTGCTCATGGATCTAAGGCACAATAAATTACAGTGATGTTTCTGCTAGCATATTCCCTCGCAGCAGATTTTGTTAGGCCAATTACGCCTGCTTTTGCAGCACTATAATTGGCTTGTCCAACATTCCCAACCACACCTATAACTGATGCAATATTCACTATCCTTCCCTGCAAAAATACTAGTGAGTAAACTGAGATATGATAATAGAGAGCTCAATTCAGCAACCACTGAATGTCATTTTGTAAATTAAATAAAAAGAATCACAATGGGCTGAATGCAAAAATAATCTGTAGTTATTAGTTAACATGGTAATTTACATAGATATTGTCGTTAGCATGAAAAGTGATTAATTCACAAAGAAAGAAGTCAATTGAAAGCTTAAAGGGTTCTTCTATCCAACAAAAACCCCTTCTTCTATAAACAAATTATAAGGGGAAAGGGATGGGGAGGGTATATTTAGAGCATGTTTGTTTTGCAATTTTTAAAAGAGTTTTCTCCTTTTAAAAAATTAAAAATACATGTATTTTTTATTTTTAAAAAGAGAAAACTCTTTTAAAAATTGAAAATAAACATACCCTTAAAGTGTGATATTACCTTCTTCTTCATCGTCATAATCTTTGCTGCTGCCTGCAAAAAGCAAACCATCTCAGCTTCTTTTTCTTAAATTTTTTTAAAAATTACTTGACTAGTCGTGCTAATCGGTGTCCAAAACTAAAAGTGAATTTTTATATTGAAAACTATGTTAGATTGTATTAGAAATAATGGGCTAGGGAAGGTGCATTGACAACATTTTAGACTAAAACTTCTCACTTTTGATTTCTTAATCAGTGTCATAAAGACCTTCGTTAGCATTTGCCTTAATTTAATATGAACTCAAATTGTGAGCAATTTTTTTTTTTTTTTTTACCTGAGTGCAAAGAAAAACACTGGTGAGATTTAGATCAATGACGTCCTGCCATTGTGATTTCTTCATTCTCATTAACAAACCATCCCGAGTAATTCCTGAACCAATGATAATTTTATTTAAGCATGAAATCTGAAATTAAAACAAATAAGTTGTAGCACCAGAGATTTATATATTCAATTTACCTGCATTATTTACCAATACATCAACAGTTCCCCATGTATCCACTGCCTGCAGATGTTGAAGTCACGAATCAATTAACGTACAATAATTTGATCAATCTAATAAATAAAAAAATTGATTTTATTAATCTCAACTTTTAAAACTGAATTTAAATATCTATAAATAAAAACCTTTTATGAAAAAAATATTTACTCACAGTTTTAATCATAGACTCCACATCAGCCTCATTGGAAACGTCTCCAGCAAAAGTAAGAGCTTGTCCACCAAATGCCTCAATCTGAGAGTAGTAATCAAAGAAATTAATGCCAGTCAATCAGCATAACCTAGCTGCTAGCTTCAACACTGATTCAGTGACTCATGAATAACGCATAGAAACATGAGAAATGCTACAAATCTTATCAAACATGACACACAAGAATAACAACCAACCCACAAATTCAAGAGTGAATAAAAACAGATTCAAACTCTATATAAGCAAAACAGTCTTCCCTAATTTTTTCTAGGAAGCAAGTCATTCAATTATCGAGGAATGCTAGCAAGAGCACCATATTATCTTAAATACACTTTGCACCATATTTTTCTTGATATTTAAATTGCATCCTCTTCGTGAATTCCACCGCATAAAAAAATTAAAACATCACGAAACGGAACCAAAAACTTGAAAGAACAACGAAGGTAATTAGCATGCAATGACATATATATATATTGATGTATTACGTAAAATAAAAACAGAAAGAGAGGAAGAACATGTTGAAGTGTACCAAATTAGAAACCTCCTGAGCTTGCGTGTATGAGGTGGCATAGTTGACGAGGACCTGCAAGCAATAGATAGAAAAGAAATGCATGTGACATCACAATAATGAGTAGTTCTAATATTAGAGAATGAGGCCTAATTCACTCTTAACAGCTAGTTTATAGGAAGAGAAATTGCACTCTAATTCTATTGTACAGTTACGTAAGGAAGTTGTGCATTCATATTCTATGTATATCTGTCATTATTTAATTATATTATAAAATATTAAACATGCATACACAAATATAAGTATATTATAGTTAATATATATTGCCAAGATCGATTACAAACATTTTTTACAATTTTTTCATATTTGTGTATCACATTATACTCAATATACGTATTCATACCCATGCAACCTAGGGATTATACAAGAGTGTGTTAAAATATACAACTTATTTAATAATTTTTTCTAAATAACAGTTTATGAATGAAATTTATTTCGATAAACTATACAAAATAACTTGTATAAATAAGTAAAAAAACTGATTATGAAAGTCATAAAACTCTTTCAATTAGGTCTTATAAAAGTATAATCAACATTACATTATAGCAAGTGGATGAGATGAGGTAGGAAACGAACCTTGGAAGAGGCTTTACCGAAGGAGAGTGCAATAGCGCGGCCAATGCCTCTGGAGGCTCCGGTGACTACAACAACAGGCGCATCCACATGCTGATGCTGATTCTTCATACCCTTCCCATTCCATGCGAACTGCTGTAAAGCCAAAACCTCACTGCCACTGCTTTTCGTCAGGTTAGCTCTGCCTCCAAAAAGGACACAGTTTGGTCGCCTCAGACATCCCATCACATTCATTTTTCATACACAAATATTATTTCATTGCAAACCTTAATCATATATTTTCCATATTCCTGTATTACTATTTCTGCTATGCTTATTTTTCTTTATTTGGTAACTTTTTTATTTTTAAAAAACTATATCAAAGAAAACAAAAACAATAATAGATGTCTCTGTTAAAGAATGAAGTATTTAGTAACCATGGTCCTAATCCTCTATGCCAAGGCTACAATTTAGAACACACAAAGAGGCAATTAAAGAGCTCATCTTATTGTTATTATTTATTATTATTTTATCTTATCATGGGAAGCACCTAAGTTTGGATTCAACAATCCTTTTAAACGAAAATTTTGCTCGTCGCTTATTTCGGGGGGCAAATTTTGTTTTAATTTAATTTTAATGTACTATTGACGTATATATTTTTATACTAATAGTATAAAACTATATATTATCAATCAATTATAAATTATTATATCACTAAGAACCATTAATTCTTATAGTAATTATCTCAAAACGATATCAACTAATAATTTTTCACAAGATAAAAATATAATAATAGAATATTAATATATACATAAATATAAATTAAATTAATGTCATCAATAAAAAAATTAAATATAATAGATTTTTCATTACGTCATTTTCGTAAAAGATGGTAATACAACAGTAGTATAAAAGCATGTCTCAATAGCTAAAATAGCACATGATTTAATTCTTACGGGAACCTCTTTTATTTATTTATTTATTTTGTGATAAATAATTTAACAAGTAGGGCTTAATCACACTTTACTAGATAAGTTTATAATAAAAAATTACATATAATATCAATTTTAATGTTTAAAATAAAGTAACCCTTTCGTCCCTTGTTCTCATCTTTCGTGGATCATTGTTCTTAAGTTTTTTTTTCTTGCAACATGAATACACTTTCGACCCCATTGTCATTGGCATAGTCCTTCATTTGCAACCGCAGAGGCCAATTTCTGTAGTGTGGGGGCGAAGCCTACAAAGAATAACAGCAACCCATTTTGTTTTCAGACCCAAAGGACACCTTAAAGTAGCATATTGTCACCTAAGAACTCCTCATTTGCATCTCCATCACCTTTCAAACTTTCAACAAAGCGTGACATGCAATGGAAGATTATCAATGTCGTTTTTGTCAACACCACAAAAGTTGCTACTAGTACACACAAAACATGGACAAGTTGTGGGGATTGAGATGCTGGTTATGATCAAACCCATCATTAACATCATCGTCGAAGTCTTCATCTTGCAAGAAAGATTGAGATGTCACGCACTCATCTAAATCCATGGTGATGTAAGGGATAGATGAGTTTATTCAAAATTGCACCAATGAAGAGAATAATTCTCAAGATAGTCATTGTGAAAACAGAAAAATCCTTTGAAAACATCCCTTTATTTTGGTTTTTTTTTCCCTAATAGAAATGAAATTTTGTTTTTAAAGTTCAAATAAAAATAACCTTTACCAAAGGACTTTATTGTTTTTTAAAATTATAAAAACTATTTTTGAAATAATAATCAATCATGTCCATATGAACCAATTCGAATTCCATACTAAATTTCAAGCACCAAGTTAATTAACACTAATTAAATGAAATTAAAAACAATAATGAGACAAAAGAACTTACATTTTCTTAAAATTAAGAGATTTTACTGTCTTTCTAAATCCTCATCTAAAACTTTAAATAATATTTATTTGAAAGGAATGAAATATATAATATTTCAAAATATCTATCATTTATGGTAATATTTTCAGTCTTTTTTATAACAAACAAAAACTAAATCATGAGACCAACAAAAATAATTAAATCAATTATATTTTTTATAAATATAAATTTTATTTTAAGAATCCTCATAATGTTAAATGATTAGTCATTTGTATATTTAATAATACTAATAAAAGAAAAGTATAAAAATTTTTAATAATTAATATATTTTAAATTTATTATTTATTTTTTATAATAAAAAAATATTTTATTTTATTTCTTATAAAAAAGAAAAAATAATAATTTATAAATGTTAAAAATATCTTACACACTCAATCTCAAGGTTCCGAGTCTAAATCATAGCTCGGCATAAAAAAAAAGTATATATAAATTGACTGAATTGCCTTTTTGACTTTACCTCTATACATTTGGCCAACTCTTTTATTGACAGATTTTTAAAATTGATTTATTCTACAGTACCAAACATTTTAATATGAATCTTGTGATTATAACTAATTTAAATACATATTTTAATATTTTTAAATAGTTTAAAATTAACTTTAATTTTAAATTAAAACGCCTTTGTATTAGATGTGCCTACAACATCACAGTTTTCTCCCAATTCCTATAATCAACACTGACTTTTCTATACGAAATGGTTAATCACAACTCAGTTGAAAACGATATAATCTTAAATAAGTTATTGTTATTATTATTGTAATTATTTAAATAGACTACTAATTATATATTTTTAAAAAATTAAGAATATAGTATATCATTATTATTATTATTTAAATAGGTTAGCATATTAAAATAAATAAAATTACCTAAAAGTTAATCTTTCCATCTTTAATTAATTATTATATTTTTTTTCTATACCACATATATTTTCCATTAAAGATAACTATTTTCAAGTTAAATAAAATTACTATAAATAATAAAATTATATGTTTAAATAACAATTATATTATTAAATTTTAAATATGAAATTTAAGATTATAAGTTAAGTTAAATCAATATTTTAACCGTTGATCCACATGCTCATTGCTTCAAATAAATATCACTTATTAAATTTTATTTGTCTCAAGTTATTTTTATTTAAAGATATTAAAAAGTATTAATTAAAATTTTTAATATCACCCTTATTTATTTAAAATAAATTTTGTCAAGTAATAATTGAAATAATCTTAAAATTGATTATTACCTAACTATTGCAATAGCTTTGATAAGAATATTACAACAAAATTAGTTTTTTTCTTAAGTAATTAATCAAACCAATATACTTTTTAAGATGTATACATTAATAGTACTAAGTAATAACTAGTATGAGAAAATTATTATTCTTTTAACTAAAATAAAAAACATAATCTAACTCACTTAATTAATAACAGTTTAGCTTATTTCCTTTCCTAACTGTAAGTTTGTGCTGATAGTGGTACATAATTACTTTTGCTAAACTGCTACTGAAATGATCCATTAGCAATTATATATTTATAAGAAATTAATGTATATCTTTTATGCATTACGCAATTAACGTAAATATACATATTAACAAGAACAATTTTGACAACTGGTAATTTTACAGTGTTTTCACTTCCCATTTTTAATCAATTGTGGTGAGAAATAGAATTATCAACTCTTTTATTTCATGGCCATTAAATATGATTAAATAGTATAAATATTTTTAATCAATTTTTTATACACTTATTAAAACGAGGATGGCACCCTATGCCTAAACCCTAAATTGCAAAGAAATCTAAAGCCATAAAACTTTTGATTATATGATAAAAAATAATAACAAGCTCAGTCTGATAAATATAAATCATCAGATGATAGCAACACTAAAAAACGAAGAGAATACACTATTCAAAGCAGATGATCTTTATCCTTAAGACAATTCTAAATAAAAAAACGAGATCGATATAAAATGGTGAAAATATGTTAGCAACACTAAAACAGTTTTTTAATTAGATTTTTTATTATTTGTTGAAATTTATGAGAATTATGTGAGCTTCATATTTAATATTTAATAAATTCAACTTATAATCATAAATTTTAATAAATTTTAACTAATAATTAAATGTATATTAAAAAATATATTCCAAAACTCCTTAAAATAATGTGTTTAGGACCATACACGAGAAAAAGGCTTAAAGCAATTGAAATGATTAACAAATAGCCTTTTAAGTTTCCTTCATCACCTACCAATTAAATAGACATAATTGGATAATCTTTCCATTAGTGTACACAGCTAGCTATTGGTTAATGATAACTCAGTTGTTATGTTGACTTTATCCCACATTGCCCCACAGAACCTCATTCCTTTCCCCTCAAGTTTTTTCTTTCTTGGCTTTTTCGTTTGTCACCAATTTACACATTAATTTATTAAAAAAACATTATTTTCGTAGAAAGAAACCTTTGGCCACAAATAAACTAATTAGGACATATCACTTGTTTAAAATGCCAACCTCACCAAAATGATGCCACTGATCGTGATTGTTCAGTTCTCGTGAGATGGACTTTGTTTTAAACATCAACATAAACAATGCTCTGTATGTTTTTTCTTATACATTGTCTCTAAATTGTTCGTTACTTTTAAATTATGCCAATGAAGCTTAATAAAACTATCTTTTTGTCTATTAGCTCCAAGTTGAAATAGAAGATTTTTCCACCAAATTAGTACATATTTTTTTGCCCTTTTTGGGTTTTCAACGAGTCAAATCTTTTTGATTGCTCTACGGATCAATGTAACATACATTTACTGAATGTGATAAGAAATTTAATTGGTTAGTCCCAAAAATTGACCCCAATCAATTCCACCGCTATTAATATTACTACTTGAGTCCCTTCATGCGATGAGAGGGTCCAAAAGTCCAAACTTGGCTTCAATGTGGTAACACCGTAGGCATTAAATGGAACATCCTACACATAACCTTCGACCAGCACATTTATAATATCCCATTCAATCCAATTTATGTTTGCAATTAAAAAGGTAGAAAACGGTTCCAAAGCTACAATGACAAGTGGAACTAAAAATCGAAAAATCAAAATCGACAAATCAATACTCTTAATTCTTATACGCAAACACAAAATGGGAAAATAGAAAAGTAGAAAACATCTATTTCTTCTTTTTTTTCAAAAAAAATGTGAAGTATTGAAGTAAAATTTAAAAGGAAAAGAAGTATGGAAAATCAGAGGGAATCTACAAGGCAATAGTAACGGAAACTGAAAAAGGAAGCTGAAGAAAAAGAAAAGGTTAAGAAAGGGAAAAAGGAAAAAAAGAAAAGAAAGAATGCTTGGTGTTGAGGAAAAAACAGCAAATCAAACGACAACAAACAAAGGTTTTGGTCCAGTATTAATATTATTATTCTCAAATTGCAGTCCAATATTCTTATTTTTTCAGAACTGAAAAAATAAAATTGTGTGAGGAGAGAGAATAATAGAATTTTTTTTAGAGTTTGTTGGAACCGTTGGATCACACTGGTTCTGATCTGTACTTTTTGGTCGCTCAGAAGAAGCCATGAATGCTGTAGATCCGGATGTCTGATTCAACGTTCGTCGCATTGTAATTGGCATTTAAGCTCTATTTTTTTGTTTTTGTTTTTATTATTTTATTTTGTTTTTTAATCTTCGAACTTGGGATCCTAATAGTGGAACTGTGTTTGAAGCTATTTGACTTGGAAATTTAGTGAGCCACGTTCAGCTGCTACACTCCTATGGTGTGCTTTTAACTTCAATGGTGGCTTTAATAGGCGCTCAAGCTTGAATTTTGGCGTTTGAATTGGCTACCCTTTTGGCCGTGCACGTCAACTGCATAATTAGGATCTGCTACTGGCCAATATCCTAGGGTTTCAGGGTGTGGAATATCTTCAATATTGGTTTTGGATGCTTATTGCATATGCATGTTGAGGTGTATGACATTGCTTTTTGAATGGTACAGTTGTTTCTGTTACTGTTTTAATATGCCAAATTAGCTTTTGTTTGTTTAGGATATGTGGTTTGGCTGTTCAGTCACATTGGCTGTGATGCCAGAGTATGTTGGGTGTTTAGAGAAGTAGTAGTGAAGGCTGAGGAGAGAGCTCATGGTGAAGGAAAGTGGGATTCTGCTGAAACTGATGTTTGGATATTGAATTTGTTGTGAGATTGAGGTATCAGGTATGTGTTAATCATTGATTGTTGGTTAGAGTGTGGAAGGTTTTTGAATTTGGATTGTATGGAGAACTTGAGGTGACACTTGTTTGACACCCTGCATTGGGTAGTGGAGATGCCACCTTCCCCAGCATTTAGATGCTCTCCAAGTGGAGAGCAAAGATCAGACAGTCACAAGCGTGGGCGCAGTCTTGAAAGTGGATTGATCTTGAGAGAGAAAGATGAAGATCTTGCTTTGTTCAGTGAAATGCAGTCCAGAGAAAGAGAGAATTTTTTGCTTCAGTCATCAGATGACTTGGAAGACTCATTCTGTAATTTTCTTTACTGACATCTTAAGAAGAGAACGTGTCTGTTTTCTTGGTTGTTTTATTTGGGTGATGCTCATGCATTTCTCCCTGTTGTTTTTGTTATTAATTTACAGCGACAAAGTTGAGACATTTTTCTGATATCAAGCATGGGATATCCATTCCTGGTCGAGGAGAAACCAGTGACTTGCTTAATGCAGATGGTGACAAGAATGACTACGATTGGTGCGTAGTCTTTTCTGTCTTTTGAATTTTACCTTGTTAAATCATATCTGTGCTTTATGATCAAATTTTATGATTTCAATTCCAACTGTTTGCAATTGTGTTTCTTTCACATTAAGAATGTACTATTTTGTGGACAATTCACAAAGCTTGAGAGTTTGATGCGCATCTTACTTCACTTACGCTGCAACATGTCTGCTTTATTCATTTTAAGGTTATTGACACCACCAGACACACCACTTTTTCCTTCATTAGATGAGGAGCCACCAGAAATAAATGTTGTCAGCAGAGGGAGGCCTCGAAGTAAACCCATTTCCATATCAAGATCATCGACGGTGTGCTTTCAAATCCCTTTTATGCCTAATTACCTCTTACATAGAATTTCTTAGCTTTTACCCTCCTTATGAAAAATGTAGTGGTTGTTTTAATTATCCATCTTTGGTCGGATGTCTTCTTTTAGATGGAGAGAAGTTACAAAAGCAGTAGGGGTAGTGCAAGTCCAAACCGTTTGAGTTCATCTCCTCGTTCTGGAAATAATACCTCGCAATCAAGGGGAAGGTCTTCATCAGTACCAAATTCTAGTCCAACACAAAATTTGCAGCATGCTACTCCCACAAGGCGACCATCTCCACCTCCAGCTAAGCCTGGGACACCTGCTCCCAGGTCTTCCACTCCTACTCCTCGACGGATCAGCACTGGATCCAGTGTTCCAGCAGTCTCGTCAGGGATTAGGGGAACTTCCCCTGTCAAGACAAGTCGTGGAAACTCTGCTTCACCAAAGATAAGAGCATGGCAAACTAATATTCCTGATTTCTCTACTGAAGCTCCTCCCAATCTTCGTACTTCTATGGCTGATCGACCAGCATCATATGTGAGGGGGTCATCTCCAGCATCCAGAAATGGTAGAGATTATACTCCTAAATTTGGCAGGCAATCAATGTCTCCCACTTCTTCCAGGAGCAGCAGTTATTTTCATAGTCATGATCGAGACCAATTTAGTTCACACAGCAAAGGTTCTGTCATATCTTCTGGTGATGATGATCTGGACTCTCTTCAGTCCATCACAGTGGGCAGTTTAGACCAATTGAGTTCAAGAAGGGGTGGTTCATTTTCAAATAGCAAAACTCCTTCAATTTCCAAGAAGTCGCCCAGGATGGTGTCCCCAAGTTCTGCTCCTAAAAGATCTTTTGACTCTGCTCTCCGGCAAATGGTATTTTGTTGTCTAATCTCTTTACTTCCTTTTTCAATCACTCTATGGTTCACTGCCAATTTGCTGACAAGCAATCATGCCATTTAAAACCTGACTATTCCTATTAAGGTAGTTGTCCCTCCTCTTCTTAGGACTCTTTCTCATTCATTCTCCTGAATTTTCCCTCCTTTTTGCATTTTCCTTTTTGATACATGCTAAGGTAGTACATTTTTTTCTATTCAAATCAATGCAAATTAAGTGAAAAGTCAAGTGAGTCAATGATCCTTGATCGTACTAGGCTACCAATGATCAAAACTTTGATATAATATTTGCTCTATTTACCACTGTATAATCTTAGGTACAAATGCTTTATTTGGTTCTTCTGATGCATGTTTTCCTTTCCTCTGTAAAATTATTTTTGAAGTACACTTGATAAGAATGCTACTCTAGTAAATGCTTGCACTAGCATGGTTATTATAGCAAAGTTTTTTCTATTGGTGACACATTTGCTGTTCTTAATGGCAGAGAAACCAATGCTCAGTCATGAATTTGTCTTAAAATCTACACTTTTTCTATTATCTTTTCTCTTATTTCTTTAAATAGTTGGTTGGGATCAAACTGCTTAGTTGTTTTGTTAACTTACAATGCTGTGCAGGATAGAAAGAGTCCTCAGAACATGTTCAGGCCACTATTATCAAGTGTGCCAAGTACAACCTTTTATGTTGGAAAAGCAAATTCTGCACAACATTCCCTGGTATCTAGGAATTCCTCTATCACAACTAGCAGCAATGTGAGCTCTGATCATGGTACTAGTTTTCCACCAGATACTGAAGGGAGTGACCACAATCAAGATGATGTGGCAAGTGAAACTGAGAAGATATTATACCATGATGTTAATGAAGAAGTATTTTCCTTTGATAAAATTGATGATGTAGACATTGGGCATGAGATCAATGATGAATCAGTTGATGTCCTGCACAATAAAACTAGAGGCCCTATGATTGCTTTAAATCCCACTGAATCTGAAGATTCTGTTTATCATGCTATTGACAGAGAATTCAATGAAACTTTAGAAACTTCCCTTGTCATAGGTGACATTACAGAAATTGGTACTTTTGAGAATACAGCAATCTGTTCTCATTGTGGTTGCCATTACGAGGCCACTGATCGAGCTGAGAGGAATATTAGACTATGTCCAGAATGCAGTAGGAAGAGCACATTGTTGAGACATATCATCCCGCAGACAACTTTGGCAGTTTCCAAAGAGAATTCAGTGATTTCCACAGACATGTCTGCAGAAGAAAAATCATCAGCTGAAACAGACCAACTAACTGTTGTGTCTGAACTGCCTCAAGAGACTCATGTGGGTAACATGAGGTTTCCCCTTGGTGAACCAGATGCTGAGGAAACTCAAAATTTGTCCAGTGAATTTATTCACTCACAACAAAGTCCTCTCTCAAGTTCACTGGTGGAAAGAAGTGGGCCAATGCTTGCCAATCAGCTAGAAGTGGGCCAGTCAGGGGTCAATTACAAGAAGCCTGTTAATCATTCTGGGGATCAGCAGTTGTATCTTTCCAATGATCGCTCAAATTTAAAAGCGGACCTCTTGGAAGGCGCTGGCATTTCTGTACTACTAAAAAGGTCAAGCAGCAGTAAAGGACCTGTAGTTCAGGGCAGGACTTTTACTGCCACAACCATATCTTATGATGATCTGTCTTTTGCAAGAAACAGTGTTAACAGTATTAGAAGCTCAACTGGACGTAGCAGTTATTCTACCTCATCATCTGTTGATTTCAGCTCAGCAAGACATTCTGATTTTCGTGTCCAAAGGCAGTCAAGTGGCAGGAAATTGGATGTAGACTATGGTTATGATGTAAGAATCAAGCCTCCAAGCCCTGGTTCGTCCTTTTCTGGGATGTCAAACCATTCTCTCTATGGATTAGGTTTTGCTACACAAGAAACTCCTGACAATACAGAATGTGGGAATCTAGAGGAGATACCCCTAGATCTACGAGAAATGCAAGGTTCAGAAAATGCAGCGACAGATGTAATTGAGGCTGCCTCTATGGGTTCAATTTGTGTCAAGGAAGATAAACTTGAATGTCATGATCATAGTAGAATAATTGATGCTTGTAGCTCAGACCTAGTAAGCCAAGTTACTACTGGTGTTCAGCCTGATGACAATTCAGGGGCATCATTTCCAAATCATGGGGTAAGTTTTTCAAGTGATAATATTGAAGACCATCCAAATAACATAACCAGTGTCTCAAATACAGAAACATCAGTTAAGGAAAGGGAGTCATTTTCTGATCAGAAAGATGATATGGATAACTCTAGTGTTGATGGAATGGATGCTTTGGTAACTCCCAACAATTCTATTATTGAAAAATCAGAGATAGAAGGGGAAAACCGTTCTCAGAATAATACTGGTGTGGATGATGATCCATCTCTGGTATCAAAGAGCACTGTCACTGAATTTCAGGAACATTCTGATCCAAATTATTCCAACGATTGTCTTACAGCTTCTGTTTCTGAGTACTCCCATGGCCTAGGTATGATGCTGGGATGATATTTCAAACAAAAGATATTGCCAATGATGAAAATTTTCCATAAGATTCTTCTTATTATTCTCATGTATATCTCATATGCTCTCATCTATATACGTAGCACACAGCTTGTCATATGTTAACTTTGAGAAATTTTAAGGGATACGCAATTTTATAGAATGATAGTCTATACTAGCTTCACCTGCTTTATCTATACTAGCTTCACCTGCTTTATCTTATAGTATTGATTTGTGTACTAGGTTCACCTGTTTCATAGTACTGATTTAGGGTTTAGATAGAGTTAGGCTATTTTTAACGGTTGTTTCTTGACATATTTTTAATAATAATGATAATACTCTAAAGTGATGTACCTGATATGTTAGGATATCTTTGTGTTGGTTTTATAGTCAGCAGCAATTTTGTAGTATAGTTTCTTACATTTCAATTAAGAATTGCATTTGGATTAACTTATATGTTTTATGCTACTTTCTAAACATCGCAATTCATTGAATGGTCTCTAATAACAAGTGTGGCTGTGTGTTTTTTTTTTTTGAGGTTTCTGAAATCTGAACAAATATTTTATTACTAGGCTCACTTCAGTTTTGTATTGAAAATGAAAACAGATTCTGCTTCTCTATGTATATGGTGTCTTTAGTGCTTGTAATGTACTTTATCTGCTAAAGCTTTATTTGGAGAAAATATTAGTCCTCCACAAATTTCTGACAAATTTCTAATGCTTCCATGTCAGAGGGATCCAGTGTTACAGTGGAGTGTCAAGATGGAGGGAACACCAGAAGCCTTACACTTGAAGAGGCAACAGATACTATACTTTTTTGCAGTTCTATCATCCATGATCTTGCATATAAGGCTGCAACAATAGCAATGGAAAAGGAACACTCGGAACCATTGGAAGGTTCTGAGCCGACTGTGACTATATTGGGGAAACCCAATTCTGATATAAAGGATTCTCGCAGCCGAACTGCTGGCAAGCGCGTTGTGAAACCCCAGAAGGCTAGGCCAAAGGCAATGGAAACTGATGTAAAATCCCCTTCTGCTAAGACTGAGAATGATGAAAGTGTCGATGAGCCTTTGACGCGCAATGTTGGGCTTCCTAACAAGGTAGACAGCACAAAACCCCCAAATAAGCTTGAATCAAAGTGTAATTGCATCATAATGTGAGAGTGCAGAGTTCAGATTGTGCTTACAATTTCTGCCAGCATTTCTACTCTTCCTGTTGACCTACATACACACCAGAGCAAAGCTTAGTCAATTGCTTGGGCGTTTATGGTTTTAGGTTTATGATTGTTTGGGATAATAGCCAATTGCAATATGTTGGTTCCAATATCTTGTAAGATATACCACTTTGTGTTTGACATAATTGTAAAGTTATTTTTTCCCTTCCTTTTTTTGTTGGTAGGCCATTAATCAGAGGCATTTGGAGGATTATGCTTTTCCAGTTGCCCCATTCTTGTTATTTGATTTCCATCTCAATTCAAGTGATCCATCAATGCAAGTGTGAAGTAGAACTCATTCATATTGGTTAAGATTGTGAAAAGCATACTGATTTCATTGCTTGAAGCTTATTTATGTGCATCATACTTCCTCCCCCCTCCCAAAAAATAAGGAAAAAGGGAAAAACAGAAGTAGATATCAATTGGAATTGAATTGTTGTAACTTTTTTGCATTTCCATGAGGTTAACAATTGTTGACTGTACATTTAAGTGCATTTAGTTAAGTAAAAAATATATATAATTTTATGATAATAATTTTTTAAGAAAATTACTAAAATTTTATTTTCAAAATATATAATTACTATTATGTTTTTAATTAAATACGTTTTTCTTAAAAGAGACAAAAAATAAAAAGGCACAAGCAAATTCGTTCTTAAGATATTTGTTTCACACTCATGTAAGGGTATGTGCACAACTTAAATTGGTTAGAAAAAAAAAATTGCTCGACAGAGGAGTGGGTGAATGGATTTAGATATTTTCCTATTTCTAAATTACATGATACCGTCATATTAAAGATAAAAAAAAAAGGACAATTTCTTGCAAATATAACTAATGCACCTTGCAAATTTTACATGAATTGAAATGTCTTCAGTTGTATAATTACCAGAGATTTTTCTTGTTTTATTAACTTGTTTTTGGGCTAAAACAAGGGTGAAAACTGAAAATCTCACAGAAGAATCTTAAAACAAATTTTAATTTTAATTTTCTTCTAAAATATTTTATCTCTCTCTCTCTCTCTCTCTCTCTCTCTCTCTCTCTCTTTTTGTCATCAAAAGATTTGAGCTCTCATTATGAAATAATTCTTCTCGTTAAATCAGGCCAAGACTAGGGCAGTTGATGATTTCATTATACGGTCCAACCCAATAGGCCCAAAATCGGAACCCAAATAAAAAAATACAAATTTGGCGGGAAAGCTCGATTGAACAAAGGTAACAGCTAGCTTTTATATGTGTTTTCTTTTACCCTCTCTCGTCGACAACAACAATGGACTCCGATTCGGATTCCGACGGGTCTTACGTCTCTGCAACTCCACCAAGACAATCAACTCCGCCGCCGCCGCCGCCGCCGCCGCCGCCACTACAGCCACCTCTTATAGTTTCCTCTAAATCCAGAATCAGAATCAAACCCTCAAGATCCAAAACACTCCCTTCCAAACCCTCCAAAACTCCATCCAAACCCGACCCGACCCACCAAGACTCTTTCTCCCTTCCCACCATTCTTCCCTTCCAAATTCGGCGACCCTCTGATTGCATTTCTGCGCCGTCAACTTCTCTCTCCATCGAAACCCTCCCCGCCGGCTTCTTCTTCTCCAACTCCGCTCACTTCTCCAAGATTCGAAGACCCCTCGGCAATCTAGAAGTTTATGGAACCGAACCGCTTCTTAGTTCTGCGTCTGATTCAGGCGCCAAGGTTTCCTGCTCGAACATTCGAAGACCTCTCGTCAATTTAGAAGCTTCTGGAACTGTACCGGTTTTCATTTCTGCGTCTGATTCAGGACCCAAGGTTGAGAGTGGCGAAGCTAGGAAACAGGGAAAGAAGCTGTACCCTAATTTGATAGGTGCTAGCGCGCCAATGCCGAATGTGAAGTTGCGAAACAGTGGTGGTGAAGGGAATTATGTGAAGCTGAATTTGAGTGGAAAGAGAAGGAAGTTTGTTAACAAGGGATGGAAGAAAGGTGGAAAATTTGGTCATAAAAGGTACAAGAGAGGTAAGGGGAAATTGGAACGTGAAGGGGAGGATCAAGAGGAGCTGGCTGGTTTGGCTGCAGAAAGTGGACAATTGAAGCAAAGGGGGTGTTGTGGGACAAGACAGATTGATTGCAATGCAGTGGATGAGGCTGTAGCGACAGCGCGTGTTGACCCTTCGGATGAGAACTTGGTGAAGTTGTTGAAATTGATTTATGGATATGATTGTTTTCGAGAAGGGCAGCTGGAGGCAATCAAGATGGTTCTTGCTGGGAAGTCAGGCGTGCTTGTTTTGCCGACCGGTGCAGGGAAGTCGCTGTGTTATCAGTTGCCTGCTGTGGTTTTGCCTGGGATTACATTGGTTGTTAGTCCATTAGTGGCCTTGATGATTGATCAGTTAAGGCAATTGCCTCAAGTGATTAGGGGTGGTCTTCTATCCAGCACTCAGGTGTTGTATATACTTTTTTGCATTCTCCATTATGCTCAATTTGCTTTGTCTGATATATGGAATGTCATCATTTAAATCCCATTTCTGTTCAATTATATTAGACAACTAAAGAAGTCTCTGAGTCGCTCAACCAGCTTCGACAAGGTGCAATAAAGGTATGAGTTTTGATAACCGAATGCAACATTTGCTCAGATTATGTAGCACTCTTGCAGTTTGGATGGCATACCATGGTTGATTATTTACTGGCCATTTTCTTATTACATGTTTGCATGTTGGGATTTGTTTATGGATGATGATAGTACTGTTATCTTAAAGCTAATATTAGAAACCCTAATTCATACAGGTGCTTTATGTTTCGCCAGAGCGGTTCCTGAACGAAGAGTTTCTGTCAACTATTTCTGCTATGCCAGCCATCTCACTTGTTGTTATTGATGAAGCACACTGCATATCTGAATGGTGAGGGGATTCCTATGTTTTTTTTAGTAATATTAATTACAATATTTTCACACTGGAGATCTCACATTTTATGCTTCTTCTTTCTGGTTGATCTTGAGATGTTTAACATTTTTACAGGTCTCACAATTTCCGACCTTCGTTTATGAGACTTAGAGCATCTCTGCTTCATAAAACACTTAATGTTGGTTCAGTTCTTGCAATGACAGCAACTGCTACAACCACAACTTTAGATGCTATCATGTCTGCTCTAGATATTCCTTGCACAAATCTTATTCAGAAGGCACAGTTAAGGGATAATTTTCAGTTGTCAGTGTCTTTGGTCAGAAATAGGCAAGTTAGAGGGTTCTATTACTGCTTCACCCTGTATGCTTACCTCATCTGAACTTGTTGAACTTATATATTAATACTTTGAACGTAATAGAATGAAAGACCTGCTGAGTTTGATTAAGTCTCCTCCTTTTGCGGAAGTTCAAAGCATCATCATATACTGCAAATTTCAGGTGTGTATATGGACATGATGTTCACCTTTCAGAGGATGTTCTATGATTTCTCAAAAGTCATCTGTCTTTATATTGCTATAAATCCTTGCTTCTAGCTCAGTATTTGATGTGTATAATATTGTTTGCAAAGTTATTGAAATCCTTATGACTCAGGTTTAGAATATGTTTAATTATTCAAGTTTGTTAGGAACATCATGTTCTATAGTGGATAACTGGATATATTGTAACTTATCTTTATTGGTGGGAATTAATGACGCTGCTTATTGTTTCAGTCTGAAACTGATCTAATTAGCAGGTATTTGAATGATAGCAATATCATGGCAAAGGTTAGCTCCAAATTTTTCTTTTTGACATTACATGTCTTTCTGTGTAATCCTTGACAAATGAGTGTGAAATCTGATGATTGATGTGAATTATCACCTAGAGTTATCACAGTGGTATCACTGCAAAGGAACGTAGCTATGTACAGGAGTTGTTTAATTCCAACAAGATCAGAGTGGTGAGATAAATTTTATTGTCGATTCACTAGTTTTGTCAAATTTCTGGCATGTGCATTTTTGCATAATAGTCTGCCTGTTTGCTTGCTTTATATTTTGTCAACTTATATCTTATATTCTTTTTTATGAAGGTTGTTGCAACTGTGGCATTTGGCATGGGACTAGATAAAAGAGATGTTGGAGCTGTAAGGCTTATTAACATGTCATGGTTTTCTGCATTACTCGCATGATCTGGTTTCTGACAATAGAAGTTCTATAGGTTTGCTCATGTAGTGGTTCACTGATTGTCACTGTGCTCTTGTTGCATGGTAACCTGCTTTTCCATGTGTCTTATGCTATAAAGCTTTGAACTGTGACTGTATACTGATTCTTCCTTTGAAGATTTTTATTTATGGTTACTTAATGCTCCAAAGTCCGACAAATGGTCTTGGATAATTGAGCCTTTTCTTTCCCCAGTTTCTGTTCATGCTAATATGCTGCTATTTACTTTAGTTAATAATTACAGTTTACAAAATACCGTTATTGAGCATCACTCTGCATACATTTTTCTCTTGTATTTTACACACCGCATATTTGCATCGCAATATAAATGATATTGTATATAACAGTAATTCATACCATTGTGATATGTGTATTTAGGTAATTCATTATAGTTTGCCTGAAAGTCTGGAAGAGTATGTACAGGTATACGATTTTGCCTAAACTTTTGTAGTAGCATAGCAAGATGTTCTATCATATGCTTTGCTTGACAAATGGTATGGATATTTTAGGAGATAGGACGTGCTGGAAGGGATGGGAGGTTGTCATATTGTCACCTATTTTATGACGATGAGACTTATTTCAAACTTCGTAGTCTAACACATAGGTAACAATTTTTTTTTCTTTTCATTTCTGCACACTGTTAAATTGTTCTGTATTTAACACAATTTTTTATCCTCAGCGAAGTAGTAGATGAATATGCAGTAAACAAATTTCTGTGTGAAGTGTTTCCTGCTGACAAAAATTCCTGTGGGAAAATCTGTTCATTAATCAGAGAATCTGCTTCACGCAGGTTTGACATGAAAGAAGAGGTCCTCTACTCAATACTACTGTTCATTTAAATTCATAACTTTGATAACTAAGACGAGTGATTTTCAATTTAAAATTTAGAAAGCTTTCATAACATCCTATTGAGGAATTACTTGTTCTGATATTTTTATGATAAATAAAGGGGGATACAAGTTTTTGATGGCCATCCTTGTAGCTCCAGAGTTGTTGGACATGGTTAATAGAAAATCATTAGGGTGGGATCTGTAGGGTATGCTTGCTTTGTAAAATTGCCATTTTTAGCCAATGATTGTAGGTGATCTCTGTATTTGTATAAAAATGTTTTGTTTTATCTGACTCTTGATCAAGATTAACTTAAAACCTGATAAGGCTAAGGTGGGGTTTCTAAGCAGTAATTAGGGTTTTTTTGGACAATAATAGGAACTGAATTTACTAAGGAATAATAAAGGAAATATTCAGAGAACTGATTACAAGGCTAATCTACTGAAGATATAAACATGTAGAAACAGATGATGAAAGTAATCAAATCAGAGAAGGAACTTCTCTGCCCTCTAGCAAGAGCCACCCAAAACTACCCAATTGATTACCTACCTTCTCATCCCTCTCCCCTTATATCCCCACTCAGCCCATAACTTTACCCAAATGCTTCCCACACTTGCCACTTATGCAAGTTTATTATAACATATGCAAATCTCTCCTTTGCTCTTACCCATATTAGTAATTTTTTCTATTTATGTAAGTGAGGAATGCTAACAACATACTTTTTTAGACACACTATTTACGCACCGCATGTGATTGATCAGTTTGTTAAAAAGTCAAAGTAATTCCAAAAAAATAATCAATTTATAAAGTAAGAGGTTTGACTTTTTTAAAAACTGACCAATTACAACAAATGTGTTCAGCAGGGTATGTTGCAAGCATTTATCTTATCATGTAATATAATATGCTAGAAATGAAACCTGTTCTTTTAAGGAACCTCTAGAAATTATATGTTGCCTATTTTATTCTAGGTCTGCAGTTAAAAAATTTTCCCATATTTTCCTTTACCAGGTGATGCTCACACTCTTGACACGCTTGGAATTGGGTGAGGTTCAGTACTTGCAGTTACTTCCACAGATAAATGCGACTTGCACTTTGAGTTTTCATAAGGTGTGTGCCGGATACACCTTTTCATGTTGAACAAGTAAATTCATTGAATGCTATCTCTCTGAATCTATATATTTAAACTATATCATAAACTATAGATTGTAGGTAAATTTCAAATAAGACATTTCAATGTCATGTTTGTAATTTTAACTGAAATCTAGAAAGAAAGAAAAAGGAAGAAGCGTGGTTTGAATAATAATTTAGGTGCTTATAGTTTTTTTATTTTTGGCACTAATGCAGACTTCTCCACCAGTCCTTGCTCAAAAGGCTTCTGTTATAGCTGTAATTCTAAAAAGGTAATAATAGTTAGCTTATGACATTTCTTGGCCTTCCACTGTTTCAAATCTTTCCGGTTTCCTCTGGATGGTCACTGTTTTATGAGTTATTTTAATATTTTAATGTTGCTTCCTTAAGATGGAGTCTGATTTCAAATTTTCAATTTATATAAAGGGGAGGTATATCTGCTGATGGTACTTGGTTCCTGATTATGATAGAAAAGCAGTTTAATTCTACTTACGTTCATACATCCGTTTAACTGAATTGTTGTTATGTGATTTTCAGGTCCGAAAATAAGCATGGGCAATATGTTTTTGACATTCCAACTGTGGCAAACGACATAGGGGTTACAGCAGTTGAAATAACAAATCAGTTGTACGACCTGAAGGTTTGGATTAATGGATATATATTTTTCTTCAGTTCACATGTGTGCTTAACAAATATGTTTAAGAAGTCCAAGAGGTCTTCTTTCTTCTGAGTAATTAAATTGAAATTCACTACCCCACAGCAACGAAGTATGATAAGAGAAGTCCTATCCAACTTTCTTAAGCTGCATGGTTTACATATCAGAAGATAGTGAAAACACATTCATCCAAGAATTTATGCTTTAAGCAAAGACATCAGATATTACGATTGAAAATTGATATGGGAAACATCTTCGTATAACAATGTCGTTCTTAAAAAATTTCACTAAGATTGAATGCAGTTTAATATTCATGGTAATTGCCGAGTTTTGATTTTGGATAGTAGTCCAAAGGACAAATACTTCCCATACTTGCCCCTGCATTAAACCTCCAATTAGCCTACAGTACTCCTGTTTAAACTGCTGATGAATGTGCTTGAAAGAAAAACATAGTGATTATGCTGGAGTTTTATTCTTATAATATTTCAGCAATAAATACTTACACCATGATTTATGTTTTGAATTTTTTTTATTATTGTAATTATCTTAAACCCTATGCTAGTTTACCTTGTCTTGAAAATCTTTTGCATAATACATGATAGGTCCAGATATTCAATACACTGATGTTTTATCTTTTGTTATCATCTGGAAATAGTGTTTGTGTATCTGTGTACATGCAGAATCAGAAGGGTATTGCATCTGGGGTTTTTCAAAAGTTTAATCTTGCAAGCAATTTGTTTTTAAAACTAAAATATTTTTATTTTGATTCTAATCTGGGATCTCTGACCATATGTGTGGTATTGGAAGCAATATAGCCATATTCTGGTGCGTACGATCTGACCTCGCTCTTCATGAAATATTCTCAGTTGATGGGAGAAATAACTTATGAAATGAAGGACTTGGCCTACTGTTATAGGATTGTTGAAGTCCCAACAGACTTATTATGTCTATCAGCAGATATTATCCGATGGTTATCAGAAGTTGAAAATTGTAAGGTATGTAAATTCTGATAAACTTGTGGGATATTTATTCATTATGGTATTTTTGAAAAATATATTCATTTTGGACGTGGTCCTCTGCACAATTTCTTTCCCTTTTGGGATTAAAGATTGAAATGTAATGTTCTTATGATATTGTCCTATATTCTTCTCAACAATCAGAAGTCCTGAACCATGAATAAGTGCTGGTTGGATAATTCATTTTAGATGATATGTCTGCATTCTTTGTGTTTGTAGAGTCAAATTTCTTGTTCAAGTTATCACTGATTGATTATTTTCTTTTGGTTCTACTTTTTGAGTAGGTAAGAAAACTGGATGTAATGTTTAATGCTGCATACTTCGCAGTAAACCTATGTGATAAGATGCAAGGTTGTAGTAGTGCTGATCACACACCATGCTTGCAAAAGAAAATAATGGATTACTTTGCTGGAGTCGATAATACTGATTTCTGCAAGAAAATTGGTCAAAGCAGGTACTTTATAATTGTTGTCACCTAAGTTCTGTAGAACACAAATTTAACCACTGACTTCTAATATGGCTTTAAGCTTGATGAACTTGAATTCTATTCGGAGTTGAAACATCAGATATAAAATTCTTTTGCAAGTAACAACCTATTATTTGATGATCAGGATATACCTGTGCTATATGCTACATTATTATCTCGTACTAAAATTTGTTGTATTTACATGTGCAGCCCTTTCCTGCGGGCAGATATAAAGGTAAGTTGTCACATGGGCATTATGGTAATCTTAAATAAACTCAACGCACATCATGTTTGGAAGAGAAAATTTGAAAACCACATTTTCCTTTGGGGATCACCAGGTCTTTCTACAGAGCAATTCACAGGCTCGATTTACACCAAGAGCCATTGCGAGGATAATGCATGGAATTGCAAGCCCAGCCTATCCTTCAACAGCTTGGAGTAGAACTCATTTCTGGTACATAGGAAATTAATTGGCAAACATTAGTCATGATTTGCTATTTCCAAACTTTTAGCTTTCTGGGAAACAAAGAAGAGGAAAATATAGGGGGCAGTAGTTTCCATTCCTTTCATTTTTCCCCTCCTATTTTTGTTTTCCAAACAAAGATTTAATAGTTATTGAATCTTTTCTGTGTGCACATTTTACAACATTGATTAGAGCAAGGTGCTAAAACTGAACTTCTAATTGTGGATTGCAGGGGAAGGTATACGAATATAGACTTTAAGGTGGTGATGGAAGCAGCAAAGGGGGAACTTAAGAATATTGTTGAAAAAGATATGCTCTAGCCATTTACGATTGATTTTACCAGCTGACAGATTTGGATTGGGGGTCCCTAGCCTTCAAAAGAATCCAAAATCTGCATTGATCCAAGAGGGAAAAAACTAAAAAGCTCAATTTTTGTGATCCATCAAGTCGTTGGACTTGAATTAGGAAGTTCTGTGCCATGTTGTTGTTGTCGTAATTGTGAGGACTGCACATGTCTGTCATCTCAGTTTGAGACAGAAGCGAAAGGAAAATTGAAATCCTGCCTCTTTCTGCTATTATTTATTTGCATTTTCCAATTGTCCGTTGGGATAGTATGGTGGGAGGAATCAGGGATTTACAATCCTTATCTGTCTGATATTTTTGTTGTTATAACCTTGTCCTTGAGAGTGATCCTTTGGATCAAAAGGAAAAAGACTGATTAATAATTATTCTATTTTCCTTATCCTTTCTTGAATAGCACCCAATAATGAATGATGGCGTTATTACTTGCTTACTCTCAAATATCTAGTGAATGAAGATTTTTGGCATAGAAGTTGAAAATAACATTACAAAAATGAAGACAAAAGGAATGCTTAAAAGAAATATATTGCTACTATCCTTGTCATAACATCTACTTTATACTTCAATTTTCTAAGTTGTTACTCTTTGGTCATGAGTATGTATTTATTCATTTAGTTTTGAACAAAATAACAATAAAATTATCTATTTTTTTTTCACTATATTATATTTCACTTAAATCGTTAATTTTGTTAAATTTAGTCAAAAAATTGAGTTTAAGCATCTAAAAATAATAAAATTTTGTTAAAAATATTTATTATATTAAAGATACAAAAATAAAATTAAATATTTTCAAATATTTTTAGTTATTTAAATTTCATTATAAGGGTTGAGATTAATATTTTTAAAACTGTTTATTTTATTTAATGAAATGTATTTCTTTTTCAGTTTTCATTCTTAAATTTGTTTGTACACCATAATCCCATGAGAAAAAACCAAGTATTTCACTTTTAATGGCAGGAAGAAAAACTTATTAAGGAGTAGTGAAAAATAGTAAGAGAGCTTATCCAAATTCTGAATGTTACTTAGTTTCATAAAGAAAATTGTTAAGATGTTTGCGTACATATAATTTGAATTGAAGACTTTATTTAATTAGAATCAAGGATATATCACTTTCATTAATAATATAAAAGAATTTTTTTTTCCAGCATACAAGAAATATCTTAACATACATTATCTAATAATTATACATTACTTTAATTATTTATTACACACTGTATAAAAATTAAATTTCAATGAATGAGTTCTTAATTTTACATATTTTTAAAACATATATTATATGTATTCTGATGTATATCAATAAAATATTTAGAAAATTTTAATATTTATCCCTGTAAAAAAAATTAATTAAACAAAAAATTTAAAATAAAAGTATTCGTTAAAATTATCCAATGTTGCACAGTTGCTTGACAAATTGTATGTTCCCCCTTTTAATTATATTTAAGTTGTCTCTTGTAAATAATAGAAAGACGTTCATTACCAAAATCAATTTGTAAAACCTTTACAAAAAGTCATTCCCATTGAATCACACTGTTGTCATTATTCTAAATGACCAAAAAAATGACCAAATTTTTTTGTTAATATTACGTACTCACTGTTTTCTAACATAAAATAACAGTATTTTGTATTTAGACAAAATTATTTGAGTTAATTATATTTATAATATGATAAATTTGATTATCTTATTAGATATTTTTATATAAATAAAAAATTTAAAACTCAAGACCTTATTTTTAAAAAATTAAGTATATAAATAAAAAATTTATTTGAGTTTATAAAAATAACTTATGGTCACTTAAATTTTTTAATTTATTTTAATAAATATTTTAGGGTATCTTGTTAAAATAAAACGTGCTTTAACAAATTTTATGTTAAACTTTCTAACATAAATAAACTCTTATACAATTAAAAAAATTAGAGAAATACTTTAATTATTTAACGAATGCACCGTAAACATGCAAAGTAAATTCAGTTGAGAAAGCTAAGGTATGACCGTTAGTTAGCATTTGGAAGAAGAAAGAAGCAACCGAACCAAACAGAGAGAAGTCATCATTTCTTCTCAAATGAAATCTCTCTTTTGTTTCTTCTAAGGCTAAGCCTTCTGTTCCCAAATCCTTTGGCTTCACATAAATTAAGCTGAGATTTCAGCCATGCACTCTCCAATCTCATCAATCTTTTCCAACTACCCTCTCATTTCTGCCATCCTTGCTTTTGCCCTTTCTCAATCTATCAAGTTCTTCACCACCTGGTTGGTATTCCCTTTTCTTTGCTTCCTTTCTTTTTCCTTAACACTCAAATCCAATTTGATCTTCTTGTTTTGGTCCTAAGATTTTGTAGTAGCTTGATTCAATTTGACACATATTTGATATCCTTGGACAAGTGAAGTTTTTAAATTAAAATGAAAATAATAATAAAGTCAATTCAATAACTATATACTTAACTAAGGGTATGTTTGGAGGGGAATAGTTATTTTTTCATTTTTAAAATTTGAGAATTGTAAAATACTTTGAAACATAAATAAGAGTCTTATTTTTTTTAGATATGCAGGTTTAAGGAAAGAAGATGGGATCTCAAACAATTAGTTGGGTCTGGTGGAATGCCATCATCTCATTCAGCAACTGTCACTGCTCTTGCAGCTGCCATTGGGTTCCAAGAAGGCTTAGGAGCACCTCTTTTTGCTATTGCCTTGGTTTTGGCTTGTGTTGTATGACTTCTCTCTATACTTATTCAAATAAATCAGTAATATGTAAAGACCTCTTAAAGGACTTGATGTTTTATTTACTAATTATAATGATGTGTGATGTGATATGAGGAATATTCAATCTATTCTTGCAACATATCTGCACCTGCCACAACAGACTTGTATGTTCTATGTTAGTTATGAATGCTAGCAAGACACTCTTTTAAGCAGTCTATTTAACTCACTTCCTGCAATTAGTTAGGTTTTTAAAAGATTAAAGTAATTTAAAAAAAAAAATCAATTGACAAGGTAAGTGCTTTGATTTTTTAGAGAATATATCAATTACCAAGAGTGGGTTCAAGAACGTGTTGCTGACATTTCTCCATTTACTGTTACGAAAGCATTTGGTGGTAACAGTTTATTTAGAGAAAAATAAATTTTTAAGTTCTTCCAAGAAACAGTAAAAAAACAAATTGAACTTCAAAATAAGGTAATCTAAAAACACACTCTGATATATAATCAGAAACTAATGTAATGCTGGTTCATATGGTTGTGTAAATTTCTAACAAAGAGATTGCTGGCAGGTAATGTATGATGCTACTGGTGTAAGATTGCAAGCAGGACGCCAAGCAGAGGTTTGATGCCCCTCTATGCAATATTCTCTCTTGTGTACGTCTCTCATGACAGACATGAGAGATAAAATGGCAGGCTTTGCTCTTTTGTTTTGGTTGTTTTCAATGGATTTTATTAAATTTGAGTGAATGGATTTTCCAGGTTTTAAACCAAATTGTATATGAACTTCCAGCTGAGCATCCTCTGGCTGAAAGCAGGCCGCTTCGCGAACTTCTTGGGCATACACCCTCTCAGGTTATCATTTTTCATTTCATTGTTTTATGTGACTATTTGATGGATCTAAGTTTAACCAATGGAATTCAGTGCACCATAATGACAGCACTTTAAAATGCTAAAGGTTGAGGTTTTCAAGGAGTTATATTCATTATTTCAACTCATTCAGGCTATCTTACTCATTATCTTATTATGTAATGTAGATTACCAAGTGAATGATGAACCTTTGGTTAGAGAAATAGTGTGCCAAATGACAGGTTATAGAATTGCTGATTATTTTCATTCTAACTCAGAATGTACTCCAATTTATGATTAGCTTATCTACATTGACATTACTAGATTTGGTAAAACTGCTCCACACTATTTTTTTTCTCATTTTATGTATTATTTCCAGTTCCTCCTATATCTGTTTGTGGCTTCTTCTCTTTTACCTCTCAGGGCATGTTAAAGTGGACAGATTTAAGTCCTTAAAAAATAAAAACCGGGATAAGTAGGTTCTTAACAGTAAGATATCCCGTACTTAAGTATCTAACATTACTAAACCTTCGTTTAGTCCTTCACTTTATAAAAAAAAAACATTAATTTAAGTTCCTTTTCACTTTATTTTTCATTTCACTTTAAATAAATTACAATTTCAATCTCAGTGATTAAAGTAGAAATTTACTCATTCTTGTTTATACTGCAGGTCATTGCCGGTGGGTTACTTGGAGTCTTAACAGCAGCAATTGGGCTTCTGAGAACCTTGATTAGTAGTTAGACTTGATGCCTTTCTTGACATTCCTACTTGGGGCTATTTCAATTCATACCATCATAGTACAAGAATTGAAGACATCAGTTTGTGGTCCCAAATCTTCACTTAACCTTCTACAGTAGAAATCAAAAATTAAATACTATAGACTAACAGTATTTGATGTAATGGAAGCATCTATCTTATAGAATCATTTATTTGCTTGAGTACTTTGCCTCCTAGCTTGTTCTGTTTTGTCAATTTCAAAGGAATTCCATGGGGTTGATTGCACTCATGTTTGCTCTATTAAAAATAATTTGCAAATAATTTTAAAATTTTAATTTTTAAAATATATTAAATATACTTTTAAGAATTAAATTCCGGGAAAAAAAGTGATACAACTAACAAAAATGAGTGGTGTGAAAAATAATTTTCATATAAGATTGGAAAACTATTGATCCTACTTAACCTACACAGATAATTAGTTATTTGAGTTGACACAATTTTTTTTATTATATCTACTTATGTGATTAATTTAAAGTTCTTTTATAATATTAATTTTAAATTATTTGTATATGACAAATAACATTTTAATCTTTTGAACTTTTTTTTTCATTTTATTTCTTTAAATTTTAAAATTCTATTAAATTTATTGGTTCTATTACTATGGTCTAGCTTTAACTTTATTACCGTCGGTAATAGGTTCTTTTTGTCTATGTTATTATTTTACTCCTTAAATTTTTAATTATCAAGACAAATGTTCTTTTTCCCTGTGTTTTTTATTTTTTATTTTTTTTTCCTTTCTAATTGTGAACATCGTTTTCAGTATTGATTGGTGGGTTTGATTGCAATTGGCTAGGGTTTGCCAAACCTTAGGTTCGCACAAGAGCTTGGTGGGTGCTGGCTATGGTACTGTGGTGCTATAAGTGATTGTGGCTTAGGGAATAAGATAGAATTAAAAAAATAACATAATATAAAAGTTAAAAAAGTATAATATGATAAAAAATAATAATAAGTTAGATATATTTTATTGTTTTATTCATTTTTAACTCAAATTTTCTTGTAAAATAAATTTTATCTGATAGATGGGTTATTGTGATTGCAAATTCAGCCTCAAAATGGGTTAAGTCATCTGAAACGCATCAGAGTACACTTGCCATTCAATTATTTTCTCTTGCAATAATTCCACTTCATAAATTTCACAACTACCATACTTCGTCTGAAACGCATGTGCTCAAAACAAACGACGAGACATTACCCAGGTTAGAGATATTTATGTGAAGGACACCATTCTTAGTAGTATTTTCTTAGAATTTTTATCCAATCTATGTTTTTTTTTTATAAAAATTCCAATATTTCTTCTGATTTATTTATGAAATAATAAATAATTTATTTATAAGACCAATAAAAAATATGTTATAAATTATATACTTGTATTAATAAATAATCAAAATAATGATTTATGTATTATATTAATGAATTTATCCAAATGTGAATGTTTTGTTAACATTAATTTTATTATAAATAAGTAAAATTAACAAGTAATGCCTCTGAAATATTTTTATTTATAATTAAAACAAATAAAAAAGAAATAGTATTTCTTATACATATAAATTATTATAAGACTACGAAAATGACTATAGCATAAACCATGTACTTTACTGTTTTGGCCAACATTTTGGCACTTCTATAGACAAATCACATCATCATATTTTCTTACTGGCGACCGTCTAGTTGGTATGTTTCTAAAGGTAAAATTACTGTTTTTTTAATTAATGTAAAATTTGATTTTATTTTTACTTTATTTTTATTAAAAATGTTAATTATATTAAAATTTATTATCTTTGTCTATCACATATATTATTTATTTTTTCTTTAAATTTTTTTTCTTCATCTCTTTTTCTTTCCTTTATTTTTCTGTTATTATTTCTTCTTTTTTTCTCTTGCCACTTCCATACCAGATCTTTGATGTTATTTGCCACAACTCCTCTGAAAGCTTTTGAATTTTGTTTCTAATTTGTATTCTAACAATGTTTAGTCTTTTGCGCACTTAACCACGTTTTAGTTAAAACTTTATTACCCAACATTCAATACCATTAAACAATGTCCCCTTGAGCTTGAAAGGCACATTGCATACAACTTGATCGATTTTTTTATTAAATTTTGTCACTCCACTTAAACATTACATTCACATTTTCATTAGTCTATTTATAACTTTGTTGATAAATGTACTGTGCAATTTGTGATAGGACATGCTTCCCAATTTTACCTTCTACAGCGTATGTATCATTAAACTTACATTTCATATATTATATTTAACTTTTATTTAATAAAAAACACTGCAATTCCAAAGCTTATATTCATATTTAATTTTAGCATTTATTCTCTGATATAAACAGCATGAACAATACAATAGGTCTTTTTCAAAACAATAAATTCTGTTTGTATTTTATTTCGTTCACTGTTTCTTTAATAAACTCATGCAAAAAAATATATACCACTTTCACAATCAAAGTCTTGAATAAAACAAATTTTATCTTCTAAAAAGTAGGTCAGTGTCACAATCTTCATTTAATTTTCTTTTTCTCAAACTTTCTTTGCTTGATTCATTGGTTCACTCGTTTACATAAAATACAATTCTCTGAGCTTATTTAGCTCCTCTTTGTAATATCTTTTTTAAAGACTTTTGTTAGTATTTAATGTAAACTATTATAAAATTTATTAAAATATCTGTAAGAGATACGTAGTAAAAGAGAAAAATTATGAATCTGTTTTTATTATATATAAAAGAGAATATTGTAGATAGTATTTATATAAGAGTATGATTAAATAATTTTAACTATTCTGAAATTAATCTTAACAGAATTTATAATAAACTATCTAAAATAGATGTATCTTTATTAATATTTATTATTTTTTATACTCATTTTTCATAAAATAATTTAAATTTTCATTTCTAAAATTGCATAGTTGGATATAAAAAAGCCTCCCAAATTGTCCTGCTTGTTTTCAAACTTGATGATCTGATTAGTAACCTTAATTTGTCATGCTAATTTGAAAGAAATGTACATTAAATCTTTGAGGGGTGAATGGAACAAACACAAAACACAGGTAAATAAACAGAGGCAGCTTTTTTCCTCTTCTCACAGAAGAAATTTCCTTGTTTGTATGCCACTTCTGTCAGTTGGTACTCAGCAGATTGCAGATGTCAAGGTGGGTGATGGTCCCATGCAATTCCAACTCTTCACATTGCACCATGCATGAATGCATGCATCCATCCATGCATCGCCATGACATACATTAATTCGTGGTCAAGATGGGACCCAATGAACGCAATCAAATTTATGAGACTGTCCGTATCATCGGAACCATAGCATAGAGCAGCTCTCATGGCATGGCCACGTGAATAACTCAGAAACCTCCATTATCATACCTTAGTTCAGGAGTATCGCAGATCCTCTATGTTCTTCTTAATATCCCACCGTCCACGTGTCATCTCTCCATTCTACATTATCTATATATCAAGTAGCCGTTAAAAGTACAACCATTGTTTTAACCCTCTTTCTCTTGGAAACAGTGCACTTTTTTATAGAAAAATATAATATTAACTAATTTTTAAAATTATAATTAAATAACTAGTATTTTTTATAATTTTACTATAATGGAAATTTTTATGATCAAATATAAAATTAATTTATATATACTAAAAATATATAAATTAACTAATTACAAATTATCATAACAAAAATTAATAATTTTTATAATAATTAATATAAAATTACCGACAGCGTTTGTGTAAATATTACTTCCCCAGTAGACATGTATGGGCACTTAAACCGAGGAGAATAGTAGTACTAACTATGACCGATATATATAACAAACATGAAAAATAGATGCGTGCATTTTTTTATTACAAAACTTAATAAATTATTATTCGAATGTTTTTTCTCTTAAAATTAAATATTTATATTAAAAATATAAAAAATGTATGTGGTAAAGTGGTATACTACTTAAAGGTTGTTGTAATTTGTATTATTAAGTATATTAAATATTAGATAATGTATACTCACACTGTATTTAACTCAGTCTTAAGAATCTAAGCGACTAAAAATAGTTTCTTTTTTTATTAAAAATTGTAATAAATGCTGTAATTTTTAATAAAAACGTTATTACATTTAATTTTTAATAATATTTTACATAATAAAAATTTATTTATAAAATTTAATATAATTTAGTATATTGTTGTCATTAAATTTTATAATTTTTTTAAAAAGTATTATTTATTATTTACACTGTTAATAGTTTTTTAGTACTAATGGTGGGTGATTCTGGGCCAAAATACTACTTGCATGATTCCTCTGGCAACTTGAGATTGAAGAGGAAACGTGGATTCCAGCCCACATGGCACCTGCATTGTTCAGTAATAAAAGTCCACCAATTCCCAAGATAAATGGTTATTCTATGCATCTATGTTTCTTCCCTCTGACCCTTTTTTTATTTATTGTTGTCATAACCAGATCCCTTTTTTCTGAACCATGTATAGTATGAGTATTTTGTTACTATTATAATGTTCAATGGATCTGAATTTCATCTCTGCCTCTGCAACTCTCAGAATTTCATGGTTTGAAGTAAGGTATCATTCTCTTAAATAACCTTTACTCTGTCAACTCCGTTTTGCACTTCATTCACTCTGTTTTAGTGCTTCTCAATACATCATTTCCAAACAGTTAACAACCTTAATCATTGTACATTATGCTTTATTTCGTTCTTTGTTCAGCTTAGTTAAAGAGTCATCACACATCAAGATTTTTAATGCTTGAGCTTAAAGAATGGAGCATAAAGAGTTACAAATATTTGGGCTTCCTTGGTTCTCTTCACTGTTCCTCCTTTGACATATAAATAGCTATTTTGGCACTCTATTTTTCATATTTGTAAAGACAAGCTACATACAGTAATAATTTCAAAACTTCAATTTATACAAGGCCACCATATTATACCTCTCCAAGATTTATTTTTCTTCAGATATATAAAATGTGCTAACAAGGACTTCAAGATAAAACATAGAGCAAGTTGATTTTCAATATATAGGATCTGGAGCAAAAATTGTACAGCCTGAAATTTTCACTGTGTAGAGGTTGGACAGGTTTCAGTTCTTGTATATAATCCAAAGTTTCGTAGAGACATCTTAGAGAATGAGATACGTGGAAGACAAGGCGTGCTATAATCATAGACCAAAGCAAGAGACTCCAAATAGCAGTTCAGAGTTTCACAAGGGAAGAGATGCTACTCGTGTTTCCCATCATCATCATCATCGAACAAGTATGGGAAAACCAACCCCATCTAAGTGGGACGATGCACAAAAATGGCTTGTGGGATTGTCAAAAGGTGGAGAAAAAAGCCACTCCAAAACCAAGCCAAGGAACTCAAATGCAGATGATTTGAGATTGATAGCTCCTGTGCCACAGAAGGAGCATGATTATTCAAGCAGTGAGAAGGAAGAGGAAGAACATGACACATGTCATGATTTCATGACAACTGTTAGTACTACTACTGCTGCTGCTCCTGCAACTGCTCAATATGAAGTAGAAACCAAAAGGGTAGAGTGTGATGAGTCAGTTTGGCGAAGCAACAATAACAAGGCTTCAGAAAACACAATCCAAGTGCAACCTGTATGTTTTAGAGACATGGGGACTGAGATGACACCAATTGCTAGTCAAGAGCCTTCAAGAACTGCCACACCAATTAGAGCCACAACTCCTGCAACTAGAAGCCCAATTCATTCAGGGACTTCAACTCCAATGAGAGCTCAAAATGGGTTGCAAGTTGCTGAGGGTGGTCATGGTAGTGGTACTACTAGGCAGTGTGGAGGAGAAGGATCAAGTCCTTGCAAGAGGGTTGAAGATCAAGCTAAAAAGTTGAGTCCTCTAGAAAGCCGTGCAATGGCTTGGGATGAGGCTGAACGTGCTAAATATATGGCCAGGTAATTAACTAGTCATGTTCGTTTATTTTATTATTTTTAAACACTTGCTTAAATTGTACTCATATGTTTAGAAATGAGTTTTCTGGGTGCCATTGGTTATCGGTAATGTCCATGGTTGAGTGTTGACAAAGTTTGTTTTGGTTGCTAAAACTTAATTATAGGTTCAAGCGTGAAGAGGTGAAGATTCAAGCCTGGGAAAATCATCAGATAAGAAAAGCTGAAATGGAAATGAAGAAAATGGAGGTATCATCTTTAGCTTAAACTAGAGCATTATTAAGAAATTGACACTTCCAAAAGTAGTCGTAAATGGTGCTGGAGTTTGGCATTGTAGTTCAGTCATGCTCCCTTGAATTGTTGTCTATGATGTTAACTTTTCCAATGCTGTGTAGACAATGGCTCATCTTTTCACGCCCTGCTTTCCTGTTAACAAAGAAGTTCAAAAGTATAGAGTTGAAAGTTCTGTGAAATAGACTGACAAAGAGAATTATTCCTGAAAAGAAACATGGCATGGCAGGGATCTTTCATATTTTCTTTGTGGATTCTTTCCCAATGCAGTGGACATTTGAAATGGGATTGAGTTGTCAACAATCTAGTTAAATTAATAGTAACGAGGTCTAATAATGTACTTACTCTATATTTGATAGTTTCAAAACAGTACATGACTGATGCATTTGCATAGGGATATATATCCAATGTGAGAGCTTCCTCTGACACGAACCAAAATTAGTATGTGAATGTACATTGTGTGAGCAAAAAATTGTTCAAATTTGCTTCATATCATATCTATTTTATAATATTAAAGATGTGTTTAGATAACCGTTTAATGAAACACTCATTAAGTTTTTTTCACTGATGTCTTATGTCATAAAGTTAAAAAATTTATGGAAGTCATAAATTATTTATATACTGATTCAGCATTTTAAGAAATGGTTTAATTTTAATGATTAGGTGAAGGCTGAGAGAATGAAAGCTTTGGCACAAGAAAAGTTTGCAAATAAACTAGCTGCCACTAGAAGGACAGCTGAAGAGAGACGAGCTAATGCACAAGTGAAGCTGAATGACAAAGCTTTGAGGACTACCGAAAGGGTAGAGTATATAAGAAGAACAGGACATGTGCCTTCTTCTTTCTCTTTCAACTTCAAGTTCCCTTCCATTTGCTGGTAGCAATTTTGCAACCTATGTGTAATATCTTGTATCAAATACAGAACCTTTTCAATCTACCTCAACATATTTGTGTTACTTCTAAATTATTTTTGCAACTTCATTACGTTTTTCTTCCTCTCTTCGTATGCCTTTTGAAAATCTTTAATTATTTTTTTTCCGTAGATAGCTAGCCGGAAAATCAATTTTTTAATCTTTTGAACATTGAATTGTCATTCTCAGCAATTATATTTTGATTCTATAGAAACTAAATGCCTTTGTTAAGCCTGAGAAGGCACTCACTGACGTCTTCTTCATGGGCCTTAGAATTGAACAGCTTGTGCCATTGCTTAAATCTCGTCGCTCTAAACGCTTACACTGAGCTTATAACTTTTTGGTCAACATAACAAAAAAAAAAAAAACATAGAATTTGGTGAAAACCATACATACAAAATTAAAAGTACATTTTGTATATCTAACAATAAACTGAAGTAGGGTGTTTTACATTAATTCTTCTGTTTATTTATCCTGTTTAAGATAGTTATACGAGGATTATAACGATTATTTGATAAGCTTTCTAATGTATCATTTATTAATGAGTATCTCTTTGAATTTTGATTTACTCAAATAGGGTTAATATTTTATTTATTGTATTTAAAATTTCTATGAAACAAATATCAGTTCAAACATAATAATTAATATTATTTTAAAACTTTACTAAAAATAGAAATACAAAATAAATAAGTACAAACACGTGTAATAATTAGTATAATGGATAAAAGGTATAATAAAAAATTAAGTAATATTTTTTTATGAAACTAAGAATATCAATAATTTATTAATTTTTACAAAATCTTAAACGATAAACAAAGAGAGAGAATATTATATATGTAAGTTTTTCGGTGATTTAAAATTCATGAAATTGTGGTGTTTAATAAATTAAGGAGTTAAAATCAAGAACAATGTCCTTGGAATTAATGATTAATTTTAAGTCCTACATATTAATGCAGACACGAGAAAAAAAAAACCAATATTTTTTGTGATGTTAAAAAATATAGATTCAAAAACGAATGACAAATAAAATACGAATATAATCCACTATTTAGGTTGTATTTGAAAAAAATTATTTATATTATTTTATTTATTTTTTATTAAAAATAAATTATTTTTAACTTATGATAATAAATTTTATAATCAAATCGAGTTTTTTTTACTCAAATATATCTTTTAAATCAAATGCTTGAGGGATAAATTTTTTTTAAAAATTCCTAAATTCATATTTTCAAGAATAATTTTGTAAATTTTGAAACAAATACATTTTAAATGTTAGCAAAAAGGAGTTTATTAACAAATTTTTGTATAATATTTGACATGTTATTTAAACTATATACAAATAAATATTCTTTTGCATTTCTTATTAATAAATATTTTTTAAAACATGTTAAATAAAGTCCCAGTAAGTAAGAGTGGTCGTTAAATAATATCATTCAATATAAGTCGTAAAAGTTGGAAATCAAATAAAAGAGAAAAAAAAAAAGAATAAAAATAGTTTTTAAGTTGGATTAAATTTTAGATTTAGTTTGAAAAATTGATATAAAACAAATCAAAGCTATATGTACTGATAATTTGTATTAAATTGTCACATCTTTTTATTTTTATGGTATTCTTTAAATTAATCTTATAATTTAATAGTATCTACAACTTTAAAAATTTTAAATTAATTTAAAATTTGTTTCTGTGTTTTATTTTTATCAAATAATTTTATGTTTTATATATTAAAAACGAATTTTAAATAAAACTTAATTTTAAAACAAAAACTTAATAAAACAAAATTAAATAAAATTTATCTCCTAATATTCGTAACGACAATAGATGGACGCGATCATTTGAGAAAAAAAGGGGTGCCCCGTTATTTTTCTGTTGTTCGTCACACGTTTTCTCTCTCTTTCTTTCGTTCCCTTCTTCGCAGTCGCGTCGCATCGCATCGCTTCGCTTAGCTTCGATTATTCGATTGCGTTGCCTTTCTCGCTCTTTCCCTTTCAATATTCAACTTCATCTTCGGTAAGCCCTTAACAATTTTTCTCTCGTTCTTCGCCTTCTCTCTCTCTTTTAATTGTCTAGGGTTACCATTCTAATCCCCTCTTTACCTTCATATTTTGCGTTCTTTCTATTATTTCTCTATTTCCCCTTTTCTTTTTTCTCTAATTGTCGTCAGATCTTACTTGCGTTCTTCAATTTTGAAATCTCTCGGATTCATTGTTTTTGGGCTTAGGGTTCTATATATAAAAAAAAAGTTTGTTGCTAAGGGGGATTAGGGTTTTCCCTTGGAATTTATCAATTTAGGTAGATAGATATATGGCTGCTGGCAGACATGGTGGTTATCGCGAGAACGAGTTTAAGGATCGTGAGTCCAATTTGGATGTTTCTAAGCGCGCTTTTGCGAATCCAAAAGAAGAGTACGATCGGGTTAGGAATGGTGGCCGCGATGTTGCTGTGGGTGGAAGCAGGGATGCAAGGGATAGGATTAGGGTGAGGCAGAAGGATATTAGGGAGAGGGAAGCTGTTAATGGCAGTTATCGGTCTTCGTCGAGTAGGAGTAACTCTGGAAGCAGTGGCGGTGGCAGCCTTGGCCCCCGCCGGTGTGATTTTTCTGTCAAGGCAATGGATAGAGAGCCTGGTGAACTTTCCAGTGAGAGTGGGTCTGATGATGCTATTGAATCAGAATCGGGGGTTAAAGACACCGAGGTTGCCATGTTTAAAGAAAACAGGACTCGGTCACCGCCCCCAAAGGAGAGGAAAAGGAAATTTTCGCCCATTGTGTGGGATCAGGATGACAAGGAGGTCAATGAGTCATCCAAAGTTAGGGTTTCCACCACTGCAGTGACAGCTCTTCCTCCCCCACCTCCGCTCTCAAAAGTGTTCCGTCAGACGCAGTCACCCAATGCTTTGTACAGTGGAGTTGAAATACATCCTGTCAAAAGCAGAGAAACTGGGGATCTTGAATTGCCAGCAGCTGCAAAGATAACTTTGCGCTCTCCTTCAGGTTTGCATTCCCCATCACCAAAACGGACCTGGGGTAATGACAGGGAAGTTGAACAGCCAGACGGTGAAGATTATGTTCCAACTCGCAATATTTCATCTTCAAGATGGGCAGCTGGGGATAGCTCTCCTGTTGATGAGGGTGAAATCCTCAACGGTGAGGAGATGCCTAAAAGGAGGAGGAGGCTGTCTCCTGAGATGTTGGATAATCGAGTGAGGAACAAGTTTCTGAGCCCAGAGGAAACTAAGATAGAAGGTCTTGAAGGAGCTAGAGTCAAATCATCTGAATCTGAAGAAAGAGGTATCCATGGGAGAACATCCAGCGGTGATGATCATCCTGGTATTGAATCAGAGAAGGATGACTATATGGAGATTGATGCTCAGGGTGGGAAAAGCGAAACCAGTGTTAGTCACTCAGACACAGATTCTGAAGATGAAGATGATAACCGGGAGACTCCAGAACCTCCAGTTCCACCACAAAGAACAGTCAACATGCTTCAGGGTTGTAGGAGTGTTGATGAGTTTGAGAGACTTAACAAGATAGATGAAGGAACATATGGTGTTGTATATAGGGCTAAAGATAAAAAGACTGGAGAAATTGTAGCATTGAAGAAAGTCAAGATGGAGAAGGAAAAGGAAGGCTTCCCACTAACTTCTCTTAGGGAAATAAACATTCTTCTTTCTTTTCACCATCCATCCATAGTTGATGTTAAAGAAGTAGTGGTAGGAAGTAGCCTTGATAGTATATTCATGGTCATGGAATATATGGAACATGATCTTAAAGGACTAATGGAGGCAATGAAGCAACCATTTAGCCAGAGTGAAGTGAAGTGCTTAATGATCCAGCTTTTAGAAGGTGTGAAGTATCTTCACGACAACTGGGTGCTTCATAGGGATTTGAAAACTTCAAATCTGCTTCTAAATAACAGGGGTGAGCTTAAAATTTGTGATTTTGGGTTGGCTCGTCAGTATGGGAGTCCTTTGAAACCGTATACACACCTGGTGGTTACTCTTTGGTATAGGTGAGTTATATTTTGCTTATGTATGCAATTTGTTTCTCTTTTACTCTCTCATCTCTCACTGGGTTTTAACATCATACGATAATTGGTATTACATTCTAAAGTATAGTTAATTGTGTTCTTTTGACTCTTGAAACCATGTGGTAATGTGATCATGTTCAATGAATTGTAATATAGAGGAAAACACCCACTTTCAAACACATTCTTTATGACTAGGTCAAAATTTATTGGAAATCATGTGATTTCAACTCCAAGTTTAATAATTCTCACTCATGTTTTTTGTAGTTTTCAATAAAATTACCAATAATTAAGAATGCATTAGAAAGAGCATGTTAAAAAGTGTGTTTCCAGCATTCTTCTTGTAATAAAACTAAATTTTATTTGAAGTTATGCAATAATAATTAAGTAGCCAATACTTAAGTTATTACTTGTTTTCTGACATTATTTAGGTAAATATTTACGTTCTTCCTTTTTATGCAGCAGCACCAATGCTTTTAACGAACATTCATATGAGCTTAGCTGTTAGTCTGTTATTGCACTGTGGTGTTGGTTATATTTTCCTTCAGCTTACCTGTATATCTTAATACATTTTTAACTACATTCTCTTGCAGTGATGAGAGATCATTTACCTAATAGTTCTCTAACTGTTTCTCAGGGCACCTGAACTTCTTCTGGGGGCAAAACAGTATTCAACTGCCATTGACATGTGGTCTTTAGGTTGTATAATGGCTGAGCTATTATCTAAGGAACCTTTGTTTAATGGGAAAACAGAATTTGATCAACTTGACAAGGTATATGCTTAATGTCATTTTTCTCATAGCAGATACATTCTCACTTTCAAAATTTTCCTACTTTAGGCGTCTTGTGCATAACATCTAGGTCTTAAAGTGGATGTTGCTCTATTGACTTCTGTTGTATTACTTGCAGATTTTCCGGATTCTTGGCACACCAAATGAAACAATTTGGCCTGGGTTCACAAAATTACCTGGAGTCAAGGTCAATTTCGTCAAGCACCAGTAAGTAATTATGATTTCCTTTATTTAAAACATTACTGTTTGATTGCATTGTGCTTATTTTTTGCCACTGTTTTCTCAGGCTTCCAACTTTGGGTGGTTCTGGTCTGACTATCTGGCCTCCCTTGGTGACTTGTACTGTTACGCAACTTTTCTATTTTTATTAACAACTGGAATGTTTCTTTCAGGTATAACCTCCTACGTAAAAAGTTTCCTGCCACATCATTCACTGGATCTCCAGTCCTTTCTGATTCTGGATTTGATCTGTTGAACAAGCTACTAACTTATGACCCTGAAAAGGTAAAGATTACACTGCATTAACTATATGAATTAATTTGGTAATAAATATTTGTCTGAATATTAAGAATAAAACCTACTAATATGTGCAGCGGATCACGGCTGAAGCTGCTCTCAATCATGAGTGGTTCCGTGAAGTTCCTCTTCCTAAGAGTAAAGAATTCATGCCTACATTTCCTGCTCAACATGCTCAGGACAGGTATTTTGATCTAATATCAAGCTGCTGGAGCCGTTAAGCAAATATTTGTTGAGTCTGTATTAAATCTATCAACAATTTTCATTTGACATGTTTCATCATATAAATAGGCGGATGAGGAGAGTATACAAGAGTCCAGATCCTTTAGAGGAGCAGCGCCGGAAGGAGTTGCAGATGGGTGAATCAGGGACTGGAGGAATTTTTGGCTGAGCATGATGGTGCTTACTAAAGCTATCTCTCAATAATCATTCTAACACACTCCACTGAATGTTTTAGTGTATGAGGTGAGGGTATGCACTGAACGGAAGTTGGAAGCATTGTTTGTTAGACGATCACTCGTGCTGTTTTTTAACAGGAACTTATTGGTTTAGTGGAGATGTATTCTTTTATCTCCTGGGAACCAGATTTCTTTCAGGTTAACATTCTTCATGCTTGGTCATTATATTGAAATGCATCTGGAACATGGCTTGCAGCTCAAGGTGTGGCATTATTGGCTTCTGAAATTAGGAATTATCAGTGTCTGCTGAAACTTATGTAACATATTTCATTGGCATATTGTAAACAAATTTTATCTGGTTGAGTATTAAAGCAATATGGATTTTGCTAGCAGCTATCACTTCTTTCTTTCTTTTTAATATTCACATTGTGTTTGCAAGAGACGGTTGGTTGGACGTGGAAGAGGACCTTCTGTGCATCTCATTGAAGATATTGATAGTGACATTATGCATTAAAAGGTAATTCATTCCTTTGATATCTTGGATATTGAGGAATGAGGATTTGTTTTGTCTGTGAGAGGGACTGTCTATGAATTGGAAGTTATCCTGCTAGCATGAACTGATTTTTAATTAGTTTTGCTCCTTTTTTTTGTTGGGGGTGGGGAGGGGTTTAAAATACTAGAGTTCTGTATGTAGTTTGCCACAAGATTGCTAGTTGCACAGATTATTGGTCTATCGTTAAAAGTCATCAATTGCATTTGAAGCAATCTTATGAATTTCATTTTGCGGAAGGTGTGGTTTACTATGTCGATTATTTTATTGTAGAGGCAAGACGCGTATTTATAATCAATCATCACTTCTTTGGAATTTAAATGGCTGCAATTTCTTTTTCTTTGAGTGCAATGTGGACATCTTAAAGGAAAATTACAATCCATTTTTTCATTGGACCGGAAGCATTAGATTTTTTATGCAGCAATTTATTTCTATCCTTGTTTATGATGACCTGTTTGATTTGTGATTTAAATTGTGAACACTGAAGCTTCAGTGAATATGTGGATGGGTCTCTTTTTTCCCATTTAACCAACTGGTTAGAAAATTCTTCCTTAATATACATGATGTCTAACAGCTGTGTTTTGAAAACATTTTTGTGCTCTTCTTGTTTGAACGGTTATTGTAATGTATTAACGACCTAAATATTTTAGATGCTGATTGTTGAGTCCAAACTGTTAATGGGCAGTTATTGATGTTTCTTAAATTACAAATCTCAGTTTTTTGTTTCTGGCTTCTTATATTTTACTTTTAACCTTATCCAGCAATGTTTTATTTTCATTCCTCTTCATCAAAAAGAATCATATAACTAATTTTCAGCCTTTTATCCCTCTAGTGAATTGTTGACAAAGAGTATCAAATTCTTTAATGCAAGAAGTGGAGAGTTAGCAAAACACTTCTCTTATTATCATATCTGTTCATCGTCTGAAGATTGAAGTTTAGACAAGTACAAGAATTTTTTTATGATATTTGTCTGCAAATGTCACTGCAGTACCAAAGCAAGCAGGTTGAGGAGGTTACCAGTATATCTTAAAGTATAGAACTTCAGTTAGTTGTTCCTTCAGGCTCTCTAGAGGTACAATGCAAACTTTGGTTTGTTTTGATGTTTCTTTCCAGTTGTTTCATCTTCATGGATTTTAAGATAAGAGTTCGTTTACATTTCTTGTGCTGTGGTAATTTCTTATATCTTATGGTCCCCTCACCGGTAGTTTTCCTAGAATGGGATATGTGATAGATAAGGACTATGAAGTATTATTGATTGCTTGAATGGTCTGTTAAATTTAAGGTGAAGTCTTGATTAAAGCATCTTCCAGAGCTTGTCCTAATCTGTGTTTTCTTGAGAAACTTTTATCCCTTCCTAACATTGCTTTGATGGGTTTAGAGTGGAAAGAAATGGAGTATATTGTTTTTGTAAAGCAAGAAAAATGAAGAGTCCTTTTGGTGTGTTGGGACCAACCCAAAAATACTTACCTCCTTCAGCGAGAGTATGGAATGAGAGTATTTCAACATCCGATTTACCCCCATTTTTGGTTTTTTCAATTCAGAATGAAAATAGCATATGGTCTGTTACATATTGAATTTGATGCACAATTTCAATAGCACAGCACGATGTTACTTTGCCAGGACATGAGTTCAGTAGAAAATGATTTTGTAAACAAAGTGTTCTTGAATCATTTACTTTCAAGACATTAAAATAAAAAGCATTAAGCTGAAAGAAAAATATTAATATTTTAAACAAGTTATTTTTATTAATTAATAGAAGTTCTTTCTGTATCATAGATATTGTCAATATTTTATTAAGAGAAAAAGTTTGTTTGGTTGTATGAATTTGAAAACAATTTTGAAAAAGAAGTGTTTACTAATGAATATTCAATCTAGGAGTGTTAATGAGATAATCGTCTAGAATACAGTGGAAACCCAAACCCACTCACAGAGACAGGATTCGTCAACCTCGCCAGATGTCTAGAAGCTTCCAATGAAAAAGGCTTCATAAGAAGAAAACCAAAGCTATCCTTATCAAGAATCAGAATGCAAGCAATTGAAACATTCTGTGCAGAATCACCATTGGAAGATGAGGCTCATCTTCCCTGTCAACTGATCAAAACCAAACCACTCTAATTCTGCAAAGGGATGGGAAAAATATTTTAGGTTGATGGTGTTGGGAATTCAAGTGTTATTACAAATTTGTGACTATGAAAACTGTTTTTGAAAGCATATCTAACTGTGTTTTTTAAAAACAATTTCCAGAGTTGTTTTCAAAGCATCAAATAGAAACAATTTGTCAGGATTTTTATATATATATATATTTTTTTTATTTTTTTTTATTTATTTTTTTTTTTTATTTTTTGAAAAAACAAAACTGCATTAAAAAACTGATCAAATAGGCTCTACGTCATTATATGATTCTCTGGCTAATTTATCCTAAAGGGTAAGAAAGTCTTTACATTCAAGTTATTTATTTCTTTTTACTCTCTTTTCTACTCATCCAAATAAGTAGAGAAAAACTTTAGTTTCATCTTATTTCTTTCTATGTAAACAAATTCTTTTCTACTCTATTTTTCTCATTTCTTTCTCTTATTTCTTCTCTGCTTCTTTTCTAAACCAAACAAAGTGCAAGGTGATAACTACGAAACTTTCCTTGGCTAGTTGGAAGAAAATTGACCAGGGTCTGGAAAATGTAAATTTCTGATTCCTGCTGGCTCTAACCTAGCCTTGGTATAAATGTTAGGTTCAGTAAATTTGTATCATTTCCTGTGCTTAAATTTATGTTCACTACAAGTTACTAAATTCTTATGCCTCTACAACTTGCACCATGCCCGAAATGTCTTCTGACTCGTGCTGCCTACCTGAAGCAGTTTAAAATGATGAATTTTGCAAGACGCAATCCCATCCTTATATTATGTGTTGTTGATGATAAATCAAATGGAATGTTGCTCTCTTGTCTAATGTTGTGGAGATTATTTATTGGCTAGTGTTAAAATATATCCCAGAGGTATTTTGCTGTTAAAATCAGGAGCACAAAACTAAATCTTGTTTGGTTCAATGGGGGGAATTTAATGGTGGTTAAATTGAAAGAGCTTGTCTGATAAAAATTGGATCTTGGGAATTAAATGTTTGGTTGCTTTATGGTTATCCATGATTTCTTTTTTTTTTTTTCAATTATCTTTTACCCAGTAAAGCAGTGAAGAAGTCAACCTCTTAACCAGTGGTATTATTAGTTTATTTATTGTTTACAATGTTCATACATCATTTTGTTGAGACATGTAACCCATTCTTTACTTTTATCTTCTGCTGACATCTACATATTGGGTGAGGGTTTACTTTTTTTATTTAAAGTGGGACCGTAGCTCCGCTTGTATGTCTTTTGCAATAATTGATGCATTTTTATGATGCTGAGGATGTAATCGAAAATTCTATTAATTGGTACAGCTGGGAGATGGGGTTGCTAAGAGATGTAATGCATCCACATCCCATATAGCATCATTTACTGGATGGGCGATGCAGTAAGCATAAGCTGTATGTTTTTTTTCCTCCTTTTTTTTTTATTCCTTTTCTGATGGTAAAAGGCAGGTTGTGACATCATGAAATATATATTCGTCTAGCAAGTGCTGTGGGGATTGTATTTGACAGGTTGCCTGTGTTCTACATGCGAATGTCCAATCAATTTTGCTTGCGGTCAGAACTGTAGCAATGTGATTGTTATATGCGATCACACCGTTGGTAAATGAGGACTGAACTATGTTGATGGATTTTGGGAGATGGTTAAAATGGATCAGTCAATTAGCAATTTTCTAGGAATTTGGGAGATAGATAATTAAAATGGTCAAAACATGGAAAAAGAATCAACCTTTTGTTTTTGGGAGGTGGGGTTCAAACCATAGGCATGCAGATGTGATTCTTGTCGCCCGTGGGTACTCTTTTTACTATGGTTTCTGCAAATGTTTCTATTTACATTTTACCTCATCTGTTTGCGAGGCATCACGTGAAGTTATTTTGTGCGACACAAGAATAAGGCATGGAACTAATTATTTTGAACTGGAATGAGTTTGAGGAGTTGAACTTTGCAAGGGTAACGAGGAGGATCATGTTATAATGAATTCAACATTAAAATGTTATTCAACTCGAAGGAATCAATTATCATTAGGGAGAAGGGATGGTGATTGCCGTAGTGGCCGTATACTTCCTTAATGACATGTAAATGGGTGTTGGGAAAATTTTTCTCTTCCAATTATTATAAATATGAATAACGTATTCTTATCTGAGTATCTTTGTTATACTGTTCTGCTTATAGAAGTAAACATATATTGGAAGGTAAGTATTACATACAGAATGTAGAAGTATAATAAGTAAGTATTTTTTTAATAATTTGTTACTTTTTCATGTTAAGAATTAGTTCGACGACTAATTATAACACAATTATGTATTTATTTTGAATATAATTTGTTTACATAACTGTTATGAGCTAAAATGCATGATTTATAATGCACTTGTGGTGTCATTCAAACAGAGTGCGCCTTTCTATACACACGGGACAGAAGACAACTGAATGAGATTTTCAAATTTAAATTTATCTTTATTATATGGATTTTTTTATTAAATTTAATTTTTTCAATTAAACAGATGACAAAAATTTATATTTGTTTACATGTTTATTCAAATTGAATCATATAGGGTTTTCGACTTCTGTGCCATGATATAAAATCTTGTATCGTTTAGACTTGAAAACAAATACGTACAAGGATAAAATCTATGTAACCTTCTTGATTGGTGCATATCTTATGTCCTAATGAAATATTGCATGCCTTGAATATTTACACAGCGATGTGACTATCATTTTAATGTTTACGTGTTAAACCCCTTATTTTTTTAGGTTTTAGATAAGAGTTGAACATAAAAACATTGTAAATTTTACATTGATCACCATTAAAAATTTAATTATAGTAGGTCTAGTTTTAAAACTTATGTTTGGAATGGATTTTAGCACCTTCAGCCTCGGCTATCATTTTGCTCGGAAAAAGTGTGCATTTTTTTTAGGCAAACGTGCTTATTTATTTTTGTAAAGTAGGTTTGACTGGAAGCAACAAGAATACAGCTTCTATAAAAAAATTAAATTTAAATTAGGATTAAATAAAAAGTATAATTACTTAATGCAAAAACAATTTTTTGATAAATAGGAATTCACGTTTTCCTTTTAGTTCAATTTTAGTCAAGATTTTAAATAAATTAAGATAAAATTATATATTTATAGAAAACAAGCAATGGTGTAATTTTATCTTTTAGAATAACTGAAAAAACTTTTGCCAAGAAATTGTGCGGAGTTTATCGTTGGAATGCTTAACTGTTCTCTAGCATAAATTCAATTTCCTTTTTCCTTTTGGGTCAAAACTCCGTTTTAGTTTTACAATCCACCACCGTTGGATCCCTCTCCTCCTCCCCCCCCCCCCCTCTCCCTCCTATTTTTGCCTGTTTTACCAATGTCCATACAATCATCCTCCACAGGACATCAATTATCTGAAAACTGATAAATTTAAAAGCCCCCTTGCTTCTCTGCCACTGGCGGTTTAGCATGAGAAATGGCACGTGAAATATTGCTAGTGCAGAAAATATTACTGTCTGGTTATTCTGGATGTGTTGGGTGCGGGGATTAGGGGCTTGCGTTGGCCACAGCTATTGACTTCCTGGGAGCATGTAGTTAAATAATTTCGTAATATGGAATTGATACTATTAACAGGTAATTACTTGTGGAAAGGAACCATTGTTTACGTAACAAACAAATTTCATTTAACAATTGATTAATGATTGCTGAATAAAAAATTGGCTGTTACTTTCTTGGAAAGAAATTACCAACTTTAATAGAGAAAATATAGGATTGGTGCGTGATCAGCAATGATTAGACACTTGTCTTTCGGAATAAGTAAACATTTTCTCCAAGCTTTCTCCTAATTTTAATAACTTGTTTTTGAGACTGGTGTATGGATACACGTTACTTGCAGGAAACAAGCTGTAGGCTGATCCGCTACCACCTCAGCAACTCAAAATTATTGTCTATTACATGATGCAAATTAGCCTTAACCACATTTTAAAAGAAAAATAAAACGTAGACTATACCAGATCTTGTAAGCAACATTACTTTGCAATATGACTGTCGACGGACACTTGCAGACACATGATTAGTTCTTAGTCTCAGTCACTCTTGTTAGCAGAGAACTTGGGTTCGACTCTTCCCCATATTCCTCACTTAAAATTTAAACTGATATGTACTTGCCCAACAAAAAGAGACTGAAGACTGAGCGTTACATCTATATGTGCCTTGCTCATGCTTCTAACTTCCAAAGCAAAAGATATGCAAATTCAGCAGAACACTCTTCAATGTCATGGTTGTCCAGAGACTGAAACATTCATGAATGGCAAGATAAGATTTATTCACAAATGGCAAGATAAGATTACATGCTATGATCCTTCCATTTCAATTGAGATAGTGCATACCTTAAGGTTATGAATAAAAACAATTTCTGAATGACTGCTTCGATGAGGCGTCAAGTAGGTAGAAAACCGCAATTGTCTTTTAAGCTAGTATAGATTTAAGGTAAGCTCTTTGGTTGCATTATGTGCAGAGTAGAAATCATTACATCAACGAAGAAAAGGGTGATGACGAGAGAAATGAGAATCAAGAGCAGAATTTTGGTGACATCTGTGTTGCTAGGCCACGTTTAAATCTCAAGTCTGGGACTGACGAGACAACTCTGTCTACCTCTTTGCAATTTGCACGGCTACTGTGTGCATATGCAACATTCTGGAACCATGGTTATCAGGAAGAATTATGGCTATTTGTGGAGAACTTTCAATCAAAATGATAATGGTAACCCATAAGACCTAAAACCAATGGGTTTCTTGTGTCAGCGAGCAAATTTTATCCTTAGATTAGCGTCTGACCGAGAACAAAGGTAACCAAACTTAATTCAAGGAAAAAGATTGTGTTGACTAGAGACCGGTCAACTGTCCATCCAAATATTGTGATTCCTCCTGGATTTGTCTGCAAATACATCACTGCATATTTAAAGGAATAAACATGAGACCACATAAGACATGCTAACAGCCGAAATTCACGCATTCCAACCACACAACAAGATTTCTCGACTTGAAAAATCACTCCAAAAACAGGTGGCATGGCAAGTCTCGTATATAATTTAGCTTGACTGCCAAGATATAGATAGTAAACAAAGTCATACGTAACATACATGTAAACAAGGAAAATTCAGAGAACTAATGCCACAGAAAAAAGGAGAAATTTCAAATTTGCAGAATCGGTGATTTATGTAATTATTTCAAGGACAATAGAATCCATATATGCAAAATGAAACTTTAGGCTTTCCATATTTCCTAGAGAGTTGACATGTTTATTTCACATTACATTACATATGGAAGATGGTTCTAAGAAGGTAATTTGTTAATTTAATCAGATAGTATCATAAATCAATGCTAACATAGCCAGCTGCTTTAAAACCAAGTAGCCACATGAAGCTAGTTTTTTGTCCATGAACATGAGAGATGAATAATACAGGTGAACATGAATTGGAAATAACCCTTTTACTGGAAATTACCAGACAAATGTTTTCCTTCTCTTAGACAAGTTAAATAACTCTTTAGCTGGACTATATGTTTACAATCTGCCTCAAAATGGACAAGATAAAGATGAAAATTTTACAATATAGGAATCACAAATTACTGAATCTAGAAAACTACTCTCTAGAAACATGTTTTCTTTGATCTGTCCAAGTTCTAAATTTACTTATCTGTCCTTGAAGTAATTCATCTAAATTAGGTTTTACCATACACCTAAACCATTTTTCACATTTCATGTAAAATTATCAGATTATTTCATGTTCTCATGCCAAATGTGTTATAAGAGACTATTTGGTTTGAAACCTATCACCTTGTTCTTTGTTTCCTGTTTTCAAAAGTTTGTATAAAATACAGTAAAAACAATAAAAAAATTTTTCCATTTTTTATACATTTAAAAAAAATAAAATAAAAACAAAGTGACATTTTTGTAATTTAGAGTGAAAAAAGAAAACATTTTCTTAAATTAAACAGCCCCTAAGATTGCACTAGTGAAGTATACTGGCTGTCTCTTTACACATTTAAAGTAGCTTGAAACTGTGCAAGAATCCCTGCATTGGCATCAAGTGTAAAATATTGTTTAAAATTTACAACCTACAGTAAAAGGGTATACTTGAAGGATATTTCTATACATATTCTGTTTTTGTCACTTGTAGAATTCATCAGTTTACAGAAGAAAGTGGGTGAATTACGTACCAAACGCTTGTCTTTTGTGATGTGAGGACACATAGGAAGCCCATTGGGTATTCATAGACATCCCAGAGTAATCCAATGACTCAAGATCACTTTCAGAAAAGTCTACATGTATTGAATTTAAATGGTTTGCCGCCTCCAAGCTACCTGCACTAGCAGAGCTTCTCAATTGAGATACATCAGAAGATGTGCATGTTAGCATTGCATGCCACCTGCTTGCATGTGAAACAATCCCTTGAGCTCTATGAGAAATTCTCGTCGCAGCATGCAGACAAATAATGATGCCCACCACCTGAACAAGTGTGGATACCTGAAACAAACAACAGTACAAATGAAATCGAATGTAAACCTTGAAAGCTCTAAACGTGTTAATTAAAGCATGAAACCACAGTGAAGGCTTTCTAAGAACCAAGACACTCCTTGAGAGCTGGATAGTAAGGTGAAATGCAAGGAAAGGAGCTAGTTCCTTCAATCTAAATGCATAAACACTTTGAACATAAGGAGTTGAACTTACAGCAAAATCTCCACCATTAATTAAGGTAAGAATTTCACGATATCCAGTGACCTGCAACAGAGTCACAACTTGGCTAGCTGTGACAACCAAGAACTCTAGAAGAAGATAGATTCTGAACCTATGACTAATCTTGGAGAGATGATAGCGCAACCGAATGTGCTCCTCCAGAAAAACTAACACATCGTTTTCCCTTTGCAAGAGCTTCCCATAATCATCAAAGTGAATGACTTGCAAATTGCAGACCAAGTGAAACAAAATGCAGGCCGTGAGAGAGATTGCACTCATATAGGTCCAAGATATAATCAATGCTGAGAAAATAGCAAGTGAGAGCCACCAAGACCCATGTTGTACATACGAAATGCGAATGATTTCTCTCACTGTCTTCAGAAGGAAACACGGCAACACCCATAGAATGACCAAGCGCAAAGATCCCTACGAACAGGGGAAAATAATAAAGCAATTTTTAGATCTACTTGAATATAATTCCCTGGAATTTATATTTGAATAAAGAAACGAGAATGGTTAGTTTTCGTTTCTAAATTAAGAGAATAATATCGCGTTCATAAAAATAAACAAGGAAAAACTTAATGAAGCATTGCACGATAATCTTAATATTGCACCTTAACCCCTCTCATTGTGAAAAATTCTGAAATAATAATTACCCCTCCGAAATCTAACGACATTGGAAAGAAAAACAACAAGCAGCAAATTACCATAATAATTTTAACCCTAACAACGTAAAATAGAATAGAAAAAATAATAAAAAATAAATGAAAACGTTTTCAGCTAAAGCTCGTTTATCTTACACATCAAGCAGAACATTGAAATCAAAGAGAATAAATAATAATAAGATCAGTGATTAAGCAAGGAAATCGGAATCATCGTACCGAAATCTGAGCCACGTAATCGCGATGAAAGCAATGCATCTGTCCAGAGTAGCGGTCAACAAAGAGGAACCTTCGTAGACCATACTTGCGAAGATTATGTGAAAGACAAAGCAAAGAAACGGCGGCGAGGCTCGCCTGAAACGCCACGATAACCATCTCGAAGTTCTGTATCTCGTACTTCAAGCACTCGGAACACCCGCACATGGACAGAGCCACCAGCGGCGCCACCACCCCCACCGCCGCGAAAACACTCCAGGAGACCACTAAACTCAACGGCGAATCCTGGTTGAACCCTAACACCGTCAGAAACAATTCCAACCGCGCCAGACTCTCCTCCACTTCACTCTCCTCCGTTTCACTCTCACCATTAGCGTTACCGTCACCGTCTTCATTCTTATTTTTATTATTAATATCATTATTATTATTACTATCCTCCTCTTCTTGTCGTTGCTGATTTGATAGTAGAAGCGGTGTTTCAATGTTAGGTGGTTCCTCTGTTTGTATTTGCAGATTCAGATTCCTCATTCTCGCGCCTTCGTTTTTCGTTAATCTATCAAACTCCAAACCCTTACTTCGCTTCTCTCTCTCTCTCTCCCTCGCAGCTTCTTTCTCGTTCCCCTCGCCCGCGAACGAATCAGATCGCCAACAACAATACTTGAATATGGTGTGGCGCCGAATCGGGCGATGCTTTGCAATTTGTGTAGGATCGTGACGCGTGGCAGAAATGGGAAATACCATCCGTTGGATCAAATCGCGAAAATGAGAAGACACGGCGTGGGTATTGCTGATTTCTGAAGCAGTTGTCAAAGACGTTGACTGGCCATTCCGAATCAATTATTTATTTCCTTACCCCCCACTCCTGTCTCATATGCCTTCCATAACTCTCCTTTTAATTTTATCATATTAATCACTTTTTCATTATCAAATTTTATCATCAAATATAATACTAATGCTCCTTTAATCACCTTTTCAATAACTTTTGTTAACATTCACTTCACACAACCTATGTATCTTCCTAATTCTAGAACGTGACAAACACAGGAGGTTTTCTCTGACAATATAAAAATACAAAAACAAGTATGATAAATGTATGAATAAAAAATATAATAAGAGGTGCCTTTATATTTAAAATTGACAATTTTAATTTATAAAATATGATTTGATATTTCAAATCTGATGTAAAAAAATATATAATAATTAATGTAAAAAAGTGGTTCAACTTTTAATATTTTTAAAATAAAAATGATATGTTATTCATAAATAAAAATAGCAATGGGTTCGAATAATTTTCATACAAAAACAAAATGAAATGGTGCCTGTCGTTTAAGGGATGGAGAATAAATAAGGGTCGTACGTCGAATGCAATTTTCTTGAAAATATTTCGTACTAAATAGTAATTTCCAAAAAAAAAAAAATAGTATAAGTATTCTTTAAAATCACAGATATTTTTTTATAAAAGATAATATTGTTTAAAACAGATAAAATTAGTACAGACAATACATTTTTCTATCTAAATATTTAACGAGACTATATATAATATTATTGAAATAAGACAACAATTTAAGTTGTTTTTAAATAAACGTATGAAGGCTAAATTACGTCATTAACTTTGGCTATTATACAAAGGATGTCAACCGATGGGTTTGAATTTCGGATAATAACATGTGTTAGGGTATATTTAAAACTTTTGTTGAACCTATTTGGATAATTTTCGTCTTACAAGATTAAATTATTCTTATGCAATTACATACAATAGTTGGAATTCTTAAACGAAACAACATTGCTCCCCTCCTCAGTCTTAATGAGAGTGGCAAGGGTTTTTGCAATTAGTTTGAATTGATTTTTAGCAACAAAAAAAAAAAATTGATTATAAAAAAATATGTTATAAAAAAATATTAAAATTAAACTAATATATTTTTTTATTAACATATTTTATAATAACTTTTATTTGACAGGGGTTGATAGTTGATAGCACAGAAGTGGGATTGGGAATAACAACACGAAAATAGTAAGTGGGGAATGGTGATGGATGCCCCAACTTTATGAAGTCTCTATCTTCATTATTGCAAGTGACATCAACACAATGGGGTCCATACACCATTGCTCCCCAAATATTAAACCATGGTAGACACGGTTTCTATCACGTGTCATCGCCGTTATTATAATGAAATAATCTAACCTAATTAGAAAATAAAAAAGACTTAATTACCTTGTAAAATAAATAACTCTATTATAGATATACTAATAAAATTAAATTTTTATATTGAAATTTGTGGCAATATATGCACCTAACCCCCATTTTTTATTTTTTATTTTTAAATTAATGTTCTCACTAACCTTGACAGCAAACCATGATGAAAATACACCCATAGTTGTTAGATGAAAAGAAAAGAACTCGTCAATTTAGATATTAGCGGAGAAATATATAAACATTGATTTGACGCAAACATTATAATTAATAAAGTTAAAATAAATATAATTTCACAACTATGTAAACATAAATATAAACAAGCAGTTAAACTATCCAAGCAAGTGTGTTTAGAAATATGTTAAAACACCTAACATTAAAATAAATATACATTCATAATCATTTAACCATGAATTTAGATAGGCACGAAAATGGCTAACAAAGACGTTCTCTGATGCAATACTAGTATTTTTTACACCTGGTGAGATTATCATCTATTTTATCAAATAACGAATTCCATTAATATAATGTGAATATCGCTGTTTATTTAGTAACTGATGCTACATATTTGGGAATGAATTTCCCTCAATAAAATGAACTGCGTTGAAAAGAAAGATCAGAAAACGTGGTGTTAACATTTTGTCCATAAAAATATGTATGTTTACGCTCCACATACGCGGTTTCTACCAAGAAAAACAGTGTATTGGAGGAGGCACAATAATAAATAACAAAATATCACATAAACTCAAATGATCATATAGATACGCTGTTGGGAATTCCACGACCAGTTACCCCTGGTCCTGAAGAGGGAAGCAACAATTCATATGGAGGGACACCTGCACCACTTCTGTTTTTCAAATGGGGGTCTTTGTTTCTTGCGTTTATTATCTCCTCTATCTCCTCCAGCCTAGCAGAGAATTTATTAAACATTTTCATGATCTCGTGATCATTGATCCAATGAGCGTGCAGAGGGTTCAGTTGGCCCAAATACTCTTCATCTGGGGAGTGAGTGGACAGTGTGTCCTGAACAGCCATTACTTTGGTAGCTTGAAGTTGAGTAGGTAGTGATGAAAGGAAAACAAGCTGAGGATTTTGAATAAACTTTTCGTAATCAGGATCATTCTCTTGGGGTATGAGTCTTCTCATGAGGGTAGGACGGTTAGGCACATATCCTCCAAAGGGATATTGTCCAAAGTTTATGGCAGCATGTTGACCTGAAGCAACCCATATCATTGTGGTAAGTATGCCAGATAGGCTCTCTTTGGTATCGAGTTTAGGCCACCAGGGCTCATCTCTTTTGTCATAGTGACCCTTAGACTTGATTTCACTCCACCATGCTTGGAGTTCAACATCAGATATAACAGAACTAGCATCGGAATAGAAGTGTCCAACATAAGATTCTACCCATTCTTTTATGGCAGACCAGATTAGGAGTCCATCTTCAGCATAAGGGTAGTCATCAATCACAAGTTTTACCCCACAGGGCATTGAAGGATCTTCCACTGCCATGCCCCTGAAAGGAAGAAAGTATTATTATTGTATTAACAGACAGCTAGTATGTTAAATCATGAATAAAAGCTAAAAATGGTAGCAAAGCCGTGCTGCTAAAAGGCCTTAAAATCAGTGTTACCTCCGAATAAGATCTGCTGGTAGTGACTCCATATCAAATCGCCATAGGTTCTTGTAAGCTGCTGAGCTAAGCTCCATGGCATACTTTCCTGGACTGAAAGATGCCTCAATTATACCCCCTCCATTTATTAGATTTTGCCGAGCAAGTGCATTAATTTCTAATGTGTAGCGCATATGAGGATGTAGCAGCTTGTAAATTGGATGCATTGAGCTTAGCTGTCTATGACTAGCAATTATATATGGCTCCATGCATGCATGAGTCCTTAACCTGCATTTTACAAATTTCCACTGTATCTTACTCTCAGCGAGATGTGAGAAAATGCACCGTTCTTCTGAATAAGCCATTTATGAATTTGCACAGATAAACAGACTGAATCTAGCCATTTTTTTAATAGTTTGGAATTTCCATGTTCCGTTGCCTTACCAATGATTTACTAGTTGATGGATGCCAGCATCATTGGAGCAAACATGAGCTTTGGCTAACTTCCAAATCCAGTGTGTTGTGGCATCATGCCCTTGTGTGTAGACACGTTTATTTTGTGGGGAAGACTGAGTATGGGGAAGCGAAAGCTCAATAGCTATAGGACGCAGAATACCAGTCTTTGTATAGAAGAGAACTGTACGGGAAGCATAAGCTTTTCTCCCAGGCAAAGAGTTCATCTTCTCGATGAACGGCAAAAGCATGTCATGGTAATCAAGGATAAATAGTCTCTTTTCCTCAACAGCCTACCAATATAAAATACAACTGGTAGTAGAGATACTGAACTTCTGCCATATAAAAAGGTCAAGCTCAAGTAACAACAGAGATATAGACCAAACCTTTTCCAAGCTCATTCCACTAAGTTCTTGCTCTAGCAATTCCTTTGTTATAGCTGATTCAGGAGGGCCATACACAGCAGGATCTAGTTTGCTGCTAATGGGAAATTCCTGTGGAAGACAGAGAACTGCTGGCTAAGGAGACCACATATAAAACAAACTGATACTCCACCCAGACAGGTATGAAAAACTACCTTCAACAGCTCAATATTCACCGGATTGACCCCTGCTAAGGTCTGTCTTGCAAATTCATTGTCCCGCAACCAAGAAAATTTATCCCCTGGAACAGTACAAAAGGAACACGTGAAATGAAAGTGCCTGTGATTGCGGTGAAAGTGAATACATGGTTGTGTTGCATTGGCTTCACTAGCATACCTTTTATAACCGCAGGGATTTCATATTTCAACAGTCTCTCCCCAACACTCATGACCTGTTTCATCACCTTGCCCACCAGCAGGTTTTCCACACCCCCTTTCTGCTCTTCATCTCTCAAAAGAACACCATCAATATAAAGCTTGTCAATGTCTGAGAAGCACTTAAAGGGAATGTCTGAACTCGACAGAGTGGCTGCGAGTGAGGGAAGAAGATTGTGGAACAGAGCTTTCAACCTCCCAGCAGAGAAAGTGTCCTGCTTGATTTCTTCAAAAGTTTCATCCCGGGGCACATAAACAGGATGAGGCTTTTCAATTCTACTCTCAGACAGTGGATCTAATTGCATTTGCATTGCATCCATTACAAAACAAATTTTGCACACTCCATTAGAGATGCTATTCATTTCAAAACCCAACAAAAAATATTTTATATATAAAAATGGAAATTTCAAAGTAAACTCATGTTTTTAAATTTTAAAAATTGTTTATCACTCATTAACATTATAAAATGTTATTTATTTTAATTTTCATTATCGTTTTGTGTTAAAAAGTACTAAAGTAAATACCATTTTATAAAAAGTAACTACAAATAAAGTGTTTTTTTTATAATCACCAATAAAGTGTTTTAAATATAAAATACATGAAACATATAGTAATTTGACGATTTATTTGCAATTTTATGAACTGTACCAGAGTGTGTGGGAGGTCTGCCAGTTCTACATCGACGAGGATAAGGCCTCTCTTGACCCCCAAGAACTGGCCTGGCAAGTTCCTGGTCCTTATCAGGGTTGCCCAAGTCATTGTACACAGCATAGTCATAGATTCTATCATGTTGCTTTCTTTGCCCATTTTGGTTACCCCTTATGCTTAGCAAGTCCTCACGTCGAAGATCTTTGATACCAGCTGGTGTTTGTGACGGTAAGTATGCCTAGTAATGAACACAATTAGACAAAGTCAGCGAATCAATGCTTTTGAAGGGTTCTCATTTGTTAAGTGCAACTCACTTGATTCTTGAATATGATTCTGCTTTCAGGGTTGTCATTCCGCGAATGAATCCACGTGTTTGCTGGGAAGAAAATTGGTCCTCCACTGAACCCATGAACAATGATCTCCAATAGGTAGAACTCCTTGCCGTGAAGATTTGTAATGAGAACAGCCCCTGGGCGACCAAAGTCACTTGGTACGATGAATTCAGCAGCGTATTCCACAATGTAAGCAACGTTCGACAACTTCGGTTGCCACCCTCTCACGTTGGATTGCACGCTTTTTCCAGAATTAGTTACTGAAAAGTAGCAACAACGAATCCACAGTAAATCTTCTGTCATGGAATAGTACTCTAATCTAACCAGAAGTGGGAGAGTAAAATAAATAAACGCATCACAAGTAACAAATCACGACAGACAACACAATCATCTCTAGCAAACGCAAATCAGAAAAAGATTAATTTTATAATTTTAATACCTTCAACCTTAAAAGATTAATTTTAAGCACATAAAAATCATAGCTTTTTTTATATAATAAATTATTTTAACGAAAATGATTTATTAAAGTCAATCCTTAAAAGTAATGCTAACATTTTTTAGTATTTTATCTTTAAAAGTGCGAATTCTTTTTATGACCAGCGTATATTTCGAAATATTATAATTTGCTTACTATCCTTTACACTGATTGGGGAGTTAAAAATGTAAAAAATATTTTATAACTTTTTAAAATATCAATATAACAAACAAATGTGATTCCATCCGAAACCAGTAGACTAAGGGCGAACAACCTATTTATCCTTTCTAGGGCTCCTTGCTTTCCCTAGAACAAGAGGACACGATATCAAATCAAAAGGTTGTACTTCTCAGCAAAAAGTTTAGGAAGTAAAAAATAAATAAAATAAATAAATAAGGTAGAAAATGAGAATCTGAGCGTAAAAAGATGAAAGAAATTGAAAGAGAGTTGAAGAATGAGAAAGTAACTAACGAGGATCAATTTGGTGACTAATGAGGTGAATCTGGATCCCTTGACCAACACCGTTGACGAAGTACTCCCACTGATCCTCAAGCTTCTCACTCATCTTCTCCTTCATCTTCTTCCTTATTGTCACCACAGCTCTCACTTTAATTCCTTCGTTGGTGGAAGAAACAGAGCCTGATGATGATGCTGATGCCACTGAACCGTTCCTTTCTTTGCTGTCCAACGGAGACGTCGCTCTCTCGCTCTGACCTGCCTTGTCATTGTCCCCGCCGCTGATCACCGCTTGAATCTGCAGCCTCCGCCGTCCGGAAGCCGGGAAATGGACCCTCCGTCGCCGGTTGTCGGCGAGGATCGGCGGTGCTCGGCGGAGAAGGAGGTTTGACTTGAGAGGCTTGAGCGCAAACATTGCTTTTTTCGTGTTGACGATACGTAGCAACACTACGCTTGCAGTGCATATGTGACAGATAGTGTCGAATTGGAACAACACCAATTTTTATTTATTTATATTCAATTCTTTTTTATCTTCGGTAGGGAAGACTAAACTTAAGTATATATCAAAAGGAAGATTTTATTAAAAATTATTTATTATATTTTTTATATACTAAGTATTTATTTTAATAAATATTTAGTATTTTAAATACTTTATTTTTACTCTAAAAAATGAAAATATTATACATGATGCAATAAAAAAATAAGACAAGAAATTCATTAACCTTAACTTTTATAGTTAAATATTTAATAAATATTTGATAAATATATTTAATTTTTATTAAATATTTTATAAGTACCTTTTAAGAAATAAAATAAAATATTGTAAATGGTGTAGTAAAAATAATACTACTAAATAAATAATCTTACTTTTTAGAGTTAATTTTTTTACTCACCAAAATTTTAACTCTAAAAATTAAAATTAACAACCTTTTTTTTTTACCTTTCATCTCTCTTACGTTTTACATTTCACAAAGTATAAAATATGGAATAAAACTTATCTAAAATAAACGTATTTATAAAGTGAAAAAAATAAAAGGTATTATTAATTTTATTTAAAATAAAATACGTAGTAATACTAATCCATAAAATTTCAAATAATAAATAATTCCTTGGTTTCTCATATTACAAATAAATTTAATAGGTTTTTCTCAGTAATATGATCGTTGTATTTGTAATTGGAAAAAATAGAAGTATAAGTTATATAGTATTTATTTCATTATTTCAATTATTATTTTAAAAATTTGACTAAATTATTTTGTGTATACAAAAAAATTTATCAAATTTTATTTAACTTTTTGTAAATAAACTCTCATCAATTCACTTAAAATAAAGCTTAGCTTATAAATTATTATTTTCAATTTTATTTATAAAAAATTAATTTATCAAAACTACTAAAAAAGTAATTATATGTTATAAATAAATAAACGTGTCCATTTATATAAATAAAGATTACATAGTAAATATTTTGATAACACAAATCTTATAATAATAATAATAATAATAATAATAATAATAATAATATATAATTAATGCATTTAAAAAATATTTATCTCATATATTTTGAAAAAAATATTATTAATTATTTTTTATGAATATGAGAGATAACAAAATCTTAGTTTTTGTATGCAGCTAAAGTAAAGACTTTTATATTGTAAATATATTTTTTATATTAATTATTATAATATAATAATTTATTATTAAATAAAAATGTAAAAAATATTTATATTGTAAATGTATTTAATTAATTTCATAGGATAATTTTTAAAAAACGTTATTTTGAGTTTTCACTTGCTTTTACGGTTTTACCTTTAATGGTCCTAAGAAAATTTAAATGACGGAGAGGGAGAGCTTCTGGATTGTTAAACGACATCATCATCACTAGTTTGGGTTTGGTAAGTTAGGCAGCAGATATTAGTTTTTAATATTATTATAGTTAAAGCATGAAAATTCGTGTTTAGTATTCAATATACATCATTATTTTTTTATTATGTATTTAATATTTAATATTCTTTAATCGTATTAAAAAATTATTAATTTATAATAATTGATATATATATATATATATATAATATTTTATGGATTTTTATTTTGTGATATATATTTGATAGTTGAATCTTATATTTAATTAATACGTCCGAGCTAACGTGTGGAAAATGAGTGGACTATTCAATGGTAAGTCAATTTTCTAACGATAAAATATACTTTTGAAAAAGACATCCACTAAAAAAAAATTGACGAAAGAGATTAATGCCTTTTTCTTTAGATTCAAAAAATTACAATTCAAGATTTTTTAAAAAGTATGATTTAATAAATTAAGGGTGTTTGTGATTTTATTTGGATATTTTTTTAAGTAAAATAATCTAATTTCATTATAAAAAATTTATGGTTTGAATTATTTTAACTAAAATATCATAGCTGATCTAATTCTGTTCGATTAAAATAATATAAATTAAGTTAAATTTTTATATTTATACATGTTTGTTTTTAACCATGCACTTTAATATTACATTTAAATAATCGTATTATAAAACTTTTTTATCATTCAGAAATTTAAAAAATATATATATACAAAGTCGCTATCTAGATTATAAATATAAATATTCATTGAGCTTAAAATAGTCTCTAAAATTTCTTGACAGCATGATACAGAAATAAAACTGATAACATTCTAGTAAAGTGTAACAGAAATAATGAAATTTAGAATAAAATAAATTGGCATAGTAATTTTCAAATATCTATTTACATAAATATGAATTATATTATTATTCTATATATAGTTATATATGTGTATATATATCTATTTTGGATTGGATATACAGTTTTCTAAAATTAAATTTGCTTTCAATACTTTGCTTAAAAAATTTACCAAATAAGTTAGTTTACAAACATCTCCAATAATTTTGATTTAATGTTATTTGTATAGAATTTATAATAATATTTTTTTAAAAAGTTTTATTAATCTCAACTTTAAAAACAGTGAATAAACAATTAATAATAATAAAATTTTATAAAAAATTAAATATTTATTATATTTTTATAATTTTAATAGCTATATACTTTTTTATATATATTTTTTATTTGTACACATTTAACTCTATTCTTAAAACTGAGGTTAACAAAATTTATTTTAAGTGAATATATTTTTCTATTCAAATATTAAGTATATATTTTTTATTTTTTTAATTAATTAAGTATTTATTTTTTTTGTCATAATCACTTTTATTATTTGGAGTTAGTTAATTAATAATATTCTTTCTAAAATTAAATAATGCTAGTTATAACTACTTAACGATGGAGTAAACTCACTTATGATAACTTTTTTTTTCTAGTTTTAATTTTCATAATTTAAAAAAAATGATTTTACAACTTTGTTATGATAAAAAATATTTAACTATGTCATGTCAATAATATTTTAAAGCAGCAAGTGACATGATATATTTATATGCATGTTATATCATTAGTAAGGAACCACTAAACTAACCCTAAGATTTTATAGATCATACACTTTATTTTTCAAGGTATGAAGATTTCATTGATTGTTTCTCACGATTTCTTTTGTATTTTAGTTTAGTGTCTAATATGGTCTACCATTAATTGATGCACTAGGAGTTTTTTGTTTGGTTTTTCACATTGTCTTTCATTGTTCAACTTAATAGCTTTGTAACCTATATTAATGAAAATACAGAATGATGGCTACTCAAATATTTTTTCATAGGAAAATTTTATCTTAAATTAAGATTTTTTTGTTTGTTCGTTTATGTTCACAAACATTTCATATGAGTAAGATATTTAATTTTGTAACATTTGATTTTGGTATATTAAAAAAAAGATATATTATATTAACTTTTTTTTTTTGTCTCAAAACTATATTTTCTATAAAAAAATTGTTTCACAAAACTTTCTTTCACTTATAAAATATAAGTTTAAAAGCAAAACCACGTTTAAACAAAAATAGTTAAATTTATTTTTAATAACTAAATCATGTTAAATACAAAGTGTTATTAAAACATATAAAAACACAAAATGCAATGGTTAGGGTATGTTTGATAATTAATTATTTTATAAATAATCATTATTTTTTAAAAGAATATATATTATTTATCCAAAATAAATCAAATAAAGTTATCAAAAAAAAAATTATTCCTCAAAGATAATATTAGATCCATTAATACTTAAAATTTTAATATAAGTTTTTAGTATGTTAATAGGATAACTTACGAGTATTCATATTAATAATTACATACTTTTCAAAGTTTTTAAATGCATTGTCGTATCAATTTATTATTTTGAAATAAAAAATATTATCAAAAAATATGAGATTGACATGAATTTAGTTAAAAAAAAGTTTATGGACAAAATGATAATGAAGGAGTAGCCGAAAATGCCATGTAACATGAGAATGAACCAATAATAATAATAATAATAATAATAACACACAAAAGAAGTAGTAGTCATTATTAAGATACATAAGTAAAAGGCAAAGGAATTAAATCGAAGAAAGAAAGACAATACGAAGGACCGAATAATATTTCTTTGGCAAATTACGTTCGAAATTTAACTGAAAGACAAAACACAAAAGACAATATAAAAGACTAACAAAAAATATTAAAAATTTAAGGATAAACTGTATGACTCCTACTATTTAAATTTTTTTAACTTTTATAAAGACTATCACTACCAAAAAAATAAAATAATTTGAAATTAATTTAATTTATAATAATTAAAAGCATAATTAAGCTGATGTTTGTTGAAATAAAAAGAGTATAATTAAGTAAATAAAATTTTTATAAACTTAATAATATTTAAGTATTGTCTTATTCATTATGTATAATTAAAATAACAATTATCTTATAACCAGTGTTCTTGTGACACTTGTTAATTAAAGAATTAACAAATAACTTTTTTCATTACAAATTGCATCGAAGATGCATTAAAAATGTTAAAGATAACATAGCATTATACTTTCTAATAAAAAAAATACTTTTAACTTCCCAATTAATATCCTCAGGACATTAATTTGTAATTTTCTTTGACAACACCTTTCAAAAGGTTTAGGTTTAGGAATTATTTGAAAAGAGAAGTTTTAGAGTAGAGGAAAAGGAAAATTTTATATTTTAAATAAATATTTTAATATAAATTTAATGTATTCATAATATTTTTATAATTATAAATAATATATAATTTTTAATTTAAAATTGAAAAATATTTTTTTCCTCTCCAAAAACTTCCTTTCAAATATACCATTAACAGGCTTTCAAATTGATTTTGTAATCACGTTTCTTGATCAAAACTTACTGAAAATTGATGGAAACTTGATTCAGTGAATGTTTAAATGCAAATTATAAAATTAACTTTACTTAATATGATTTTGTAAATAAAAATAAAAATAATATTTGAATGGCCCTAATTAAAATTGATTTTGTCTTAAGACTTACGTCACAACTAACGTAATAAATTATAACTTTTGTATTGAGTTAAAAAAATTATATTAATTTTTACCATATATGTACTTTTAAAAAGAGAATTTTTAATCATAAATCATAGTACTTGAAATTAACTTAAAGAAATAATTCTAATCAAGTTCGTTCTAACTCAAGTTTACACACGTTACACACTAAACAATCTTATTCTAAATATAACCTTTGAATGTGTAGTTTGAATGACATTAGTACTTAAAAGGTTGATTTGGGGGGTTTATTTTTACATGATTATACTACATTTTATCATTCGCTTTAATAATATCTTGCGCATCTTCACCGCAACATAAATTATGCGCAACTTAAGAAGAAGAAAACAAAACACAAAGCAAGCCAACACACTTAACTTTATTGTATCAAAATTCATATGAACATGAGTAAAGGAACTTCGAAATTCTTAAGCATAGTGCTACACATTAAAACCATAGAAGGAAAACATATTGAACCTTTATTTATGGGAATACTTAGAAGAGGAAGTAATTTCGAGAAAGGGGAACAGTGGTGGCTGCAGAACAGGTGAGAACCTCGTCATTTGCTTTAACTATGTATTTTTCTGGGTCCACAGTGATTTCTGGAAGTGTGTCATTGAGTTTCATGTCCAGTTTGGTTAGCTTCCTCACGTTGCTGACAGCTTCCACCCTTTTGCTTAGTGCGTATAGAACATTTACTTTATGGTCTAAAGCTACCTGTTTGTGAAACAACAACAACAATCTGAATTTGTAATTTTAAGATAAACAAAATCTAACACTCAAGTTGTTCATGTAATGTGTGAGTGATAGGGGGTTCCATGCCTTGCTCACAAAGGCTATGGATATAGCACTGCCAGCCTTGCCAAGTGCTCCATACATAGGTCTCATCTTCACCTACAATATTAAGTAAGTTTAGTTGAAGTAGTTTCATCAAAATATCAATAGCTCAACAATCAAAAAGTTTACGAACATTAGTATAATACATTTGACTTTTGTCGCTGTTCAGATATCCTACATAATTTTTAAGTTCACACATTTATTTGATAAACTTTAAGTGTAACGAAGAGGAAGTACGACTACTAACTCTAACCATATATTGCTACAAGGAGATTAGCTTATTTGTCTTGGGATTTGAATTTGAGGTCGGTAATTAAGGAAACTAGTTTTTTGAACTTATATTATCTTATGTTAATTAGTAACAAGATATAGTTATGTTAAGGAGAGAAAGACACATTTTTTTGTATCAAAGTTAATTACTAAATACCACAAATAATTATGGTAGGTCTTTGTCAATAAAATTTGTTTCTCTCTCAAATATAATCATACTATGTTACTTCATACTAAATGTGGATCTAAATTCTAATTTTTCTAAATGCATTATTAGTTCACGTGAGGAGATTAGTGTGCTCTGAAGAAAATTGAAAGACTCCAAAGTAGTGGGCCATAGGCGATTCAATTCTTTTGGGGTAAAATCAAGAGATATATAACACCATTTCAGCGTTTAAGCACTCTATAAACTAGAACAGACTAAACAAGATGGGGCCCTAGCTTTAAAGCTCAAGGAAATCTAGTCAAACATGAAAACTATACCGGTTCAGGCGTGGGGATGCTTGCATTTGGGTCACCTATATCAGCCCATGCAACCACACCACCTTTGATCACCATTTCTGGTTTTGCCCCAAAAAATGATGGCTTCCACATCACAAGATCAGCCAACTTTCCCACCTGCAAATTAAGGCCCATCAATTCAGGGATCTAGATAATGCTAAAATTGAAAGGTTCAATGTTAGCTATATAGCTGTCATCTGATTATTTTACTCCGTATTGACAAAAAATGAAGATTACTTTGCTATGTTAAGTTTGAACTTAAATTATGAGAGAAAATATAAATATAATACTTAGATGCATAATTAGTCAGATGACTTAATTTGAATTAATAAAGAAAAAAGTTTAACAAAGACCACTTAAATTCAGCCACATGAAATAGCTGAGAAAATACAAATATTTAGTTGTCACTATGTTCATACAAAAATGAAGATCGCAAGAGTACATATTAGTAGAAAATAGGGAAGTTTGAATTCTAAAATAAGGGTTTGCTATTACTATTCTATTAAATTCCTACCGACCAATACGTGTGCAGTTCTTTGCATTTTAGTTTTCTTCTCATTTTTTGGGTGATGTTGTAAATAGAGATGATAATGGATAGGGTACTATAGTACTCATCCTCATACCTGCAATTTAAAAAAATATACATACTCAGCTCTATACCCGTTTAGATATGAACATTAATTCTCGTACTCGTACTCTTTGGGTATCTATTTACTCATCTTGTATCCATTACATGTGCTTGTTTGACAAAAAAAAATTTATAAAAAAAAAATATGTTTATATAACTTCACATAAGTAGCATAATAATACAAAAATTCAATATTTAGTTGTCGAACAAGGTACAAACATATATAAAAAACAAATATTCAAAGATTATAAATGTTAAATGTATCTTAATATAATAATTTTCTAAACTAAAATTCTTAGAAACAATAAGCAAACTAAAGACACAAGTTATTTGTCAGTGCTAACCCTATCTTGTATGAGATTTGATCAATTGACAATGTCAGAACGACAATGAAATAGATCTGTACAATGGTTGTGACATCATGTGAGATCACTTGGTGACCTCTTGTGACGGTATTAACAACTAACTCTAATGAATAATGTTTCATAGTTATTAGGTTTTAATGAGACAGATATTGAAAATGAGAATAGAGTTAGAATAGAGAAGTTCAATACTAACAACAGAAAGTAGATACATAAAATATTTTTTTTAACTTTTGAATTTAAAATTGTAAGAAAAATAATAAATTTAATTAAAATAATATATATATATATACATATATATATATATATATATATATATATTAATACTAGTATATTTAATTCATATACTATACGAAAATATTTTATCAAAAATACAAAGTTTTAAAAAATTATTTTAATGAATTAAATATTTATAATGTATATAAATTTTAAAAGAAAGAATTTGAATAAAAGATAAATAGTTACAATAAAATTTTATAATAAATAAATAAATGTGTATATAAAAAAAATTATACTTTTTTATCTGAAAAAAATTAACAAATAAAAATTAACAATAATTTTTTATATTTATATCTTTTCAAAAACTTCTTTAAACGTGAATAAATAGTAAAATTATTATTATTTAGATTCAATAGATTATAGTTGTGCTTGTAATACATATGTTACATGAAAAAATATTATTTTAAATTAAAATATAAAAAATAAAATTTAAATATTATTAATAAAAAATAATTTTACAGTAACGGTAGGTGATTGTAAAATTTATAAAATATTTATAATATATTTATTATTTATCATTCACTTTATGATTTAAATGTCAATATAATTTTATTAACAAAAATATTTGTGTAAAAAATATTTTATGTGTGTCATATATAAATAATATTTTTTAAAAAGTCAATCTCATATTAACTATGTAGTAATTAAATGATATAAAATAATAAATAAATTTTTCTATTAAAAATATAAACCAAAATAAATTTGTTGGTTTACTTTATTATTTAATATATTTTTATATTAATCTTATATAACTTCATATAAGTAATATAATAATACAAAAATTTAATGCATAATTATAGAATAAAGTTCAAGCATATATATATATATATATATATATATATATATGTGTGTGTGTGTGAGTATGGGGCGGGGTGGGTACTTAGATACCCATATCTACACCCATCGCCATTAAATTTTGCGAGTTTTTACGCACACTCATACCCGTATGGCGGGTAAATACCCTACCCATTGTGGGTAAATTTTGCGGGTACCCATCGGATACTTTACCCATTATCATCTCTAATTGTAATTTTTTTTTCAAAAAATACCAGACGCTAACCTCAATTAGTTAAATGATTTAAACATATGTTTATAATAAATTATTTAAAGAAAATGCTTGGTTAAATTGAGCAAGCATTAAACATTATATATACCTCAACCGAACCAACATATTTTGAGAACCCATTTGCTATGGCTGGATTTATGGTGTATTTTGCAATATATCGTTTGATTTGAAAGTTGTCATTGTATGATTCACCAGACCGAAGTTCTCCTCTTTGTGCCTTCATTTTACTAGCTGTTTGCCATGTTCTGCTTATCACCTAAGGAAGAAATAATGCAACATACATCAGCCTGAAATTTTTCATTGACAATTACTAGTCCTAGAAATGAAAAACAAACGTGGGAATGAGAAATTGCAACATGTATTTCAAACAGTGATATTGACATGACAACAAGACATAATTCTACTGATCAAGAAACATTTTCCATAGTACATAGTGACACAAATCCTAAAACACATTCAGAGAAATGCTAAGGAGTAAGGACACACATCATATCATTTTGATTACATTAATTAGGCAAATGTATGAAGCACCCTATTTATTTTTCCAAAATAAAATGAGTCAAGAATAAAATATTATTTAATTGGTTGAACTTGGATAAAGGAAGGACCTCTCCAACTCGACCCATAGCTTGTGAATCAGAAGAAATAATGCTAATTGCCCCAATGTCATGCAAAATATCTTCAGCAGCAATTGTTTGCTCCCTTATCCTTGAGTGTGCAAAAGCTAAATCTTCTGGAATTTCCCTATTCAGATGATGGCAGACCATCTGTATGTCACAAAATTCAAAATTGAGAACCAAATGCTAGCACAATGTGTATCATTGCTAACATATTTACATCTTACCAACATGTCAAGATGCTCATCTACAGTATTAGATGTTAAAGGGCGTGTTGGGTTTGTTGATGAGGGTAGGACATTCTTCATACCACATACTTTGATGATATCTGGAGCATGGCCACCGCCAGCACCTTCACTGCTCAAGTAAACAACATAGAAAAGTCAAGAATCAACCAAGTACAGCTTAAACCAGAAAACAAAATCTCAATTATGTTTGAAAATTTTATTTATGATTGCAAAATGTGATCATGCAGTATAAACCGTGCCTAACTCACTATTCCTATAGGAGACAAGAAAAAAAAATTGAAGTAAGAAACGAATGTTGTACAAACAAATTATATGTCAGCACCTTTCTCTATGCTAATACTCTTATATAATGAATTTTACATGTCATGTCTGAGCTTGAAACATGGGAAACAACTTCGAAGCTAGCATATACCTGTGATAAGTATGAATAGTTCTTCCTTTAAATGCAGCAATACTATGCTCCACAAATCCAGCTTCATTTAAGGTGTCAGTATGTATATTAACCTGTTATCATAAAGTTAAGCCGCATATATTGATTAATATTGCAAAAGAAAATGTATTGAAGAAAATTGTGCCTGGATATCATATTGTTCAGCAATAGTCAAGCAACTATCTATTGCTGCTGGTGTACATCCCCAGTCCTCATGCAATTTCAGTCCCATTGCTCCAGCCTTGATTATTTCATGTAGTTCATCAGGCTTAGAACTACTCCCCTAAAGAAACCAAAGAAAAGTTTAATGGTCTTATTTGAGCGAAAGAGAGGTTTTCTTAAGGTCCATCACATAACATTTAGCAATAAACAATATAAATAACTTTATAACCTTGCAGTATAAGCATGACTTATAAATAGAAGGGAGAAAATAAAACATACTTTGCCAGTAAAACCGAAGTTTAGAGGCAGGTCATCTGTTGATTGCAGCATTAGTTTCATCTGTGTCGGTGCCGGAGTACAAGTTGTGGCACGTGTTCCAGCCGTTGGTCCGGTTCCACCTCCTACTAATGTTGTGATGCCTACACACAAGGTACAGAAGAACTCAATAAACAAAATCAAATTCATATGCATAGGCTAATGTCTACCGTGTGGAAAAAGAGATGAGCGGAGCAATGTAAAGCAACAATTGATCTCCCCTTCAACAAAAGATTAGGAGTATTAATCATAAGACAAATGTGACCAACCTACATTGAATAGTTATGTTCTCCTTGGTATGGAATTTTAGCAGCTTTACAATCAACAATAAAAATCCTACACTATGAATTGTTTTTCAAATCATCATCTATCTAATCATGATAAATTGTGTTGTGCTTGTTTTGAGACAGAGATCAAAGAAACAACTTATACCTAAAGAAAAATTTTATCAAATGTCCTAGAGTGGACTGTCACACCACAATCATGCAATCCAGTAATTAGAAAACATCATTCTGTTTAAATATCAACAACAAATACAACCTTTCTAACTAGAAATGAGGGAGAGAAAGTACAATTTATCAATTATTTGGTTTTCTTTTAACAGAAAAGATTCGAATGATCTTTTATGGTCTAATATAACCAAATAGAACTTAAATGGGTGATGTAAGAAGAATTTTCATTTAGGAAGTCAAACAGAGTACGTAATATTGCTTTTGTAAAAACCAAGAAATAATATGGATCAAGAATGGTTGGTGCTAAGGAAGTGAAGTAATTTGATCAAAACTAGAATCTTCAACACATAGATAAAGCAAAAAGACAACGAATTGATAAAGTTTCTACCAAAGATGCCATCTACATACCTGTCATTAACTCATGAGATGAGCATTCATTAATATTTAAAGGTACCATAATGAACTCTTTCACTCGAAATTGTTTCTATTTAAAAATCTCACCACTTGCTATGGCCTCGTATACTAATTGAGGGCATATATAATGCACATGAACATCTATAGCCCCGGCTGTTACAATCAACCCTTCTCCAGCAATAACTTCAGTGTTAGCCTAGATATGGATGACATCATGACATGAAAATCAGTTGTGTCAAGATAATAGTGTATGAATTTAGCTCAGAACTTCAGATTCCTGGGAGGGCACTTACCCCAATGATCATATTATAAGATACACCGTTCATAATGTCTGGATTTCCTGCTTTTCCAATAGCAACAATAAGGCCATTTTTAATACCTATATCTGCTTTGATGATTCCAGTATAATCAATTATCACTGCATTTGTGATAACAGTATCCAAAGAGATATCTGGTGGATGCCCACATGACTGACCCATTCCATCTCTTAAAACTTTCCCACCTCCAAAAACACATTCATCACCATAGAGAGCAAAATCTTTTTCAATTTCAGCAAACAAATCAGTGTCACCAAGACGAATTTTGTCACCAGTAGTTGGACCATACTTGTCAGCATATTTCTCATGAGAAATGCTTGTAGTGAAAGGACAATGAGGGTCTCCCTCAGTAACACCTTCACTGGGAAATTTACAATTGATGCAAAATATCTTCATTCATTCTCTCAAATGCGAAAATGTTAAAGCATAAAGCTAAGATATGTATTATTTAGTAATTTCAGTAATAAACCTTGCATCTTTCTCTTCCTTGTGTCCAAACCCCCTTTTGCACACAGCTTCCATTGTTGCTCTATAATTAATTTCGTTAACTGGACCATCAGCAAGGCCATTACCTCCTCTAATGACTTTGTTACCTCCAATGCTTACAAGCTTAACACTTTTACAGTCCCCTGGCTTGTAACAGTAAATAAACTTGTGGTTATTCATTTAGAAATAAATGAAAAAGTTCAACTACTTAACATGTTAAACCAGTTCACATTTATCAAATAAAATAAATTCAAAAATTTACTACAGTTTAGAATTTCACCTCAAAACGGACAGCACTCCCTGCATCTATATTGAGGCGCATGCCATAGGCTTTCCCTCGATCAAAAGTTAAGCTGGGATTTACTTCGATAAAATGATAGTGGCTACCTACCTGAATATTTTACCAATATTTTGCAATGTTTACTTCAATTATCTTGGAAAAGCTAACAAGAAACCAATTTGCTTGGATATTTGAACCCCTACTGTTCTGATAACTTTCCAAATTGTAACAATATTTGATCTGACAAGAAAGAAACTCTAAAGCTTCTGGTTCATGAAATAGTAGTAGATCAAAGCTAAAGAAAATAATCTACATTTGTAATAACAGTACTTAAAGGGGTCAGCAACATGCACATACTCGAATTGAAGTCTTTATAGGACCTTGAAAACCATTGAAATTGTCAAATAAACAATGTAAGGAAACCAGTACAATGGAATGACACTCTCTGGCATTATTTAATTATTTCATATGTTACAAGAAGTTAAAGTAATATGACATGTAACTAGAGCAACTCCAAAGTATTTTTAACATTGCATAAATCAATTTGACATTGTAATGCAAAAGAAAGAAAAGTAAACTTTTTGTTTAAAATGCGAAGGTGGGAGGCACAACGCTGGCAAAAATCTTGTAGGCAATTTAAGGCAAAAACCTGAATTGGTCGGTCTCCATTGTTGACAACTTCGAGAATTACTGCTTTCCTCCAAGGGTTAAGAATTAGTGAATCCTCTTTACATATTATTTCACCAGGAATTTTATTGTCTTCTTTGTTCTCAGGAAACTTGTCAAGTGAAGGTACTGCAAACACATTCTCCTCCCATCAAGAGAAACGCTAATGTAAGAACATAATCAAACATGTACTTGTGCATATCCACAACCATATGCAGACTCTACTAAAGCTTTTCAAACTAGAGCAACCAAAACTGCCTACTCAATCCCAGTTGAGCTTTGTTTGGACTGCAAAACTTAAGCTTAAATTTGTCTTGAATTTGTATTTTATGCCTAAATAGATTGAACCAACCCAAAATTGATCAAAGAAAAAAAAATCAAATATGTACTTAAAAATCCAAAATTAACTCAAGCCTAAAGTTCAAAGTTTAAACCTTATGAGCGAACTTAATTGGATGGTAAATTGCTTTCCAAGCTTTACTGTGTCATCTCAAAATATTTTGGATGAGCATGAGCCAAAAAGGAATATATATTGGTTGATATGTATATGTCCCTGTGTGTGTTATTAAATTATGGTTGAGGGGCATTTACAATAAACTATGAAAGTGCTTATAAGGAAAGGCTGCCTACTATTCAATTAGCATTTAATACTAACAAGAAAAACAACTCGTGAGAGAAATATTAACATTAGATACCAAGCGCTGAGCCCCACTTACCCAAATAGATGATGAATGCCTAAGAGGAGTATTAAGCATTTTGGAGCAATGTTGAAACTGGTTATGTACATGTTTCAAATAATCAAATTCAATTAAGCTATTTTAGGCTTTTAGCTAAAAAAGATAAAAAAAAACATTGCAAGACCATCATTGAACAGTCAAATAATCTTTTATCAATAACTTTTAGCTTCAAATTACTTCATAGATGACCCTCTCGTCCCAACTCAATTAAGAAAGAGTTTTGTTAACCTATAAATTGAATTTAAACAACTAATAATAATAATATTTTTTTATTTTTTTTAAAATAAAACATTGATTTCATTAGAGATATAAAGTATAATAAATATTTTTTTCAATAAAAAAAATATCATTTTATATGCTTCAATTCACTTTTAAGTGTTGGAGTTATAAAATAAGAAAAAAAAAACACTTCAGAGGGATTTTAACCTTCCAAAATTAAATATTAAAATTAGAAAACATTATGTTGCTCTTTTATCAATAAACAATTGAAATGCTGATAACGATCCAAAACAGAAAAAATAATATTTTCTTTATTTCATTTTATTAGTGAGTTATTTTAATATTACATGAATATTATTAAATTTTAGAAAATTTAAAATAAATATTTAAAAATATATTACAGATCATTGTTAAATTAAATAAATTTTATTAAATTCTTAAAAATATTGTATTATTAATAATAAATATTTATTATATTAAATATGACTACATTAAATTGAAAAATTTTAAAAAATAAAAATAAATTATAAAAAATTTAAAATTCAAATCGAGATTGAATATAAAAGAATTAAATGCTCAATGTAAGAGAATTTATACATGATATAACAAGAAAGAGAGTAAATCTTAAAAACACACGCGTTTAAGATAATAATCTTGTTTAAGAATAATAATCATATTTAATATATAGAGGTAGATATGTCTAAAGTCTTATTGTTGTGAGTATCCAAAAAAATTTTAAAAGTTAAAAATAAATGAATAATATTTAACATAAAAATAATATATTTTAGATAATTGTCAACTTCAATTTAAGGTGATGATTAATTATTATTTGATATAATGAGTAATGCATTTTTTTTTATTATAACTTTTCTTTAGTATTAGCTACAATTTAGTTGTCTCATATGGGTTTAATGTGCCTTTTATATTGATAGTGTTGAGTTATTTTAAATTTTAAAAAAATTAAACGATGATATAAATGCAAAAGTTAAAAAACTATTTGTAATATTAAATATTAAAACACTACATATTTAATTCTTAAATATTTTACAGACTTAAAAGAGAAATGATGATAAAAGTTGTATTAGAAAGTTAAAAATGAAAATATTAATTACACTATTTAATTTATGTGTTATTTTTGTAAAATGGCAAATAAAACGATTCAAAAGGAATATAAAAGAATATTAATGACACAGTTCGGAAAGTCTAGTTTGATAAAATGCATAAGCAAAGACACGTATAGCGTTGATCACAGCTGAAAAAACTCATCAGAGATATGTAAAAAATGACAATATTAATTTTCAAAATCAAAGTAGAAGCAAACCTGGCAGAAAAGAACCAAATAATGCTTGTTCTAGATCTCCATTCTCACATGAAATCGGATTATCAACTGAGACTAATTTAGTCCCATCGGGAAAGGTAGCTTCAACCTATGTTCAAATTTAAATATACAATTAATACTAATTAATAATGACTACAAAATTTGCAAATCACTATCTCAGTGAGAGGGATAGGGGAGAGTACTAAGATAAATTACGACAAAAATTGAGATACAGTTAGTCATTTGAAGATTTCAGACCCACAATATATATATAGAGATTACCTATGGATGAAATATACTATTGTTTTGTGTATATATATATATATATATACGTTGGATTATAGCAGCCAAAAGGAAGATTGTCATTAGTAACAAGCTAACTGAACTAATAATTGTAAAGCAATGCCTACAAAGCCATTTGTGAGTGCTTTTATTGGTTGACTAAATTGCCATAGTGAGACAAATACCTGAACCATATTCAAGAGATGGGGAACTGCTGGAAGAACCTGTCTCCTGTTTAAAATGGTTCATTCATCAGCTTTTTCTAGTTCACAAATTAATTATAAAAACATGGAGTCCATTCATAAACAGATGAAATTGTTATCTAGTTAGGGAGGAGAAAAGAAGAAAAAGTGTGTCTAGTTGATGAAAATTGACATATTGTATACAATACATTCCCAATAGATGTCTCCCAATGCACATTAGTTGTGCCACAGTCTTTTCACCTTGACGAGCAAATTCCATAATCTATAACAGAACAAAACAAAAGCATGAAAGTTAGATAATCTCAGAAGGGAAAAAAAAGAAGAAAAAAACTTTTTCAGTGTAATGAGTTTTGTGTGAAGGCAACATAACATTGATTGAGAAAAGGAAGCTCACCTGAGAGGCAATGAGAGCTACAGCTTCAGTATAATTGAGTCTTAAACCACGAGCTAGGCGTTTCTGAGCAAGGTACCCTGCATTGTGCAGTTCTAGTTTCTCCACTTCTCTCGGACTTAGTTTCATTGTTCACTCTTCAAAGTTCTAATCCTAAGGAATGAGAGATGATAATAGAAGTGAGAGATTGATGTTTCTTATAGAACAAATTTTAGATGCTGATGAAATGAAAACTCAAAGTGCCACTTTGCTATAGGAGGTGCATGCGGTGCAATAGAAGGTCTACCACCTTCAAATAGATGCTGCAATCTGCATGCATTTACACAACGCGTGGCCACTCTAGCTACTCTTGTCAATGAAACCATGCATATGATAAATGTTTCGTTCTGTCCTTTAATATAGACACCGTAAAAAGCTCAAACATCCATCAAAACATTGATAATTTTATACGCTACCTAGCAACTTAAGACTTCTTTGTCTCCGGGTTAAACGAAGCACTTTTCAAAATTTTTAGAGGTAAAAGTTTTTCATTTTCTACAAAATGGAGTAAATTTGCCTTTTTAAATAGACTTTTAATTTTATTACTTTTATTTAAAAATTTTAATTAAAATAATATTGATTATGTTAAAAATAATAACTATTATTGATAATCACTTAAACTCACTAAACAAGGGTCTTACTTTTATTGATTGGGGGTGAGTACGTTGGATGGATAATATTTTTATGATCTCACATGATTCTGTCTGTCGTCCTGTGAGTCTGTCCTGCACCTTTTCAATGAAGGGAGTAAAATTAATTTATAACTCCCGAATTTATTTATTTATTTATTTTTAAATAATTTTATACATTTCAAATTATTTCTAATTAATTCTTTCCATTATAATTTTATTAAGTAAAAAAATTAATTATCAGGTTATTAATTTAATTATTCAATAAATCTTGAATCATTTATTTTTTTAATTAAATTAATCTACTTGACAGACCTTTAACTAAACTCTAACAAAAATACAGGTAAAGAACTACTTGAAATTGAAGGACTCGTTTACAAATTTTTAAAATATAAAAAAATATTTAAATAATTTTACATGATTCAAAAATTTACAAATTAATTAATTTTTTAAAGAAATAAAACATTATCCCATTAAAGTCAAATGTGTGTTTCTCTCATAAAATAATACAAAATTCTAAAAAAATAACTAAAATAATTATCTTCCACAAATATTTTTTAAGAAGGGTAGTTTTAGATGCATGTCATACATGTAATATAAAAATAGCATGCGTCACATGTGCGGCGTTAAAAATAATATCCATAACATTTTAAATATCTGGAAATAAAAATGTGGCACACTACTAAAGGCCGAATGCTATTGTGATTTGACTCGTGTTCTGTATCCAAAAATACATCACAACCGAGGCCTAACATATAATACAGTGAAATTTTTAAGTCCGTGGCCTTCGTGATGAAGGTAAGTTAGTGCTTTATCACCGTTTATCTTTTGCTATATAAATTTTGATTGTCGGATATTATAAATTAGAAGAAGAAACTCTTAATTATTAATTAAAAATTACTAGAAAAATAAAAAATATAAATTTTATACAATTTTTATTAAATTTTAATTAATAATTAAAAGTGTATTAAAAAGAGCATATGAAAATACACACATTTTTTTATATAAATTATTCGATGGAAATCATATAATCCTTAATGATAAGTGAGATGTTGCGTGTAAGTAATTGAAATAGCTAGTCAGTCTACTTCTTGCCTTTTATCCATTACAGTAATTTTTGGCTGCTTGAGATCGCCACATACTTTTTCTCGGTGGAAAAAACGGGAGTAAGTCATGCACACGGAGTTGGACTTTGCATATTTGCCTGCCCTATGGCTATAGAATATGCACCATGCTAACGTGATTACACCCACAGGATATGACATATGAGAAGTTTGAAATATATAGCGAAGAGAATGCCATTGTCTGAAGATAATCAACTCAGTGTTTAGGTGATGTCCACACACCTTGAATTGATCATCAGATTGAGAATCGACGCCCTATTAGAGAAAGATCGATCTTGTTTCACATACACACTACTATCATGTTTTATAAGTTAAACTTCAAATGCAATCTCAGCTAGGTATTATCTCAATCTAAACAGGCTCAATATCAAACAAGGATGTAATTGAACTTATAGGTAAATGGTAATCATTTCTGTCTGATTAACAAACAAGTCTGTAACCACGATTGCGTTTCAAAAACCCCTCAGAATTGTTCAATTATCATTTACTAATCAAGGGGGCTTGCCTCTCCGTTTTCCTTCCACTTCCTTTGTCTTCTTTCTCCGTTCTGGGTACATTTCAATAACCAAGAGCACAAGTAAAAGGTATAAATGCATTCAGCCACTCAACCAAATTATCAGACCTTTGTCTTCTTTCTCCGTTCTGGGTACATTTCAATAACCAAGAGCACAAGTAAAAGGTATAAATGCATTCAGCCACTCAACCAAATTATCAGATCCGTGTGTGACCCAATCTCAGATTTCTGTGCTAAACTTTCTGATGTTTGTGAGAGGCACTGCATGAGGACGAAGCTGAGATAACACTATAGCATGTTGTGACTATGTGGAAAACTCGACTGTCAGCTCATCCCGACTCTCCATCCTTTCAGGTAACGTGCGCATTTAACAAAATGCCTGACAAGCCAAGATATTCTCCACAGGTCTATATGTGCTCATTTCTGGGCTTTACGAGCAAGAAACCGTTCTCTAGCAGCTTGGATTCTACTTTCACGGTCATCAGTAGTCCCAGCAACCTCAACATCCTTCTTGGGTAAATGTGGAAGATTTTTCTCAGATTCCTCCTCAACATTATGAACACCCCCACTGCTTCAGATAAAGGAATTAGAGCCAGCAATGATCATAGAACCCCCCAAAAAATATAATAATAATAAAGAAAATAATTGAACACCTTGGGAGTTTACCTTAATTTGTACACATCTAGGGTCTTAAGCTTGTTAGTAATGGGTATAACCCATCTCATCTCAACAGCACACACATTTCTCATGTATGGCCGCGGAGTTGCAATTAGTTCATGGTACACAACATAGTCTGGGAACTTCCCCAGCTCATCAGGATTCATCACAGAGGATGGATGTACCTAATGCAGAAGATTCAGGTCATCCAGGTATCTACAAACCGAGCATTCAATTGAAATTGATAAATACTAACTACTAATTCTGAAATTCACACAACTTTGGAGCATATAGCCTTTGTTATCAGTAACACTAGCCCCTTCTTTTTTATTTGGAGTCTGCAAGTTCTGTCACCCTTAGCTATGGACTACAGTACTTCACCGTAAAAGTGAATGGATTTAAGGGAAATAATTTAAAGGAGATAATATGTTAACACCAAATAAATTAGAAGTGCTGCTAAAAGTAATGGTGACATGCAATAGTGGCTATAAACTTTTTATTTATTACCTGAACTACTTGAGCTTGGAAACCCAGAGTTCGATATCCATTGTGATGCATCTTTCTTTCAGCCAATTGATTTGCATAGCCCACACATAAAGCCTTCCTCAAATTTCGATAATCTTGCCGGAACTCATCCCTTTTCCCATTTGCCCTTACATCCAGTGGTCCTATTACAAGATTGAAAAATATATATATATGTTAAGGGGTGAGGAAATACCATTCATAAAATGATAACTAGCTGGAGATTCACCAATTTGAATGTAAATAAAAAGGAATTGGACAAGAGATTAATTCTTTTTCCCATGATCTAATTCCACTTTCCATTCCCCTTTTTGGGATACTTCTGATCCAATTTTATCAAAGATATACTCTTGAAACTGCTTGATGTCACTAAAATGATATAGCAGGAACCAATAGCACCCCAAATGAATGGTGATATTGGATATAGCTAAGTGTGCAAACATAAGTTTCCATGCAAGAACTTGATTGCATGATGGTAAAGCTTCTATCCATTTTTACTCCTTTGGCATGCACAGTAAGTTGTTATAACTAAATATTACTGCAAAACCTACTTGGGCCAGGAGAGATTTAAATTATAATACAAATCTGTGACAAAGAAGAAACAACAAAGATCTTCTCACGCTGGCAAATGACAATGCTTTTATTGCCAAACCACATAAATGAGTTGTCTGATAATCGTGGTGGCAAGTGCATATTTGGATGGTAGTGCAAATGTTATTATGATGCACTTTTTCTATCTGGTTTGTGGTGGAAAATGAATCCTATCCTGTAAATGGCTACTTAGCAGGTCTCCCAAAAACCTGAGTTTTGACCCCAAAATGACATAAAGGAAAGTATATTAACCATCATAACCACCAAATTACACAACCACAACTAATTCTTACAAAATTACTTTTGATGAATATTTCAAACACAAAACTCAATCTTCTAAAAGTAACAATTTTAAAATTAATTGTACACAAATTACCAAAATCAACACGAAGGATGAAGGGGAGGTGGATGGAAAAGACCAATTAAAATATGCTCCAAACTAACTCCATGTGAGACCCAATTAAAATATGCTCGGTCAACTAGTATTATGCACTTATTAAAAAAAAAAAAAAAAACAAATGGATCAATGGGGATATAATGTGTCAAAAATCAAAATACTAGCTCTTTTTGCTAGTGACATTACTGCTCCATCTGAAAGTGTATTATTATTCACTTCATACAGGTAAATTTCTCAAGAATGTGGAATACAAACCCTTTGCTATTTTCTGCATTATCTGAGATAACTGCTTACGGACATCTTTGACAAACAACATCCCTCGCACCTTCAATCAGTTGATTCCAGAATGATCACATATACAAAAAAAGGAATCATATTAACACATCACTTCATATTTTAGAATGAATCTGATATGAATACCAGAGATTTCAACTAAGAGTGAAATAAAAATGCATGCATTGTCATCAAGAAATAACAGAATGTCTTTCTCAATGACCCATATGATTTTTTTCTTGAAAGGATACAACTATCTGAATTGAATGTGGGAAGACAAATACTCCACAAGGATACTACTAGCCTTCTAACTAAATCTTTTACCAGACTTCATTGCAAAATGCAAAAGTTCAGTCCCAAATTTATGTCATTCTAGGCATTACTAGAATATGTAAAGGTACCTGCAAGCCATTGTCTTTGCACCAACCAATGTCATAATCAGTTTGATCCCAACACTCATATATCTGCAGCAATTGAATGTGATCACCCAAGCCAGAACCATCAGGAAGGTTAGATATTGTGTGTTTCCTCTTTTTATCAGTTTTTCTGCAAATTATAGGAATGTTGTTACAGCTCAGTTACTCGGTCCTTGTCAATGAATAAACAATGTACACAGCATCCTATGTTCCTGGTTCTTTACTTTTGTTTTGTCAAATCATAGTAGATATTCACAAGTATGGGAATTGTGAAAATTATATAAGAATGGAGTTAATAACAATCCAATTGTGTGTGTTTCTATAGGGAATGCCAACCTCCTTCACCTAGGTGCAGAGGTTAGCATTGACACTTTTAATTAGACCAACCATTTCCTTTTAATAGGACTTTTGGGCATTTTAAGTCATTTCAAACAAAATCAACTGACATTATTTTCTTCTATTCCTTTCCTGATTATTCCATGTAAATAGGATCTCCATTTAGCCATTAGTTTCTCTTGATACTACGTTCTCTCCATATAAAATTGAAAAGAAAAACCTACATGGCTGGGGCTTTTAAACCAACAAAAGGTGTCAATTTATTAAGCATGCTTGACTTAATGGTTTTGAGACAGTATGACTCTATAAGCCATGAAAGATAAAATGCCTTAAAAACACAAGTTTAGGGCATTGTTTCAATAAAGAAAGACAATAGCCTTTCCAGTGTAATTGAAAATGTGGAGGATGCTTAGCTCCACCTAATCTCTCTCTCCCTGTATATATATAAATTTTAGAGTTTTCAAAGGACTCAACCTCTGCCCTGGTAGCAATGTTGTTTCAGCCGATAACATGGCAGCAACAGTCAAAGCCTCGGATATGCAACCATAATCGCTTGCCTCCATTAAAGTTCTTGCTAAGGAAGGCTCTAACGGAAGCTCTGCATAGAATCAAGAAACAAGTCAAGGAACCAAGAGAAGCACTCATCCTTAAACATCTGATTAAGAAAATGAATGGGTAAGAAAACAATAAATTTTATGGTCAACACTGGGCAGTGAGCACAACTTCCATTGTCAAGCCTGGCAGAGACAAACTTCTATAAAATAATAATGTAGAAAAATAGTATACTAGTGACGACCCTTATCATCACAAAGATAATATTGCTTAATGGGTGATATCTCCATACAGATATTTGAAATTCAACACTAAAATGCAAAGAAAAGTACCAGCCATTTTCCGTCCAATACTTGTAATCACACCATTTTCATCAATAGAATCAATCAGATATAATTGCTTCAAGGCATCTTGTAAGGACTCAGCTGCATCAAACCCGGTTATTCAATCACCAAATTAAACTTGAGTAAAAACTCACTAACTTTTGAGTCAAGAAACTACAAGAAACAAATATAAGAATCGAGGCCCCCCCCCCCCCGCCACACACACACACAATATATATAAAGGAATTAAAACTTCTTGAGATGAGAGGAAAAGATTCCCAGAATCATCAATGAGATTCAAGTTTAGTTACTTGATGCAAGGAGAGAAAATTTCAATTTATATTTAAATTTGTGTGTGTTTGTGTGTATTTATGTACGTATCATACATGATGGAGAATCAAGAAAGTCGAATTTGAGAATGTCAATATCTGGGAAGTCCAATGACTTCAAGTAAAGAACACTGCCTGCAAGCGAAGATCTCTGAATTTCAGGAACTGTAACATCCAAGAACTCATCATGGTAAAGTTGGGAAGGGTATAGACGATAGCATTTCCCTGGACGTGTTCGTCCAGCTCGACCTGCACGCTGATTAGCTTGCACTCTGCATGGTCAGGAATTATTCGAAATCATATTAAAGCTCATGAATTGGGTATTTTAAAATTTACAAGGGCCACAATGAGATATCAAATTGTTAATTGCTTACTTGCTAATTTGAACAACATCAAGAGAATACATGCCACTAGATGGATTATACTGTCTTTGCTTCACATACCCAGAGTCAATAACATACCTAAATTTCATAAAAATAAAAACAATTTAACAATCAGTGAGTAGACAAGTTTATGAGCATGATCTAAAGGAGAAAATGATTGTGAAAGACACTCCAAATCACAATAGGCAAATGGCAAGAAGGACTTGTTTTTCTCAATAATTGCATCCCATAATATGCTACAGGAAACCATGTCATTAATTTTGTTTTTTCCCACCTTTAGTTTTTATATAAATTGACATTACAGAAACGATGTAGTTAAATATCTCAAAACATAAATAATAAGTTAAAGCAACCATACATCCTTCTGTATGTGATATTTTAAATTATGTAAGACAGAAATGAATGCATTACCAGCTGTGGTATATAATGATTACACATCTTATTGTTTTGCCCACAATGTTTTCATCCTCTTTTTTTGGGGACAATATTGACACTGCTTTTAATGAGATAGTTTAGTCATGAACTTTGCCAAATCTTCAATAAATGGATTACAAGGAGTTTTGGTTCTCCAAAAACTTTTAACCTATTCCCTGGTTAAAGATGAAAATAAATAGGCTACAGAAATGATTAAAAAAACATTTGAATCACAACAATAAGTAATAATGGCAAGAACAACAATAAGATACAATAATTTATCTCCATGATGATATAACAAGTCACCTGGATAATGGATACCTTTACTGAAGTTGTAATAACAGAATAATAATATTTAACCAAGTATCAGTGTCCTTACACTACACCATCAACAGTCAAGGAAGTTTCAGCAATATTTGTTGCAACAATAATTCGTCTGCAATTTGGAGGTGGTGGATTAAATACACGCACCTGTAAGATTATACAAGACATGGCATGCATGAGTTTCAAATGCAAGAAGAAATTACAATGCCTAAAACTTTATTTTGTGGGATAAAATATCTCATACATCAATTGTTGTATATTTAAGGCCTTTCCCTCAAAAGATGAGGAGCAATTATATGCTTTTAAGTGTTAATTGCAAGCTAATATATATGATTTGACATGTGGATATGAAGCAAACAACTTAACTAACAGTTAAAAGAGGAAAGAATAAAGATAAATTGTTATGAACCAAGGCCCAGATACAGATCAGTTAATAGATGATAGGAGAGATGATCCGAGAACATGGAAAATGTACTATAGGAGAAAGAAAAAAGTTTAGGAAGTTAGTTAGTTGATGATGATGAGCTGACAGTAGTCATTAAGGAAGAAATGTGTTGTTTAGTAGAGTGAGAAGAATTGTGTGTTGTTGAGGAAGAAATACAGTCTCTGAAGGAGCCCTGGGCACTGGTTCTATGCATGATTTGATGACAGTGAATAATAATTACTGGTTCCCCTCTTTCAACCCTTAGATCTTTTTCCGCATTATATTCCATTACTGTTACTGGTTTCTTAGCATAAATACACTCAAGGAAGTTTCAACATTCTTCAACTGCTAATTAGTCAAGTTTTCTATAGACAAAATGAAAAAGAAAACTAAGAGTTATGTATGGGAATGAAATTATAATGCCTTTCTAAATATTCTCACAATTACTGCTTCTTTGTATCTGAAGTATCAGTCAGAGTGTCAGACATCATCACATTGGTTCATAGAAATTTGATTGTATTTGGAACTAAGAGAGAATAACTCAAGTCAATGGTAAGCATAAGTTTTTATCAGAAAAGTTGTACAAAAACAAAAACTACTTGCCTGCAATTCAGGTGGCAAAGAACCATGTAGAGGAAGGATTATAGCATCCATGCAGGAACCTTCCTCAAGGGCCCGTACTTTATCTTCTAACTTAGATACCAGCTTCTCTATGTCATCCTGCATGAAGGTCATTGAAACTCGTTCAATCATTACATCATATCAGAAACTAAAGGATTTTGGATTCAGGTTAATTCTGGAAAAGAAATTCTTTCTTTAACAAAAGCTCTCTCAGGAAACAAAAGAAAACTGACTACCTCCTCAAACCAAAATATGTTAATCAAAACATGCAATAAGGTTTACATTCTGAAGTGGAAAGTTATGTGGTAAATACCATAAAACAAAAATGTCACCTGTCCAGTCACGAATATTAAAATATCCCCTTCCAGGTCATGAATATGTATATCTGCAAAAACAATACCTCATCAATCACTGGAAATTTAAAAAAAAAATACGAATATGGGAAATAATACATCTGAAATGGAGTGTGTACAATTGAACATGACAACATTTCCTGACTTTATACTTGCAAAGACAAGCCATTCAATCAGTGAAGGAGCTGAAGGAAGTGAATTTGATTATTTACATGATTACATCAACATTAACAGATAGATTTCACAATTCAGATTTAAAATGCATCCCCCCCCCCCCAAGGGCCAATACCAGATTTCAAGAAATGTTATCTTAACAGATGGCAAATAGACGTGTAGGATAAACAATTAGTACATAAGCAGAATTTTTATCGAGCTACAAGGCACCAACGCAAACTTATTCACATACATGCAGTATAAAATATTAAATATTAAGTACTGGTACTAATAAAACCATTTAACTTGGCATACAAATCAACTTAAAACCCAATGTCATACCAAGAGCAGTTTTCAGGGAAGCCTCAAGATAGCTAGAGGGACGCTCCTTGCTATAAAGAACCTCAACCGGATACAATTTTCCTGGAATGGTCAAAACGGGACAATCGGCAAAGAAGTTTGATACTTTATCGCCATCAAGTGTTGCGGACGTGATCAAAACTTTGAGATCCGAGGAACGTATTCTAACCAAGCGTTTCATCAGTCCCATCAATATATCCCTGATGATAAGCCCCAATCACAAAATATTGCATGAAGAACAAAAAGTATAAACCTAACAATCTAGAATAACACAATTTTCCAAGACACGGAAGAGGGTGCCACTGCCACGTCTTACGTGTTTAAACTCCGTTCATGAGCTTCATCCAATATGATTACAGAATACTCATTTAACTCAGGATTAGCAAGAATTTCACGAAGAAGAACTCCATCAGTAAGGTACCTAATCGAATAAAATCAATAACAATCATCATTTACCACCTTAAACAACCAAACACCAATTGGAAATAAAACCAAGTCGAGAAAGTACTACAAAACTAGAATGCCATTACTTAATGCGCGTGTTGTGTGAAGTCCTGTCCTCGAATCGAATTGCGTACCCTACTTCCTCACCAAGCTTAACACCAAGCTCTTGTGCAACTCGTCTACGGAAGTCAAATGACGACGTATTAGCGAAAAACGCCAAGACAAGACGAGTATTATGCAATTCGATGTTGTGCAGAACTTTATTGAGGGAAACAAGGAACTAGGGTTGAAATTGAATTGTGTAGGGTTTACCTGGCGACGGAGACCGCGGCAACTCGACGGGGCTGAGTGACGGCGATTTTGCCGTAACGGCGGCGGTGAAGCATCTGAGAGAGTTGAGTGCTCTTGCCGGAACCGGTTTCTCCGATGACGACAACAACAGGGTTCCGCTCAACGGTTTCAATGATCTTTTCTTCATATTGGACTATGGGAAGTGTAGCCATTCCCTCGCCAGCAACCAAACCTCCAATCCATGCAAGTACCTTATATTTTATGCGGTTAACTTAAAAAAATAGTAAGTATTCTATAAGTAAAATAATCATAATTATTAATTTTATTAGTAGAGTTAATAGTATATTTTAAAAAAATATAAGTATATTTTAATATCTTAATATAATAAAAAAATATTTAATTTTTTATTAATTTTAATAATAAAGTTAATAATATATTTTAAAAAACATAAATATTTTTTAATATTTTAATATAATATAAAGAGAGTATTTAATATTTTTTAAGTTTAAAAATACTGTAATAAGTACCATTTTATATTTTTATAATAAATTTTTATCATAAAAAAATATTTTTTTATTTATTAATATCTTATATAAATAGTTAACTAAACTCATAGTTAAACTTTTAATATTAAGGTGTCCTGAGTTGATTAAAAATAAAATCAGAATATTTTTTATAAATTTAGAAGAGAATTTAAGTAATAAATTTGGCCAATAATTAGGAATAAAATCATTATCTTCTCGTGTTAAACTTTTACACGATGTTATCACATAAAAAATTATATTTAAATTTCTTTTCATAAATACTCACAAATTTTAAACTAACTGATTAAAACTGTTCGATATAAATACAAATCAAACGGCTGGTAAATATAACTGTCTCTCTCCATCATTCCTAGCTGCCAGGAACCATTTTGAGTTATGTGTCAAGTTGATACAATTTAGGCCTTTATTTTTCTTTTTATACTTTCAGGTTGTTGGAACCAATAGATCTACGCAATCTCTAAAAAGGGTAGGTTACCTGCAGATTTATAGACTCTTATTAGCATCTTCTGTACCCATACCACGCATATGCCACCCACCATTTTATTTACCCAAGTAAGTTTGTAAATTCTTATGATGTTTCTTTCATCATATTTTTCATGTAATGTTGATGTTTTCGTCTTATAATGCGATTTAATTCACTGAATAAACAAAGCAATCGTTTTTTCAAATGTTACATTTCTCATTGCTTATTATCACATTTCTCTGACACTTAATACGCCATGTACTTTTTTCTTTCATGATTCGTTTGATGCACATTTATTGAATTGATTGATCTCTGCACAGCAAGCCCAAAAGTAAATGGGTAGTTTGATAAATAATACAAGGAACATGTTGGTCAGCATAAAAATTAAACATACAATTTTTTTTTTAGAAATTGTCACAAGGCACTCATCTTTCCGAATTTTTCTTTATATTCTAACATAAATTTTAATAAGAAGTTATTATTTATTAATGTCTTAATGAGTTAATTTAGTGGTAATAAAAAGACTAGTTGGTAGATTTGTTGTTGCAAAATCCAACAATATTAGATCTGCTATATTGATGGTGTCCTTCATCTTCTTTGTCTATATGAAAAACCTTTTTTGTATCACTAAATAGGATGTTCAAATAACATAACTGCTTTTATACACATAATGTATTATGTGATTAGGGTTTATTCTTATGATTTTTCAGAAGCCTAAAGCAACCACAAGAATGAGTTCAAGGCATCGTCCATTACATGCATGTGGAGTCTCCATCTTAGCAATTGCTGACAATATCTTTGGAAAAACCCAAGATATCAATGGACCATTAGGTTCAACATTTAGAAAAATGGCAAAGATAGCCAAATTCGCCACTCCTCTAATCTATGCTTTGCAATACCAATTGCTAGCCATTCTCTCATTCATTGACGATCAGATTCTAGCAATTGAAAAAATCACCGAGAAATTGTTCCCCCCATCAAGACACGTGTTCGACAAAGTCGATGAAATTGTACTAATGATTTTGTTCCTGCCAGAAAAATTCAATGGTTTAGTGAACAAATTTCCAACAATAATCCACCAAGTTCCATTTTTGGAATGGGCACTTACCCTTGTTATCTCAAGGTTGAATAGTTTGGTTTCCACGTTGAACCATTGGGGACAAGAAAATTCAAGGGTGAATGAGAAAACAATAGGTGTTGACAGGAATTCTAATGAATCATCATCTGAACGGTACCTTCCCATAAATTCCTCTAATGATGTTAACAGTGAGAATTTGGAAAATTTTCCTCCTATAACATCAGAGGTTGAACATAAAGCGGCTCATGATGTGGCCGTGTCGAGTCACATCAAAGGGTCATACAAAGAAGCATTAGAGAGAGGGAAAGAAGAGAACCCACGTGAGAAAATGGAGAACGAGTGTGAGAGTGAGAAGGAAATGGATGAAGGTGAATGTGAAGGAAGAGAGAAGATTGAAGCTTATGATACTATTATGAAATATCAAGTTGGGGGGAGTGAAAAAATCAAAGATGATCCTCTTTTGGAACTGTTTGAATCTGCATGGCTTATGAAACCTGGTCGTTACTAGCACCAAATTAATGGAGGCAGAGAGAATGTAACTAGAATGTGTCTAACTCTAATTTGTGACATGCAATAGCATTTATTGTCTTCTTCTCCAGTCTGTTCTTCATTTATTTCTTGAAATCATTAAGGGAATTCGTCAGTTAAGTCCATTTTTGTTTTATGAAACGAAGCAATCAAATACATTTCGGGTTGACCGTATGCAAAATTATTCTTTTTGTTCTACTTGTATATAGTGAATTGCTTAAAACTAATTACTAAAGAGGAAAAACCGAATGCTCCATTCACTATAAACCTTTTGTACCACTAATTTGGAACATTTTTAGGCATTTGTTTATATTTAAAATATATTGTTGAAATAGAGATATGATATCTTTATAAAACCATTTACAACAATTCATATTAAATACAAAAAGATAAAATTATATTAACAATTATTTTATTAATTAAAAAATACATATTAAGAGTTGTGAGTTATTTTGTTTATTTAAGTTTTTGTGTAATTTGTTATGAAACGCTTTTTGTAAAAATATTTTTTAAGATGAGTGTATGTAAAATAATAATATATAATATTACATATAATATCCATTTTTGAAAATTCAAATACTAGAATTGGTAGTTGTATTGATCGGGCATTATCAACTTGTTATTGTCCCACCAAATGTGAGGAGATGCTAACTGTTCATGATTTCAGAAACATGAAATTTATGTACATTCTTGTAATTATGATTCTTGCTACTATTGTCATCACTATTAATCCACTGACCCTGTCACCCTTCCACCCATAATAGTTAGCTAGTTAGGATTTCAATGTAATAAAAATTTATTGTGAGAGATTAATGGGTGAATAAAGAAGTGAAAAGTAATTTATCAAAATGAAATTAACATCAAAAATTAAAAATTGATAACCAATTTAAACAAGGTTTAAACATAACAAATTATCATATTAAGAGGAAAACAATCATATTGAATTTAAGCCTACGTCATCATCTATACATAATTTTCTTCAATTCATGTAAATACAAAGATACTCTCTGACACTTAAGTCAAATAGTACTCCAACAAAATAATACCACATCAAATAATGGATACTAATTAATGTAAAGTCTCATGTATAAAAGTTTGAATGCGGACAAGTCACAATTATGTAATCTACGTGAGTCATGATGCCCAACATCTAACTCGTCCAGAATCTCACAAGAGCATGGGTTTGATCTAAGTCAAGTTGGACTTGTCAACCCAGTCTGTGGTGTCGCAACCCAACTGTGTATTTGGGCCTAAACTATATTGAATTCAAAACACTTACTAATTCTTACAAACACTCTACATACACATCTAAGGAAATCCCTGTAGGGAAATAAAATAATCTAAGTAAACAGGGACTTGATTTGTCCGTCCGAAAATGTGAGATCACAAACTGTATTGAATAATTGTATTGACACATAATAGCTAAATTCTGTGGATGAAAATACAGTGAAGGAGTAGGGGAATCCAGCTCTTCTACCAACAAAAGAACTCATGGACTGAACATGTACATGTGCAAGTGCTACACGGAAAAGTCTCCAAAATGTGGCAATAACAGGTCCAACACTCAGTAGGGAAGAAAATCTAGTTGAATTTTGATTGCTTATGGATCCTGGGTTTGACTAATTACGTCAAACCATCATGACCTTCTTCATCATGATGTTCCAGAATATTTAGACACTGCTTCCCAATTCCTTGCTACTTTTACCTTAGTTAAAGCATGCTTGAAATAGCCAACAAACAATTGTTAAAATAATTGATTCGCTGTTCCATACCATTACTTCAACAATCCACATGTAAGATGTTGATAGCGATCTAAAAATCACTAGAAGACACGGCTACAAAAGCTAATTTTGACCATTTGGCAATCATTTTCTCTTCTTTTTATTTTTGGTTTGTGTAACGTATTAAATAGGAATATGACTTGACGTAATAATTTTTGGGAAACAAATAAAGCAGTCAGCTTGTGAAAAACTTAACAGTTTTCTGTACTTCCTTTATCATTTTTTGTCTCCAATGAGAAATTAAATTCGAAATACTTATCCAATCCACAAAAATTTGCAATTTCTGTACTCCGCTTAGATGGACATATCCCATACCCCTCTTCAAAATAGAAAGAAAAATCCTATAGCCGAACTGATAATTGTGTTTTTTTCTTGTTTTTCAAAAAAATAAAAAAGTAATTTTTAACAGGCATCAGTTTTATACCTCAGCCTCTCTGTCCTAATGGTCTTCATTATTTTATATTGGTCAGAAAAATGTCGAAATCAACGTAATTGAGGACAAGAGACCGAGTATAACACGGACCATAAAAGACGCAAGACTTTTTAAAGCTGAAATAGACGTATAAAGCGACATGCGCTAGCTTCTAACAAAATGGACTCTACTAAATACTAGTTAGCCTCTTCAAAAATATAACTAACTAGTAGTCAAGCTAATATTTGAAGGAAATATAGATATGATATATTACAAAGAGGGGAAGCGAAAGAAGAATACAAAATCCATAAATTACAAAGGCCTGTACATCTCTTCTTCGCTTTGAAAACCAAAAATAAGCAGCACCCATGGAAAGAGAGAGTAGAGGAGGATAAAAGCAGGGCCAGGGGAAAAAAAAGATGCTAACAGAGAGATTTACAACCCATGGAACTTAACACTGGTAAACAGAACAGCTTTTGCTTTTCCAGAAAAAGCTAAGAGCTTTCCCAGACTTTCTTCTAGATATTGACTTGCATAGTGGTTTCATTTCTGCAGGGGGCATAGGCAAATCACCAGTTTCAGGAGGGCAGAGATGTGTCTTAACTGGTGAATGGTCTCGTTGCCGCTGCTCTCGGAACAGCATCAAGAGTTTCTGAGCTTTTTCTTTACCTCTTAGAGTTCCATTCACTGACATTGAAACCAATGCAGGTATAACCCCCTCTTGCAGGAGCATATCACTGCATTTCTCACTTCTATTGCACAAAATTAGGAGACAAGAGACAGCTTGCTCCTGCTCTACGAGCTCACCACAGTCCAATATCGAAGCCAATGCACTAATAAGCTCGGGACTTGATACGATTTCCTCCCTTCCTACTTGAGAAGTAGCTAAATTTATCAAAACAACTATGCATTTTTCTGTCAACATGCGGTCACCCTGGCCTACAAGAAGGGATTGTAGGCCATCAATGATGCCAGATGAAAGGAGGTATGGAATATTGGAGGGCACAGTAGAAAGATTATAGAGGGCATGGAGCGAATCTTGCTTGCATTGAACATCAGATTCAGACTGAAGAAGCTGGACTAGGAACTGAACAGCCTGACTCATGCCAATCATAGGCTTGGCTTCTTCAAGGCAAGAGAGATTCAAATATAAAGCAGTTGCACAACCATAACAATTAGTGTTAGAAATCATTTCCTCCAACAGTGATAATACTCCAGCTGATAACATCATTTCCTTATTTCTGTTGAAAAAGAAAAAAGATCAACTTCAAGCTAGTGATGTGATCATAAAACAAATTTCAGACACGTTTATTATTGGAACATATTAAAACAAAGATCCTTCTCTTCCTACTTCACATATGCCTATAAAGAATAAAAGACAAAATACTGAAGAAAATATGTTATCAAGTTGTAGAAACACATTCAACATGGGTGGTGATCAATTTCTACATCCACTTGCACTATGCACATTTTTTTCTTCAGTGCATGTCAAAACCATACACACAAAAAGCAATTTATTTACTATACCAAGTATAAAAGAATTTGCACTAACAATTCTTATGCCTCTTTAGGAAAATGCAAGAGGCCAAACAACAGCAACAAAAACTGCCACACACCAATGATCTTCAACAAACAGCATGACCAAATTTTTGTGATAAAGATGGTTTTTAGAAAAAGACAATGAAGGTATGCTTTATGCTAAAATGTAAGGTCTTATTTTTCAATTTCTGAGAACTGCTTTGACTTTGTAATCATATGAAAAATTTAAAGACTAGAAATATAATGCAGACCTGTTGTTATTCACAGCCAGGTTAAAGAGAGCCATTGCCCCACTTTCCTGAGCCATCAAATTCTCTCCATGCACAGCTGATTGCAAAAACTGCAAAAGTGCTTCAACAAACCCATTAGCCCCCATAAAAATCCTGGCTTCCTCATCATCCCTCAGTAACAGCCTTAACTGTTCTACCACTTCACATTTACTCCTCCAATTGTTCTCCACAGTCAAGACAGTCAGAAAACTAAAATACTGCTCATTGTCTTCTTCATGTCCAGACACACTTTCAGTTCCATTTTCCACAGCTTCCTCTGAGATACCACTCTCTTCTAGGGGAACCACTTTGACACCCTTCAACTTGCAAGAACTTACACTGTTTACAGATCTTGAATTAATAGATCCAGACTCTGATAATACCAATCCCCAGTAATTAAGATCAGGAGATTCAGGAGGGCCTTCAGGAATAGGAACACCATTTTGTTCACACCAACTAGTAACGAGACCCTTAACACAGTAATTAGGAGTCAAAGAAAGATGTGAAAGTTTATGTTGGGTCTTTGGGCAGTTGTTGTGCCCATCACTAAACCATTTCTCTATGCAAACTCTTTCATATGTTTGCCCAGAAGCAATGACAACAGGATCATACATAAGTTGCAATGATATTGGACACCTTAACTCTTCAGGTGGAAGAGGCATCTGGCCTGATTTCCTATTACTATTTGACTTAAATTTGAAGGAACTGAGTTTTGAAAGCTGTCTGTCAAAGGCCTGACAATGACCACCGACACCATCCTCAATATATCCCTGAACAGTGGGAGAACAGGGGGCAGAACCTTGAGAATCATTGTCGTCTGAGAACTCGTTTCTAAACAATTTGGAATATTTTATCATAAGATGTAAAAGATATACAACAATTGATTCCTTCCGTTTGTCTTCCTCAGCCTTAGCCCTTTCTCTGAGTTTCCTTAGAGCTCTTCTTTCAGTAAGAGCTGCTCTTGAAGATGTGATTCCAAGCCTAGTGGCAGCCTGATGAAAAGATTCAAGCTCATTACTGTCATTAGAGTCATTAAACTTTCTCCCCTGCTGGAGCAGTACAATTAAATTATCACCAACTTGCTTCTCTGATGGGTCAAGCATAAATTCCATACTTGCAAATTCGTTCACAATCTCCTGAACCTGAACACGTAATGAGTTAAACCCCAGACCAGTTAAGCTGATAATGGAAGCAAGAAAAGAGCAACATTTGATCGTGTGTTACATACATGGGCAAGTGTTAAAAGAAAACCAAATCCAGAAATTACAAACAAGATGGCATTCATTTATTTTGGAATAACAAAATCAAACACCTAAACAGAGTACTAATCATTCATATGTTCAAAACTGAAATCAGCATGGATGAATAATACCCTCCACATATATAACAGTATCATGAACCTAAAATCCACCCAAAAAAGAAAAAAGAACTACACAGCCAAATTGTTTAAGTTTATTACCTGACACCCAATAGATTGTGGAACAATATCTTCCACCCGTCTAAGACTATCTTCAAGAGCGCATTTAGCCTTCTCAAATTTTAAAAGAACAGAATCCCCAGTTATTGCCTGCAGCATGTTAACGGCATATGTAAGATATTCTACCAAATGTGTATCAGGACAAATAACTTTATCAACCAACAAGAGATAACTGTTAATAGGATAAGCCAACAAGATAAAATAAAAATTGTTTACTGGGAGACACGACCAGCAATTAAAATATAGAAGAAACAAATCCTACCAAGTACAGTTTACTGCACTCTGAGCAGTGCTGAAGAACATTCTTGGCTTTCTCTAAGGCTACGTGCAATGCACATAATGCCTGAATTCCAGATTTACTCCTTGGCCTAGCTGCTTCTAAAGAAGGAAATACTGACAATACTTTGCAATACATTGTAGAAAGATCCTTGTACATTTGTCCGTGTAACTGCATTAGTAACCAGATAGATATTCGTTAGACTACATTACTAATAAATAAAAAAAATGTAACAATTGTACAAAAAAACAGAGCAAAAAGAACGTGAAGCATTTACTCTTTCTCTTTTTCATTTGTCCAGCAATGAAAAACATTTGCCAAAATGGCAGCCATGATAACCATGTAAAATATTTGTTTGCGTGCCTTAAAAGGTGTAGACAGAATCAATTGTTTTTCTTTGTAAGTTGAATACATACAATAGAAAACAAATAATAATAATAATAATAATAATAATAAAGAAATGTGTTTCCATTTCCTACCTAAGTGAATGTAGAACATAAAGAAACTAATATAAAATAAATTTGAGCCTTTAAATAAACCTTGACATGAGGACTGTGCATACTGTAAAAGCAATAGCCAATTCACCACACAAAAAAATATTAGAATTTTGAAAGCAGCATGCAAAATAATTAAAATTCATACTTTGGCATCATTTGCGGCAAATAGATTTTCTTCAACCTCAATCTCGGCAACATCCATCATTCACATTCAACTGTCCGTGTTAACTTAGGTACCAAATGATCTCAACTATTTTAGCTGCAGAATCAAAAAGGTAAAGGAAAGAAAAAAGGTTAGCAGACGAAAAGAAAATTTACAAGCTCAGAGTCGAAACACCATCAGTCTCTACTCTTGCCTTACATCCAGTTTCATTATGCCTATAAAGTATGCAAAGTAAAACACTAGAAGAACCAAATTTAATTGAGCTTTGAAAGAATCAGCAAGAGGAAAACAACAAAATCAATCTTATTTTACTTGCAAATTATGAAATTTCATGATGTCTTTAGCATGATTATTCCATACAAGCAGTGAAAACAAACAAAGAACAGGCACCACGCTAGCAGATCAAGAAAAGGCCAACTAGGCATTAGATTTGCCATGGCCTTAAATTTTTCGCAAAGTAAGAAACAACCCTTTTCTCTCCAACTGAATAGACCACAAGGAAAAAAGGACATACGGTACTTAGTTGCTAAAATTCAAAATGGGCTTTGCAAGCATAGAAAGGTCAATCCAAAACAACAGTGGATACGTGACACTCGAAAAAAAAAGATAAAACCATCGAATAATCCATTCAAAGCAGAACACTGATTTTAAAAAAAATACAGCAATTTCATCACAAAGTTCATGACTTCAACAAAGATCTTCACTCTAACAAGAGCATTGAAAAAAATCCAATTTCCGAAGCCAAGCATAAACTCCGAGACACGGAGATTAACGAGATTAGGGTTTGGAAGCAAAACAACATACCAGCCAAAAAAAAAAAATGGAAATCACGGCCAAGGAGGCTTCATAAAAAAAACGAAACAGTGGTGAAATCGCAGAATCAGGGTTGGGAAGATCTATATGTTTGTTGCAACCAAGTATTGGAGTCGGAATGGGAGAACGAGTGGTGATGAGAGCACTGACTCACGCACGCAAGTTAGAGTGAGAAAGAAAGGGAAGGAATGAGAGGGAATGAGTTGAAGATATGGTTATTCAATTGTTAAGTGGAAATTAGAACTCAAGTGTCAATTTTAGTTATTAATTAATAATAATAATAATAATAACAACGATATTTTTTGGTGGAAATTGGAATGGGTTTGAAGAAGAACAATTATTGTGAATCGGTTTTGAAAGGGAGAAGTTAGAATTTCCGCCGCTTTTATCTCCCCCAGTTCACCGGCCGACAGTTGCCGACCATCTCGTTTGTCGTCTAGTCACACTGTCATAATCCTTTCACAATTACCACTTTCTCCTTCCATCTTCTTTCTTCTCACGTTCTCAATATCAATTCCTTCATTTTTATGCTTTTTCAAATTCAAATTCAAATATACAGGCTTCCCATTATTACTTCTAATTCTAACATTTATTTTTGTATGAGTGTTTTGATTTTATTAGAGGCTCAACTAAGACAAGAAATTGTTAGAAATTATAAAAAATTTTAAATGACATTCTTGTTAAAGATAATTGTTAAGTTATCTTGTAAGTTAAAAAAAAATATTTTATATTTTTTTACGTTAAATAATTGTTATTTTTATTTTTATTTTAATAAATTATAAAATTATTATTTTATTTAAAAATTAAAATATTTTTTAATTTTTAAGAACTACAGTTATCAGTTTAATAAAGTATATAATATTTTTGAAAAATTTATAGATACCGTTGTAAATAACTTTATTAAAAAATAATATTTTAATTCTTTAAGCTTACATGTATTATTATATTAATCCTTTAAAAAATATATACTAAATTGTCTTCGGTAGTTTTAAGTAGTCAAAATATTAAATCAATCTAAAATTTTATTATCAATTCAACTATTACGTAACGACAAAAATATTTGAATGAATAATTTAATAATAAGTTAAATCTTAAAAAAAAATATTAAAGTGAAGACTAAAATAAACTATTTTGAATATCAAAGTTTTTTAAAAAATATTATAGTAATTCATATATCTTTAATGGGTTAAATTGAACTTTTTCTCGACACGATAATGTTAAAAAAATAGTACGTTTGTAAAATATCTCTAAAAAAAAATTATATGGTGTTATAATATTATCTAAACCTAATAATAGCATCTAACGGTAGTTATTCTAAAGAATCCCTTTACTTACTCGAAATAGTAAGAAGACAAAATTATTAATTTTTTAATGTTTAGTGGAAGAAAAACAAAACTATTGAAGATGTCATGAGATTCATAAAAATCATTGGTATTACCATCAATTTGATGTTAGGAAAATATATTTCAACTTTTGAGAGACACATTGATGATTAACAGTATTGACCGACGGTATATTTATTTAATTTCACGCTTAAACCTATCTAAAACCAAATAAGGTGTGGAATTTTTTTAATATATAAAATTTAGCAATTATATATACTAAAATATAATATTTTAAAAATATATAAAAATAATAAAATTATCAATGACTAATTTTAGTGTAAATAACGATAGAATAATAAAAATTTATAAAATTTCAAAATTTATTAATAACGATTTTTAAGAAATTATTGAAAATTATAAAATGTCAAAAATTTGTTGGTAATGATTTTGAAAAAATAATTAAAAATATTAAATAAAAAATACAAGTGACAATTTTTAAAAGAACAAAAAAAGGCTCCGACGATTAATTGCTACTGGTAATTTTAAAACAAATTTTATGTTTTTATATATTTTTTAAATACCATATTTTATTTTTTTTCATTTTTATATAAAAAAAAGTTACAAGGTATTGAGTATACAATTTATTTAATATTTGAAACGATAATTTATATTTTAAATTTAATATGAATATGAATATTACTAAAATAAATTTTTAAAAAATTAATAAATTATATCAAATAGCCTATTAAAATAAATTTAAAAAAATTACACAACAAATAAAAAAACTTATAAAAGTATTTAATTACTTTTATAAAATTTTCTGTACAAATATATTTGACATACTTTTCAAGTAAAATCTTATTTGATCTAAAATAGAGTTTTAAGTTATTAACATTTTACTGTTTTTGCGATGAAAGAAATATATGTTCATACAGATTGACAAAAATATCGTTATAGTTTATAACGCATCAACATTTTAATATTTTATTATAAAAAAACTTTTTTAGTAATTATGCATTCAAACGTAACTTTAATTTAAATCATTCGAACAAAATTTATTTTATTAAAATAGTGTTTGATATAAAAAATTTAAATATAAATTATGATACTGTAAATGTGATATTGATTAAAATTAAATTAATGTTGATTATAATCTAGACAAGCATTTAAAAAACACTTCACTGTAAACAATATATATATATATACTAAATTTTATTATAAATTTATTTTAAATGTAGAAGTTTTAAATATTAACTTATTTTGCTTTAAATTTAATTTCAACCAGAATTAGAGTCCTCAGTCTCAAATCTCAACTGCGTAATTTCTTGTTTGGGGATTCTTTAGAAATTATTTATTTTCGTTCTTAGTTCGCTTTTTATTTTATCTTTTTACCCAAAAAAAAATTATGATGTGATTAGCTAGATAATCATAGGAACAATTGAAAATTTGTCAAAATGAAAAATAAAAAGATAAATATAATTTATCGTTTAAAAAAATAAAAGTGTTGGCATAGTTAACGTTGAGTTAAAGAGAAGTTGATATTCTTATCCCAGACAAATAAGGCATGGATTGGGGGAAATTGGAGCAAAGTAGCAAATATAGAAGTTGACAATGTGTTTGAAATTGAAAGCTTTCCATGCACATGCCTACACTTTGAAGACAATGAAGATGTGACCAAGTCCCAACATTTTTAAATATTGACGCAGATCGGACAATTTCCTCTAAAGTGATTATTATGTGGCGTCAATTAAGTAATTCGAGAGCATACACAAGTCTATGGACAAAGCGTTCAAATTTAAGGGTTTAAAATCTTTAAAATCTAAGTTAAAAATTACTAAATAATAAACTTATTAAAAATTATATTAAAATCATTAAAATTTTAAAATAAAATTATTAGTATATTGTTAATAAAAAAATTTAATTTCATAACCGATGTCTATCATTTTCTTTTAAAAAAATAGTATTAAAGTAATTAAGAGGCAAGAGTGAATGAGTGATAACTAACGTATCTCGATCGTAAGTCAACAAAGCCGTTAATTTCGTTGCCTATCCCTAACTGCATAGACAGAGGAGGCCATTTAGGAATCATATGATGAAAGAATAAATTTCTTTATTTTTTTCAAATATTTACAAGTTTTCTTATTTATCAAATAAGGAATATTAAGTATTTTCTTTATAATTTTAAGATAATAAATACATGCAGATTTTTATTTAATACATATCTTATCAAATAATAATTATAATACATAAACAATTTCATAACAAAGCTGCTCTAATAATACAAATATACAAAACGATTGATTAATCATACAAATAGAGTTTCGTACCAATAAGAAAAATATAGTCTATTTCAATCTTTTTCTTTTCTAGATTAAATTCTATGTATTTTATTTTATTAATTTTTTTAGTTAAATAAGTCCATTTATTTTAAAAAAATTTAAATAATTTTTTTGTTATTTTTTTAAAATTATGAAAATCTCATTTTACTCAAAATATTTACAATTAAATTAATTTTTTTACACAAAATTATTGAAACCCTAATCTAACATCTTAAAAAAACTATTAAAGTTTTATCAATTTTTTTACAGATATTTAATTTATAAACATTTTAAAATAATTTATATCATAAAGCTATCACAAAATTCTTATAATCTCTAGAAACAAAATGAAAATTTTAAACATAAAAAAAATAATAAATATATAAAACTTAGATTCAAAAAATACGCATAGATTAAACTAGAAAGATTACAAATATAATTAAACAAAACTAATTGATAACTCGCGAGAGCTCGTAAAACTCTCTCAAACCTAAAATGAAACAATACTAAGTAAAATCATTTTGGTATGAAAAATATGTATCACTGGTGATGGACGTTCTGAAATTGTTTTAAATAAGTTGTAGAAAAGAAAAGAAACAAATATAATTTACCCCTTTAAAATTTAGGTGATTTGTTCATATATTAGTCTTTAATTTTTCTAAATTTATGTTTAATAAAATATTGATGTCTTTTTAAGTGTATTATTTATTGTCAACTAAGATTTATAAAAAATAGAATACAGTTGCCATTGTGAATAACCAATTAAGGACAAGTGGCAGGGAAAACCAAATTCTAAAACAAATTAATGTGCGCATAATGTATCTAAATAGATGTATATAATGCATCTGTCTCCTACACGTGGAGCACATAGAGGTCTTGCGATAGGTAGAAGCAAAATACAACCATAGTCACTGCGCATTTGTCCTTAATATATGTGCCAAACTATGAAAATGACACTACCTAACAATATCATTATTAATTATTAAAATCATCGTGAATTCAAAGAAGGAACCCACTTCTCCATATGGATAAGCCTCTCCGCAGCATAACCCTTTTTTCGGTCATCTAATATTTTTATTCATTTTTTCACTTTTTTATATATATATTTAAATACTATAATAATATTTCACTTTTTATTTTAAAATTAACATTTCAAATTGACGATTTCACCAATCGAATTTGATGATTTCTTCAACTTTCTTGATTTCCCATAACTTTAAAAAAATTTAAAATTGAATTAATAAATTATATAATTAGTTTTAACTAATTCAATAAATTTGATAATTAATATTCTCTAACCCAATTCCACAACAATCGAAGGTCTAGTTCTAACAAATAAAGGGTTACCATTATTTTGTTCTTTAATTTGCCTAAGAACAGAATATCAAGTTTGGATACATGTATATGTATGGCTTGGTTTTGGCTTAGTTCTTCTTCCAAACGCCGAAAACAACATTATAGCCAACATCATTTGATACTGTGAATAACTAATAGTGATATTCAAATATCACATAATTTAAACATATCATGTGGCTTTATGTTATTTGGTCTTTTTGATTATCCAACAACGATTTAGCATTTAAATTTAAAGACCAGCCCTTAGCTAACCTTGTACACATGCTAGAGTTGATTAAATCTATGACTTGGTCATGGGTCTCAGCTATATATGTTGTAGAAAATCTTACGTTTTTTATGTAGTACCTTGGTCTAGTATCATATGCATTGCAAATTACGGGACAATAAACAGGACATCTCTCAAAATATTGTGAACAAGTTGGAGTACTTTTGTACCCCTTACTGTATTATTTGCTTATTGAATACAAACAATATTATATATAATCAGTTTAAAATCGTAAGACAATCCGCAATGCTCTATCTACGTTTGCTTTCTTTCCATGCCCACCTCTACTTTTTCTCGTAAGGTGGCTTTTATCATTTATGCTTCCTCCACAACTCACCTTAGTATTAAAAAAAAATGAAAAAGAAAGATATTATGTGTCAGTCATCAAGAATAAATTGGTAGAATTTGAATAAATTCATATTCGATCTGTTCTACTTAAAAAGAAAAACTGCTTGAATAATTTTGTAAGTGCTTCGTGCAAAGTTTAAATTGTTTTAAAGGATTAAGGAATGCTTATTTATTATTTGATGGATGTTTAAAAAACTGCGTGAAGAATATTATTTTCATTATTAGAAGAAAATGATTCATATCAGTCTGTAAATTTGATTTTAAGTAATTAAAATCAATAAACATGTATAAAAAACTATTACATTAAAATATAAAAAGAATAATTCTTTTAATAAAACTCACTGCCTTTAAGAAGTTAAAATCCACCTTAAAAACTATGTCCACAAAACTGCCGCTAAAAAGTTGATAAACATTCCCCTTTTGGATGAAAGGTATGAACAACTAGTAAAACTCAGTTGTTATTGTTTTCATTTGACCAAAACCAATAAAAAATAGCAGCATGTCCTACTTTGTAGAATGGAATTAATGATGGGTCATGGAGTGCACATGATTGTCTATTACAAACAGAGGTAGTAGAGACCACGTTCCATGCATGAAAGCTATAACACCATTGGAAAAAAGAATCCAGCTAACTCTTTAGTACACGACCACTGAAACCCATAATGTTAGTAGTTGGTTTACATGCACTACCCCAAAATCCATGCATAATGAATGTTTTCAAGTAAGACCTTTTAACATGTTCAGCATTTCTCGGAGTCCCCCCACGTAAGCCCAACTGGTCTCGTATCAACCCACTCCAGTTATTACGTAATTGGTCAGAATCCGAGATACCCAACCCATGATTTAGAAACCTTCTATCTTATTGTTACTTCAAAGATAACCAGGGAAACGTGGGGTTCTATGCACCAGCAAAATCCAAATATGGACCAAAAACAATTTCATTTAATTAAAGGAGTGTCAAGAATTTTGTTTTTTAAATCACAAACAATCTCTATTTTTATCGATTGATCCACATATTCATGGTAGATAATATACTCCTTTAAATTATTCAACAATGAGAAAACAATTTGGTCCAATTAAGTCGGTTTAACTAGCTAAAATATAAGATTTCAATACTGAATTTTAATTAGTAACCACCCTTATCTATCTAATTATATATAATGTGTTTTTGGATCAAGTTAGGACTTTTTTTTAGTTTGAATATTTTTTTTTTAACTCGGCTTAATGAGACTTGAAGTCAGTACTGAGTCAGGTGATTTGTTTTATGACCTCTAAAATTATTATCTTTATCCTCCAATAAATGAAAGTAACCTCAGTTAGTTCAAGTATTTAAATAAATTTTATCTATAAAATATTTTTACAGTAATGTAAAAAAATATGAATGTGAAAATATATTTACATAAATTTTATTTATACATTTTTTCACAGTAATGTAAGAAAAACGTGAATGTGAAAATATATTAAGATTGAAAGTGTAGAAAATGTAAACATGCATTAATTGGTTTTGTTGGGTTTTGAGATGTACCCACAAATCAGAAGTTTCGGAACAAGGCCAGTGCATGGCCCATTTCTCTTCGAACTGCCAGGTTAAGGCCCACTGACACATTTCGTCTCTTCTTAGTCCATAGATACCTGAAATTCAAGCAAGCTCACTTTCTTTGGATTTGTAATGCATGTAAATTGAAATATATATTTTTTAAGCTATTCGACACTTGCATGCCAATGTCACTGCAATGAAATTTGTGGAATTATATTTATATATGACTTGTAATGTATGTCATAGAGTATGAGCGTGCAAAGCCTAAGCTTGAGGTTGAGGTGCAACAGGGAGTAGTGAGGAAGAGCTTAGTTCGATGATTTTCAGATTATTATTATTATTATTGTAAAAATTTTCAAATTTTATCAGTTTCACTAGTTTTCTTACTTCTAAATTTTTTTTATAAATATTTCATATTATAATTCCTTTATAAAAGTCTGTATACAGCTCAAGCTGCTTTCTTAATGCAAAAAGACAACTTTGAAAAAATTATTACTTTATGAATTTTAAATAAATATAGACATAATAAAATTACACGTACTAAAAAAATATTAAAACATCGTTTCATTCTTAAATTAGTGACTATTCTATTATATAAAAAGTGGATTAACAAGTTTAATAATTATTTGGTTAAAAGTAACACGAAATGCACTTGCATGCATCTTTTCAACCACACGGAAGGCCAAGTCGTATTGAATTTGTGTACCCTTTTAACGATGTGAAATATCAAAATGTTTGCTTATTTTAATTTTTAAAGCCTTTTCACTATGGCAACTTGAGAAAAATAGAGAAAAAAGTTTTTATTTTTTTAAATATATGTCCATATTTATTGTTAAAAATATTAAACATGTCTCATCATATTTTTAAATTATTTTAAAAATAACATTGAATGAATTTTGAGAGATAATACGATTAGTTGAGTTACGACAAAAACTTTTTGTTGCTTATTATCTGCTATTTATTTTTATATACGGAATTTATTGTTTGTTAGTTCCAAGCCAGAGATAGTTTCTTATTTTATCGGGTGTTAAAAAATCCATAAAATGTACACGAAAATTATCACAAAACATGATCAAGCATGATTGTTATTTTTTCTATCTTATTCATTTCTAATAAAAAATTTAGAAATAATTTGCTTGAATCCTTGGTGGTTAATTTGAAATGAAAGGGACGAAGATTGATGGAGATATAATATAATGAGTGATTAGTGTTCTCCAAAATTATCCGAAAATGGATTGGCACAGAGAGAGAAGGGATCTGAAAGTGGTGGTGGCTGCCGTCGTCTTTCTCCATCTCGTCTCCAATTCCGCCGCAGAATACGAGCTTCCTCGCGTTGTGACGCCGTTTCCTGCCCCGAAGATTATGGACCTTCCTCAGGTCAATTTTCAACTTTTTATTTTTATTTTGCGCAAGATACGAGAAAAAATTAATAATTTAAAAATGAAAAAAAGGAGAAAATTTTATATAATTTTTGAAATTGTTAATAAATTTTAATTAATAATAAAAAAAGTGTTAGAAAATGTATTATTAAAATTAGTCTTTTATTTTTTTTAATTTTGGAAATTGGATGATTTTGAGAATGAGTGGGTGTTGGGGGCAGTTCGAAGGTGGTCACAAGGAGAGGCTGTATTGGGGAACTTATCGCCCTCAGCTCTATCTGGGAATTCGCGCCAGGTACCAATTATAAAATCATCTTACTCCATAACATCGTAATTCATCTTCTCTTTTCACAGGAAATTAATTATTTATGGCTTTTTTTATTAGTAAAATTTCATTAATAAAATATTCATTATTTTCTTATAAATTTAATATAATAAATATGTATTTTTTTATGATAAATTCTTAAATTTAACTCTAAAAACTGAAAATTAACAATAATTTCTATTTTTTGTTAAATTTAATAAAAATAATTGTATATCATAAAAATTATAGTGTATTTTAAAATATTTATAACAATAAATGATTGACAATTTATACATTAAATGAATCAATATATTTGTTTATAAAGATAACATGTGAATGCATTTTTAGCATAAATATTATAATAAATAAAAACATAAAAATTAATAATCAATGTATTGAAATGATTTTTTATTTCTCATAAAAAATAATTATATTTATTTTTTAATTAAAAAGACAGGAAGGAATACTGTTTAAGTCCAAGAAAAAATATCTAACAAAATTACTGTTTATGGTTTAAAAAAGTTTGAAAATTATTTTATAGTTGATCTTAAATATAAAGTAATTAATTTTTTGAGATAAAATAAAAAATTAAATGTTTTCTAAGAATTGTATGTTATTTTTTAAATTTTAATTTTGAAAATTTTATTTATAATAAAATATTCTGTTGGAAAAATATTTTAACATTAAATTTGTTCTGAAAAATAATCATATTCAAACATATACTTATTTTATTTGCAGCGAAATGACAACGTAACTATTTTGGTGCTTCAAGCTGCAAGCAGACTTGAATTTTTTTATAATTATGTAACATGTAAAACGAGAAAGTAAGAATATATTGAATTTAAAACGAATTACGTTTAGATAAATTATGTGATACTCTTGAAAATTTTTAGTATACCATACATGAAAAATTTTAATTAGTAATATTTAGATATGTGTTTAAATAATAAATTTATTTAATAATAAATTATTATATTTACATTAAAACTAAACAAATTATAATTTAAAAATGAAATAATAATATTTTATTAATATATTATGTTATAAATTTTTTATTTATAATAAATAAAAATTATTTAAATATGAATTATATTTTATTCAAAACTAAAAAATTATAAAAAATATAAAAAATAAAATATAATAATAATAATAATAATAATAATAATAATAATAATAATAATAATAATAATAATAATAAGATTATGTAGTAAATAATATAAATTTAAAGTGACTATTTTTTATTAGTATAAATTTTTTGAGTACGTTATTCATATAAAAATTTCAGAGTACCATAAAACACACCTTAAGTTTATTTAACATTTTAATTTAACTCAAAGATAAATGTATTATTATTATTATTATTATTTTATTTTAAACACCATCAATTAGAGGAATTGTATTCTAAACATGTTTGGATATGATTAATTTTGGATAAGCTTTTTTTAAGGTTGAAAACCTTTTTCCTAAAAATATATATATATGTTTGGCAAATTATCAAAATGATATATATTTTTTCTTCAATCACATGCAAAAAATTTAGAATTTATAATTAAAAGTTATTATATTATTTTTTAGATAAATTTTGGGTTTATTTATTTTATAAAATATTGTCTATTTTATTTCTTATTTATTATATAAACCTTTGAAAATTGAAAAAATGTAAATAAAATGACATATTTGTACCTAAAAGTGAAACAAAAAATTAGATAAAAATATTTTCTAAAACCGATTAAACTCTTTATTTTTCTATTTTATTCTCAATAAATAATTGTTTAAGATATAAAATCAGCTTCTACAAATAACTTTTTTTAATCTTTCTATAAAATTAAATAATTCAAATGAAAATAAATTATTATTGTATCTAAATATCAAATTAATTTCATAATTAATTATAACAGTAATCATTATGTAATTTTTGTTTCATAACCACAAATTGTAGTGTTGATGATGATGCCCAATTGAATTTTTTTTTGTTTTTGTTTTTCAGTTGTATAGAATTTGACTGATTTATGCCTGCAAATTGTGCATCATACACTAGAAATGGTTAACAACATTTGACTCAGCAAGCAAGCATTATCACATTTTGTTTGTTTGTTTTATAATTTTGGGGCGGGTGGTGTTTGGATTTCAGGACTCCAAAGTCTTTAATTGCTGGAGTAATGTGGATTGATGTAAAGGACGGCAGATATCACTTACGTCATGTTTGCAGAGAAGAGGATGGCCTAAGTACTTATGGTTGGACAAAGCACAATGGACGTGATTTTGGACATCAAGTACTGATTGACTATGGCATGACCTTAACTACTGAGTTTTTAAAGTCAATAGAGGAAGGCAGTGGTTATGGAGGGGATTGGGTTGTTCGAATTAATGCACAAATTGATAAGTAAGTGATGTTATCAACTTCAAATCACTTTCATATAAGTATTGGGGCAGAGTAATTTTGTTTGTAGTTTTTTCTCATTGCATTGTAGATGCTAGTTGGTCTGTTGAAGTTAGAGATGCACTCATGGCACTGGTTAATTTTAAGTAACTTATAGCTTTTGGTTTGACTTATTTGCTGAATTAATGATAACATTCAACCTGATAACATTCATTGTAATATTTCTGCTTAAATTTCTAGTTTCCTTATATGAGTCTGTGCATCATAGTGTTGTTCTATTTAGTAACTTTTATTGAGTGCCTTTGTTCTTGTGGTCCAACCTCAGGTCCAAGTGGAATGAGGATTTTGGGAGAGGTGCCCAGCTTTTTTTCTATTTGGCTGATGAAGGTGGTAATGTTCTAAATTTAAGTAGAGAAAAACTGAACATTCATGAGGATTCTTTGCTTGCATCTGGCTCTCGAGCAGACATTGGAGATTGGCAGCTACATTTAAAATCTAAGGTAATGCTAGGATTATGTTACTTGTACTACATTTTTTGGTGTTTATGGGTAACTAGTCTAACTACACTTCCTTGAATTAGAGTCCAGACCACAATTCCTGTTTCGTTTTTCGAAACAATTCAATAATATGATAAACCTATGACTACGAATCTCCAAATTTTAAAGTATAACACGTCCTTATTTAGTATTTTAACTACCGAGTTCAAAATTTCCAGACCTTTTTCCTTTGACCTTTGATTAGCTCATAAACCTTTTCCTCTCCTTCCCTAATGTTAACAATCTATAACCTTATGCTTGATAGTAACCCGTTATTCACTTTCCGATTGCTTTTTGTTTAGGATGATTTGGAGCTGCATTATTCTGGATTTCATACACCACACTTTCACAATTTATCTGATCTTGTTGAAGAAAATCTTGCATCACAAGTATGTTTGGGTATTTCAATTCAATTTATATGGTCATATAATTTTTCATGTGCTGCAAGATTATGTGGTTATGGAGATTACTTACTTATTCATTTATTTTGGGTTTTGCCTTGACATCACTTCTTATGTGCATGTCTTAGTAGATAAAAAAGCATGCCCAACTGCAACTGTCCGATTCATCAGATGATTCTCCAAATGTGTTAGTTTTTCAGGTAATAGAGCATATACACTTTTGTAAGACTCTATTGGGAACTTTATCAAATAAGAAAAGTCGATATACAAAAAATGACAATATCTTTATCGGTGAATTCTTCTTTGGAATAATGGTTTCTATTAGAAGATAGAATCTGAATGGATGATTACAGATATCTAGGACTTTGAGAATCTAGTCTTTGTCTCTCCTCAACTCTCTTCTCTTACACTTTCTCAAGAACAAACTCCCTTTCCTTCCTACATTCTATTTAAACCAATATAACTCCCCAACTAATAACTAAATCTCCTTTATACAATGTTTCATTAACAGAGGGAGGCCCGCAAGAATTGGACCTAACACTATTTCTCCTATGATGTACCTTAATGGGAGGTCTAAGACTTGTTTAACAATTTTAATGTTTAATTTGAGTTCTCTCTCTCTCTCTCTCTTTATCTCTATCTTTCTAAGAACACATTAGGTGAGAACATGAAAAAGTTAATCTAGACAACTATTCATGGATGATATAGATTAGTTCCTCTAATGCTCTCACTTTGGTGAGGGTTCACTTACTCTGTTTAATTATTTTTTATGGATATTGAATTTCATTAATCTAATTGTTGGATTGAAAACTCTCATTAGGTAGATCAAGTAAACAAAATTTCATATAATTTAAAAACTACTTCGTACTGCCTGTATGCTTGGATTTGCATAAAATTTCACTACACAAACATATAACAAGACTTTCGAGCGTTAAAAATAGGCATATATTAAGATTTTGGATGTCGGACCAAACATGCACTACATCAATCAAGTTCATTTTAACTTATATCACATTTTTTAAAATATAATTAAATGTCAGCTATAAGATTACATATTTATGAATGTCTAATTTATTTAAAATTTGTTAGTATGATCACTAAAATAATATCTTCCATGCCATCTCTTTAACTACTCTTGAAAGCATCTTTTCTTATGGTTCTGCTATCATATGTGCTCATTTTTTATTCATGCTGCAGATTATTGGTGGATTTTCATCCATATTAGATACTATATTTATCTCTGGAACTGGTTCAGAAAGTTCAAGAGTGGAAGAGCGTGTTAGTAGGCTTACAGGTTTTTTTTTCCACTTCTTTATAGTGTTTGTACAAAATATGCATGTATATTTATCTGTACTTCCTTGCAGGAGTTGGTCATTGCTTTTCATTTGATGGGCGTTATAGGAGCATACACTATTGTGTGCCTAATTTATGTTAATAAATGTCATGACTGAAATTTGGATGATATGTCTACTTTACATTCAAATTCATTTCTCTGGCTTTTGATTGGTCAAGTCTTGAATTAGGCAGTCATAACTTTGTGCCAGGAGCTATTAGGCAGTTGTTTTAATTTTAACTTCGCATTAGGTGGTTATATGTGACGGTGAGTGTGTGATAGCTGTAGTGCGATATAGGTTGTGTGACAGACTTGTAGAAGGTAATTAAGGTGCTAGTTTGTTATTTTTGGTGCTTTGGAGGAGGAAATTCCTTGTTAAGGGGAAACCCATTTTGATGTTTCATGTTTGTACTCAAATTTAGCCTAAAAACCAGATAACTTCTATAATTAATTTAGAATTCAATGTGTTTATTTCTTTAGTTCAACAACTTTTGGTTTATCTCTTAGGATTATTTTGCATTAAATATTACATATTTTAAAAAGAACAAGGCTACTCTTTACTGAATTTAAAGAATATTTTATTCTAACTGACATTAACTTGCTAATGCGAAGTCTGTGTGTAACTGTGTTCTTCTGCTGGATGCCAGGAACCTCACTGTCCAATCAACTGAAATGTAAAGAACAAGCATTTGATGAGAAGTTTGAGAAAATTTTCAATTTGGCTGAGAAGGTACTAAGTTCTTTTTTACTCTCTCAAATTCAATGAGTTATTCTTCTTGTTTGGTCTTTTGATGTGTCAAGTTTCATTTGATTGAGTAAATTCGGTTAGAAGCTTATCCTCAATAGAAATAAATTCTTTATCATAGTAGTGGATTTTCAGGTGAATTCAGAATCCATACCTGTTGGTAAGGCTGCTGTCGGAAACTTATTAGGTGGCATCGGCTACTTCTATGGTCAGTCAAAAATTGCTCTTTCAAGAATCCTTAATGTAAGTTACTTTAGTTTATTATTTATAGTTCTTATTGAGGAGTCTGCGTATGCCATTCCTCAACAGCATATAACATGACAAATGATTCTCATAAATATGAACATAATTTTTCATGTTTTTATTTTCTTCTTGTAAAGAAGAAATTTAGAGATGAGAAAAAATTGAAAAAAATTGAAAGAGTAGAGGATTGCTAACCAACAAGGAGGATTCTGGCTAAACCAGTTGCTTGGTCTGTATTAATTTTCAGCAGTTTGCCTTATTCCTCATAAACTTCTCATCCTAACAGTGTTGCTTTGCTCATTAATTCCTGTCAGTGACTTCTATTTTCCGTTTTACACATTCATATTGTCATTTTTGTACTTTTGATTAGCCACCAGAAGTTTAGAACTCGGACAGATACACAGTGGGTTGTTTTCCTTTGCAGCTTAGAGAACATGTTAATTATTTATCATATTGGCCTGCTGAGCTTTACATAGCTGTACCCTGTCGATCTTCCTTTCCAAGAGGATTTTTATGGGATGAAGGTTTTCATCAACTTATAATCTGGTTAGTTTCTTGTGCTAATAATATCCTTCATGACCATCATCACTACCATTGTTATTATTATTTGTCTTGTTTGAAATTCTGTTTAAGTGTAGAAAAATGTTATATTTTCTCGACTGCACAAGACTTACTGGTAGTATTTAACAAGCAAATAGTCTGTGATCTGTAAATACGCTTTATATTCACTTGTGCACATTTACCAGGCGTTGGGATATACATATTTCTTTGGATATCATTGGACACTGGTTAGATTTGATGAATGTTGATGGATGGATACCACGTGAACAAATTCTTGGGGCTGAAGCACTGAGGTGTAGTACAGAGCATTTTGATGTAGTGATTGCAGTAAATTTAAAGTGATTAGCCTTCCTATTGACATAGATTCTTCTGTACCTGCAGTAGGGTCCCAGAGGAATATGTTCCTCAGCATCCAACGAATGGAAATCCTCCGACTCTGTTTTTAGCCTTAAGTGGTATATGTTAACGTTCCTTTTCTATTTCCCTCCCTTTTTATATTATCTTTTCTATATATAGTTTTATTAATCATTATTTCAAAAAGAAGGCTACAAATATGTTTCCATTACTGAGTTAAAGCTAGCAATGACTTAAGGCTTCGTTGCATGTGTTAATTTTTCCCTATAGGGAAGATAGGTAGCAACTTCTTGCCTGTGTTATTTGTTCTCTTCTTGATAACGTATCTTTGTAACTCTCTTTTCACATTCTTGATTTAACTTTGGAATTATGTATAATTGATCTGTATTTGCTTCAGATATTTCTGAGCAATAAATTTATGAACAGTTTGACTAGTTATATGAAGTACATTATAGCTATAAATACCACTTTAGATCAGGAGCATGGATAACATTGGTAATGTTGAATACTTGCTGAAATATATTGGTGCTGCTGGAAACTTCTATATATGCTTTATAACAGATACGAAGTTTCTATAAAAGTACTGCTACATTAAAAATCTATTTTTGTAGATATAATTAATGGTTTGAAGAATAATGACTTTACTGCAATGGATAAAACCGAGATCTCTCTATTCCTGGAGCGTGCTTTTATTCGATTAGAAGCATGGTTCCAGTGGTTCAATACAACTCAGTCAGGTATATGCTATAATGCACTTGTGCTCTGATTGAGCGCTGGAAATTGATTTTTTCTTTCTGACCCCTTTTTATCATTATTATTATTATTATTATTATTATTATTATCAGGGAAACAGATGAGCAGCTACTATTGGCATGGACGGGACAATAGGACAATACTTGAGTTAAATCCCAAGGTTCTAATATGCATTCATATTTACTTTTCATTTCTTTCGGTAATTGTCTATAATTTTAATCTGAACTATATAGATATCTCAGCAGATTAACTTGACCATACCAACCATTGGCATGCTTCAAACAGAAGCTAATGGTAAGGCAACCACAGATGGGATTTATTGAAAGATTGCTATTACAACAGGCCAAAACCTGCATATGCATAGAGCTGCAAACACAGTTGTTCTAGATTTCTTGTCACTTTCTGTCTTTTACGCTCTAGGTAGTCAATTTATTTGGTGGTACTAACTGGATAAACAGGACTTATTTTTTCCAGAACATTGAGCCTATTGGATGGCTTTCTCTCTTGTTACTAAAACCAGGAAGTCATATAAACACAGGCACCAGATGAGCTTGAAACCTGAATTTTCACTTGCAATTATTTTGTTCTTTGAGCTATTACATTATGTTGTTCACTTGTAATTATGTTGTCCTTAATGAAGACAATTGTTCCAGAAATACATTATTTCTGACATTTTTTTCAGACACTGTCCTCTGGTTTGGATGATTATCCGCGTGCTTCACACCCTAGTGCAGATGAACGCCACTTGGACCTTAGATGTTGGATGTTACTGGCAGCAGATGCTATGCATTCCATTGAAGAATTGTTGGATAAGGAAACCAAACCTGGCAAGGTATAAATTTTAAAAATAAATTCAACAGTAATATAGCAATGCATTGTAAATTTTTGAGGTAAAAATAGGCAGCAGAAAGTTAAATCACCTAATTTAATTGACATATTGAACGAAATGATGCAGAATTATGGTTCTATTGCTAAATTGCTATCAGATGTTGAGTTATTGAACCAGGTACCCCCGCTCCCCCTCCTCTCCCTCTTCCTTTCTTCAGAGTTTTTGCACTTCTTTGCTCTGGGTGATGCTGCATTGTATTTGTACAGGAGTAAAAGGAAGTGAAGATATAGGAGAGAGAAATAAAAGGGAGGAAGAAAAGAAAGAGGAAAGAAAACAGTGCATACAGCTATAAAGTTAGTAGAATTAAAAATAACATGGAAAACAAATTACTATTTTGTGGGGAAGTTTTTTTTTTCTTTATTTAGGAGACCATTTAGTTATTTATTTTTTTATTTTTCCTGAAAAATGGAGGATCAAGTGTTCCAATTTGGCAAACAAGTTTTTTCCTTTTCTCTGTATATAATGAAAATGAGTCTCATCTGGGGGAACCTTGGGTTCTCGTCTAACCCTTCTTCGAACTCATTAGTATGAAATTATTGAGTAATGTGAACTTCTTAAGAACCCCTGCATATACATGTATGAAACGTTCCATTATGAACCCATTGCATGTACATGGAATATTTTTTGCATGGTCTCTCTTGGCAATTTAAGTTTCCAACCGTGATTCCTGAATATACTGTGGATAATTGATATAGTTTAATATAGAGAAAATAATCTGATTTTTTTTTTATTTTCCAATGGTTTTTAAATTGAAAGCAAAGTATGTAGTTGACTTGCATCAAATGTTTACTTGGTGACACTCGAGGAGAGTCAATTAGTTACCATAATTATGTCCATGCCTAATTTGTGCTTATGTCCATACAGATGCATTTTGATGATGTAAACGGTGCTTACTTTGATTTTGGAAATCATACAGAAAAGGTATATTGTCTAGTTATTTATGTTTGGTATTAATATGCATACTGTTGCAAGATTAACAATGCATGGGTTCCCTATTCATGAGAATCATGCCTGAGAATGAGATTTTCTTTACGTGCTTAACCATGCCAGGTTCAACTTAAATGGAAAGAAATGGAGGTAGGAGCCAATCACACTGTTCACCAGCTTGTCCGGGATGTTTTGGAGAAGCCTGTATTGAGATTGGTTCCTCACATTGGTTATGTTAGTTTATTCCCGTTCATGGAGAGGATCATTCCATCTGTAAGTAACTCATGTATTCTCAATATCATGATTTTCTTATGCTAAGTTGAATGATTTCACGATTAGAATCATATTTTAATGTGACTGTCTCTTTCAGGGATCATGGATTCTGGAAAAGCAACTTCAACTTATTTCAAACCACAACCTCTTTTGGACTGACTATGGGCTACGTTCTCTTGCCAAAACAAGGTCTACACTATAACCTACCTCTAATCCACTTTTAATATATTTAATTCGGGTTACTGTACTCAGCATATGCTGATTATAGTGAACCAAAATTAATTATTTTTCCACAGCACCTTGTACATGAAATTCAACACAGAACATGACGCTCCATATTGGAGAGGTACAATTTGGATAAACATGAATTATAGAATTCTTGCAGCTCTCCACCATTACTCTATAGGTAATATGAACATGCCTAGGCAAAATATTTGCAAATATTCTGCTTTATTTATACCTTACTGAAACTAATATTTGGGTTCAATGTTGTAGAGAACGGACCATATCAGGACAGAGCTAAAGCCATCTACAAAGAATTGAGAAACAATTTAATTAGGTATTGTATGACTTTGTTTGGTAATTTTGTAATCTTGTTTTAAGATTATCGCTTTTAAATAATATTTTCCATCTTATTGTAGAAATATAGTACGCAATTATCAAAAGACTGGATTTTTGTGGGAACAGTACGATCAGATTAACGGAAATGGAAAAGGGGCACATCCATTTAATGGGTGGACATCGCTTATAGTATTAATCATGGCGGAAGCATATGATGTAATTTAGAATAATTACATTACCCAAGCACTTCAGTGGAGTATTCAAATCATGAAACCAGCAATATCATCACAGGATGGCCATTTAATTTCTCATGAAGCTATCATACTGCAACATAGTATAGTAACCGCCACCAGGCACCAAATGTCCCTTAAATTGTTCAAAAATAATTTTTAAGGAATTTTCCTCCTCGATAATAAGTATTTTAAGTGGGAAAATATTAATATCAATTATAAGAGCCATCAGCAATTAAAAGTAATAAATTTTTATTGAAAGTATAAAAATTTAATAAATGTTATAATTTTTAATAAAAAATTATTATTTATAGATATTTAAATTCAGCTCTAAGAACTGGGGTTAATTATATTGTTTTAAATTTTAATTATTTTGGAGATATAAAAATAATTTATCCCTCCAATTTTTTTTTACTATTGTATGAGTTTAGTAATTAAATATTTATCAAATATGAGAAATTTTTGTAATGCTTAAAAAACAGATTCTTGGGTAATGTATTTTTTTTTAAAAAAAAGGTGTGTAAATTTTTTAAATAAAGGAAGATTTGTGTAGGTTTTCAAATAGAAATTATTATTTTTTTTGTTTCAAAAAAGTGCAAAATAAAAGAGAGATTGAGGTAATTTACTAAAATAGTTGAAGTCATGTAATATCAAGTATGAGAGATAAATAAAATAAAAGCGAAATTCAAATTAATAAGTACAATGAGACTCCATGTAGCTTCCTTAAATGGACAACAAAATAGGAAGAATAAATACAAGAACTCGTATTATCACATATACATTATTCTAACAAATGAATTTATTAAAAACAATGTATTATACTTTTATATTTTTAATATAATTTTTTAAAATTAAATTATACTATTTTTAGATGCTTAAACTAAATTTTAAAGACTAAAATTAATAAAATTATTAATTTTTTAACTGAAAAAGCGTATTCATTTATATATTTATTTATCGAAAGAATGGCTCTTGCAAAAATTATGGAAGTTCCATTGTTTTCACTCATTTAATCTTGATATTCTCCATTCATCTTTGATGATGTCACATAATTTATAAAAAAAAATTAGATGCTAATATTATGGAGCCTTATTTTGAGCTTGCCGTTTTTTCTTTTTCTGTAAGATTTTTTTTTCGGGTTGAAGCTGGAAGCGGACCGAATTTGGGCCTCTGGGCAGTGACACTAAATTAATTCAGCCCAACGATAATTAGTATGGTGATGTCCGTGACTAGTGATGTCACGTGTCTCCTTCCTTGATGTTCTTCCTCGCTAATACGTTACACTGCAAGCAAAACCCCCTACTCTACTACGCAAACACTAATTTTAAAACCCTATGCGGTGCCGTGAATCTATGATCAGCAAAAAATGACCGGAAGTGGAAGAAGAACTGCTCGGAGCAGAATCAGATCCTCCTCCGATGCCGACGACGATTCTCTTCGAGAAAAGAAGCCTAGACTTAATCGCCACAGAGAAAGAAGCAAATACGGAAGCTCCATTCCCATATTTAACAACGCCAATCTCAAAATGGTCCTCGTTATCTGCTTCTTCGCATTCGTCGTCATTTTGTTTACGGTCCATCACCTCCTCAACTCCACCAAAGAATCGCAGCTTCCTCGCGTTGTCACGCCGTTTCCCGCGCCAAAGATAATGGACCTTCCTCAGGTCAACTTTCAAGTTTTCCTCCATTTTTTTGACTTTTTTTTTTTTTCATAATTCGATATATTTTTTTTTGGCGTACTTGAAGTGAAGACTGAGTCTGGGTTGTGGCAGTTTCAAGGTGAGCACAAGGAGAGCTTGTATTGGGGAACTTATCGTCCGCATGTCTATCTCGGAATTCGTGCCAGGTTTGATTCTACCGTCTTTGAAACAGAGTTGATATATATAGGCGTGAGGTATATTTTTTATTTATCTATTGATATACATAACCATGAGGTGTCTATACACTCTTTGCTTTATTTTGTTTGTGCTGAAAATGGAACTGGAGACTATTTTTGTGGTTAAGGCTTATAATCTGAATATATTTCGAGTTGTATACGATTGGACTTATTTGTGCCTGACAATTGTGCGCAACACAAAACATGCAGTGCGCCAAATCTGGCTTAGATTGTGTTTAGGATATCAATGTCAAATTTGTCAACAACATTTGACTCTGTAAGCAATAACATTTTAACTATTCGTGTGTGTTTTGGGGGGTTATTATGTCAGGACTCCAAAATCTTTGATTGCTGGATTAATGTGGATTGGCGTGAAGGATGGCAGATATCACTTGCGCCATGTTTGCAGACATGAGGACGACCTGAGTACTTATGGTTGGACAAAGCACAATGGACGTGATTTTGGACATCAAGTACTGATTGACCATGGCATGACCTTGACTACTGGGTTTTTAAAATCAAAAGAGGAAGGCAGTGGTTATGGAGGGGATTGGGCAGTTCAAATTAATGTGCAAATCGATAAGTAAGTGATGTTGTTATCAACTTCAAATCACTTTCATATCATTATTGGGGGCAGAACAATTTTGTTTGTAGTTTTTCCTTATTGCAAAGCAGATGCTGTCTGCTGGTCTGTTGAAGTTTGAGATGCACTTATGGCACCCTTGCTACTTTTGAGTCACTTATAGCTTTGGTTTGACTTATTTCCCGAGTTAATGATAAGATATAACCTAATAACAGTCTCTGCATCTCTTAATATTTCTCTATTTAGTGACTTTTAAGTATTGGATGTCTTTTTTCTTGTGGTCCAACCTCAGGTCCAAATGGAATGAGGAATTTGGGAGAGGTGCCCAGCTCTTTTTCTATTTGGCTGATGAAGGTGATTATGCTCTAGATGTAAGTAGAGAAAATTTGAATGTTCATGAAGATTCTTTGCTTGCATCTGGCTCTCGAGCAGACATTGGTGATTGGCAACTACATTTAAAATCAACGGTAATGCTGGGAATTGGTGTTATGGTTCAATATTCAGGTTTTTGTTACATACATTTCCTTATAGAAGCACCCACAATACCTGTTTCCTTTTCTTGAAACAATTTAAGAATATGGTAAACTGATGAAACTCCACATTTTAAAGCAAACATGTAATGTGTCTGGCATCATTTCTTTTGACCTTTAATTAACCCATTGACATCATTTCCTCTCTTACCCTGATGTAATGATTGTCACCTCTTGATTATTTGTAATCTTATGCCTGGCAGTATCCTGTTATTCACTTTCCTATTTTTTTCCGTTCCAGGATGATTTAGAGCTACATTATTCTGGATTTCACACCCCTCACTTTCACAATTTGTCTGATCTTGTTGAGGAAAATCTTGCATCACAGGTAAGTTAGGCTATTTTAATTCAATTTATCTGATGATTTAATTTTCATATAATGAAACAGTATTCCCCCCCCCCCTTTTTTGGGTTTTGCCTGGATACTTTCCTAATATATATGTGTTAGTAGATAAGAAAGCATGCTCGATTGCAGCTATCAGACTCATCAGATGATTATCCAAATGTGTTAGTTTTTCAGGTAAATAAAACATGTACACTTTCTAATAGTGTCTAATTTATGTTCTTCTCTCTCTATGTGTGTGTGTCTGGGTGAGGCTTGGTAAGGTTGCTGCCTAGTGATCAGGAGATCACAGATTCAAATCACAAAAACAGCCTTTCTTCTTGCAGGGAGCCCTGTGCACTTAGTCACCCTTTTTCATATAGATGTATAGGAAGTGCATTAGGTGACAACATGCTATCATGAGAGGAGTTAATCTTGACCATACATACAACTATTTTTGGATGATTAATATAAATCAACCACATGTAATTGTATGGTCAATATTAACTCTTCTCACTTTTCATGCTCTCACTAGATACATCCCTTATATATATATATGAAATTATCTCCAACTACTCTTGAATGCATCTTTCCTTATGGTTCTTCATATTAATTCATGCTGCAGATTATTGGTGGATTTCCTTTCACAACAGATATTGCACTAATCTCTGGAACTAATTTATATAGTTCAAGAGTAGAAGAGCGTGTCAGTAGTCTTACAGGTTTTCCCTCCTTTACATTATTTGTACAAAATCTGGCATATATATTTGTGTGCTTTCATGAAAAAGGAGAAGAAATTATTGTTCTTTAGTTTGTTGTAGGAATTGATCACTGCTCCGAAAACTTGCCTGCTTCTCCTGTTGAACATTGTTGAGGCTTATAGAATTGTGTGGTTAATTTGTATCAATTAACGTAATGGCTGAAATTTGGAAGACACGTCGGTGTTAGCCTTCAAATTCATTTTTAAGGCTTTTGGTTGTCTCTTAGGATGTTTTCATGTTTAAATATTATATATTTTAAAGATAACTAGGCAACTCTATTGAATTTGTAGAATATTTTATTCTAATTGACCTTAGCTTGCTGAACAATGGTGTGTAATTATTTGTCTGTTCTTCTGCTTAATGTTAGGCAACTCACTGTCCAAACAGCTGAAATATAAAGAACGAGCATTTGATGAAAAGTTTGATAAAGTTTTCAATTTGGCTGAGAAGGTAACATGTTTATTGTCCTTTGACTTATTTATTTTGTTATTTTACTCTCAAATTCAATGATTTATTATTCTTGTTTGGTCTTTTAATGTGTTCTGAATCTCTCAGGTTTCATTTGATTAAGTAAATTCATTTAGAAGCTTATCCTTGATAGAAATAAATTTCTTATCATAGTGGTGGATTTCCAGGTGGATTCAGAATCCATATCTGTTGGTAAGGCTGCTGTTGGAAACTTATTAGGTGGCATTGGCTACTTCTATGGCCAGTCAAAAATTGCTCTTTCAAAAATCCTTAATGTAAGTTACTCTAGTTTTTTTTTTTTTTTGTTACTAACTCTTATTGAATAGTATGCCATCGCTTATTTGAATATAACTTGACATGTTATCTATCATAAATATGAAAGTTATCTTTCATGTTTTTTCCCCCTGTTGGTAATGACGAAGTTTCATACACGAGAGAAAGAAGTACAATAACTGAGGGTTGCTAACCAACAAAGGGAATTCTGGCTAAATTAAAAATTTCTTCAGTTGCATATGGAAATGAATTTGTGCTTACAGAAAACCAGGACAAGCTAATTGACTGGAAAATCATGCTGCAGATTAATGAAGAAATTGCTTTGATATATATATATATATATATATATATATATATATGATCTGAATGCCATAAAGTGGCTAAAAAGAATGAGACTATTTTTTCCCAAAGCCAGTATAAGAAAATTTATCCTTGACATTTCTGCCATGTGTCTCTAACCAAGCATACATTGTGCATTGCCAAATATTTTCCTCAGAGATTTAAAACATCACCACATTTGTTTTTATGGAGGACTAATGTGAAAGGACAAATTTGGTTCTGCTTTGTATTTTTGAGGAGCTAATTTGATGAGAAAAATTTTGAAGAACTAATGTGGTAACACACTACTCTTTGGAGAACCAGTTTATAGGTTTACTGTAATTGTATTGTTACTCCAGTTCAAATGACAGATGTTACCTTAGAGGCATTAGACTTCCAAAGGGAATATAGAAAGGGAAAAAAATTCTACACAGAAAGGGAAAAAAATTCTTTGTTTGAACTGGAGATTAAGTGAGGAATTGGAAATGCTATTTACAATTACATGAATACACAAGTCCAAATCCTTGTATCTATCAATGAATAGGGACATATTGATAGAAACTTGATATCTTTATTAAAAAAAATGGAAAAAAGAACACTTTAATTCACAAAATAGAATACACACATTGCATAACTTTGAGGGTCTGCACCTCCCAATGCCAAAGGCCCCCAATATTTCAAATGACAAGATATCCTTGTCTTAATCTACCCTCTTATTTATAGGCAACATGCTTTATTCAAACTAACTCACTGATGCAATTAATTAATTTGGGGGGCAGGGGGTTATCTATCACATATATAGTAAGACAGACCAACACGAAATTCAATCTGAAAGCTCCTATGTGAGTAGTTTTTTTTTTTATGGCAGGGAGAAAAAATAGGATGGTTTTCATCACAAAAAAATAGAATGAAAAGAAATAGGAAAAGGGTAACCTGATCACTAGCTGGTGTCCTTGCAAAGTCTAAAGCAAGAACAATCAGTAAATCTATAAAAAACAAAAAAAGGGAATGAAAGAACTGTACCTATGTGACATAAGTATCCAAGGGCTAGAGTGAGCTGCATTGACGGTACACCTCTCATCACCACATTCTGTTGAATCCTACCCTTTACTATCAACTAGAGAATCTGATTCTAAAGGAAATTGCTGCAATTTTCTTTAACACAGTCGATGCCTTGTGTAGAAACATGTTCTGTAAAATTCTTGTTGATAGGTGGTCATTCTCAAGTTCATTATTTGATTAGCCATCAGCAATTTAGAACTAACAGATATTCAGTGGGTTGTTTTTCTTTGCAGCTTAGAGAACATGTTAATTATATATCATATTGGCCTGCTGAGCTGTACACAGCTGTACCAAGTCGATCTTTTTTTCCAAGAGGATTTTTATGGGATGAAGGTTTTCATCAACTTATAATCTGGTTAGTTTTCTGTGCTAATAAGACCACCACCATTTTATTATTTTTCTTGTTTGAAATTTTCCTTACATAGCAGCAGCTAAGTGCTGTATTTTCTTGACTGCACTGGGCTTACTTCTATTATTTTACAAAAAGACAAATCTTTGATCTATAAATATGCTTTATTTGCACTTGTTCACATTAATCAGGCGTTGGGATATTCATATTTCCTTGGATATCATTGGACATTGGTTAGATTTGATGAATGTTGATGGATGGATACCGCGTGAACAAATTCTGGGTGCTGAAGTGCTGAGGTGTAGTAAACATTTTATTCAAATGATTGCCGCAAATTTAAAGTATTTAGCTTTCCCAGTAACATAGATTCTTCTGTACTTGCAGTAGGGTCCCTGAGGAATTCGTTCCTCAACTTCCAACGAATGGAAATCCTCCAACTCTATTTTTAGCATTAAATGGTATTCGTTAATTTTCCTTTTTCTATTTTTCCCTGTTATCTTTATCAAGTTATAGGAACCATTATTTCCAAAAATAAAGGCTACTATTGTGTTCCCATTATTAACTCAAGGCCAGGATGCATGTAATAGTTTTCCTTTACATAGAGGGATGATAGTTAACAGCTTCCTGCCTGCTTATTTTTCGTCTCTTATGTGATAAAATATCTTTTAAGTTGTATGTAACTCTTGCACATATTCTTGATTTAACAATAGAATCAAACATATAAGTGATTTGATGATGCTTGAGATGTTTCTGAGTAATAAATTGATGGAAACATTTTGACAATTTATATGAAGTAAATTATATCTACAAATATCACTTTAGCTCAGAAGCATGGGAGACATTAACATGGTGATGTTAAATTAGGTTAAATATCTGTTTTCACAGATATAATTAATGGCTTGAAGAACAATGACTTTACTGCAATGCATAGAAGTGAGATCTCCCTATTCCTGGAGCGTGCCTTTGTTAGATTGGAAGCATGGTTCCAATGGTTCAATACAACTCAATCAGGTATATATATGCTATATCACGTGTGGTCTGCTTGAGCACTGGAAATAAATTGCTTTTTTCTGACCCTATCATTTTTATTATTACCAGGGAAACAGATGGGCAGCTACTATTGGCATGGACGGGACAACAGGACAATACTTGAATTAAATCCCAAGGTTCTAATATGCATCTGTGATATATTCATTTTTAATTTCTCTCATTAGTTATCTACAATTTCAATCTGACCTATATAGGTAGCTCAGCTGATAGATTTGACCAAAATAACCACCTGGATGCTTCAAACAGGAGTTAATGTTAAGGCTACCACAGATGTGATCCATCGATAGACTGCTGTTAGAACTTACAACAGGCTAAAATCCTACTTAAGCATAGAGATGCAAACACAGTTTTTATACATTTTGTCACTTTTGCTACGGGTGATCAATTTATTTGGTTACAGGATACAATATGGCACATTTTTTTCCAGAAAAAATGAGCCTATTGGATGGCTTTCTTTGTTGTTACTAGAAACTAGGAAGTCATAGACGAGTTTGAAACATGAATTCTCACTTGCAATTATGTTGTTCCTTGAACTAGTACATCCAAGGATCACCTAAGTGAGATAACACTGCCATCAGTGTTTTTATCGGTCAATTAGAACAACATTTTCCTTAACCCTATGGAAGATACTTGCTCCTAACAAACATTATTTCTGACATTTTCAGACACTCTCCTCTGGGTTGGATGATTATCCACGTGCTTCACACCCAAATACAGATGAACGCCACTTGGATCTTAGATGTTGGATGTTACTTGCAGCAGACTGTATGAATTCCGTTGAAGAGTTGTTGGATAAGGAAAGCAAACCTGGCATGGTATGATTCAAAAAATAAATTCAACTTTATTGTAGTAATGCATTATACAAGGTAAATGTTGGTAGCAGAAAGTTAATTAGCTAATCTAATTGACATATTGAATGAAATAATGCAGGATTATGCTTCTACTACTAAGTTGCTATCGGATTTTGAGTTACTGAACCAGGTACTTTTACCTTTGCCCCCCTCCCCCTCATCCTTTCTTTATAGAGCTGTTGCTTACATTTATATTCATTGTGCATCTCTGCTATTGGTGACGATGCAGCAGTGGAGTGAAGATAAAGAAAATTTACTAAGCACATACATTTATGGAAAAAGATGAATTAGAAACAAGGAAAGTATATATATATATATATATATATATGTGTGTGTGTGCGCACACGCAAGATTTTTTCACATTAGTGTAAATTTAAAAATTTTTACACTCGATTTAAGTCTTTCTTTTAACTTACATCTAATGGGTTATAATTTATTACTTTACTAACCGTTAGATGTAAGTTAAATAAAATAGTTAGATTGAGTGTAAGAGTACTCTTACACTAGTATAAGAAGATCTTTTTTCGTATATGTAGTTTTCCTTCCTCAAAATGGAAGATCAAGTTTTTCAATTTCAAAAAACAATGTTTTGCTTGACCTTTCAAACAATATAAATAATGAAAATGAATCTCATCTGCGTGAAGGGTTCTCATGTAGGCCTTCTCCAAGCTTGTTATGATTGAATTGTTGAGTAATGTGAACTTCTTAAGAACCCTTGCATGTAGATGTATGAAACTTTTGATTGATAAACACCCTGCATGGAAGATTCTGCATGTAGTATGTCCATGCCTAACTTGTTCTCGATGTCCATGCAGATGCATTTTGATGATGCATACGGTGCTTACTTTGATTTTGGAAATCATACCGAGAAGGTACAGTGTATCGTTATTTATGTCTAATATACTTTTGCAAGATTAACAGTGTGTGGGATTAGTATTCAAGTCTGAGATTGTGATTTTCTTTACATTGCTTAACCATGCTAGGTTCAACTTAAATGGAAAGAACTGGAGGCAGAGCAAAATTATGCTGCTCGCCAGCTAGTCCGAGATGTTTCAGAGTGGCCTGAATTGAGATTGGTTCCTCACATTGGTTATGTTAGTTTGTTCCCATTCATGGAGAGGATCATTCCATCTGTAAGTAATGTGCATTAATTCTCAATATCATGACTTTTATGCTAAGAACTAAGTTTTTCTGAATGATTTCAAAGATGCATATTTTAATATTGCTGTTTCATTCAGGGATCATGGATTCTGGAAAAGCAGCTTGAACTCATTTCAAATCGCAGCCTGTTGTGGACAGACTATGGACTACGTTCGCTTGCCAAAACAAGGTCTGCAACTTTTGCTCTAGTGCATTTTTTTTATGGAATTCGAGTGACATTATTTAGCATATGTAGTGCACTAAAAATAATATTATTACACAGTTCCTTGTACATGAAACGCAACACAGAGCATGACCCACCGTACTGGAGAGGTCCAATTTGGATAAATATGAATTACAGAATTCTTTCAGCGCTCCATCATTACTCCAAAGGTAAAATATGGTCAGGCCTAGGCAAAATACTTGCAAATATTCCACTTTATTCGTACCTTCCTGGAACTAATATTTGGGTTGAATGTTTTAGAGAATGGACCATATAAGGACAAAGCTAAAGCTACCTATGAAGAATTGAGAAGCAATTTAATTAGGTATTATTTGATCTGGGGTGCTTCAGAAATCTTGTTTAAAGTTATTAGTTGGTTTTTTAAATATTTCCTCCTTACTGCAGAAGTATAGTACGCAATTATCAACAGAGTGGATTTTTATGGGAACAATACGATCAGATAAAAGGTAAGGGGAAAGGGGCACATCCATTTACTGGGTGGACATCGCTTGTAGTATTAATCATGGCAGAAGTATATGGCAAAATTTAGAATAAACAGAGAATGGAGAGACAGGCTATATGGCGTACATTCTTGGTTCCCCTCTCATCCTTCGTCCATGAGTATCATATGTGCTTCAAGTCAAAATTCGCTAATCTGATACAATCCGAACTTTAATACAGGGAACGTAGAATGCCGAACCAACCGCCGACTTCATAAGCGTCTGGAATTACTTCTGTGGTTGTATTTACTTAATTTTAATTTTGGCAATTTACATTTCAGAATATATTTTTTTGTGGAATATAGTTAATTAAATCTAATTTATATTAATTAAATTTAAATTTTCAATTTTTATACATATATCAAATTAATAGACGGATTGTGTTTTGATTTAAATAATTTATTTCGATAAATTTTAACTCAATTTAAAGTAATTTTCATAATTTATCTTTTATAATTTATTCCAATCTAATAAAATAGATCATTTACTGTTAATAATAGAAATGTTTCTTAGTAAATTTTATCGTCTTTTTTGCAGTTATATTTTTTCTTATACGTGTGTACATATTTTCTTAAATATATAGTTTTAAAACTTTGCTTGAAATTAAAATATACAATAATATACACAAAATAAAACTTATTAGTTTTGTTAAAATGACATTCAAATAAGCTAAAATGAGAGAATATTTAAATATATCCACAAGTCCCATCGCCACTTTTCTCTTCAAGTTTTGAACAAAGGCGTCACTATTTTATTTTATCTCATTTTATCATCTATTATTTTATTTTATTTTATTTTCTTGTTCACTTAGAGTCTTGAATTTTCTGTTATGATTGTGAAAGATTCTTCTACCTTTTAAAAAAATTTATATTTATCCTTTGATAGAGATAAAAAAAAAAATGTGCTATGGAACCTATAAATTTGAAAGTATTCTAAACACTTTTTAAATTAATGATTGTAATTTTTTTTATATATTAAATGATTAAAAAATATTAACATTTTTTTTAACTAAATTTCTAATTACACTCTCTAATAACATAAGATTAATCAGATTAATTTTTTCACATATAAGAAAAGGTATTATATCCTCTCAAGTCTCAACTATAAAGGTACAGGAACTTTACCCAAAAAAAAATAAAATTTAAATATGAGATCTTTGTGAAATAATAAATATTTTTTAATTTTAACTTCAAAAATAATTATACAAAAAATTATTTTATTTTAAATAAGTTACTTCACACACTCAAACGTGACACAATTATCTTATTGTTAAAATAATTTATTCTTATTTTATTGTTAAAATTATCTATTCTGATACTTAAATTTAAGCTATCATTATTTTTATAATTAAATTTTAAAACTGCGTTATTGTGGTAAAAGTCCAAAAATAGCTAGTGACTTCTTTTTGCCCCCTCGGTAGTGGACTAGTGGTTCAACCTTCAACCGTGACATAATATTGTCAACGATGTTAACAGCAATGTTTATGGCAAAATTATTGATATAAAGACTATATAAATAAGTACAAACATTAATTCAGAAATATGTAACAAATATAGTAACTAAATATCTAGTTAACGTAAAATATTTTATACATTTATTTTCTTACTTCACACAGCTTAAAGTAAGAATCAATTTCGGTCCCAAATTCTAATGTTATCACTTTCTAACATCACCAAAAGTGAACCCAAAAAGGAAAAAGGAATGGAAATAATGGTGCTCAAAGTTGATGGTTACAGGTGGGCTACACAGGATGACATGATAACACTATCAGTAAAAAGCAAAAGCACTAAATTAGCATCTGATAGGTAACTACATCATCCTAGAGACAGTGATCACTTTTAACCAAAATCCTAGTAAAACAACAAAGGTTCAAAGCTCTGTTAAGGTCTCAAGTTCAGAACCAAGCAACCATTCAGGCCTTAATAGTTACACTGCATAAGCACAAACCAGATGGTCTAATATCAGATGTCTGCCACTCAGAACCCAGGGCTGCATTTGGATCATACAACAAAGTCTTGTATGAAGGTTCTTCCTCCAGTGAGAATAGCAACAGCTTACCATCCAATATCCCAAACCGAAAACCAATGCTTGAACTCCCTGTCAAAGGGACTGGTACCTTTATCCATGAATTGTCCTCTGGATTGAATATTGCTAACTTCCTCTGATTCTTCCACTCCATGCAGAACAACTTCGTTCCCACCACTGCATGAGCAGTGACCATTACACAGCCATTTTTCATCTCACACCACCCATGCCTCCCAGGGTTGTAGACATCAACAAACTTATAATTTCCAATTGTAGAGCTTGACCTTCCACCCATTACATAGAGTTTCCCCTCAAATCCACAGGCAAAGCAACCCCATCTTGGGCGACGAAGGCTCTCTATCAGTGTCCACTGATCAGTATCTGGGTCATATACCTCAGCACTGGAGAGATTGTCACCTTCTGCACCGTAGCCTCCAACAGCATAAACCAAACCATTGACTTCAGCACAAGCAAAGTCATAACGAGCCACGTTCATGTTTGACAATCTGCTCCAGCTGCAATTGTAGTTACAGACATTAATAGTAGCAAAGCACAAAGATGGTTACTTTCCAACACAGGCAACATAGAAAAGTAATCCATTGAATATACAGCTAAATTAAAATGAAGAGGTGACCATAGGCAAAGTCCTACAATTTTGTCAATTACGTGGATTTTTCTATAAGGAGCATAAAAAATTAAAGAAATACTGATGTAAAGCATACTATAAAAGTGAGGCTGATGTATGATCAAAGCATGTTTCATGTTTTAGAACTCATCTAACAACGTTGCCAATGGTTTTTTAATTTTTTTCCTGAAAAGCTAAAAAGAACAAACCATTTTAAGCCTTTACAAAACTGGGAACCAAAATCATACAACAGGTAGATCAGTGTCAACCCATTCAAGGTTTCTAGTTATGACTCTCTACTCTCTAGTGTTAGTGAAACAGTTCTCATATATTAAAAAAAAAAAAGTATTCCTAAAGTTAAAACGTTGTATCAAAAAGACTTTTCTAAGCATAGACAAACAGGCACTTCAGTTCTAATATCTAAAACCAACACATCCCAGAAATGGATAAAGTTAAATGAATGAGAACTGACGGCATGATTATTTTCTCACTGTATAAAAATTTAGAGGCTCAAAAGTCAGTATTATAGGTTTATATCTCTCCACACCAATTACAAAATACCCAAAGGTTTCTCACAGCAGAGTTTCATAAGCACACACACCAAACAATTAAAGCTTCATAATCCTCCAAACTCAATTATATAGCAGGAATTATCTAATCAGTTCCCAAGGAATACAGGTGAAATTAGAGCAGAAAAGCATACCTGTTGAGGCAAGAATCATATTGGTAAACCTCTGCTGAGACAGCGGCAGTTCCATCAATTGATGAACAACCAGCCATAACCAGGAGCTTTCCATTAAGAACCACTACACCAAACTTAGCCTTCGCTGGACCAGGCATTGGTGGAAGAGACCGGCGATTATGACCCTGACAATCCATGACCTCCCAGTGGCTTCCTTTTCCTTTACTACCTGCTGTTAAGATATAGAGCCATTCCTCAAGCATCCCAGCCAATTTTCGCACCATTATAAATTCTTTGCTTCGAACAAAACTCCGCCATTTCTTGCATACACCACCCATAACTGGGGTGTTAGAACGAGGCACAAGTGCAAGGCAGTGCTTTGCAACATCATCAGGCAGGCCAGGTAGGATAGGACTACTACCATCATCATCCATAGCCTCAGACCTCACACAATAATTGCTTTTTATAAGCGCTGGTTTATCAAGATTGACCGAATTGGAAAAATACATATTTGCCTCTGTAAATCTCTTCTTTTCAGCTACAAGACTAGGCATTTTCATATCATATACCGTGAAGATGTAGAGAATTTTCGTTGATGACCAATCAACCAAACAATGTGAAAATGTCTTACTGAGTACAAATAATTAAAGAAATTCATAATATCCTTCACCAATTGGGATTCTACAAGACCAAGGCATAAATAATGTTGCAGAACGAATCACATGAGCAGTGTAAGTAGATGATTTTCTGTTCTTAATCCAATCTGATTCAAATTCCATAACAGAAGTTATGCTCCTGCAGTAGTCCCTCTTACTTGTTTTCTGCCAATTATATCTTAAGCTGCCACAATTGTATCTTCCCACACACATTGCCCGGATATCTAAAAAGCATGACAAAAAGTAGTTATATTTTGAAGTTAAAAATAAAAATTAACTGAAGTCCATCAACAAAATTGTGAAGTCATACCAGAGTAGGCCATAGAACTTGGCAAGCCTTAGCCACCTGTAACTTCCATTGTCTTTAAGTTCATATCAGCTGAATTAATCAAACAAGAGGGGAAAGGAAAATTTTGAGTGAATACACGCATATTAAATTAGGGAAAGGAAAATTCAATTGAAAAAAGTTCAATCTGCATGGTTAAGGGTTAACATAAACAAATAAAAATTCCTTTTTACAGATATCAGCCGGACAGGAATGTGTATTAAATGTCTGAAAACACCATAATCTAAAACCTAAGTACAGAATTAACATCTAACAAACGTCCACCCAGTTTTTCCAGAAAGTCCATAAATCCTTGACAACTCAAAATAAAACACGCAAAAAATCGAAAGAGAATAACTAAGCGAGAAATTATGATAGGAAAAATAAATCCTTCCCCCTATTGAATTAAATGCAGGGATGGATGAAGTCATAATAAAACCACTCAAACCCATTTTTCTTTGAATAAAACGACATAATGGACAATTATTAAACACATCCAAGTCGACGAACCCAAAAGAACAGAGCCTTTCACTACATGAAATTCACATTGATTTCCAAAAGAAAATTATTTTATGTACGTATAAACAACACTTCATCCCATAATCCTAATATATTTACCAGTGTCCATAAATCTCGAATGCTGAGAACCAAGACATCAATGGGGAAAAAAATCCAATCCGAATTTAAGGTTTGAGCAAACAGAAACACACGGTTTTAACATTGTCCTTCGAAATCTTGGGAGCACGAGCAATTTTAAGACAGCGAGTTAACTTAACAATTAGAGAAAAACGTGTGATTAAAAATAACAAATAATATATCTATAGAATTAAAATAATAAGAAAAATGAAGAAGAGGAACTTACAAGAATGAAAGAATGAAGATTGGATAGGTCATAGGATTAGATGGTGATGACACTGTAAGAAGCAAAGTGGAATTTATAGGATTTAGGAGCCAAAACGGTCGGAGACAGGATAACACTGACACATTCCAACCACGTCAGAACTTATTTTTACAACCCAAGTGTCGATAATGACTATGCAACAGCGGTTTTTGCAAACTAATTTTTCTTAACATGACACCTCTTTTAAGATAATCTTTCTTATTATGTGGTTTTGGTTTGAGTTAGTCTACGGACGTGAATTATGAAAGCATGAGTATATTAGGTTAATTTCAAATTCCTTTATCATCTGTCTTTTTTTCTCAAAAATTTATTAATAACTCTTTTGAATACAAAAAATTAATAAATAATAACTTTTTACGAAATTATCATATTTAATATTATTAAAGTATTAAATTTAATATATTTTTAATAAAAATTTATTGCATGTAAGTTTTTATTATGTATTATTAGATATATTAAACAAATATTAAAATTGTGTAATTTAAAATATAATTATAAATTTATATGCACTCATTACTCTAATGATTACCGTCAGTATAAAACACTATGAAAATGGAGATAATAATAAACAGGCAAAATCAGTATTTTAATTCTTTAAATTTAAGGTTAATTCTAGTTTTCTTTAACCTTTATTTGTCATTTTCTTGGCTTGTCAAATTTTTGTCAAAAATGGAGTTTTCACAATGAAAATTAAATTATCTCATTCTTCATTTTTGTTTTTACTCGTTGGAGATTAGATTATTTCATTTAAAGAAAAAAGAAGAAGGATGAGGTAGTATCTTTTAGAAAAAAATTTCTCATCGTTAATATATAAAGTTCATCCTAAAATTTTATTATATTTAATAGCATATACATGCAAAATTAAACAACTCAATATAAAAACTCAATTTTTGGGAATGTTCCATTAGTTTAATTGATGAGTATTTTTTATGGAAAGAGTAATTGTTTAAGTAATTAGAGAGTGTTTAAACATCTTAAAGAAGATTGTATCTATAATTAATATTTCTCTTTTCAAGTAACCACCGCTGTGGACTTTGAATTCCATCTTCATCAATAACCGTGGATTGATCTAGTCATGCTGTCATCATTCAACTATGCCTTATCTACTTTCTCCACTTTTTTTAACCCTGTTGTTCACATCTTGGAATCGTTCTAGCAAGTTAATTACAAATTTATAACTTCTATTTTATTTTATAAAATTAGTTGTATAGAAATTATTAAAATTATTTTATATAAACTTAAATTATTTCAACTGTTAGAATAAAAATTTAAAATATTTTTAATTATTTTTAATGGATTAAATTCTATTAAAAACAGTTTTTTAACTAGTTTTCATGGCCTATAAACTTTCGTTATTTTTTTTAATGAAATTGTTTTATTAACTTATTTATTAAAAGATATTATAAGTTTATATTACTAAGAATATTTATACAATGATTAGATAAGGTTCTATTTTTTAAAGGTTTATAATTTTTTATTTAGTCTCTTATTTTTATTTTTTAAAGTAAACAAAAAATATTTTGATTTTTATATACTTTTTTTGTTAATAATTTATTATTTTTTATATTTTACAATTTATTATTATTATTATCATTATTTTAAAAACAAGAGGAAACATTGGTTAATCGAAATAACGGCTCATCAAATTTAAAAAACAATGAATTTCATAACTGAAAATAAATAATAGTTTTGTTAGTTTAATTTGACTCAAATGTCAGCGTATAAATTATTGTTTTTTAATATTATTTTATCAAGTTTAAACACTTACTAATAAACAAAATTTATTAAAAAAATTTATTATACTTATATATTTTTAGCATAATAAAAATCTTCAATATAAAATGTTGTTTTTAAATGTTTAAATGTAATTTTAAAATTTTAAGTTAACAAAAATTGATAAATTAAACTAAACGTTTTGATTTGATTTTTCAAGTTTACCAAGTTAATCCGAATCAATAAACATCCTCAATTTATAGTTTTGCTATATACTTTAATAAATATTTTTAATAACCTTCCAACTACTTTATAAAATATATATTAACTAAAAAGTATACTTTTTTATTATCATAATTCATAAGAATATTAAATTTATTTAATATTTGATTTATTTAATAATTAAACGAATGAAATTCAAAATTAATTTAATTTAAATGTTATTTTATCTATCTCCTTGTCCTTTTAATAATTCATTTATTATTTCATAAAATATATGATATAAGAAATTATATATTTTTATTATCTAAAAATATATAATATATTTAATATTTTTTCATTCAATAAGAAGAGAACTCATAGGAATTTATAATCATTCTTTTAATCAACTTTTATTTTATAAATAAGTACTTTAGTGAAATTATTATCGTTCACAGTTTATCACTGTATAGTTTTTTATTCTTTTTATTTTCATTTTAAATTTCATATAAAAGTTATCATTTACATTTTTGTTATTATTTTATACAAACTTTAGATTTTTCAAATCTATATGTTTATATTTGAAAAGAAATTATCTTGTAAAATTTTAAATTTTCTTAATTTATTATTCTTGAAAAATTTTAATTACTAGATAAAAATATTAAATATATTTTATATTTTAACACAATAAATACATGTATTTTTATTTATTTAGTACTCATATGCAATATAACAAAGCTCCTGTTTAAAACATAAATGCAGGCAATTTCAGCCGCGATTTGGTCAGAAAAAATATGATATATAGAGAGTGAAAATTAAAGGTACCCATTAAAATGAAAAAACATAAAATCAAGGATCGTTGACAAATTAGTTTATTGGTTGTTTATTTTGAGAGATGACCAATAAGCAAACTCATCGTATTTGGATATGTATTCCAGCTCAGCCATTCAAATTAAATGCTATATCAAGTACAACGCAATTGCACAATCACATATCATATATAATATTTGTTTCACGTTTTTCTATATATTTTTTTAAATGTCAATTTTCCTAAAATAAGAAAACGAGAGAAAGAGCAAAAACATATTATTTTTTAAAAAAAAATATAAAGATGGGAATAGAAAATGTGATATGAAATTATGGATGCCGCCACATACCAACAAAATACTCTATAAAATAAGTATTATATATATATATATATATAAATATATATTAAAAATATTAAATATTTTATTTATTGATTGATTTGGAGGATTTACGTGAACAAGGGTATGATTTAGAAGTCTTCAAATACCTGTTCCTGATAAAACCAAAGAAGATTATGACAAATATTTTCGCCTTGTCCCACTAGAATCTATGATTTTGGTTCTGCTTCTATTGAGACGCGCCACTTAATTAAAACCATTCACTCCAAGAATCAGAACAATGTTCCCACTTTTGGCAAGCGAAGGTGTTAAATTTTTGAGAAACATAGGCCAATAAGTGATTCTATTGATTGCTGAGTACACAGAGATCACCACCACGGATTTGAGATTCCGATTGATGTGTTGGATTTGGATCCAAGTAAACGCTGATATTTACATCATTGTTCGTTGTTTAGAGTGTGGTTCAACTTTGAAGTTACCCAGATAATGTTGCATACATCATATGTGATATGTGTGTGTGTGTGTGTGTGGTGAATGAAGGGTCCCAATTTATTGGACGTTGAACAATACTTGTGATCAATTAACATCAATACTCTCGTGGATGAGGCTATTTACAAGTACGTTTATTGCTGTTGATTATTTGCGAACTGGTGCTGTCTAATCGCGAATTATTGCTGCATATATTTTTGCTTCAGATATTGTGTTTGGAATAGAGAGAAATTATATGTAGGGTGGGTAATTTTTTTATTTTAAATGTTTATTAAAATAGAAGGACCACAAAACAAGTTGTCATGATAAAAAATAAATAAAATTTCATATGTATTTGAAGTTAATTATTCTAAAATGAATTATTTAAAAGACCAAGAAAGGGAATTTTAACAAATTTATTATTTATTATGCATGTGTAAATAATATTAGCAATTGATTTTTCAGAATCTATCAACTTAATTCCTACGACTCTTCCATAACTTTTTGGATTTATCAACTCCTTTTTTATATTTTGGGATAAAATATCTACATCATCGTCCCACCTTATCCACTGTATTGGACTTTAGAAATATATATATATAGGTGTGTGTGTGACTTTTCTGCCAAGTGACCAGTATTTAACATTTTTTTGTTGATAATTTTTTCGCATGTAATAACAATCTGTATATAATAGATTGTTATTCATAATTGTAAAATTTAAAAAATTCATAAAATAAAATATTATTAGTTATATTAAAAAAATAATTAATTATTGTATATTCTTGAATACAGGTTTTAAAAGCAATCTTTAATAAAATGTCTGAAGTTAGTAGTTAAATATAATTTTATTTTATTTGATCTTTTACTATTACAGATATTCTTAGTTAAAAGTAAAAAAACTATTAATTTTTTATGCTATCAAGATCATAAATACACATTTTTATTTAGTGTATATTTTATAATACATTTTTTTAATGTGTGTAAGAATACAAGATGATAAAAACTCATATACAATAAAATTTTACTAAAAATTACATGATTCAATGTATTTATAATATTAAATGCTAAAATGTTTATAAAATATCAACGTAATTTGAGCATGAAGTTTCTTTCATATTGATTCGTTGTAAGTTTATTTTGTGGCCATTGAATTTTTTTAGCAGAATAAGAAATGATTCAACATATCGTTTTTAAATTTTTAAAAAAAGTTGAGTGTATTGAATTCCAATATCAATGAAGACTCCATTTTAATAGAAAAAAGGGCATCAACTCGCCTAATTATATCATCAATGAACGAGTTGAAAAATTACTAGCAATTTGATTAAAGTGAACCTACCCTATCAACTCCATTTTTATAACATGATTCGGTTCGGCCCAAATGACGCTTCTTGGTTCCGAAGCATTGACGAGTTAAACCTTGGGCCCTTGACAAAAATATTTGGGCCTCATCGACCCACCATATAACAAATGTCTGAAAGCTATAAGACTAGGGTTTTAAGCCCCGCTATATAAACTCCGTGATCCCTTGATCCTGCGTTGCCGAGAGCCATTTCTTACTTCTGTGAAGGTGTGCTAAACTAAGCCGGCATGGTACCCTCTCTTGCATATATGCTTCTACTCTATTCACTTCGTTAATAGGATTCTTTGAATTGTTTACTTATTTTTCTATTTTGCAATCTTTGTTTCGTAGGTGAAGTACTCAAGAGAGCCCGATAATCCCACCAAGTGTAAGTTCTATTTGATTTTATTGCTTCACATTGGTTTATTGTTTGCTGGTATTTATGGATTCGACGTTTGTGCTTTTCGTCTCCTAAACGAAGCCGTTTAAGGTCTCAATTGAGCGTATTGTTATTTTTTCAAATGCAGCGTGCAAGGCTAGAGGTGCTGACCTTAGAGTTCATTTCAAGGTACTAAGTCGACTTTGAGTATTCTCTGTCGAATTATTTTTTTGAGTTCAAAAAATGAATCTCATTTGAATCGTGATGCTTGTTGGTTGTTTATTAAAAACATGGATTTGTGTTTGTAAATCCTGATGAAAAAAAGCAGGGACTGGTCCTTCTATTGTGACTATGTCCTTCGTCAGCTTCAGGGATAGCATCACCATTGTTGTTGGGTGAACCTCTGTGTCTTGTTCGTGACTGAAGGTTCAGTAAATGATGGAATATTTTTCATTTTTGTTGCATCATGCATCAGTGATTCATATTGACTTAATGTTTTGCCTTGTAAGAAAAAATGTTTTCAATTGAATAACATATTTTAAAGTATTGGAATAATAATATTCTGACCAAAGCAAAATCCTGGAGAGGATAGGCTTAGTGTGTTTCCAATTAGATATCAAAATGGCTTATGTAGAAAAGCTCTAAAATGTTATAGATTGTTTTTTTTTAAAGCTAATTCAAATTAAGCTTTGATTGTCATATTTGTCAAGTTGGTTCCCTAAACTGCTGCCTTAGGGAAGAACTTCTTTTGCATTAGTTTTATTTTGTTTGGACGATATGGAGAAATTTTTAATTAAATATAAATTATTAGAAACCTGATGAAAAAAGCAGGGGCATGTTACCTGTGTGAGCAGGCCTCTCGTAACCTTCAGGGATATAATTACCAATGTTATTGGGTGAACCTCTGTTTATTTGTTTGACTGAAGGTTCAGTAAACGATGGAACACTGTGCATTCATTGCATCATGAATTGATTAATGTTGAACTTGTTTTTTTTGCGTTGTATTTATACTCTCTATTTATTTAGGGTTGAACATGTTGCAATCTTCACAAGTTTGTTGCCATGTTGGACATGTTTTTCTGTAGTTTTAAAGGGTAAAGCTTAGTTCCCATCCTTATCGATGGATATAGTTGCCTGGTTGCCTTTATTCCTTAAAAACGTTTCTGAAGTTGATTTTGTATTTTGCAATTTGTGCTCATCTTGTTACAATATACCGATTTAGTGAGAACGCAGCTGTCAATAGTAATGGAGTTAGAAAACACCTGATTAAAAAGGAAGGGGTCTGTTGCCTATGTGAGCAGTCCTCTCGTAACCTTCAGGGATAAAGTAACCATTGTTGTTGGGTGAACCTCTGTTCCCTGTTCATGACTGAAGGTTCAGTAAATGATGGGACATTTTTTCATGAATAATGTGGAAATTTTCCACATTATTTTTTTGGTGGAGAATATCTCAATCATCATCAGCATCTGATATAATGGCTATTATGCATGTCATTTCCAAGTAAAAAACAGTAGTGCTATGTTGGCACCTACTTAATCTGTTTTATTTGATAATAATCAGAAAGAATTGATTTTACCAAATAAGGACAGTAATCTGGTGTTTCAGGGCACAGATTCCTTGTAACCATCAGCAGCATGGGCACCATTGTTATTGTTTTAATATATCTATTTCTTTTGTAAATTAAGTTATCGATGATGGAACAAAATATGTTATTGTTAAGCTTATTTTTACCCGTGCATTATTTATCAAGACTTGAGACTTTGCCTGTTAATTTACTTACAGAACACCAGGGAAACTGCCCATGCCATCAGGAAGTTGCCCTTGGCTAAGGCTAAAAGATACTTGGAAGATGTTCTGGCCCACAAACAGGCCATCCCATTCAGACGTTTCTGTGGTGGTGTTGGGAGGACGGCCCAGGCAAAGAATAGACACTCTAATGGCCAAGGTCGGTGGCCTGTCAAATCAGCAAAATTCATCCTAGATTTGCTAAAGAATGCTGAGAGCAATGCTGAAGTATGAATATAACTTTTTTAGTTTTTCCATATCACTTTACGCCAAATGTTTCGATGTTTAATTGATAATTGCTTCTTTTCAGGTGAAAGGTTTGGATGTTGATGCTCTGTACGTTACTCATATACAAGTCAATCAAGCGCAGAAGCAAAGACGCCGAACATACCGAGCCCATGGAAGAATCAATCGTATGTTTGAAATCTTAAGATTTTTGTTTTAATGGATTGTTATCTTGTTACATTGTTGTATTGATGGGATTGTTTTGGCAGCCTACATGTCATCTCCCTGCCACATAGAGTTGATATTATCTGAAAAGGAAGAGCCTGTCAAGAAAGAGGTATTTGATTCATCTGGTTGTTTCGATTTCCTATATGCTTCGCTGATTACCTAATTTTTATTCTTTTGTTGGTTTGTATAGGCCGAGACCCAGTTGGCAACAAGCAAGAAGAAGTCCCAAGCTCTTCGAAGTGGTGCTTCATCTTAAATTACTGTTTAACCTAGTTTGAGGCCCAATATTCCTAGATCGTGTCAAGAGGAGAGTTTTGTTGCTTGTTTTATTTTCTTATTGTTTGGTACAAGTTTCATACTATGCTTTAAATTAATGTAGTTGGAAAACTTTATCTTGTCCCTTGGACGTTGTGTTTTATTTTTTCTTTTTATACCTTCGATTGATATTTGACATAAGTTACTAAATATTCGCTAGCATCTAATTGTCGAGAATATATATTCTGTTTATTAAACATAAATTGATCGTCGGTTGTTCTTGAGTTTTCTCTTATGTTAATCTTAATGATTGGGATTACAATTCTGCTTTTTTTATAAAGTTTTTTTTTTTTCCTAAAATTTCTCAGGAAATTGAACAAGGCATTATGCTTATTAAACAAGCAAGACTGTTGATGGACCCTTTCATGTGACTGAAGTCTCTTCAATTCAAACAAGTTTTCTTTAGTGTTTTTAATCTAATCTTTCGTACGTTAAAATTCTGTGAAATTTATTTGAGCTAGATTTAATTCCATAGTGCGGGATATGTTAAATAATTTTTTTAATCTAAATAAATAATAAAAACTATTAATAAAATATTATTTTATTGTTTTTTTTAATAAACGGGGTTTATCAGCCCAAACAAACAGGACCCTTAACTCAGGAGTCTTAAATCATTTAATTGTTAATTTATTATGTAGTTGCAGACTTTAATTAGTTGATATTGTAAGAAAATTTACTTTGGTAATGTATTAAAATTATATGTATAAATTTAATATATGTTTCCTAAGATGGTGATAAAATTAAATTTATCTTTTTTTCTTTCATAAAATTTAAATAAAAAGAATTTATATTATGTTTAAAGAAATATATTATAAAATATTTAACATATTATAGTAAAAATAAGTATTTTATCATAAGCAAATATAATATTTTTAATATTATAATTATGATAGAATATCATATTATTATTAACATGTATATTAATTGAATAATATATATTATAATTGAAAAGAAAAAAGATGTATAAAAAATATACAACATAGTAGTCAAAATTGAAATCAGAGATAAAACTTGCAATTGATTAGAGGGATGATTGAATATGAGAGATAATAGTCACCTTTTATCAAAATGTTTCGTTACATTTCTTTTGTTTACATACGAAATAAACATATTTTTCTGAAGGTCTTGATAGAGTAGGTTCACATTAATCAGTTTGTTGGTAATTTTTCAACTCGTTCATTGATGAGATGTAATTAGGTGAGCTGAAGCTTTATTTTCTATGAAAATGTAGTCTTTGTTGATATTGGAGTTCAATACACTAATTTTTAAAATTTAAAAATGATATATTCATTCGTTTCTTATTCTGCTAAAAAATCAATGGCAATAAAATAACTTACTATAATCAATACGAAAGAAATTGAACTGAATTTCCATGCCCAAATTACGTTAATATTTTATGAAGTTCCCCATCTTCAATTTCTTGGTAACATCTTTATGCAGTTCTTTGTAGAGAGCAATTTATTCAACTATAGCTACAAGGTTCGACAGACTGTAGCCCTATCAATTCATTAACGGCTCAAGAATTTGAGTCCCTGCAATGTATTTTTCATTTCACTGTCTATCCTCTCTTTTCCTTTTAACAAAATCTTTAATTAAATCTATTATTAAAAGAAAAAAATAAGCTTTTTAAATTAACGATACATAATAAATAATAAAATTTTATTAAAAATTATTGCATTTAATATTATTAAAATATTAATATAATATTTAATATAATTTTTATCAAGTGTACTCCATAGACTTTAAAAACAAGGGGATTATCTCAAACGTTAAAACGCCACCGTGTTGGATACAGTGACCCGCGTTCTGTCTTCCTCTTCCCTCTTCCATAAGGTATCATCACTTTCTCTCTTCTTTGCTAAACCCCATTCACCACACCACACTGTTTGGGGTTCCGCTTTTCCTTCGTTAAACATTTCTCTTCTTTCTCCTTAATCGATCTTTATTCCCTTTTCTTTTTTAATCATACACAGGTTACTGTTGACCTAGATCTCATCCCGAAATAATTATTTTAATTAACGATTTCATTTCTTATTATGGTACGATCTTGATTAATTATGTAATTATGTGGTTGTTTAGATGGATTGGCAAGGGCAAAAGCTAGCGGAGCAACTGATGCAGATACTGCTGCTTGCGTTTGCGGTGATTGCGTTCGCAACTGGGTATGTTATGGCTTCTTTCCAAACCATGATTCTCATATATGCTGCTGGCGTCGTTCTCACCACTTTGGTCACTGTTCCCAATTGGCCCTGTTTCAATCGCAACCCTCTTAAGTGGTTGGATCCGAGTGAGGTTGAAAAGCATCCCAAGCCACAATCATCTCTCAATGTTACTCAAAAGAAGAAACCTGTTAAGAAGTAGGTTTCTTATTTTTAACCTTTGTTTGAGGATTTCACAGTAATTTGCACTTGAGAGTCAACTTAACTTCTTAGATTATAATCCTATATTTAATTTCTATTAGACATCGTTTTCTAGTTTTAATCTCTTTAGATATTATTGTTGATATAATGGGAGCATTGGAACGTTTGGCTTCTGACTGTTGATGTTTAGTGTGCACTTTTAATCGTTCACATGACATGATACTCAAATTGGTCCATTTTGAAGCTAATCAATATACCACCTATCTAGAGTCATGAATCAATTTGTGGCTTGTTACAATTTTGATGGTTAATAGACCGAGTTACACTGTCCATAGATATGGATCCTTTCCTCTAACTACAACAACCACCAAACTATATCTCATTTTAGTGATTGGTTATAGTTGTATTTTCTTATCTTTTTATCTCTCTAATATGACTGATCTTTTAACTTGAGAAGAGTTGAGGATCAAAATCCATTGTCGATTTGTTTTAAAATATTTTCTAAATCCATTAATACAGGGAGTCTTCTCTCTAACTGTATCTCACTTTCTTCTTGGTTTCAAAAATATTGGTTTTATATCTCATGCTAAAGGATCTTGAAAAATGCTATCAATACACACTTTTCAATACTTTTGGATTTTACTTCATGAGAATTTATTTGTGTGTGTAGATTGATGTAGTGTCAGTTAATTTTTAAATGATATCAAATTTTATAAAATTAATGTACATTATGAGAAGTTTCTCGTGTTTGTTTTGAAAGCTTGGACTTTTCATGACTTCGTTTTAGAATCACAAGTTTAGACTTAGTATGACCTTTTTTTAATTAGAAATTTAGATTTGCAATGATTAAAATATTATTAACTTATTATATAAAATTAATGAAATGGTTTAAAAGGGAAAAAGGGGCGGCCTGATTAGTGTTGTCACTTAAAATGGGTTGATCTAGTAAAATATCAGTGTACTTAAATCATTGGGACGAAGTATCTCATTGACGTATTTGTAATAGTTTTTGTTTTAATAAATTTTAAAATAAATATGATAGTTTAATATAAACTTATTGTTTAAATTGCTTTTTATAAATTATAAGTACAATATAATTTTCATTTTAAAAACAAAAAATGTTTTTTTTCTTTTAAAATTATATTTTAAAGCATATCGAAGTCTCTAAGCTACACTTTTTAGTTGGAGGAAAAGGGAAAGGATTGGAGAGATTTTAATAAAACTTTCTTGTTTGTCAAATGTAGGGTTGTAATCTAATAAGTTAAATTCACTCTAAAGTGCAAATTTCTGTCAAATCCTCAAACAAATGAGTCACAACAAAGGTTAAAAGTAAAAGTAAGAAACCTACTTCGAAACCTACGTCCTCCCTCTTTTTTTTTTCCATGGCGTATCATCACGCTCTCTCTTCCACAGACACAATATGATGGCATTAATGATATATAAAAAAGATTCGGCATTTTAAAGAATCTCGTCAACGTAAATTTGTTACTATAATTTCAAAGTTCTTAAAAAACTCATGATAATCATTCACAAAAAATATCACTTTTAAGTCGTGCGCGCCCAAACACATACTATGTTATGTTACTCGGTTTGCTAAGAACGTGTACATAAAGAATTTCTATGCTGGAAATCGGTTTGGGATACCAAACTAACAAATATTATTAGTGTGTTTGGATTCGTGCTTAGATTGGATTCATGTATTACAAGTTTTTTTAATGAGAATCCAAACACCTGTCAATTCCTAAGGCTATACAAAATTGATCTTGAAACAAGAAAAATATCTTTACAAGACTAATTTATTAAGAATTAGAAGATATAACTAGACATAAAATTAGAATAGGCAACAACATCGACCCAGTCCGGGAAAAGATCCTTCAATCTCTTAGCTGGACCAAACAACTTTTGGTCTAAAACTGCAAGGTCCACTCTTAATGCTTCAGAGCTGTTAGCCTGACATTATAAAACAAAAAAGAAGTTCAGCTGTTATGTTAATGAAAAAAGTTAACACAGCATCAGATTTTATTTTTACCTCCAACCAGAAGGTCCAGTTTTCATCACTAGCTCCACTAAGCCGACATATATATGATTGTGGACCACCATCATAACTTTCAGTTCCTATGCAATTTTCATTAGGCAATAAAAGATATCAGGAGATGAAAAAATATTATCGTCCTAAAAGAAAAACCAGGGGGTGGAAAGTGGAAACAATTTTCATACCTGGAAGAACATTATCTGCAAATGACCAATTTGATAAAGGACCAGTGATGTTGAGAACCGCAACCCAGACCTCTTCCAAGGAACTAAAAGGAAAATAAATCCAGTTATACATGAAAGCAGACTAAAAAGTTACCTATTTTATATTTAACTTTCCTTCAACTTCTTCTAGTTCACACAGGGTGATATACAAAACAGATTTAAGACCATTGTAAACAAATTGTCACTAAAAACAGTCAGACAATACAAGTTTTTTTTTTTCATGGACAAAAAATCACATAATGTTTGCAATAATAATAAATACTTTATGGAATTCAAATATCAGAGGATATCACAGCGGGTTTCCCTATTAGCACCTGAATAGGTAAGAATCAATCAAGTTGAAAAAAATTAGACCCCTGAAAATTCTCAGGCATCGGCTATTATTGTATGATACCAACGAGGAGAGTTTTTATGCAAATAAACAATTAGATTAAGAAAGATTTCCATGCTATGCCACCACAATGAAAAACAAGAAATCACGTGGAATATAAATTGTATTTTTGGCTATGTACATTAACTATACTGGTAGCAAGCACCGTGATCCACTCACCCTAAAGAAAGCTCCAAGTGCACCCTTCTCGGTCCCTTTTCAGAATTTAAAGATGGATTTTGAAGAAACAATTTGGGAAAGAATTCATACTGTTTCAAAACATCATCCCCTTTAGCAGGGAACTTCAGACTATTTGAAAAGAGAGAAGAAACTGGAAAAATTGCCTGCAAAGAGAAATGCCTTCACATTAATTTCATGAACTCACAGGACCTAGGAATATAAACCATTATAAAATAAAAAATAGCAGTTGTTTGTTGTACCATTGAATATATATGATAACAACAGTATATCTGAAAGTAGTCAATCGAAGTAATTAAACAAGTGAAAGGATGATAACCAGTGAACAAATCAACCAGCCAGTCAAGAGAGCTTTTATGAATTCCATTACTAATTTGAATAATCAAATATTTGTTAAAATACTAAGAATTAGAATAACTAGTAGTGAGAAATCATAGAGCTGTTTTTTACAATGTACTAATGCGTTCTTGAAAGTAAGTTAATGTCACAAATTCAAGATTTTGCAACTACTGAAGGAAGAACCTAACTCAAGTCTCAACCTTGAAATTCATTAATTAGACTAAAAACAGTAAAGCATAAAAATAAATCGGGATAAAAATTTTCTTTTACTCTTTCCCATTTTAATTGAGTGAGATGAAAAATTGCCCAAAAGAAAAGATTCACATAATATTGGCATGAAACTTACCATCCATTCATGGCGTTTCGACAATGATGCAGATTCAAATGAAAACTCCGAAGTAACATTCAGTTCTTTTGCCACGTCAGGTGAGTGTTTGAAAAGGAAAAGAAAAGAATTGGAATCAATTATAGACAAATCATAAGTGGATTCCACAATCTGACTTGAGCCTGACAAACAAAAGGAAAAATGTTAGAAATTATTTAAAAGAGAGGTAAAATTCTTTTTATCTGGGAGACTAAAATCATAATGAAAAAGAAAAAAAATACTGCCATTTATTTCAGAGGAATTCATGTAACTATGTAAGCACATAATAGACAGTAGATTAATTCATTATTTGAGAGGGCATCAAGAAATTTATAATTGCCTACCATACTGCCACTTCTAATAATCAATACCTGCAGTATGGAAAGTATGCTGAAAAACAATCCTCTTAGGTGCAGACACGGTGTAAGGAAAGAACTGAGATGATAACGCCAAAGCAAATACACTAAGATGCAGCAGAAACTGCAAGATGGATGACCTGGCTAACCAACGACCACATACAGGCATTAGAGGGCCTGTGCACCAACCAGTCACAGTTCCAATTAATGCAGCTACAATAACGTCAGGAACATAGTGTCCTGCAAATTGCAGACATTGTCAGCAGCAAGCATTTTTGATAAGTGAAATTGCTTGCATTATATTATTTTATAAAACAGGTTTGTCTAAATAATTACAAAGTGATGAGTGACAATAAAGATACCTCAAGCAAGATAATCATATATACACATTAATTTAAATAGCAGGGTGTGTATATATAAACTGACCATATGGTAGAGGAAGAGAACCCATCATGCCCATCTTCTCAATCACAAACTGGGCAAGAAAGCCACCAAAATAAACAGCATATGCAAGGCATGGAACTAGAGGTAATATGTAAAACATTGTTGACCTGGAGAGGAAAAAAATGAATTGAAATCAAAGATGACAAAATAAATAAGATTAGATAATAGCATGCACATAAAGGAAGTGAAGACACAAATCAAATCATTGTGACGTGAAGGAAATATAACACCAAAGATGAAGCAAGACATCCAAATTTGTTTGTGAATAAATTGTACACACAGTAGTTAAAATTACATAAACATTCACAACCAACCTGAGTGACTGTCGTCCAAAGAATTTTACTGAGAAACAGAAGGATAACCATGCAGGAAGCATGGAAGCACACACAAAAAAAGTCACAAAACCTCCACTCAACCCAGCTACAAGATAAGCCTGCTTTTACTAAACTTGTTTAGCCACACAAAAATATTCAAGAGAATACAGTAAATCATGCAGCAAAAAATAAAACTGGCTGACAAAATAATAAATCTGCACACCAAAGTTAATACAGCATAGAACCCAAATGCTCCCCAGAACCTAGCTTCATCAGATAGTGCCTGCAATTTATGGGTCAAATCAAAAGTTAGGCACTTCAGACTTGCAGCATCAAGACAAATTGAAATCACTCATGAAGAATATGTCCAAATTCAGAAGACTTCACAAAATCATATTTGTAAAGACCACAAATCAAATGAAGGAAATACAAACCAAGGCAGATATGCCAATTCTATTGGACGCTGTTTAATCAACTTGGAAGTCTTTCGGAAGAACAATATATTTTATTTGATAACTAACAGAACCAAGATATAAAACTGGTATTATTTAAAAGCAACTTAAGACTTGCACAGTAAAGCTTGAGACCCAAAGAATAAAGTAGGTGATTGGCCAATATTTTTTTTATAATGAAAATTGAAAACCAAATTAAAACAAAATAGTAGTTGTTAAGGTAAGAAGCTTTTGAAGATATATTACAGTTCAGATTTTAGAACATTGATTATGGGGCATTTGACAGCTCAAACCCATCTATCAAATCACTTTTGCAGAAGCAATGATATGTTTTGATTATTGAATATGACACTTTCATTAAGCTTATTAAAAAAAATAAGTAAACGTACAACTTTGTTTGGCATCCTTAGGGGCAAGAAAAAGGGAAAATTTCACCAAGAAAGTGCATGAGGTTGGTGAACCCATTTCAATATGCAGTAATACCTCTTCTGATCTCTTGCCAATTGAAACATCTTGAGAAAGAGGAAAGCTTCTCCAAATAATTCTTGGAATTAAAAGTCCAATTAGTGAACAGGGTATAAACATCATGAAAGCCAAGTGCGGATGAGCAAACCTGTGTTGCATCAATTAAATTAACACCAGACAGATAAGTTTTCAATTATTACACCTTAGATACTGATTCATACTCTATTGGCCACAAATAAATGTTAGAAACAATTCGATACTGCCAAAACTTAAGATTTTACAAGACCATTATAAAATGTTTGGAGTTGGAGCAGCTCCATCATAGACAGTATGAAGCTCCTTGTTCTCCCACTATATTATTTGATTAACAAAGAAAAATTCTGGCACTAACTACAAGAAGCCAAAAGTGAACTTTAAATGAACATACCAATTCATTGTCTGAGAAGAGAATAGTAATCTCAGTATAGAAAATGCAACAGGCACAACAATTGCCAATATAATCCCAACTGCATGGAACAGTAAACCTGCAAATCCAAGCAATTGTAAAATGTTATTTAATGTGTCAACAAATAATCATTTAAATTCTTCTAGAATAACACACCAAAAAAATTTCTCCTAGACTAGAGATTAAAAAAATAAAGGGAACAACAACTAAAAACATCTTATGAAGAAGTAACCAGTCATAACCATCTACTAATTTACCTTTTATAAAATCACAAAAAGTTGCCGGCCAAGAATGCGACCTACCATGTACGAAGGACACAACAAAGAAGAAAAAGATAGGAATACTGTGAAGAATTTTAGCTACCCTTCTGGAATAAAATATCTGAAAATCCATAACTAAAACATAAGACAACAAAAGAGCAAGATGACCCAATTCTGAAGCATATCGGTAGGAGTACCAGAACATCATAAGTAAATGCTGGAATCTACAAACTTTAGGGCATACCATAAACCATGAGAAATAGTCAAAGAATACAGCCCGCTCATCCTTGAATGTGCTAGCAGTAACTTCACTAGAATTTGTTTGATAGGTATTTTGTAGCTTAGAAGAATTGGTAAAAGTCTTGATCATGCTGAACAAATTTTCACCACGTGCTTGGATGCTTCCAGGTCTGAGACAAGGTAATACATCAAACACATTTTCACAAGAAAAAGAATATAAAATTTCAATAAAATATCTTGTACCATGCAAAGCAGGTAAGATACATACAATAATCTTTCTACTGTATCATAGGAGGTATGGTAAAAATAACCACCAAGGAGAAAGATAATATCAAGCCCAGGGATTTTCCCATAGTCTTGGGAAAATATTCGGTAATCTGTATCTCCAGGAATAATAGGAAAAACATCCTGCATATTAAAATAGGCATCAGTAAATACAAATGGTGAAAACAATATGTAAACAGCACAATATAGTACTAGAGATAGAGGTTAGAAGAGAGAGGCAAAACCTGAGCTGCACTATTAGCCATGGGGTATACGGCCGCTTCTGCATAGACATTAGAAGGCCAGGAACTGGGTCCAGATTGGCAAACTAAATCTGTTAATTTTAGCAACATTATTCAGTGAAGAAGTCTTACATAGCACAAATATCATAAGTTGATGCACAGAGACATTGAAGATGTAGCTTATTAGCCTACTAATCAAGATAGACAATTTGCATCAAATTTACCAGGCCCTCCAGTCCCAGATGCCTCCACATTTATAAAAGCTCCAATTGTGTCATGCCATTTATGCATCTTCATGAACCCATGTGAACCCTTAAGTATCAAAAGTAAACACCAACTCATTAGCTTCATCATGGTAAAATTCACTGATGAATAAGCATTCATCTTCTATAGACGACATCTTACCAACATAAAAAGTTCCTCAGCACCATTAAAAAGGAAAATAACCGGCTGATAGGGAGTCCATCCAGAATCCACAATTAGTCTTGCAATTTCCAGCATAGATGCTGAAACACAGGGAAAATTAGGTGAACAAGAAGATTTAGAAAGCTCAAGTTGACAAGGTATAGATTTGCCAGATATAATCTCTCAAATTCAATGAAGACTTCAAATATAGCCACTACTCACCAACACATGAACCACAATCACCAGCACCAGGGGAAGAAAGGGGACTATCAAAATGCCCATTCACTAAAACTGATGGATCAGTATCTTTGGAATCTATAGATGATATCCTGAAGTAAAATAAAAATTAAACCATGTCAAAATTCCTAAAAGAAGACAGATGTAGCAAACTTTGTTTTGTTTGTAACTTTATATGACATGAAGAGAACATGTATAGTCACCTAAGGTACATTATCAAATCATTATAGTTTTGACATATATGACATGAAGAAAACATGTATAGTCACCTAAGGTACATTAACAAATCATTATAGTTTTGACATGGTATGTTTATAATAAATGATTAAATCCAAATATCCATATTTCAAAGACCTTTGGATTGCATGTCATAATCTACCATTGAGAAGGCCCCTGTTTTTTAATCACTTTGCTTTTGCAAAGCCCTTCTTCCAACTAAAAATTCCCCCATTGAACTTTCTTGGTTTATACACAGTGTCATGTTAGTTTCCAATTTCCACCTAATGTTCACTCACAACTCTGAAACTAAGAAAGGGTATCACTTTCCAGGTGACATAGGTGCGTGTGTTTTGGAATAATATCATTTAGAAAAAGAAAAAAGTTAAACAGACAGGGTACAAGATTGAGTCAAAACAGCGCTGTTTACTGCAACAAGGGTAAATTCAGGTTACCGTCCCATGTACTTCAATCAAATTTCACATTTCACAACTGAATTTTTTTTTTTCCAATTTACCCTCAGAACAATGTTTAGCATTGAAATTATTAGATAAATGTAAGATTCTTACAGTGTTATTGTAAGTGACTAGTGTGAGACCCCATTGATAGAACTGGAATCAGATTATAGAATCAAGCTTATCTAACACCTTTTTTTCTCATCCTTTTGCCTCCTTTGATCCAATTCCTTCTAGTTAGAAATGGATTAGGTATAATTCAGCCTTAGAAGCTAGTTCAAGGAAAGAGGATTGCCCAAGCCTTATAAAAAATATTCAACCATATTCCTATTTAATGTACGGCATCTTAAAACATCTTTCATGCCCAAAAATGGACATATGGAGCATGAATTTGTAGTACTGAATATCTATGAGTGGCCCAACATTAAGATTGAAAGGTTTCAAATACTGTATTTGAAAATAGAAATAGACCAGGCCTAACTCAACCCTAAGCACTAACTCAAGGAAGAGGATTGTTCTAATCTTATAAGGAATATTCTAATCATACTCCTAGTTCATGTGAGATATCTTAACACATCTAATTTCTAATTAAAAGGCATTTTTTGTCAACTAAAAGACTACATCATGGCAAAAGGGTTATAAAATGACCACATGCAATCCTACATATGGAATCGAACACTCATCTAATAGTTTCAATATTAACCAATGTTCAGTGAGGTACTATGAGAAAAAGGATAATTTACCCTTTACCTCCATGCAGTTTCACCCCTTCTCAAATAACCTTCTCAACTTTTCTTTTTGGATCACTTTACCCCCTCATCTTTGGTTCACATTTAATGCCAGTTATAACATTTGCAGTGCATGTGAGCTAAACACACTAACAGAAGAATAATGTTGCTAATTTCATGTCTTTCCTTGCTAGAAATTAACATCAGAATAGAGAAATGAAATTAAGAGGAAGGGTGGGGACCATATGTAAGAAGAGAAACAGAATGATACTAATATATATAAATTTATAGTGATAGTAATTAGTTATCATTGCTGCAAAGTGGCCTTACTTAGACAAATGGTCAGTAATCATTAATAGGAGAACTGCGCACCTAGTGATATGCGTAAGCCTGTTAAAAGACCATGCCATTGTCCTCCTGGATGTTATTGCATATTGGAAAAGCTTAAAATAACATTGTTGCTTTCACGTTACTAAATTTAGCTTACTGGTATGTGAAGCACTTGCTTAGAAATTGCAGTTGTATGTATCACTTTGTAGGTCAGTTTAGATAACAAAGTGGGGACCAATCAAGTATTGGTTGAATTTAGATAATACCTGGATTATGGATGCATTGCCACATATGCTGATTATGCTTGCATCTTTGGCAATAATTTCTAAAAAAGGATGCAGTGATGAATCTACAGGCTTGTAAAATGAAATTTACCCTTAAAACAAGGAAATTCATGGATGAATGTGAAAATTGCTTGAAGTATAAATAGGTTATTCTGTGGCACTAGAATAACTCAGGTTAAGTATCTAATCCTTAATCCCAACGCATATAACCGGGTCCAATCCAAATGACTATTTTTAACTGCTAAGGTACCTCATAACAATATTAGTATGATTTCTGTATCCCAGAGCTATATTGTGCGTCAAAAAGTACATATTGAAGGATCCACTCACAGTAGTCTCCTCAATCTCAATTCTGCAGGAAAAAAGGTAGGAAATAAAATCAGGCTACACAGAGAAAAAAAAGTGTACATTCAATAAAAATAAAAAAGGGTTAAAAAAGGCAAGAGAGAAAAATAAATGCTAGCAACACACTCTCTATCTCTAATACACTCTTTTTAACATATTCTTAACTATTGGCCAAAATTTGATGAAAATTATAAAAAATATGAGAGAAAAACTTGGATTTAAAAGTGAGATAAGGTGAGACCCACATAGATTTTTATAGTTTTCAATCAATTTTAATCAATAACTAAGAGAGTATTCGATAATGTGTTACTAGCATTCATTTACAACAAATCATAATAATAGTATTAGAAAAAGGAAAGATCAAAACTAAAAAAAAAAGTGCTACGACCTGACTTTGGAGCTAGCTCGCTCCTTTATTAGTTCCAACTGACCCTTAATATATTCAGCAGCCATTTTCAATCCAGGACGCCCTTCCTATCAATTAATGCACCAAAAGTCAACATCCGAAAATCATGTCAAATTCATATCACTAATGCAAAACACGAGAAAGCGAAAACACTCGACTTTAAAATCTCACATCCTACACCCTTTGTTTAATTGACCCTTCAAAACTGATTCATATCACATCACAATCACACAATTCAAAACACCCAGCACTCTCAAAATCCCCTATTACAACAAAATAAACGTGAACAAACTTCAATTTTCCAACTTAAAAAACTATTATTATTCTTTACTCACTTGACGACCATCGATCTCTTGCGTCAACATTCGAACGTGTTCGACGGTTCTTCCTTCGGAGAATCGATCGAGAGGCGCGTCGCTTCCGAGTGGGTTTATGAACTTCATGTGGATGACGGAGTATGTCAGCGCCGACATGAGGCCGTACATAACCACCAGAACGAACAGAAAATTGAAACCGGAAACATCCTCGGAAGACCCGAACCCGAAAGCCATGTCAGCGTTTCCTTGGAAACGCAAACTGAACAAAAATAGAAGCTGGTCGATAGCGTTTCTCTTCGTTCGAGTTCAATTTAATTTTATTTATTTATTTATAAATAAAATAAATAAATAAATTGGTTATACTTGTAACTCGGGTTGAGGTTAGATTGGAGTGATCAATGGTTTTTTTTTCAAGCTCAAGTGTGCCCAAAATAGTGGCACTCTTGAAGGCAAAAGAAGATGAAGGAAAGAGGGAACATTTCAATTTGTATTTAACGTGTTTCTTTCTTATGTTTTTTTGTCATTAACGTGGTGTTCCTTGTTTATGACTTGACGCACCTAATTCCATGATGTTCGACTTTTTGATTGTGTTGGTTTTATTTGGGCTTTACACGTTTGGTTTTGGGCTACCTTCTAACTGATAAAAATGAATAAAATATTAATGTATTCAAGTTATATTAATTTATTATTTATAAATTTAATTTTAAAAATTATCAAATTAGAGAATGTTAATTAAAATACAAAATTTATGTTAATTTAAGGCTTGATGAATTTTTTCGATTGGCTAAGAGTAACCAGCCAAACATTCCTAGAGCCTGTTTCCAAACTTTGTTTATATTATTATGAAAGTTGCGTGAAAAATTATTATTCTCTATAAATAATATTAGAAACACAAGAAAAGTTAGCAATATATTTTTTTATTATTAGTTAAAATTTATTAAAAATTATAAAAATAATATGTATTTTATTTTTAAATTAATAATGGAGAATGTGTGTTGCTAAACTTCTTTGAAACACATTAGACAAGTAGGCTGCTGCAAGTGTTTGATGTGCTTAATTTAATTGTTAGATGATAGAATCCCAATAAAACAAAAAATGAATCCTTCGTAGATAAGGAGCATTAAGTTAAGTTATCGTGTTAGTTCATTAGTTCAAACCAATCATTTTCAATCAGTTCAGATCCAATTCCTCTTAAACCTGATTAATTTACTATTAACCCCTATCGTGGAACAAGAATTAGGTTAATCATCGATAGTAAACTAGGGACAGAGGTCGACTTTCAAATAGTACACGTATTTTCTCATCGTCATTTTTTTTTTCCACGCTGATGGTGATTGATCTAATAGTTCATGCAATAAATAAAAAATATGATAGTTAATAAAATGGATCTATTCAATGGATTAGTTAACAAAATATATAAAAAATTATAATTTAAATATTAAAACTAAATGTTGGAATGAATTTAAGTATTTTAGCTTAACTTGTTTGGTTCTAAATTTATACCAATTTAATAGGACTAGACATTTTTTTACAATAATATGTTTTTTCAGATAATATTTATTTTAAAATACATAATTATTTATAAAATTTAAACTATTACTTTTTTACATTAAAATTTATTTACATAGACAATAACTAATTGTAGGTTATCACAATAAGAATGGTAATGAGGAGATTGAGACTATTGCAATTGAAGATGCTAAACCTGTTTAAGAAAGTTCAAATATTTGAGAAACTAATTGGAATGTTTGTTTTAAATAGATAGGATTATTTGGGGTGTTTATTTCAATTTTCTTGAATGAAGTGATTCGATAAATTTTCTTGGAGTTTTTCATCTTCTTAATTCTCATTGATAAATTTTTTTGCTTTAATCCTTAAAATTTTTTAATACTACTTTATGTATTGATTAAGATTATTTTATATTTTTATTTAATTATAGTAAAAGTATTTCTATGCTTAAGACGATCCACGAATCTTATTTCGCAATGTGAAAGAGTTTTTTAATGTTAAAAACATTTATGTATATCTTGTTTATTATTAATCCTTTTAGATTTTTGCAGGATATTATTTTTGGTTCGTTTCGTCGTTTTCATTATATTGTTAACCCTTAAGTTCAACGATAAAATCAACAGGGCTTTGGTGGTATTTTACAATGGCGGCGATGTGGTGGTTGAATAAATATATTGAAAACTACCATGATTTGATGTTAGAGACAATGACAAAAATAATCACCATAAATTTAAAGATTAGGCTTAAATGTTTAATTTGAGACATAGATAAGTTAATTTTTGTCATCTTAAAAAATATATTTAGATGTATTAATTATTTATTAATCCAAATAAAAATAATTTCGATGCTCTTTTAAATCTATGGTACCAACAGATTCACCTAAAAATTACATGTCATTCTCGTGTAAAGATAATTTGGTACTTTCTTATAATTTATATATCACATCTAAACATTATGGTCCACTTCAAACACAAAATTGAATAAAATACGTACTTTACGGTAGATTATTATGTATCAAACACTTATAACAAAATATAATTTATTATCTAAAATGAAATGTTTATTATATAGTAAATATTTTTTTTATAACTCAATTAAAGATTTAACGTATAAAATTTAAATAATTAGATATTTTATTATGCTTGCAAAAGCGTTAAATTACAATCTCAATCGTCATGATTGTATTCAATGACCATAAATACTTATTTTATGGTCTATAATATATATCTTACTTTCAAGAGTAAAATCAAGAAAATATATTTTAAATGTTTTAAAACTGTTTGATGTGTGAAAATAAATTTTATCTTCACTTATAATTAAAACATTAATCTTTCAATAGTTTATATATAAAATAGTAACTTCATTATTATTTTAATTGTTTATGCAAACTTTCAAAAGTAAGAATCAAAGAAGTGGAAATAAAACAATTTTTATAATTAAAAATAAATGAAAATTATTTTGCAACATTAAACACTCATTATTTTTCTCCATATAATAGAAGGTGTCAATGTGAGAATCCAGAAAATAAAATGGGAATAACTATCAATTGTGCTGCAAGCATGTTAGCATTCATTATTTTAAAATGTTTGATCAATTGTTTCAATCATACGAATGTTTAATTAAATTATTTGGGGCAGAGAAACATGAAATTCCAAATTTAAAAAAGTAACATTTTATACTGTTTTAATGCACCAAAGTTTATGTGTATAATTTATAACATGTTTAATTGAATTTAGATGTAAATAAACGATCTTTTTCTTTTTAACAATTTTAACAAAAAAAAACATAGTTAATTAGTTGTCTAAATTAAATTAAACCAAAAGCACAGTTAGTCTCGAGTTTATTTCATAAGAAATTAATCATTTCCATTTAGGTCGGTACCTGAATTCATTAATTTCATAACAATTTAGTTTTTAAATATGCTAAATTGATAATTGAGTAATAATTATTATAAAATTATCAAAATTGAGAAATAAGTTATGCATACATATTTTTTAAGAATTAAACTAGCACAAATTTGTTATCTAAAATATTTACTCTTTTCTTAGTAATTAAGCAAAACATGTAAATTACAAATTTGTAGTCCTCAATGATGTTTAATTAGGTGGCTAATTTGGTTTCACAACAAATCTAGGAGAAAAGTCAAATTCTTTTTTTTTCTTACACGGAGCTTTCATTTTTATATTTAACACATTTAAAATGAAGGAATACATTTTAACATTAAAAAACTGTAAATTTTATCTACTGTACATAATAAATAACTTCTTGTTATAAAATGAGAGTAAAATTGTAAAAAAAAAATAGAGAGAAGAATATGATGAATAAGAGAGAATCTCAATTTCAAATGATATTCATCCTTCTCAGGAATCATCTCCGCAACTGAAGAGAGTGAATGTACAAGAACATGAAAGTCTAAAAATCATCTCTTCCGCCACCAATCTGGGATTTTTAACCTCCGGCTTCTATGAACATAAAGTCTGACCCCTGGAAGCTTGTGCTTGACCTGTCTCCACAGCATATTAACAGCATCTTCTCTTTTTGCAGGGTACTGGAATTCATAATGATGGGAGATGTTTTTAAGCTGCCTCCACATTTCAGTCCATTTCTCCTTTGGAAATCTATGAAGCTGATCGACCATGTAGCCAGGCTGTAATGCCTCTTTGAAAGAGAAGAAAATCGAGAACTGGGAGTAGTCAATCTCATCCTCAAATGGGAGTTCAATTTGATCGCTCACAATGACAGGAACACAGTGGCTCACAATGGCATCAAAAAGACGGCAAGATGATGGTGTGTCTCCTGCTGGATGCAAACAGAACTTTGATGAACGCATCCCTTTAGACGACTGTTGTATCAAAAGCATTGGATAGAAGAAAACTCATTAATGATTTTAGCATCATAAGAAAAGGGGGACAAAAGGAAAGAGAAAAACCAATTGACTATAATTCCCCTCCCGCAGCAAAGATAGTAACTGATTTAGAAAATATCATAAAGGAAGTTTCAAGCTCTTTGCACCCTCAAAATGGAAGATGTTAGACTCAGGGTTGATATGAATGTTTTAAGAGAGAGCGAGAAATTAAAACTAGTACTCTTTCACAGATGCAAGCTTTCAGGACATTGGTGATTGTATGGTTTGTCTTGCAAAATAAATAAATAAATAATCCCCCTTTGGAGACGATGCATTTTGTCCACAAAAGGCAAAGCAAATTGTGTGTCAGCAATCAAATTGAGCGTCAGAATGCATGGGGAATACATTACATAGAGAAGAACATCACACAGTCATTTCCTTTTGTGTAAGTTATCCAAATTATCTTTTGCTTTTCTAAAGTGATTCTCACTTATGCATTACAATGATGAGGAAGAAAAATAATAGTAAAATCAATCTTATAAACGGTTAACCACAAAAATTCTAACTGCAGGTAAGCCATAAAAAAGGACGATTCAAATATCAATTACATAACTATACTGCATACCGCTTTTATGTTGTCTCCAGTAGCAACACTTCGCTCATAGTGAACATCATCATAACCAGACAATATCTTTGCTAGTTTAACACGAACAATGCCATCCTGCAAACATCACAGACCTCACAAAATCAATAATCATGGAATTTAGAGAAGAAAAAGCTCTTCTAAAGTGAGATTGTTTTTAAAGGGAGCTAAAGGTATATCCACCATTGAATTATAGTGAGACAAAATCACAAAGCAGTTTATATTAAACAAAAGGGTGGATACAGCCTTACATGCCCACTTTAAAGACAAACTTACTTTAGGGGAACCCCGTCATATTAAGAAATGTGTTATTCCTATAATTAACTCTTGGTTAGACATACATCCTTCCTGAAAGTCCTCCCTCGGAAGAAAAGCAGTGTGGAGCGAGACTCATACGGATCTTGAGACTCATCATGTGTAAAAGAATCCACAACATGGACGTATGGGGTCACTACATCTTTGTTCAAATTAGACATGCCTTTGGGGTAACGGCCAAAATCCACGACAACCTGAATAGACTCATTCAATTGATCTCGTAGGAACCTAAAGGCATTTGGGTGTGTAATGGGAAATACGTGGTCTCTACCTCTAGACCTTTGCCAGTATTTGGATTTCTTTAAGAATTCCAATAGATCAACCTGACACCAGAAACAACCCTGTTTAACATTGATAACAGAGATTTAAAAAAACAAGAGCTCCGATGCACAGTTAGGCACCACCCTGCATTTTTTTTTTAATTACAATGAAGGCATGGCAAGATAATAATACACATAAACATGTTTACATCAACTTATAAAACACTTAAAAACAAAAGAGTATTATCATAACACATCATACATAGAAAATAGCTTTTATTTTCAGTAGCACAAACACAATTAAACGCTAGCATTTATCAATTTCTTATGATTTTCAGTATCTATGCTGTTTGACGAATATCCTATATGGTACATCTTCAAGTATCCTTACTAATTACATTCTATAGCTCGTTAAACATGCAAAGGAAAGCAGTGAAACTAACTGCATTGTAATTTTGTAATCGAACCATTCATCAATCAATTTCCAGAGAAAGAGACAACCAACGATCAGTTAAAGCCTTCGTCAATTGCGAACGAAGAAACCTAGCAACAAATCGGTGACGCACCTGCAATTGGCGATCAATCTCCGTGGCCGAATCCGTCATGGTGTGGCCATGCGTGTTGAAACTCAAGGAAGAGAAAAAAGGCACAAAGAACGCATCAGCGAGTTCCGGATCCAAAACCCTAACCGCTTCTCTGCCCTCGTCACTGTGAAGGAGCGAGCCCATCATCCAGTACTCCACGCTGTGCTGCTTTTTAAGCCCCCAATTGTCCGGCCACGGCGGAAAGTCGCGGGCGATGACGGGAGTTTCCGCCTTGTTCCGGTGATCAATCATGGCGACATTGAATCGGCGAGGAAGATCGTACATGTAGACACGAAGGGGTGGGTCGGGTGCACATGGAGCGGGTGCACCCGCTGATGACTTTAAGTTGGGGTTGAAGTAAGATCGAATGTCGATTGTGCCAATGAAAATTGAGTAAGAAAGAATGAGTAACAGCACGAAAATGAATGAAAGAATCACTTTTCCATACATGTTTCTGTTCTTTTCTTCTTCTTCGTCTTCAAATTGTTTTGCGGTGTTTTAAATAATTAATATGTTATCTTCTTCTGTTGCTTCTGCTACGAGGTGCTTTCTTGTGATACCCATTTTCATAATTTCGTTCTTTCTCTCTACCTATCTAATTCTGTCGGGAAAATGTGCAGTGCACGAAGATGCACTTCTTCGTGATGAGCTTCTCTTAGCTTAAGTTGTTCCCTGTATTTTTTTGAGTAATGACTAATTATTCAATGAAAAATAATATTAATTATGATACAATTATGTTGATTAAACATAATAATAATAGTAATTAAGAATGTAGGAAGCTATGTGTTATGTACAGTAGATAAAATTTACAGTTTTTTAATGTTAAAATGTATTCCTTCATTTTAAATGTGTTAAATATAAGGTCTAAGGTCAGCACCTCTAGCCTTGCACGCTGCATTTGAAAAAATAACAATACGCTCAAATTGAGACCTTAAACGGCTTCGTTTAGGAGACGAAAAGCACAAACGTCGAATCCATAAATACCAGCAAACAATAAACCAATGTGAAGCAATAAAATCAAATAGAACTTACACTTGGTGGGATTATCGGGCTCTCTTGAGTACTTCACCTACGAAACAAAGATTGCAAAATAAAAAAATAAGTAAACAATTCAAAGAATCCTATTAACGAAGTGAATAAAGTAGAAGCATATATGCAAGAGAGGGTACCATGCGGGCTTAGTTTAGCACACCTTCACAGAAGTAAGAAATGGCTCTCGGCAACGCAGGATCAAGGGATCACGGAGTTTATATAGCGGGGCTTAAAACCCTTGTCTCATAGCTTTCAGACATTTGTTATATGGTGGGTCGATGAGGCCCAAATATTTTTGTCAAGGGCCCAAGGTTTAACTCGTCAATGCCTAGGAACCAAGAAAAGTCATTTGGGCCGAACCGAATCATGTAATATTTTTGTCAAGGGCCCAAGGTTTAACCCTTGCATATGAATTTTTATCATCTTGTATTCTTACACACATTTAAAAAAATGTATTATAAAATATACACTAAATAAAAATGTGTATTTATGATCTTGAAAGCATACAAAATTAATAGTTTTTTTAATTTTAATTAAGAATATCTGTTATAGTAAAAAAATTTAGTGGCTGTTTTTGTTTTTTATATTCTTACTTATAATTCATATACTTTTGTTTTTAATAGCAAACACATTTCATATGTTCTAATTATAAAATATGTTCGGTTACATTAATGCATTATTTTGTTCTCATTTTTTTCAAACTTGTCTTTCAATATTTTCTTTTTCGACATTTTGCCCGGTAAAATATCTGAGGCAGTAGCTGAATAAATACAATGTCCGAATCCTCAATCCAAACTTGTTCTGGGTGGGATAATTCATATTTTGCCAACACATGAGCTGGGTCATTAGTCCTTCTCCTAACAACATGGTTAATATTGAAAGCATGGAAAAGTGTTCCTAATTTTATACAATTAACTTTAAGTATAGCATCGTAATTATTTAATGTCCCTTCTCTTATATCCTTCATCATTCAAGGAAACAGCAAGCCACTTCCGAGTCCCGAAGCCTGTGTTACCATTTTTGTTGGTGTGCCATTAAACTTCATAGCTGTCACGGACCGCTGCTCCAATGCCCCACTCTGCATCCATTGACAAGGGGTCCACAATGATGAGTCTCACACCGACAGGCAGTACTTACGAAAATCAATTGTTAAAAATAAAATAAAATTATGACTTTTGTTAAATAGATAATAATAATAATAATAATAATAATAATAATAATAATAATAATAATAATATTTTATTTAGAAAAATATTTATTATATTTTTATAATTTTAATACAATAATTATATATTTTTTATTAAAAAAAATTATTTATAAATGCTTAAATTCAGTTCTTAATACTGAAATTAATAAAACTCATAAATTATATAACTTTACCAAAATCTGTTTAAATAAAAAAAGAATTTACAAATCTTGCGATTAATTAATAAAAGGGCTTTACAAATCTTGCCATTGATTGTTTAAATGACTTTGTTTTTAGTTGTAAGTCAAGTAAAATTTATTCTTTTCCTTATTTGTAATTGATAATTCTTATTGTTCTCTGTGTCTTGTTATTATGTATGTTAACAATTATTAAGACAATGCTCTTTGTTGGTTTTTCTTATTTTTAATATTTAATTTTTTTAATGTAAAATTACTAATTGTGTTTTTAATAAAATTCATTTATTTTTTAAAATCAAATCAAATATATAATTCATTTTTTTCATTTGTATGGAAGTTGTTTTCATTAATTTAATATTTATTTTATTGATTCACTATATTTTTATATCAAAATTGATTTTAATTTATTGAATCCTCTTTCGAATTAATTATTAAATTTTTACACGGGATTGGAAATAGACGGTCTTATTCTGTAATTTATCATGACATGTCATTTTAAGAAATCTGAACTGGTCACAATAATAACAACTTCGTTAACAAATCAAAATCAAAAGAATAAATAAATCAAAAGAAAAAATTGTTATTTTCTTTTAATAATTGTCAATATTTTAAAAGAAATGTTTTGGTTTAGGACATATTAAATAAAAAGAATAAATATATTTATATTTTAAAATATAAAAAATCAATAATTTCTTCGTAAAATTTATAAATATAAAAAATAGAAATATTTAATATATTTTTAAAAAAATTATAAAAGGAAGGTTAATAACATATTTTCTAATGCATTTTTATTATTAGATAAAATTTATTTAAAAATTTAAAAATATGGTGAAAAAATTAAGCTTATATCATTTTTATATTTTTAATAAATTTTAATTAATAATAATATATATTAAAAACTATATTTCTATCATTCATCGTAAATAGAAAAGTGACATTATTTCAAATTTCTTTAAAATTATTCTATGATTTAGATTCTCTCTAATTGTGGTAAGAATTGAATATCCAGTTCTATTTTTGCTTAAACAAAAATATATCTGCTTAAGTAAAAATATAAAAAATAACAAAATTTTTGTAAAAAAATTAATTTAAATAATTTTTTTTGGCTTAAACAAACTATTCTAATTTAAATGAATTGTGTTTTCTCTTTTTTTTTTTATACCTAACACTCTCTTCTCAACTTTCATATTCAATCCTCTTTAATCTCTATATTCAATCTTTATCTTACTCTCATACCTAATTTTTCTCTTCCTTTGACATCTCTTTCTTCTCTTCACTCCATATTCAATTCCTTTTTTCTCTCACCTTACCTCATAGTTAACTCTTCTTCTTTTGTTCATATTTAACTCTTCATCCACCGCTCCCTCTACCATAATTTTTATACCATTCACTCTTTTTATCTCTATCTATCTTTAGTCTTCTATCTTTTCTTATACTCATCGTCCATATTCTCAAATTCATAAATTTCATTTAAGGTAAAATAATTCAAACTATAAAAATACGTTGAAATTAATTTTACATAATTTTTTTTAACTATACCGTCCACTCCGTCAGTAAATTTTGCACCCTTCAAACAAAGTTGCAAAATTTTCCTTGACTGAGAAGTATAGTTCTCAAAAAAATGAGACTGCATCCCGATCCTATTCTATCAGGACCAGTTATCGAATGGGACATGCTACAAGTCATAAATGACCAGAAATGTTCTTTGACACGGAGGTATGCTGTAAACAAGTCAACAATGACAGCACTTCCTCCTTTTTTTTTTTTACAACCATCGTCCCTGAGACGTTGAAATTCTGGAATAATATTTATCAAACCCTTTTAAATTAATAGACATTTACCAAAATACACACAATATTAAAATAATAAATTATTTTGTTTCAAATGTAAAAGTATAAACTAAAAAAAGAACAGCTTTATTCAATATTTTAAAATTAATTCCATGTATCTCATAAATTAATTTTTATCAAACAAAGATAAGTAATTCTAACGTTTAGCATTTTTTAGTAACTGGAGATTTTTTTTGTGGTTGAAATATAAGAAAATATATGTCTTTAAAAAATTTATGAATCTTGTTCTCAAAATTAGTTATGATCTTAAAAGTTAAGTTTTACTTTACTGGAAATCAGATTTATTTACAGAAGAAAAAATAACAAGAAAGCCTCATATTGACCTATAATTAACACTGTATTTAACTTTGCATACTTAGAATTATTTTTTAACTGATTTTTATCTTTATATACATTTATTTTTAAAATTATTTTCTAAAATAAGAAAATAAAAATTATCAGTAAAAATCATTGTTCATTCTTTCTGTCTGAAATTAGTTGTCTCGTCATTTTGATTGGTTCATTGTTTGATGATTTGAAAATAAAAAATCAACGGTTGAGTTATGACTATGAACAGTGCATGCTTTATTAAGTACGTGGATGACAAGATATTTTCTTTTCTTTATAGAAACATAGTTTGCCAGAGTACCAAATAAAATTTTATATATAATAATTTTTTATTAAATATTATGAATTTTAATAAATATTTATTATTTATTAACTTTTTATCATACACCTTCGGACACTACATTGAAAAAACTGATAATTTAATGCAACTTCACACTTCCAACGAGCTCTCTTAGTTATTTTTTGCAAAAAGCTTTGATTTGGGATTTCTGTTTCTCATATTCCCACTTAAAAATAAGGTTTATTTATTTTGTACCTATATTATAATTATAATATCTTTTAATAATGATATATTTTTTAAAACACAAAAATATGGAAAAATATTAAATTTAAAATAAAAAAGTTATAGTTAGTATTTTTTATAAAAAATATTGAAGAAAATATAATATTTTTTTTTCTATTTTATTTGACGACACTTTTGTATCCAAAAACAATTTCTCATAGTCAACTGTAAGCATTATTAAAGAATGTATATTTCCTAATTTTTTTGGCATGCGATGACATCAACGGCGGCATGAATGCCAAGATATATCCGTTATTACTTTTATTTTAAAGAATACCATATAAAATAATTTTCTTATTATTATAGGTATAAGAAAATATTTTAAATAATAATTATTTAAATAAAAGTGAAACAAATATCTAAAAGGACAATAGACATATATACTTTTTAAAATATAGAATTTTATAGTTAATTAAATTTTCAAAAAGTTAAAATAATTAACTCATAAATTAATAAACTTTTTTAAAAAAATTAATGTTTAAAAATAATTTTTATTTTTATTCTTATACATTCCTTTAATTACCAAATAGAATTTTTAAATATATTTATATTTTTAAATAATATATATCTTATTTTATAAAATAGTAAGAAAGTTAATAAATTAAATAAAAATATAATAAAGATATAAAAAAAATATATTGCTAAAATTTGTATAAAAATCAATTCCAAAGATGCATCGAAAGTTCATTAGGTTGACTATTGCGCCTCCTCCAACGTACCTTTTTGAAAATGTGTATTGCCATTTAAAATATTATTATTATTTTAACTGATCAGTCAAAAATATAGTTTATATAAAAATAATTTTTAAAAAGGTAATGATAAACAGCGGCTTACTTTTTTTGAAGGTCACAATGTTCTGCAAGTCACTTTTTGACAAACATAAAATATGTTTTGAAATTTAAAATATAAATTTTTATGCTATATTTATTAATTTAGAATTTTCAGGTTGTGTGAAGTATTTTTACGATTGTTTACCGTGGTGAGAAATGCTAAATTATATATATTGGAGAATATTTTTCATGATGGTAATAGGTGAGTTTGGGATGTTAGTTGGCGAAAAAGACTCTTTCAGCATAAGATCTCAAACTTTAATCTTTTGTTGGAACTTGTGGATGAAGTTTCTATTAAGTTACTACAAGAAGATAAATAGGTATAGAGGGCAGATTCTTCAGGTTGTTATTTAGTGCAATCTGCGTATTTATGGCTACTTGAACTTTTTGATAGTCTTAATAATGTAGATCAGTGTAGGCAGATGTCTTGTAAAGGCTATGGAGAGGAAAGGTTCCTCTTAAGTGTCTGGTATTTTTTTGGTAATTGTTGTTGAATATACTTATTTGTAAAGGTTTGCTGATTGATCATGGTGTTCAAATTGATGATATAACATGCTGCTTCTGTCATAGTTTTGAAGAATTTTCAATTCATTTATTTTTAACGTGCTCAGTTTCATCTCAAATCTGGTACTGAGCATGCCTTCAGATTTATCGACTCACTTGCTTTATTGGGTTAATGTTGGCTGTAATAAAAGAGAAGAAATATGCTTATTAATTGTTTGGGTAAGTATAGTGTGGTCTTTATAGTTACATAGAAATAGAATTGTGTTTTTTAATGGTATTTTGGATGAGAGAGAAGTCTTAAATTCTATTATTCTGAGGTCCTGTAAATAACTATCACTTGTTAGTAAGGGATAAACTATTTTGTTAGTTGATTGATATTTATACCCACAAAATTGCATCTGTCTTAACTTTGTATAAGTATATTTTTATATTCTATTTCTCTGAGTAAGTAAATTTTTTTTGAGTATATGAGTTTTGAGTTCCCCTTGAACTCTCTCTGATAATATTTATTTTGCCTATCAATTTTTTTTTATTAATTTAGAATAAATTTTATTAAGTAGCAAATCATGTTATTACTATGTTTTATACATATATTTTGTTTTTCTCTAACTAAAATATATTTAAAAAATTAATTTAAATATATTAACAATATAAATATTTATATTTATAATATATTTTAATTGACCGTCGTCGATACATTAAAAATAAATTAAAAAATTTGCAAATGACGTGTTGCATGTCTTTCTTTCCATGGGAAAGTGAAGCACGTGTGACAATACTCCATAAAAAAATATTCATTTATTTATTTATTTAATATCGTTAGCTAAATATACCTAATTTAGTTATAGTCAAATATGAAGACAAGACATTTTTATTTTAGTAGGTTTCATGTTGAAACGTTCGTGTGTCATTGGGCGGGAAATAAAACAGGTTAAGATATATTATTTTTTGCATTTTTTATTTGACTGTTTAAAAACTAAAAATTAGCATGTTATAACTAAAATAAACAAATAAAAATAAATATCTTATATTAAGATAAAAATATAATGAATTATATTAGTTTAAGCTAAATTTGTTTTTAAATCATTATAATAAATTTTTATATTATTTATTCATTTAAATAAATAAAATTAAAATTTTAATTATTTATACATTTTAATTTTTTTCTCTTTTATTTTAAATAAATAAAAAATTGTTAGCAATACATATTTCAATAAACTTTAATTATTAAATAAAATTTATAAAAAATATAAATTTTTAATCTTAATTTAATAAATTTATATTTAATTTAATAGTATATTTCGTACTCTTATAATTTATAATATATTTTACTTGTATATTAAAAAATATAGTTCTAATGTCTTTCTTTGCCGCAAAGAGGTGATACTCCCAATGCAGAGGCGGCTACGTATTCAAGTTGCCTTGTATCAACATGCAAATGATTTTTTTTTCTATTTTTCATGATTATAAACTTTAAATTATTAAATAAAAATATTAAATATTTTATTATTTAAGAAATATTTATATATATGTACATTTCATGATTATATTTATTAATAGATAATTCTTTTATAAATATTTTAAACTGGTCAAAAAGTTTAATATTTAAACCGACCTAGCATTTTAACATTTTAAAATATTTTCAGTATTTATTTATTTTAAAAAATTTAGATCGATGAGGGCAATCAATTTAAGATTGAATAAAAAACAGTGTAACTTAATCGTTAATAAGACTAGTATTGACTTGTACTTTCTAAAATTTGAAGAACTTGATCCAATTATATTATTTAAGACAAATTCCCTCTTATTTTATTTATACTATTTTAATTTTTATCAATTTTTTTATTGAGCATTTTGTGTCTATAATATGAAACATATTATTTTTAATGTTGAGTATATCTCAAAAACAACACGTGTATATCTTATGACACAACCCAATTCTTTTCGATTTTGATCAATTAATTCAGGTTGAGTTAGTTAATTTTTTATAAGTATAAAAGTTCAAATTTTATTTGAGCTCAACTCAATCTAACTTGACTCTAAATTACTCGTAACATTATTGTATGCGAATTTAATTAAATAAAGTTTAAGTTTAAAGTTGCTTTTTTGCTAAACTTATATAAAAATAATTGAAAGATATAAATATACGTGTTATCTAAAGAATTGTTATATTGATAAAAATAATTTTATAATAATTAATCTAAACATTATATTTATTATATATTTTAATTGATTAACCGTGTAAAAATTTTCCAAAATTAAATTCAACTTATGTAAACAATAAGTTAAAAAAGAACAAATTGTTACTTAATATTCTTTTATCAGTCAAAAACTCTATTCTTCCTTGACGGCGGGAGAGTGCGGGTGCTTATTTTTCCACTGGTCAGAATCTGAGCTTTGAAGTTTCACCATTTGCTCCTTTATATAAACCCAGAACTGAGAACAAAGTCACTCACCAACAGAAATACTTTGCAGTTTGCATTTTACGTTTATTATCATTATCAATTATTTTATCGTAAGTTTGCATTAATTGCACTACTAACCATGGAGGGTGACACATTAAACAAGAACATCCTTCAGAGTCCAGCACTTCTTGAGGTAATTAAATTGAGCCCATTGCTTACTTCATTTATTTATATGCTTGAAAGCATGTGTGTTTGTGTGTGGGTCTAATTTGTGAGCAAAATGAACATCTTCATCGTTTCCTCATCAAGCCCTGTTTATCAAAACTAAATTTGTTTAACAATTTTTTAAAACCAATTATAAATCAAGCTTAAATGTTTTCTCAAAATTGATATGGAAAATTATTTGCAAATCTTTATCTCTCTCCTGGGACTCTTCCTCAATAATTGCAAATCTTAATCAAACTATACCAATTGAATAGAGATATTAAATTTTCCGCTAATATATTTTGCACAGTACATCCTGAAAACGAGTGGCTATCCAAAAGAGCACGAGCAATTGAGGTTACTCAGAGAAACCACCGTACAAAAGTACAAGGAAGATATGTAAGTTAACTGGATTCGACTTTTTTTTTCCCTTCTTTTTGTTTTGAACATATAATAATAGGAAATAATATATTAATCTGTAACATGTTGGCAGGAGTTATCTGATGAATGTGCCAGTGGATGAAGCGCAGTTCATGTCGATTCTTCTTAAAATCATGAATGCGAAGAAAACACTCGAGATTGGAGTATTCACTGGTTATTCTCTTCTTGCTACAGCTCTTGCTCTGCCTGATGATGGCAAGGTACGTTGTATCTTGGCGTCCCTCGTCTTACCTTTTCAAGGGGTTATATGTATAAGCCACAAGTACCAGCTTAAATCAACAATATTCATTATTTTTGTTTTTATGATGTCATTTATGCGATGTTCCTATCATCAAAATGAGAGTTTAATTCTTCATATAATTATAGTTAACAAGCTTTTGATAAAGCAAATTAAAAGGATTAATTTTACTGTGTGCTCCAGATAACTGCAGTTGATGTAGATAGAGATGCCTACGAGGTTGGGTTGCCCTTCATTCAGAAGGCAGGAATGGAGCACAAAATTGACTTTATCCATGGTGATGCATCATCAGTCCTCAATGATCTTCTCGCTGTAAGTTTTCCTCTTTAAAATTATTGATGTCTTCTTTTTTGCAAATATAATAATATTAATACACATACGCGCATTAAGATTATATGAAAAATTTATAATTAAACTCGAGTGATCTTTTTGTTTATAAATTGTAAATTACGTTATAAACCTTAGTCAGATTCACGCTAGCAAATTATCATCACTAGCTGTATTCATCATCTTTAACTTTTGGATTGGATAATTTCAAGAAGAAATTGATAAAAAGAAGAATATAAAGAAGGGGGTGGGGGTGGTTGATGTATTTATTGACCACAATATGTCATTCGTGGACAGAATTTAGCACCGAACATACGGAAAGAAAAATATCTGATTGTAGTATTAAAATATCTGTAGTTTAATTAGTTTTATAATCCTATACAGCCATCAGTCACGATCTGCCTTTGTAGTTTTGTCGTTGTTATGGGCATGATGTCTCGTTAGTGATGGAGAAATTATAATTATTATATGAGCTTTGTTTTGATTTTATTTTTTATATTATCAGTATTGTTATCATTCAAATTCTGATAAGGTATTATTATAATAAACCATTCTAATGATGCATAATCTTAACAAATCAAAAATAAACTCGACCATTATCGGTTTTGATTTTCATTTTTATAATTAACAATGGAAATGAACGTGTTAGATGATTGATTATTCTTTTTATCTAATAATAACTTGCATATTATAATTAAACATGTATAGTATACAAAATGTTTTAAACTAATAATCAACCAAAATTTAGTTCTTTACTGTATGCCATGAGATTCAAATTTTAATCAATTAGAGTTATGGGGTTTTCTGATAGTATTTCTAAACAAGATGATTGTTGTAGTATATTCAATATCTTTTATTATATTGTTGCCCTTGAATTACCATTAAAGAGGAGAAGAAGAAAAAGTAATAGCCAAAAATTGCAGGACAAACAAGAAGAATCATTTGATTATGTATTTGTGGACGCGGACAAGGCAGAATACATTAAGTATCACGAGCTGCTTCTGAAATTGGTGAAGAAGGGTGGAATTATTGCATACGACAATACCTTATGGTATGGTTCAGTGGCCATGCCTGAGGAAAACGTAAAAGAAGACATCATAAGGAAGAAAAGAACGCCTTTGATTCAATTCAACAACTTCATCGCAAACGATGCTCGCTTGGAATCAGCCATTGTTTCACTTGGGGACGGCATAACCTTCTGTAGACGTCTGTGATTCCTTCACAGTGAAGAGAGATCATAAGGACAATTGGGACATCATATTATCAGAATAATTTTATAATTTATTTTTCCTAATAAAAGAAATAAAAACACTGAATAAACCATCACTTTTAACGCTACGTGGCACTGATGTTGCTGAGTCAAAGTTTATGCTGATGAAATTAAGATAGGCCCAATTTGTGGCTTGTTTGAGTTTGTATCTTGTACCGTTGTATAAGAGATTTTCAAGTTGTATTAATGTTATTTTCATTTTGATCTTATTACAATGTTCCAATTTTAAAGCCACTTTTCTATTGAGGAATTCTTTTTTCTTTTTTTCAATTATGATTGAAAATAAAATAAATTAATGAACTTCGATAACAACTTACTTTAGCCAAACAATCAACATAATGCATTCATTTTTACATGCTGCAATTGTATCTTGTAATACTTCGCAATTAAAATTATGATTAAACTAAGATTAACCGAAGCGTAGGTCATGCCAAGAACACTGAGTGCATGAAATTAGTTTCCCAGCAAAAGAAGCTTGGAAACCATGCTGGTTACCGTTTGGATTTGAGATTTCCAATCGGATAATTATAATTATAAATTTATTAAGTAATACTTTAAGGACGATATTTAAGAAATATTTTTTATTAAAACATGTAACGGTGAGCTTAATTTAATATAAATTTATTGTTTATTAATTTTTTAACTAATAACTTAAAATTTTGATTAACAAAACCTCCTAGAAGAGATCCAAGGATTGCATCCCATGGAATGTAAGGAATATGGAATACATAGTATCACTTATGTAAAATGTGATATTCTAGGAGTAAATTGATATGCTCTAGCTCGTTAGGTAATTATAACTAAAAAAAATTAATTACTCTACGCGAGTATTGAGCGTATATATTTATTTCTTTTAGGGTGCCTTTAGTGTATATGTACTTAGAACTGTACTCATCATTATAATTTTATTAAAATAAAAATTTAATTAGGATAATATTTTATGTGTGTGGATTACCCAAAAAATATTATATTTATTTTGATGCGATTGATTAGAAGTGATCATAGGTAGGATTATATTAAACTTGAGTAAAAAAGTGGATGTAAATCAGTGAGCAGAGTGACTGTTGAGAACAGAAAAAAATTATCAAGAAGCAAAACTCAAATAGAAGAAATGGAAACTTAATCTAAGATAAAGATTTAAATAAATTAGAAAAAAAAGGTAAAAAGAAAACGTAAAATTTGTCAGTGAAATAAACATCTAATAAGTGTTCTCGTTAAATGGTGAGCAATTATAAGGAAGTGACCAAGACAACAAGTGATCATGATATTAGCATCGTGAAAGTGTAAAATTTAAGAAAAACTGAAAAAAAAATATTCTAAAATAAGGTGAAGAGCAACAAGACAGAGTCTTAAATCGTAGAGTCGTGAATCGTTGAGTGAAGATTGGAACAGTAAAGGAGCAGCCACCATGAGGACAGTATATGCAAGGGCATCTTTTTAATAATGGAGACATAACGCTTTAGCTCTCAACTCTATGGCTATGATATGGGAAGAATGAAGCAGCTGAAAAAGTAATATTTAAAAATGATTAAATGTATCGTATGGGAAATGATGGAAATACGAGTCATTATTATTGATTTTTGTGTTATTTAAAGACAAAAACTGTATGAGAAATAATTGATAGAAAATAAGGAACTTTTTTTCTTTTTAAATTATGCACTTTGGAGGTTCTATGAAGAAGAAGAATAAAGGAACTTTATAAAAATTTTATTTTTAAAGAAACCTTTTCATAAGTGCGCTTCATAAGTTTATAGACTCAAAATATGAAAGCATATGAGTACTACCTATAATACTTTATTTATTTCAAAATAAAATATTTTTTACAATTTAGAGGAGATAATAAAAATTTTATTTCAAATGACTTTAAATATAATGTTTCAATAAAGTATTTCAAAATATGAAATATGTTACAAATTTGAATCAAAATAAATGTTACAGGACTTGTTTAATATATCATAAATTTTAAAATAATTTTTTAAGTCTTATAGCAGTATCATCCATCTTATTTATTGAACTTGGTGTTGATTGTCTTAGTCACATGAAAAATAAACGTAAGAGTGAGTTCTTTACACTATCACATACACAAACGTAGAGACTCATCTTACATATTTCAGAACATTCCTAATGTAATATAAATCATACATTGAACAAGCACAATTCAATTAATTACCATGATGCACACATCGATCATTCACATATGTATGCTCATTGTACATGGAATCAATTCACGCTCACTATGACATTGTGATCACAGTTTCTTAACGCCTTCAATTTCAGGGACTTATTTAGTTTCACACTATGGATGGTCATCAGTTAGCTCCCGCCTCACAGATGTGTGCGGTCACAGGCTCCTTAGCAAAGGTAGTGGTCAGATGATGAGTTAGGAGAAGAGTGTGTGACCTGTGATGTACTCACGCTTACTGTCCACCCTTTTTTTCTAAGGTATTTCTACCACCTAATCTTCCACACCTAGTGTATCGCTGTAACCATTCATAGTTCCAACCATTTTAGACACATCACAATCAATATGTCATTCACACATATTCATCTACATTCTCAATTATTTCGTAGTATTCATTCTCAACCAATGGCACCTTCACACATATTTAACCACATTATACTTAATATCTACCACATCATGCTCAACACAAAATTTCCATCAAACACACATATTCTCACGTTCTATCTCAATCACATTTCAACACATAAACTAACATTAAACACAAAGAAGTAGAGTAGAGTGCTCCCTATATGTATCATCACCCTAAATACATGAAATAATCCATGAGAACTGAGAAGAACGAAGATTAAATAAAAACGAAACCCTAACTCATGAAACTTATCTCCAAACGTCTTCAAAATACAATCTCAATCTTCAATTTAGGGCACACACGACTTTAGAGGTAATTTAAGTAGTGAAATAGGGCTGAGAATTGAAAGAGGGATGAAGGGAAGAGTGGAAAAATGTGTTCTCCCAAACCCTAACCCCTCAAATACTCTCATGAGTCGCGATATTCTCGCTACAAAGAGACTTTTTCTCTACAATAAAAATATCAAACAAAATTGCGCTTAGTTTTTTTGCATAATCTCGCTACAGTGATGCTAAACCCAAAAAATACACCATCTCTGTTGCCCTCTCACTACATTGAGGAGTCTCTCGCTACAGCGAGAACGTAACAAAGACACTTACATCTCCTGTGACTTTTTCGCTACATCAAGGATCTTCTCACTATAGTAAGAACGCAACAAAGATACGTTAACTTACCTAGGATTTTATTGCTACCGCGAGAATCCTCTCGCTACAGTGAGAATGTCCATGCAGTACCACATCAACCTCACTCTCATACATTTTCAATTCAATCACAAGTCAACATTTACAGTTCAACCACAACATAGGTGTATATATCCATTACCAATATAACTCAAGATGTACATTCAAATAACAATACACACACTTATATTAATAATCAAATAGGAGTTACAAAACTTAGGGCATTACACTACGATGTATAAGAAAGCGTATTTAATGAGGTGAGCATTTCTTGATATGCTTAAACAAAACTAAGAGAGTATTTTAGGGAACGGAAACTCATGATTGTTATTTGGTTTAAACGGTGTCTTTACTTTTAAAAGAGTGTTCTACATCTTGAAAAGAAGGTAGCAGGTGTCTTTGAGCATAGCTTGCATATGGAGGCATTAATCAACTTTCTACAAGAAGGAGGCATGTTGAGATATTAGGTAAACTCATTCTCCCATAAAAGCATTTGCTTAATTCACTCCTAGAAGTTAAGTATCTATGAACTCACTTCTTGTAATTTTTCTAGTCCAAATCAATGAAGATAATAATAATAATGTTTGAAGTAGTGATCATGACAATCAATATTTGTGATAGAGATGAAGGTGATAACAACCTTAAATGATTGTAATGATGATAAAAATCAACACAACAACAATAACATTGAATATAGTACTAGTAGTGATGATCATAAATTAATGGTAGTGATGATAATTATGTTAAGTGAAGAATGATAAACAGTGAAATATTAAGTGACGCGATGTTAAAGTTTCTCATTTAAAAAATAAATTAAAGTTAAAAAATTAATTTTAATCTTATTATAATTTCACATAATTAGGGCTTAAAATTATTATTTTAATTCTAAAATAATTTTCAAACATAATAATTAGAAGTGGCAAAAATTATTCATATGTTTGAAATTCAATTAATCCACCCGTTTTAAAAAATAAAAGTAAATAAAATGAATGCATCGTGGATGGTTAATGATCCATTCATTTTCTCTGAATTCATATAATTATTAAAATATTAAAAATAGAGTAGATGATTCTTTGTCCCGTTGCTATTGAAAATTTGTAGTATTCAAAATTAATTTTAATCTTAAAGCGTAAAACTTAAACTTACTTAGAAAATCAATTTTATTAAAAAAATATTAACAACAATTATCATATCAACCTATAACTTTATTTTTTTGTCTCATTATTGAGACATTTAATAATTGACACCATATTTAATATTATGTATTACTATCTTTTTTGCAACCTACATATGTTTTAAAATATTATTTTAAAATAAATATTACAAAACAACAAACAATTATCCCTTATATAAAAATTAATAAAATATACTTAATGAATATATCGACATTTATTAGCTTTTTATTATTTGAATATTAAATATTCCAATATCTTATAAATATAACTGATTTGTTATGGTATAATTTTGTTTTGTAGTGATTTTCTGGCCGTATGACGTATTGACCAATAATACTTTGACTGATTTTAGTTCAAGATTTATATATTTTTTTTCTACCAAAGATGCTGAATCATTAGTACAACGAGTATTTAAATTACCAAAATTAAATATAGTATGTAATATTGTATATTTTTATTATTTATCATATAAAAAATATATACAGAAAAGAACACAAAGATGTTTTAATCACATTTTGGCTTATATTATATATGACATGAATACAACAACTTCACACTTCCAATAAACTCTTCTAGTAATCCATAAATAATTCCTTGTGCGAGTTAGAAATAATGTTCTGCCTATCTTATACCTATATCATAATAATTATAATAATACTTGGGAATAAAGAAGTTTCTATTTTTGTTTTTCTAGTATGTTAAACATTTTTATATATATATTTCTATTTTTTATTGTTATATTGAAGTTATACAACATAATACATAAATATATTTTCTCATAATTCAACTGTGTCATTAAACTAGAAAAGTTATTAAGTAATTTAAAATAATATGATTCCAACAACTTATAGGGTATTTTTTGTATGAAAAAAAATTATCAAACTATGTTATTTTAGAAAAAAATTATAAAAATTAAGATTTTAAAAAAAAATTATAGTTTCAATTTTTTACCAAAATTCTGATGGTGTTTTTTTGCATTGGAATTTTTATTTTATTTTTATAATATATAATGTAAGTGGCGGAGCCGAGACCGTACGATTTTTGTATATGTATATAAAATTCTCTCTTGTTGAATTTTTTTAAACATTTGTCAGTTAAAGCATGAATTTCTAAGGTTATGTTGTATGGGGTGACGTCAACGGGCAAAAAGTAGCTGTCATTGTGGAAAATTGCTCTTCTTGCATTCCAAGGTCATCTCCTTAGTCTATTTTTCTTACGATCAGAATCCTCGCCACTTTACTTTTTAATCGATGATGATCTGTATTTATAAAATAGTTAGTTGTTGAAAAATTATATTTTATCAATATAAACAATAAATTATGGTTCATCGGATTTCAACTCTCTGCTGTGAAGTTGCTCTAGGTTATGATTTATTTGATGGAACGTGACGAGTAAAAAGGAATGCTACATGCACCAAGTTTAAATTTTTATCATATTGTTATGTGTAAATACACAAAAAGAAAAACATAAAACTGGATGAGTTAATCGGAAATGGCGGCACAGAATTTGTTAGAATTGCTCGTAGGATAGCGTTGGGTGTTCCCAACCTTAACGAATCACAGCCTTCATCTTCCACCAGTTTACTACTGTTGACGAATGCAAGAAAAGTCTAAAGTTGGAAGTGAGAAAACAGAGTTACAGTGCAGTGCCAACAGTTTCTAAGCTTTTGAAATCGTTTTGCGCAGTGCATCACTCACATCGTTCTCAATCGATTCCACAAACCACTTCTTCAACTTTTTGTGATTTTTTTATTGTGAATGTTATGCAGGTTTTCTCCCTGTAATTTGGAACCATGTCGAGTCCCATGTTGCTTGGTTAATTCCACTCTGGAGAAAGCAACGAAGAACTCAATTTACAAAGAGGTGTTGGATTACAGTAAATTTCTTTGATTACGGTTTTGGAAAATAATTGATGAAAAAATACTAAGGAAGAATGCTTAGAATAACTAAAAGAAAAGAAAAGAAAAGTTGAAAAAGGGTTTTATGAGTTGAGTGAAGAGTCAATTCATTATTTAACAAAAAATAGTTAATGAAAATAACTAAATTTTAATTTTTAAAAAAGTTTATGAACAAATTTTAATAAATTTATCACAAAAAATATTATTTTTATCATAATAAAAATATAATTAAATTTATTATAGTTTGTTTTTAATATTCAACGGCATGATTAAACTAAAACTTGAGAATATCATAGTCAAAAGAGGTGATGTTATAGTTTTGACTTTTCAGCTAACTTTGTCCTTTCATAAGAATGAGCGTCCAAGTTAGGCACGCCCTGCTGTGATAGCAAAAACTAACCTTCAATTTATTTTATTTATGAGGTCACCTAAGATAGTGAAATATTTGTATGTATTGCAAATTTTGTTAATATGAATGAAAAGCAACTTGACCAGTAACACACCAAAAATAGGTATATTTAAAAACAAAATTAATACTGCAAGAAACACACACACAGAATTAAATAATAAAGGAGGAGGAGCCAGCATCAAGAAAATGGGTATAATAAATAAATATTACAAAAATATTAAGTGATATTAAAATATAGTAATCGATTGGATACGTGTACAGTATAGTGACTTTAAGTTTGTGTTTAATTTTGAAGGAAATGAATGCAGACTTGCAGAGAGGTGTTTGAATTTTGTTTTGGTTTAAATATATTGTGTGTTTATATATCTTATTTGACTGAGTGAAAAAATAATGCTTTAAAAAGTTGTTATGATTTTTAAAATATTTTTATATTTTATAAAATATTATCAAAATAAAACATTAAAAAAAAAATCATGGCCCTCGCTCCTCCTTTCCTCACAATTGTACACTTTGCATGAAATATTGTTTTTATTTTATAGGATCCATGAAATTTTTCTTTTCTTTTTTTAACTTTTAAAACATTGTAACTAAAAAAATATTTTTTTCCCACTAAATAAATAACTTCTTTAATTTTTCTTTTCTTCCAAAATAAATGTAACTATCTTGTTTTGCGTTTGTTTAAGTGAAATTTTTTTATTTAAGTAAATTTTAGTAAAAAATAATTTTAATGTAAGGTCAAAAAATTTGTTTAAAAGTAAAAAAAAAAAGACCGGGAGATAGTGTGATGGCTTACTTTTCCTCTGCTCTGAATCTCGAGCTTTGACGTTTCACGATTTGCTCCTTTATATAAAGCCAGCAAAGTGATACCAAAGCAACTCATCTACATAATACTCAGCAGTTTACATTGTACATCAACCATGAAGAACATCCTCCAGAGTCCAGAACTTCTTAAGGTAGTTAAATTAAGCCAATCGATTAATTTATGTATTATGTACATGAAATCATTTGTGTGTAATTTGCGAGCAAAGTGGACATCTTTATCGTGTTTATCAAATCTAAATATGTAGAACCATTTTCATTTTGAGTTAAATATCTTTTTAATTCCCAAAATACATTATATTTTTATATCAAAATTATTCATTAGATAGCTAATCACTGTTATGATGAAACATCTAACTCAAATGTTGTCGTGTATTAATTTTCTATCACATATAAATATGCATATAACATTTTTTAAAATTACACAAGTAACAGAGATATTAATTAAAACCGATTTTATGGCTCTTGTGATCATCCTAATTTAATCAAAACTATAATAGAGATATTAATTTTTCGGCTAATATATTTTGCACAGTACATCCTTGAAACGAGTAGCTATCCAAAAGAGCACGAGCAATTGAAGTTACTCAGAGAGACCACCGTACAAAAGTGCCAGAAAGATTCGTTAGTTAACTGAATCCTACGCTTTTATTTTCTTCTTTCTGAATAATCATTTTGTTTTGAACATATAATGAGAGGAGAAATATATATTACCATGCTCGGATCCATAATGTTTTGTTTTTTAAAACGTTCATATATATGTTGGCAGGCTGTTCTTCATGAGTGTGCCAGTGGATGAGGCGCAATTCTTATCTATTCTTCTTAAGATCATGAATGCAAAAAAAACACTAGAAATTGGTGTCTTCACTGGTTATTCTCTTCTTGCCACAGCTCTTGCTCTGCCTCCTGATGGCAAAGTACGTTGTATCACATTCTTTTATGTATAGTGTTTTTTTTTTTCTCTTGTGAATCTTAGCATGCCCGTTTTACTCTTTTATGTGTTTATATATACGTTCCAAGTGCCAGCTTAAATCAACAATCCTCATTATTCTTGTTGCTACTATATCATATATGCGTTGTTCCTATCATCAAAGGAGTTTAATTCCCCAATTTAATTTTTTCCATAATTGATAAGCTTTTAATAAAATGATTAGTTTATACTTACACGATTCATGTAAAGTTTACGCTTGCAAATGAAGCAAATTAAAAGAATTGTACCGTGTGCTCCAGATAACAGCAATTGATGTGGATAGAGAAGCCTACGAGATTGGGTTGCCCTTCATTCAGAAGGCAGGAATGGAGCACAAAATTGACTTTATCCATGGTGATGCATCATCAGTCCTCAATGATCTTCTCGCTGTAAGTTTTCTTTTTTAAAATTATTGTCTGTCTTTGCAAATATGAGTAAATATAATAATATTAATAAACATACACACAGTAAGATCTTATGTAAAATTTATATGTAAACTCGAGTGATTCTTTTTGTTAATAAACTGTAAATTACATGATACCCGTCAGTTTGGACTAAAACAAAATTACTGTCACTAGCTATGTACATCTCTGTAACTTTCGGACAAAATATAATACAGAATATACCGACTTTACAATATAAAAATATTTTAAACATTTAATTACTTAAATAAAAATCACCAGAAGACCCATTATTCTGATGTGGTAAGACCTGCAGTAATTGTTGATGTACATGAATTATAATTGAAGAGGATAAAAGAAAAATAAGAAGGCAAAAATTGCAGGAAAAACAACTGGAATCATTTGATTATATATTTGTGGACGCGGACAAAGCAGAATACATGAAGTATCACGAGGCGCTTTTGAAGTTGGTGAAGAAAGGTGGAATTATTGCATACGACAATACCTTATGGCACGGTGCAGTGGCTATGGCTGAGGAAGAAGTAGAGTTAGATGTCATAAGGAAGAAAAGAAAGCATGTGATTGAATTCAACAAGTTCATAGCAAACGATTCTCGCTTGGAATCAGCCATTGTTTCAGTTGGGGATGGCATAACCTTCTGCAGACGCCTGTGATCCCTTCAAAGGGAAGAGATTGGTATAAAATACTATTATGAATAAATTTATAATATAGTTCCCGAATAAAAGAAACATAAACGTTAAATAAAACATCACTTTTAGTTAATGATATGCCTCTCGCACTTATGCTTTAGAGAATCAAAGTTTATGTTGAAGAAATTGTTAAGCGATGATGTGTATTGAGTTTGTATGTCTTGTACCGTTGTAAAAGCTATTTCCAAGTTAGTATTAATGTTATTTTTGTCTTGATCTTCTTTTATAATGTTTTGATCTTAAAGCCACTTTTGAGTCCAGAAAATTTTATCTTTCAATCTCGATTGAAAATTAAAAAGCAAAGGCTGGAGAAAGGAGAATGGAAAGAAAAAATTAATGAAGTTGAAGGATGGCTATGTAACAATTAAGCCTAAGAAAAGGTTCAAGGGGGGCATCCCAATGACAATTAGATGGAATGTGTGAAATATGGAAAGTTCGTTAGTTAAATAAATTTTATTAATTTTACTTCTTTTTGGTCTCTTTAGCGTATAAGACTTGAAAGCTGATTTTTATCAAATTTGAAATTTGTTCGAAGTAATAATGACCGGTAGAGGAAAGAGTTTAACTAAAATAACAAAATAATCCAAAAGTTTGATGGAGACAATGATAACACTAGGATTAGTGAAGACGAATGAAGTAACTATTGAAAGAGTTGAAAATGACAATAACGGGAGGTACGGGTGTAATTGTGTAAATCAGCTTGAATTGAGTGTTTTAAATTTAAGTCTGTTAAAAATAAAATTAAGTTTGGCCAGTTCATTTGAACAAGTCAAATTTAAAATTTGAATTAACTTGATTAATAATTTTAAAGATCGAGTTTGACTCATTAATTTTTTTTAAAATTTTGAATAGTTTTTTATTAATTTAATATTTAATAAATATTTTATTAACTCTTTTTATTTTGGATAATATTCATCATTATAAAAATAAGGAGATGTGTTGGATGTTTGAAGATATTTATAATAAATTATAAATGAAATAATATATTAATTTTTATTCAAAATTTATCCAAATCATCTGCTTAACGTCCCCGTTGATATTTCAATTTCAAATTGCAATTTAACGTGAAAAAGCCAACAATACTTAGAGCTCATTTAGATAACATAATATATTTAAAAAAAATAGAATACGAGAGTTAGATAAAGAATAATGGGATATCTTTATAAAATTATAATATATAAAAAATTATATAAATGATTATAAAAATAAATTTATATAATTTAATAGTTTAATTAATAACATTTATTTTTTATAAAAATTCATCAAAAAATTAAATTAATAAACATCATTTCCTCTAAAAATACATCTTTTACTTTATTTTGGTGTATTTTTCTTTTATATTAAATAACTCAAACATTTAGAAATATTATTTTTTTATATTGCTTTTTAACCTTTCATTTTCAAATATTTTGAAAGTACTGTTTTAAAAAAATCTTGCTTTTTGTTTTCTATTTTATTATTTTAACACTAATTATCATATTATAAATATATTAAATAAAATTAATTTTTTATACAACAACCAATTTATATATACATTCTTTTGAAATTTAATAAAATTTTATTTATCATTTGTATATGATTTTAATATTTCTTCACTTATATGATTACATAAAAATTGAAAATAATTTATGTAATTAAAAAGAATATGAAACATTATATGACTACATGAATTAAAAATATACATAATAAAAAAATATCAATTTTTAAGAAATATAAATATAATTTGGCATGATAGGATTCTGTGATAAAAAAAATACATATATCGTGTACAGCTGCACGACGCCACGAGTCACCTACCACCCTATTATTTGGAGTATTTATTTATTTATTTATTTTTGTGAGTCACCCACCCACCTACCCTTCTCTATTCAGTAATAACCCAACCTGCACTATCACGTGCTGTGCATTGGGATATGCAGTTATGCACTTTCCTATGGACTACGTTTTCACTTTCAATATTTAAAATTGAATTTAACATTTAAAGGTAGCTTATTATTTTTAGATTACATTTTATATTATTAATACAATAAATATATTTTAAATAAAAATAACACTTTTAATTGTTAATAATATAATATCTAACGCACACTTAAAAGGTATATTTTTATTCTTAATTAAAAATAATGAAAAGAATAACAATTATATAAATTTTATTTTTAATGTAATAATTCTTAGTTATATTTTTATAATTTTATTTAAAAATATGTTAAAAAATATTTGTTTGACGTTGTACAGTTTATGGCCTCATAACCGGGTCATCGTAGGCCTTCGAGACATAGAAACCATTTTTTAGTTGCGCATTTGTTACCGTTTTTTCAGGCGGGGTGTCACTGGTGTATGGATTCTCTTCGGCCGAGAATTTTATTATACGTATGCAGTCGCATTTTTAACCGTTCATTTTTTAGTTAAAATATTTAATTTGAAAATAATATATACCAATGGTTGAGATCGATAATTAGAATGACTACAGAAGAAAATGAGCGTAGAAGATTGGGTCCGTGTCATGGAGGCAATTTAAGAACGAAAGGGACTGTGGGCCAGTGCTTCAGTGGGAATGATTCACACCATCTCCGCTTAAATGAAATATCAACGCTCAAGTCTCAGATTTTATCACTCGTCTGCTGATACTCTGCATTCAATTTGCTCTTTGCCTCAACCATGGAGGGCACATCATCGCAGAAGAACATCTTCAAAAGTCCAGCACTACTCAAGGTAAAGTTAGCTAAGCCTGTTCATCCATGTACGCGTACACTTGATTTTGATAACATACTTGTAATGTTGCATTATAATAATCTTTAATTTGTTTTGGAAGACTGAAGGTGGCTTTCTTTCTCTGATAGTAACTTCATGGATCCCGATTTACCAAATTTTTGTAAAATAATTCTTAAATAATCAACTATCATTCTCTCTTCATGGTTTTCCCCTAATCGTTATGAAAATAATGTGCAAATCTATCTTCTTGATTTTGAAAATCTATTATTAAGAGTGTGTGTTGGGATCATATACTTATAATTTATTTTAATTTTTTAGCTTATTTTTTAAGTAAATGAGTTAGTTAAGTTGTTTAATAAATAATAAAAAAGGAAATTTATAGTTTTAAAAATTAATTACCATTCAATTTGTTGAAAATTATGTTAATTTTTAACTATTTAAATAAGCTATGAGTACTCATATAAGATAGTTTAATATTATTTTTAGATTGTGTTACAAAAATTTAAAGTTTATTTAGAATTTTATATCCATTTTTTGTGTCAATAACTTGCTAGAGGTGCTTCGTAAAATAAAAATAAAAAAATAAAAACTTGTAAATTTTAAAAGCTAATTTATGAAAAAATATTTTTATGTCATTTTAATTTATTAAAATTTACTTTTTTTACTTTCACTCTTAAAGTTTTAAATATTTTTATTCAAAAAAAATAATTTTAATGCTTTTTTTTAACCGTTTAACATATTTTAACCACTGATTAAACAATTCTAATTCAATTAATTAGTTATCAGCTATATGCTTCCATTTAGTTTTCTCAAACAAAAGCTTCTTATCTACCACATTTTAATTAGTTATATAATTAATTTTATTAAAAAATTATAGTTCAATTAGCTATTTATAAGTTTTTAGCTAGCTAATGAATTATAAAATTCTTAGTTGATTAATTTAATCAACTAGAGTCTACTTGTAAGTCATTTTTTTCCCTGATATATACAGTTCATTTGATCATTCTAATTCAATTAAGATACCTTGTATTTTCCTACAATTTACAAATAGGGGTATTAATATTTCTGAACATGTGTATTGTAACCAGTACATCTATGAAACGAGTTGCTATCCGAAAGAGCACGAGCAATTGAAGCTACTAAGAGAGACAACCATGCAGAAATACGGGGAAATGTGAGTTACGGTTCAATGCAGTTCATATATATTTTTGCACTGAGTTCAATTAATTCAAGCCAAATATATCTTATAATTTGTTAACTGGATCTTATAATTTATATTTAAGCTAAAAGAACATATCAAACCCGTTGAAGATAGTAAGAAAGTAACACACATCTGGTATAAGGCTTGACATATATAGATGCATATATGCTGACAGGAGTGTGATGAATGTGCCGGTGGACGAAGGCCAGTTCATCTCAATTCTTCTTAGTGTCATGAACGCAAAGAAAACACTTGAAGTTGGAGTGTTCACTGGTTATTCTCTTCTTGCTACCGCTCTTGCTCTTCCTCCTGATGCCAAGGTATCACCTTCACATCTTTTTCTTTTCTTTCGGAGCTTAGGCCTGAATTGTTTTTTGGTCCATATGTTAAATTGTTTAGCACTTGGCATTTTTATGTAATAGAAGCCACGTTGGCATCACAATTTTACAGTTTTAACTAGTTTATATTTTCATGTTTTCATTGATTCGCATCAGTCTTTTCAAAAATTTCTTTTCTTTTCTATAATGGATATCTACAGACAATATGTAAGATGGACTCTCAGGTTTGAGATAATGATTAAGTAAACTCCTCCTTTTATTTCAAAGCAAGTAATTTCACAATTGTTATCGTAATAGTATTTTTTTTATACAATTAATAAGGTTTCCTACTTTAAGAAAGGAAAAAGAAGAATAATGACACAAGTGCCAAAAGGATTTTGTTGAATGAATCAAGTACGATGTATCAAATTGTTATATTTATAGTTTTTTTTTTTTTATTTCTCTCTTTTGAATCTTAGCATCCCTCGTTTTAACCTTTTTATGTGTTTATATATACGCCACAAGTATCAGCTTAAATAAACAGTATTCACTATTTTGTTGTTTCGATACCATTTATGTGCTGTTCCTATCATGAAATGAGTTTAATTCTTCAATTTATAATATGTTAAAAATATTATTACACGATATGTAAAGTTTACACTTGCAAATAAAACAAATGAAAAGGATTTTATTTTGTGCTCCAGATAACGGCGATTGATGTGGACAGAGAAGCCTACGAGACTGGGTTGCCCTTCATTCAGAAGGCAGGAATGGAGCACAAAATTGACTTTGTTCAAGGGGATGCATTAGCAACCCTCCAAGATCTTATTGATGTAAGGCTTATTTATTATCTTGATCTTGTCTTAAGGCTTTGTTTTATTGCACCAAAATACATATCTTGATTTTGTTTTATTTCTTGATAATAGTTCTAAACAAAGTCATTGTTTTATATTATTCAATAATATCCTTTAAACCCATCTTTGAATTGGTATTCAATTGGAGAATGATGAAAAGGGAAAATAAAGAAATGAAAAATTGCAGGGCAAACATGAAGGATCATTTGATTATGCATTTGTGGACGCTGACAAGAACAGGTACAAGGATTACCATGAGCTGTTGTTGAAGTTGGTGAAGAAGGATGGAATAATTGCATATGACAACACCTTATGGTTTGGTTCGGTGGCTATGTCGGAGAACGAACCAATGGAAGATGTCATAAGGCAAAACAGAAAGCCTACACGTGAGTTCAACAGCTATATAGCAAATGATACTCGCATTGAATCAACTATTCTTTCAATCGGGGATGGTCTAACTCTTTGCCGTCGTCTTTGATCTCTTTCAAGGGTCCTCCAAGGGGAAGCTTATGTTGAGGGCCATGGCCCCTCTATGTTAATTGTTGAATTTTTATTTATGTTTATAGTATCTGAACTTCGACTCTCGATCTCATGAATAAAAGGATTGTTGTGGACACTATTTTCAACTCGTAGGAGAGAGAGACATATGATTATGGTAATAATTGTTACCTTCAATTGCAAAGAAGGCAAAACTAGTAAATTAGGGAATGGTAAGAGCTAATATTTGTTATTTATTTTGGTTTGCGAAGCGCATAGTCTGTGTTAGTTTCTTCTTGTTTTTTAATTATACGGTATAAAAAATTTTAATGTAGCAGTTAAATCTTAGAAGCCATAACACAACCCATTTAATCCACTGCATAATCCTCATTTTCTGAACCCATTTCGTCTTATGCAGCCAATTTTATGTGGAAATTATTTAACAGTTTAAAATTTTTTTATGAAAAAAAGTATACAGTTATTATATTAAACTTATAAAAATATAATAAATATTTTTTTAATAAAATTTTACTATTATTAGTTATTTATGAATTGAGGTTAAGAAAATTTTAAAAAAAATAGTAAATTGAAATGATCTGTTTTTATTGATAAAAAAAAAATTTGCAAATAATATATGAAGCATGAGACTTTATTGATAGATATAAATAATTTCAATTTTTTTTATTGATATAAAGCATGACTAAGTATTTTTATTTTTATTATTGGAGAATGAGGTTAAAATGGTACATATTTGGTGCCTAGTTTTCTCCACTGACTTTGACTCCAAGAATTAATAGGAGAACTTAAAAAACGTCAAGTCCTCCTCTCTTCGGTTTTTTCAGTTTTGGATTTGTAAGCCCAAGTCCATTCCTGGAGTCACTAGTCCATCTCAGGTCATCTTCTAGACACTTCACAAAAAAAAAAAAAAAAACGGTCATTGTTATAAAGAAAGAATAAAAACTTGCCACCGTTATAAAGTTTTTAAATCCTTGTCAAAACATCAAATAATAAAAAGAAAGCTAGAAAAAATTTCACCCTGAATAAAAATACAATTTCAATACCTACAAAGAAAAATATAGAATATTAGGGTATATAAATATGAATAATAATACAAGGTTAAAGTATTATGTATATAAAATATTAATTGGTTATTAATAAAAAAAATCATTCTAAATTTATTAGTATTTTATTTGTTTCTACATATATAAATAAATTTATAAATTATTAAATTCATAAATTAGAGATACTAATAAATTAAATTATGAGTCAATAAAAAATAAAAATTACACGTGAGTCATCAAAAGAGTCATTAAGTTTTCAAAGATATATCCATATATAATTGAGCAGTGTATTATAGATTATTAAAAAAATTAATATATATCATATTAAACTCTATTGTATTTACGTGTGTGGTCATTACTTAGTAGGAAGGTTTTTGTTTAAATGTGCTAATTTTTTTCGGATCAGCAGCAATCAACTGATCTTGAACAATTAAGACAATCATCCCTTTTTAAAAGATATTTTTATTATAGTGCACATTTGTTTTTAAATCCAAGCCTTATGTTAACTTTTAAAATGAATTATTATTTTTTTTATAAATTTGAATTTTAAATCACTGTGAGTTGTAAAAACATTTATTTTAATTATATAAGATCAAATATAAAATGTAAAATTGATAACATACATAATTTGAAAAAGAATAGGAATAATTTTACGTATCATAAAACTTAATTATTTCAATTACAATACTAATCTTTTGTCCATTCTCTACGCATAATTTTTGTTTTAAATATTTTTAATATATTGTTAGACTCGAATCAATAACTTTGTTTATTTTATTAATTCATAATTGTTATTATTATTATTTTTTTATTTCATGAATGTATTACTCTCAATTCTATATTTTTAATAAATTAATCAAAATAAATATGGTCTAAAATGAAATCACATTATTAATTTTAAAAATATTAATTACATTTATTATTATGAATGAATCACTGGTGATTTAGCAGCAAGTAATTTGATAGATAATTTTAAAAATTTATATAATTAATTAAGCAAGTACATCATTCACTACTAAAAAGTCTGTTTATACAGACAGATTTACAGACAGATTTTTAAAGCATTACAGGCGGTTTTTTCTATTACAGATGGATATAAACCGTCTGTAATATCCTCGTCTGGTAAAGAATTACAGACGGATTTTTCTGTCTGGGATTTACAGACGGATTTTTCCGTCTGTGAGTTACAGACAGATTTTTCAGTCTGTAACTTATAGACATATTTTTTCGTCTGTAACTTACAGACGGATTTTTCTGTCTGTAATTCGTCGGTGATATATTTTGCTAATATTGATATTTTTTTATTTATATAGATAGTTATTTCCTGCTGTTCTTGATTATCACAATTTATAAACAAAATAGAAACTATAGATTCGGCATCTAAACATTTCAAAATGATTTATAAAATTTAAATGTTATTACAAAGGAAGACAAAAAAGCATCTAAATAAATACATTTAAATATAAAATACAATTTTTCATCAGGAATAATCTGTATGGTCATAATCCGAAAGAGCATCATCATCAGTAGAAGATGAGTCAGTAGAGGAATGATGCATGGAGGTGAAAACCGGTGGTGCTGGAGCTGGTGAAGGAGGAGGAAGAGGTGTGGAGCTGCTTGCTCTCATGAGCTCAAAATAAGCATGCATCTACTGCATTTGCATATGCTGCTGGACCTCCCTTTGCATTCTCGACGCCACCTTCTTCTCTATCTTCTTCTCCATTTTCTTTGTCCACTTCTTCTTCCATGCACTTTCTTTACTCTTTCACATCTCCTCATTCTGCTTCTGGAGTTCTTCATTGAGGGCATGGACCTGAGTGCGGACCATGTCCTCCACATCCTCAAGTGCAAGAGAAGGGGCATCTCCAGTGACAGATGCAGGGGACATGGAGTCTGCAAAGCGGCCCCCCATGCCATAAATGCGACCTTTATAAAGGCCACCTACTGTCTGTGACCACATAGCATCCTCATCTACTGACTCTGGATTCTGAGAAGATGCTTCCTCAAGCCTTTGAATATAGTCATCCTACAGTTCAGTTCAGATAATTAGATATTAGTTTGGAGAACTATTTAATAAGTCGCTAATAATAACTATGACTTACATATGTGGCCTGAGATCGTGTATCAACCCACAAGTTTTTGTCCTGCCTGCGAGTGTGTGTCTCCTTAAACAACTCTCCAGTAGTAGGTGGCCTCTTCAATGACTTCTCCTGCAATTACAAATAAATCACAATCTCAATTTACACACCATAACTCTTTCAACTCATCAATCAAAGGTTGAAGGTATACATCAATTTTAGCCTTTGGATTTTCTGGACCAAGAACTATTACAGTCAAGAATAAATATGGATTTTTCATGCTCATTTCAGGAGGAAGATTAAAAGGTGTAACCACAATAGGCCAACAAGAATATGGTTTATTAAATTGATTGTTTGGAGTGAACCCATCAGCACATAACCCTAACCTTACATTTCTAGGATCGGATGCAAACTCAGGATATACTTGATCAAAATGTTGTCAAGCCTGACCATGAGATGGATGAGTCATTATCCCATCATTTCTTTTATTTTCAACATGCCACGTCATGTAAGGAGCTGAACTCATTGACGCATACAACCTTTTTAGCCTAGGAATCAAAGGCAAATAATGCATTCTACTTTGCGGTACATCTTTATGTTTACCACTTCTACCACCTCTTCTTGGTTTAAACCTAGGCTCTCCACAAAATTTGCAATTGGTCAAAACAGCATCATCTTTGTAATACAGCATGCAGCCTTTCAAACAACAATCAATTTTGACTTCTTTTAATCCAAGTTTGGAAACTAATTTTTTGGCTTGGTAAAAGTCCTTTGGGATGGAGTCAGGTTCGGGACTAAGCTCACTAATTAATGTAGCCCATTGATCAAATGAACTCTGACTTTGATTGTCTTCTGACTTTATGCTTAACATTCTTATTGCTAAAGATAACTCTGAATGCACACACCCATCCCATAAAGGCTTGTTTGCTGCTTCTAAAACATTATAAAACTTTGCAGCCTCTCCATTAGGTTCTTCTTCAGCTTCAAAATCATGAAAAATTCTAAATTGAGGACCAACAGCATCATAAACCATTTCTTGATAACGACTATTGCTTTCTTCCCAACTTACATTACCTACATGACCACCTGATTGTAATATATTTGAATTACCTACTTGATTTTCTAAATTAACTTCTTCCCCATGCTTAGTCCATATCCAATAATCATGTTTAAATCCAAACTTATACAAATCATATCTAATTGAATCAATATCCAAAAACTTTCTACACTTGCACTTAGAACATGGACACCTAACGACCTGATTGGTGATGAATTGATGCGAATTACAACAGACGCGTATAAATTCCTCTACACCCTCAAAGAATTCAGGTTTTATCCCCCCCGACTTGGGTGCAACCTATCATACATCCACTGACGATTTCTGAGAAACATCTTCCTCAACAACTATATAAACCTAATACAAATATACAATGTGGTATCAACCTTCTAAAATACATTACAGAAAATTTTAATATAAATTTTGGCAGAATCTCCCCTAATACATGTTAATTTCCTTACATTTGTTTACCATTTTTTTACAAAAATGAAAATTTCACCTAAAATCAACTAATAAATTATATAACAATAAATTATTCGATACATCAAACAAAAACACATCACAATCCTAAACCGTTCTAGAGCACATCCCCTTGTAACTCCACAATATGCATATTCTACAAACTCCACAAACACAAACAATCCCACAGCACACAATAATCAGGTTCAGAGAAGGACCTCTATGCCCTTCCCCCCAATCATACAATCTCCAATCCTACAACTCTATCTTAGAAATTTTAAGCCTCTAAAAAACATAAAAAATTAAAAAACTAAATCGATTAAAAGTTAGAGTATCGTACCAGGAATACAATGATGCAAAAAAACTTTCAAATGGTTGCTCCAATCACTCGCAATGGCTAAAACACTGAGCTCTTAGAGAGAGAGAGAGGGGGGAGCGAGAGAGAGAGAGGGTTCTGATAATGAGGGAGGGGAAGAGGAGACGCGGTTTTTATAGGTTTCAGTCATTACAGACGGGAAAATCCGTCTGTAATGGGTTTAATGAAACGGTGCGTTTAAGGTGGCACATTACAGACGGATTTTTCCGTCTGTAAATGCGTCAA